GGAGGCCACAAGGAGATTGTACAGATCCTGTTAGAGACAGGAGCTGATGTCCATGTACAGGGTGGGGGTTATTATGGTCATGCTCTCCAGGCTGCTTCTGCAGGAGGCTATGAGGATATTGTACAGATCCTGTTAGAGAAAGAAGTCAATGTTAATGCACAGGGTGGGGATTACGGCAATGCTCTCCAGGCTGCTTCTGCAGGAGGCCACAAGGAGATTGTACAGATCCTGTTAGAGACAGGAGCTGATGTCCATGCACAGGGCGGGGGTTATGGTCATGCTCTCCAGGCTGCTTCTGCAGAAGGCCACAAGGAGATTGTACAGATCCTGTTAGAGAAAGGAGCCGATGTCCATGTACAGGGCGGGGATTACGGCAATGCTCTCCAGGCTGCTTCTGCACAAGGCCACAAGGAGATTGTACAGATACTGTTAGAGAAAGGAGCCGATGTCCATGCACAGGGCGGGGATTACGGCAATGCTCTCCAGGCTGCTTCTAAACAAGGCCACAAGGAGATTGTACAGATCCTGTTAGAGAAAGGAGCCGATGTCCATGCGCAGGGCGGCATGTATGGCAATGCTCTCCAGGCTGCTTCTGAACAAGGCCACAAGGAGATTGTACAGATGCTGCTAGAGAAAGGAGCCGATGTCAATGCGCAGGACTACATATATAACTAGAAAGACCCTGGGCATAACATAGTATTATTCTGTGATCAGAACAGAAATCAGACTACCTACTACATTACTTGATATTCTAATCTCTGTGCAAAGGAGGGCTTGGAATGCTTAGTAAATTTATAATTTTCGTCTTATCACCTGGACTCTTTAAGAAACTTCCAGCAGCTTGACCCCGAAAAATGTATTGGTCCCCGCCAGCGAACTGATCTGATAAGCTTAGCGTATTCAAGATAAAAGGCGATGAGGCAGCTTAGCAGGTCTGTCAGGAATCACCAGGCGGAGGGGTCGGTTAGTACCCAGGCCAGGTGTTTTTGTGGAAATGTGGATAATACCAATGTAGTACGTAGTACTGTACAAGAGCCATTAGCAAAGTATGATAGATACAACAATTACGGCAAGGTCTAATTTTCAACTTTTGGACAATATTTTATTTGACTGATGGCTTGGCGGTGGGTCTCCGAACCAATTGATGAGTGTTCTGTGGTGAAGCTGGTATTGCTGGGGTCTGTATATGATGGTATAACCATGTAGATAATCACCAATCACCCAATCCTCCTGACCGAACAAACTCACACCAACCACCTCGTGCCAGAGACGGTAGACGTGCTTCAGCTGCCGAAAATAGGATGTTGAACACTTGGAGAAGCGCCTCCAAGCCAGCCTACTAACAAAATTACTAACCCACGAGAATCCCCCCTCTCCCCCCCCCCACGATACAGAGAAATGAGACGACATATACTAAAAGTAATTATGTATGGGCTCAAAGGAGACACGGCATATATTAGGACATGTATTAGTAGATTAGTGATAGTTGCCCTTTCCGCTTAGCCGCCGGGCGTTAATAAGTTGTGTGTGTGTGTGTGTGTGTGTGTGTATGATGGTGATCAGTCAACATTGGATGCTCTCAATTACACTCTAGCTCGCTTGTGTGCGCAGAAAGAAGACTGAGAACACGATCTTGACCTTGAAAATTGATTTGAGACAACAAACGGGCTTTGGTACTATTTTGCGAAGTGGATACGACACGTCAGATGGAGGAATAGTACGGAGATAGTTGAATGAAAATGTGGGATGGTATGTTTCTGTGTTTGACATTGCGTTCTTTTTATTTTTGTCACACTTTCCGCCATACCATATCTTGTGATAGGATGTGAAGCGCAGTAAACACTTGTCCTCTGGATATAATGCTAAATTAACTGCATCGGTGTTGGGTCTTCAAGGCCCACTTGCTCTCGACACACTCCGGGAGCCTCGGCGGATACAATTATTGAATGAATCCCAACCGCAAAAGCAGAAACTTAGGACCCCTTGATAGCTCCTCCACTAGTTCGGACCTAGCTACTGATCCGAATACGGGGTCTACTCTCCGACGCCACGACCTGATGCAAATGCATGGATTTGAACTTATGTCTAAAACGAGCCAGCAACAACAATGAAATGGGATACCATGGCCCCGTAAACTCAGGGGATTTGTTCAGCACGGTGAAATCCGTCATGCCTACAACGGTACCCAAGCCCCGATCTTTCCATATTAACGGAATGGCAAATACTTCCTGGTTGAGCGCACACAGTTATGGACAGGCGGTACATGCGCCGCTGTCAAAATAGCATGCAAACGTCGTGATTAAGCAAAGTTCCAGGTCCTGCAGGACATGACTCTTGGTCTTTAGCTCAGCCAGAGAGAAATTAGCATCTGTTGCATTAGTGGTCCATTGCTGGAACGGAAAGGGTGTGACTTGCAATTCAACTTCCCAAAGGAGGAAACTAAATGGAAGGTTGCTGCCGATCGCAATGGGACGGGAGCCGTATTTCCTCCAATTATGTATCATGACGCGACGAATGAGCGCCTTCGACTTTGATATAGACTATGCCTTCTTTTATATTGCAAGACTCGAATACGCTCTCTGACTGATTGCTTGTAGGCTTGACCTGGTCAACCATACCCTGTATTACCAGGAAGAACTACGACTCTCGACGTTGAGAAAGGACATCCTGGTTGGTTAGTCTCACATACTAGATCCGCGTGGAGTATCCGCGGGTCACTTTCCATATGTCTTGGCCTGTCGGACGATTTGCTGCGCCACGATGCTAACCCTAAGCTCTGGGGTTTGGGGCAATGGAATGGGTAAATTCCTAGTGTGCAGGCCTGATGTGGGCCCATCCAAATGAAAAGGGTTATTTGCCGCTCATCAGAGACAGTGTGTTTGCAGAAAGCTGTATATCACGCAAGCTTCAACTACTATAACCCATATTTTAATGCCAAGACATGGCGGAGACGGCAAGGTGGCTCGACACTATACCCTTGGCATTGTTGGGTAGTGAAACAGTTAAATATTAGCCTGGGGTCCGTGTCCGTTCCTAGTCTTGATAATCGGCACTGGCTTGCCCTTTCCGAAGGACCCAGCTACGATCAAGTCTTTGGGAAAACTTCGGAATATTCTTATCGAGCCGAAATGTCGGTTTTCCGTTTCAGTTTGATTCCGAAATACCGCTTCTGGTTTGGAGTCGAGCAAGAGTGAGGAATTATTGAAACGTGCCAAGGATCTCTATATTCCTCCAATGACTCGACCAGGGGGTTGTTTACACGCGGCGAACACAGTAGATGCACTGGGGTATAAAGCCATGGCAAACGTAGGACGATGAGCCTTGAGATTGAACAGGCCAAAAGCTATCCTTCCTTTCCCTTCATATTTCCTTTCTTTAAGACGCTCTGAGAGTGATACTAATCTTTTCACCAACCAACTTCTTCAATCGTTCACAATGCTTCCCAAGGCTGTCCTTGTTTCTCTCCTCACCTCCATGGCACTAGCTGCCAGCGAGTTCCCTATTCCCCAGTCCGCCGGTTCCGAGACTTTCAAGGCGACCCGTGAGATTGCCGCTGGCGAGACCTTCGATGGTGGTTTGAAGACTTACGGCCGTGGCGTCTCCTGCACTGGCCAGAGCGAAGGTGGTGACAGTGATGCTGTCTTCAGCCTCGGTGAGGGTGCCACCCTCAAGAATGCCATCATCGGCAAGGACCAGATCGAGGGTGTCCACTGCCAGGGTGCTTGCACTATCGAGAACGTCTGGTGGGAGGCTGTCTGCGAGGGTATGTGCTAGGGTTGTCTTCGATTGGAACGGAAACTGACTTGTGTTGCAGATGCTCTCACCTTCAAGAAGGGTAAGGGCCCCTACAAGGTCATCGGTGGTGGTGCCCAAGGTGCCGAAGACAAGGTTATCCAGCACAACGCCGCTGGTGATGTTACCATCGATGGCTTCACCGTCTCCGACTTCGGCAAGCTCTTCCGCTCCTGCGGTAACTGCAAGACCCAGTCCCAGCGGTCTGTCACCATTTCCAACGTCAAGGCCTACAACGGAAAGATCCTCGCCGGTGTCAACGAGAACTACGGTGACTCTGCTACCATCAAGGACACCTGTGCTTCCTCCGTCAAGGAAATCTGCAAGACCTACGAGGGTAACGAGGGCTCCGGTGAGCCCACCGAGAAGGGCTCTGGCCCCAGCGACGCTTGCATCTACACCGACCCTCTGCCTTCCTGCTAAACGCGTGCTCCTTGTACCTGAGGGGAAGTTGGATAACTTGGGAACTTTTCTTGTACTACTATTTGCCTCCCTGTAGGCAGTCAAAATCAAGGTGGACTTCACTGCCTTTTGTACGTACCTAGGACGCAAAGAAAATAATTGAACCCTTCTCTGATTAGCCTTAGGGGCTATCAGAGCTGGATTGGGATCAAGATATCTCAATGTGCAGATTGCAGATAAATCAAGCTAGATACAATGGTACAATCCAACTAGTAGCCGTACGGGATATCGGTAATAACCATACGGGAACGGGGAACCGCAGGAAAACCCCACCAGGCTTAACTCCGACCCAGACAATGTCCGTCAGCAAAATACATAAGACCGTCGACTTAGTATCCTGTACTACTACTTACTTACACTCCATGGCTCCTCCCCGAGCATCCACCCCAACAATGGCTTCCGCGACCGAACCCTCTAAGCGCGATTTCGATCAACCTATTCCAGTTAGGATATTAAAAAAGGGCCCGGATGACTGGTCGGGTTTAACGGACGCAAAGGAACGACGACGGAGACAGAACCGAATAAACCAGAGAGCTTATCGTGCGTTCCCACTAAATCCTCACTTACCGCAGACTCCATCCCACCCTACAGTTTAAATATATAGCAACCATACAGATAAACATACTGACAAGAACACACACAGGCCAACGTAAACGAACCGAAAAGCTCGGCTTGACCATCAAAAGAGAAGATACAGACTCCAACTCCACCACAGCGCCCTCCTCATTCTCATCCCAATCACCACCCACCACCACAACCCTCATCCACGCCCGCAAATGCCCCTCCGTCGAACAAACCGAACACCTCCTTGACCTCTTTAGCAAAACCGCCTACCAAAGCTACGTCCTCGGCTCGCCCACCTCCGACCACCTCCTCACTCTCTCCAAAGTCAACGTCTTCCGTGCCTTCGCCTCGATCATGTCCACTCTCGGTCTGTACCAGGATAAGGGATGGATGCATGACGACGCCATCTCCCCCTTCACCACCCTCCGCCCGGGCTACGTCCTCCCTACCTCCCTACCGCCCACACTCCGCCCCACCCCCACCCAACAATCCATCCCCCACCACCCCTGGCTCGACTTCTTCCCGCACCCGCACATGCGCGACAACCTCATCCGCGCTGGCGAAACCTTCGACGACGAGCAGCTCTGTGTCGATATCATGGGGTTCTGGGATATGAGCACAGAAAGCTGCGGGCTGTTAGTCTGGGGGGATCCCCAGGATCTGAACAGTTGGGAGGTCAGCGAGGCGTTTATCCGGAAGTGGCCGTGGGTACTGTGGGGATGTCGGGATCTTTTAGTTTCCACGAATCGGTGGCGGGCGTTGAGGGGGGAGAAGTTGATTTTTAGATATCTATAACATTCATTCTGTACCTATTTTTTTTTTCTTTTTTTTTCTGTATTAACTTTGGCGGTGGTGTTTTGGGATATTTTACATTATTTTTAGGAAGGATGATTAGAAATATGGTTCACTTGAATTTTAAGATCGGCATTGAGATCATTTTGACCTTTATTCCCGGCGATAATGCACCTTGCTTACGCGCTAAGACCACTTTAATTTTGGACCACCAATGGAATCGTGCGTAGTGGGGCTTGGCCGGTCTTTTTCCGCTTTGTATGGTATTGCCATGGACGGTATCCATTTTTTTCAGTGCAGTTTGAGTCAGTTGCTGTGTTGAAAGGCCTATATCTCGTTATCTTCGCTCTACTTGACAATTTCTAAATCGCGAAATCTGAGGGCTCGGTCTACTTAAGATAAGGCATTCATGGATCCTGTCGAATTGATCAAGACGATCGGGCATGATCCACGAATGCTCAGTCCTACCCTAAACACACATACAATGACAACAGCCCTGATCAACAACCATAACTGATCCCAGTATACCCAAAGAACAGTGGTCTCAGCGGAGATAACTTCGCTTATCGGAAATAAATCCTGTCATCCCAGAGCATGCTCTGTCGCCTATCTATAGTCTCATTCAAATCCCCCAATCCATACCACCACACATCCCACAATCCACCTGGTTCCAATATAAAACCCTCCTTATCCTCCCAAATCAACAAACCATATACATCACTAGACATAATCGCACACCCACAGCTGCTAAGCCCAAAATGCCATTCCCCAAAAGCGCCCTCCCCGCCGTCTTCGGCTCCATGACCTTCGGCAAAGCCGGTGTGGAAGGCGTCCGTGTCTCGACCATTGAAGACGCAGCCGCTATCCTTGACGTATTCCAAGCACACGGCCATAAAGAGGTCGATTCGGCGAGATTATATGGCGCAGGTTCAACCGAGGAGACTCTGGCGAAGGTACATTGGGCCGAGCGCGGGCTAGTGATGGAGACGAAGCTGTATCCCAGCGCTGGAAAGAATATGGGGGGCATGAGTGCGTTAGCATATAGGCATACGGCAAAGGATTTGAGGAGGGGGATGATGGAGAGTTTAGAGGCGTTGGGGACGAGGAAGGTTGATATGTGGTTTGTTTTCTCTCTTTTTATTTTCCTTCCTTCCTTCCTTTCTTTCTTTTTTGTCTTTGTGGAAGATGGGGTAGCTGTGTGGGTGTTTGTTAACGGGTGTTGGTTTGCGATAGGTATTTACATGGCCCAGACCGGAATACTCCGTTTGAGGAGACTCTTCGCGAGGTCAATGAGCTCTACAAGGAGGGATACTTTAATCGGTTGGGGATCAGTAATTATATGTCGTGGGAGGTTGCGCAGATCTGTGAGATCTGTGAAAAGAACGGTTGGATCAAGCCCTCTGTTTATCAGGGTATTTACTCGGCTATTCACCGGGCTATTGAGCCTGAGTTGCTTCCTTGTCTTCGATACTATGATATTGCGCTTTATGCGTTCCAGCCTTTGGCGGGGGGCTTTTTGACCTCGCGGTATCGGAGGGATATGTCGGATGAGGAGCATGAGCCCGGTTCTCGGTTTGATCCGAAGAGGTGGCAGGGGAATCTCCATCGGGGGCGCTATTGGAATGAGTTTTACTTTGATGCCCTGGATGTTATTCGGCCGGTGGCGAAGAAACTGGGCTTGACGGAGGCAGAGTGTGCTTTTCGGTGGTTGTCTCATCATAGTGGGATGGGGAGGGAGAAGGGGGATGCTATTATTGTTGGGGCTAGCAGTGCTGCGCAGTTGGAGCAGAATCTGACCGATATGGAGAAGGGGCCCTTGCCCGAGGAAATGGTGGAGGCGCTGGATGCAGCTTGGTTACGGGTTAAGGGGGTCGTTCCGAAGTATTTCCATTAGCCCTCATGCTGTAGTTATCTATTGAGAATTTATCTAATGGTAATTGATCGCTGTAAATGGTAAACCAAGTTAACCGGGTATTATCTTTGAATGCTAGATGTGGACGCTTCAAACGTGCAGCTCTTAGATGCTCAGTACATATGCGACGCTGAATGATGATGTACTTGTCGTTCAATAAATGCCTCAAAGAGGCTAATATGTGTTCGGGTTCTTGAGAGTGTCAAAGATTTGCATTACCAAGGCAGGGTCAACTTCAGGCCTCGGGACTTTTCGCGCCATATATTGGCCTTCCTGAAGCCGCGCTTTGACGATCTGCTTCCTCGTCTTCGACTTTATCACGGTGTGTAGGCTTTTGCTGATTCCTTGGGCTGGATATGCCACGAGACCTATTGCAGCTGTTGCGCGTGTTAGCGGGATTCAATGTTGTGAGCGAGCCCAACTCACCTGATGGTACTTTGGTGCTGATGCTAACTGTTCCTTTAAGAAACCCTTTAGCCATCCCCATTGCACCTTCTTCCTTGGCACCCTTGTGGGTCTGCGTGAATATATCCGTTAGGCCTTCAAACATTCCTTGACCGAAGTTTTTCCCCCCCGCAATAGCACCGCTTTTCCAGTCGCGGATGGCATAGTCTTCAACTTCTTCACCATATAATCGCGGTACGGCTCGGAGGCCCTCCGTGGTGGCCAGCGGAATATCGACAAGCATTCCTTTGTACATATACTTCATGAACTTGCCAAATCCCGTAGCACTGGCACCTATCGCCGCTCCCGTGGCATCCCAGTCCATTTTGGACTTACCACTAGCAGTTGTTGTCTGCGAGTCGACCCTTGAAAGTAGACCCTCGACGTCCCTCGCCGCTGGAGATGAAGCGGTGGATCGTTCACGGCCTTTTATCTCTTGGTACGGTTTGATGAACATATCCGATGTAGCTTTTAGCATGTCAGTGCCATAACCGATTGTCGCTGAAGTCGTGCTTGTGATTGGATCGTAGCGGCGATTGATTATTACAATCGGACGAATCTCATGTCTATGACGTCAGTCTTCATGGAAAGAATAGGTAGGGAAAAGCGATAACATACTGCTGAAGGCTCCTTGGCTCAATGCGCATGTGGTCCAAGAGAATTTGTCCGGCTAGTTTGGATAGGTAGATAGGTTTGGCCGATTTTTTATATACCCACGACGCAGGCTGATCGGGGAGGATCTGGCAGCGCATGCGATCCAGTGGAAGGTTTCGATGGAACGACTCGACCGCCATTTTCACACCTGATTCGGATTGCATCCTTATGGCAATGTCTTCGGCGGCTGCCCTGGCTTGAGGGGTGAGACAGTATCGGATTGCCTCGGCGAGATTCTCGGCTGTTAAGGACTTTTGTGGAATAGGCTCAGCGCCAGCCCCTGACGCAGCGATCATTCTACCCCAGAAGGGCTGGTCTCCGAAGAAGGGAACAATTGTTGTGGGCTTCCCGAATCGTAAGCCGCATGCCGTTGTCCCAGCGCCACCATGATGTACCACAGCCGATACTTGTTGGAAAAGCCACTCATGGGGGCAGTCGCCGAGATACATAATGTCTTTTGATGAAGACCCACCGAGTTTACTCCACCCTCTTGAGATAATCGCACGAACTCCAACAGCTCGGACGGCTTCTTCAAGGATCGCGGTGAGCCTGGGAGGATCGTCGATGACGATGCTGCCAAAGCCGATATATATTGGGGGAGGGCCGTTTCGAAGGAATGTGCCTAGTTCATATGAGGGACTGTAGATCGGCAGTTCACGGAAGAAGAAGCCGCAGACATCTAGACACTTAGTATTGCTCGATAGGAGAGGGATGAAAAAAATGTACCAATGTATGATGGCCAATCTTTGGGCTTGGGTACTAAAGCCGGAGACCAGCAATACGTAAAAGGCACTTTGAGAGTCTGCACAAGATTTGGCCCTTCGGTAACAGGAACTCGTTCGAGGTCGATAGTTTCCCTCCAGTTATTGATCACATCGCCAAGACTAGGAAGGACAATCAAGTTAGACTCCAACACAGCATGTATGGATGATCAAGCTCACCCTTGCCAGGTCATCCACTCAACAACACCATATGAGACAGCATTTGCAAAGCTCGCGTTTGTTCCAGAATATTTCAGGTTGGCCAGCGGATGAGGGTAGTCCGATGTTGAGCTCCACGGCATGGTAAACATCAAATGTAAAGGTACTCCCAAGGCCTGGGCACAGTGAACATGTGCGAAGCTGGGAGGGTTCGCGATGATAGCGTCGGCTACGAACGGGGCTTGGGTGGTGGGATCATCCTGGATACAAGACCTCCAGCACCCTTCCAGCATCTCTCTAACCATCACTCGTTTCCGTGTTATCTCCCCCGCTTTCAGGCTCTTCATACTCGGAATAAGACCTGGATTCTTAACCATGAATGCCATTAGTTCCGCGGGATCGCCGCCTATCGGATAGAACTCGAGACCCGACTCTCTAACGAAGGAATCAAACACATCATGCGTCGCTAACCGGACTCGATGGCCATGCTTCTGCAACTCATTACCTAGCGCAATGAATGGCTGAACATCGCCCCGACTTCCGACGACGTGAATGACAATGTTGAGTTTGATATCGCATCGCACCGGCCCCGAGTAGGCTGGTGGGCTAATGAAGTCATCTTCGCTTGGCTTCGGGATAAATTTGAGGGCAGTTCTGGCTGCAGGAGAGTCTAGGTCCACATCGATACGACCGTCATCTGACTAGTTAGCATGTATTTTTCTTTGCCAGTATAATTGTTAGAAACCAGTGTATAGTACCTTGGACGACGCTGGATCCACTTTCTGCGATCAATGTGTAAGGCGGCGGAGTGTCCACAACTTCCGGGAGGGAATCCGACATGGACCTTGGACGAGCTTTGGAAGTCATTCTGGGGAGAATGTCAAGGAGTGATGGATTGGAACCATGGCTTTGAAGGATATGCAGTTAAATATCCAGTCCAGAGGGGAAAAGACTCGTTGCATGAAAAGGGAGTAGCCTGATCGTACTCGTGTTCGCTACTGGAAGGAGCCTAATCTAGAAGACCTTCTAGCCTGACCTGGCCAATAATATAGCGCAAGTGGATCCAGCTTAAAAATAAGAAACTTGTCGATCAACGAGTTTCTCACTTTGGTTATTCTTAGACATCCTTTAGAACAACCTGTAGTAAAGTCCTACTTGGAATTCACTAGTGCCATTCCTTTCCTGTCATGAACTTATGATGATCCTTTCCCTATAGTGAGCAAGGGCAATTCATCCTCACCTCTTCTTTCGGTCGCATCCGCGAGATTAATGACTTGGCATAGGAATCTTATTTAGAAGTTTGACTCTCTCAGGAACGAGGGCTACTAGCGTTGAAATAGTTGCTAGTACTTGTGGGGCGGACCTTTCTCGAAGAAATGAACAATCCAAAGTACTAGTAGTTTAGATAGTTTGAGTGACATTAGCTTCGGCTTCATGGCAAGTCGATGTCAGAGTCCCGATGGTCGAGTTCAACTATGCCGGTATTCCTAGTTGGCTTAAGATCTATACAACAGGCTAGGCTTCTGAACACTTTTCCAAGGTACTCGTATTCATTGCTTTAACTGAGTAAGCCATTTCTCATCAAAGTAGCGGTCGTATTCGTTCCGAGGCGAGTCTCCACCTAGATAGCTTCCTTGTCAACCTTAGAACATGGATGTGCGACTGGGTCCTAGGTGACACTATTTTTGTATTCCTCTCAATCGTCTACCTCGAGCATATGATCCATCATGTCAATATCGAAGATAATTATGCCCTACAAGAGATACCCTGGCAGATAACGTTGTCGAGTGGTTTGTTGAAGCCCAAAGAACATGACGAAAACAAGAAGTTAAACAACATACGGAATGGGGCCTAATAGAAGGATATAATGATGATCTGTTTGCCCTGGACATAACTGGCCGTCAATCCCTTAGGGTCTCGCGGTAGGTCTAATTGCGCATGCACAAATCCTGCTTGAAGATGCCTTACGCGGCTAAAGGCCAAATAAGCAATGTTTGTATATTTGAGAGGCTATCTTTTGTAATAGTGGTTTCAAGGCAACCGCTGTGGGAAATAATTGGGATCCATATGTGGCTCTGCGTTACCACAGGGATGGCGTAGGTTTGCACATTCCCAAGGATGATGAGACGCATATCCTACTTGAGTTGCACAGAAGGGGACATCTGACCGGATCCTCCTCCCGGGATCATGCCTGGTCAATGGTTGGAGGGTACTCGTGCTGTAGCTGTAGCAATACGCCAAGTGAAGTGTAGATTTGTAAGACCAGTATACAGCCATCCGTATAGTCATATGTGCTACTGACCCATCTGTCACTCGACAAAGGGCAGAATATAGTCGGGTTGCTGGTTGTAGAACATAGTCTTCTGTTTCCGTATAAGGTAGTAGCAGCGACAGGTTTCCGACCTAGAATAACTGTTACAGGCAAATGAGCATGGATTTCTGTTTTGACCTCTGAGAGGCAGCTGCGCATTGTTACAAAAATATCTGGGCTTTCTTGTACGGCAATTTCACGGTGGAAGTGGGTAGACGTAGCCCAAACCCTTCTACTCCTCCATGAGGCCGGTACTGATTCCAAAGGCCCTATACTATAAAGTGCTGGAATGAGGAAACAGGAGCACTATAGTACTCACGAGTTCGTGTAGTTTGGGGTCTGAACTCCACCTAGATATTGAAGGGCCAGATGAGTAAAGCTCTGTGGAGTGAGCGATGCAACTAACATACCCATTCATCGGACATTTCTAACCAGTCTGGACCCCATTCACAAATCCAGCACGTTCAATGTGTTTGGTACTTTCCTCCCAGATTGTGAATCTTTTGCCCCAGAGCTTGCTAGCCTCTAAGATAGTTTGTCTCCTAGAACGGTAGAAATGATTTGGATGTATGCTTTCCTGATTACCCTCAATACTGGCGGCCATCGTAAGATGGGGAAATTGAGATTAAGTTAGCAGCTTAAGTTTAAACTGCGACAATGACAGTTGACGACCAGGATTAGATTGGATTCTAAAGAGACAGCTGTGAAAAGCGAAGAAGAAAGGGACAGAATAACGAGATACTCATGGAGACGTTAATACAGGTCTTCAACGCGGCCTAAGAAGAGTAGTACAAGTCACTCCACAAGTATTGTACTAGCAGCTAGAGAGCTCATCTTCCATCCAACTACGTATTGTAGCAAGGTAGTAATAACAGATCCCTCTGGGCAGTACTTGATCTGCAAGATGGAAAGCACAGGCCCAATCTCGAACTATATTCCGGTGCATCGATTTTATTCAATGCTGTCAATCACTATATTCTAGTCTTTGTTTGCTATTCAATCTCATTATTTGACAGTATCATCCCATTCCCGGGTTTCAGTAACCTTTCATCCTCTGCTATGTGAATGAGTATCACCGCTTCCAACCGGCTTCTACAACATCCCGGACTGTTCTGGGCTTAATCTCTGGGAAAATCTGGTTCAGGGTCTTGGCAGGCTTCAAATCAAAGAGCCCTGCGATAAACCAAAGGCCAAAGGTAGAGAAGAAACCTTGAAGCATATTCTTCGGAAAGAACTGATAGACTGGCAAATGAGCGGGGAGCTCAGTGACTTTACCACTCCTAAGCTTTTCGATGCTGTCGTAGGAGACGTTGAACTTGGTGCCTGCACATAGCCTGTTAGCCGTACAACTGTTAGCGAAGAACAACCAGTCTTCACATACCCTTTGCATTCTGAGCGATGTCGACCATCTCATTGAATGTAACCTTGTCTCCAATGATGAACATTTGTAGATCCCACTTGTCCAATTCTAGGGCTGCCGCGACATATTTAGCAACGTCCAAGGTGTGAGTGAATACCACCGGGTCGTTTCCAGTACCGGGGATTCCAGCCGCATCATTGGCAATGTCAACGACATTAGTCGCTGGTAGCATGTGCGACTTAACTTTTGGCATGCCGTAGTAGTCGAGAAAATATCCATTTGAAATGGCGCATCCCTCAAGGTCTTTGGCATCCTTGAGGGCTTGAATGGCCTGGAGTTTGGGAACGGCCAAAGGGTGATCTTTCATATGTCTAGTGAACGGATGAGAGGAGGCCCGCACAGGATATTGATAAGAAAAAATGGTCAGACTAACTCCTCAGTATAAGGGATACCCCAGCTATTCGAAATTATTCGCTTGGTCGTTTTTGATATATCAGCAGCCTTTATGAGCTCCAACTCTGGAGACGGACCGTCCGTGGTTGTCATTGACAAAGCTGACAAAGTCGAGATGATTGTATGTATCTGATGGTCCTCGAGAGCCTTGACAAAAGCGCCGGTGTCAAAGTAATCAACACTGACGACGGTTACTCCAAGCTCTGCAGCGATAGCAGGATTGGACTGTGCTACAGTTAGCCATGCCTACTGATATCTCGTTGCCAAGCAGAGGAATAAATTACCCTTCTTGAGAGTATGTAGACTTCATGCTTTTTGGTTGAGAGAATGGCCTCGATGATGGTTCGCCCCAGGCCTCCGGTGCCTCCAGCAACAGCTACTTTGACCATGATTGTACGCGGTATGCTCACTATTTTGAAATTGTAGGTAAGGAAGTTTGAAATATCCGACTTGGGACAGACAATAGTCCAAAAGGAAGTGTGCCATTAAATATTCCAGGAGCGGTACAGAGCAACCCGGAACGGAAACAAATAGAAGAGCCTCCAGAGACATGTTTATAAGAGATCAAAACAACAATCTGCAATTTGTCCTTCTCGCATAGAGATAAATTGGTGTGCTTTCAAATCTACCGGATGCAAATTGCATCCGCTTCAATCAAGGCCTGACTAAGCGGAACCTTTTGGCCACAGATCACCAATAACTTATCAATCAACCCGAATTAGTAGTACGGAATGCTCCTTGACTTGACATCATCTATGACGAATTGACCCGCCTGGGGTTCTAGTAATTTAATTACCTTAGCCTTGGTGTGTCACATAATCGCATCAGCTTACATTCCTTGGGATTTCGAGAAATGGAAGCCTCTTCCGGCACAGGAGGTTTGGCTCTAAAGGAGCAAGACAGGAAGAGAGTTACCAAGGTAAGGCTCCTTAACGCCCCAGTACACAGTCTAACACTTCCTGGAAGGCTTGTCAGCAGTGTCAGGTGAGGAAGAGGCGATGTGATGGGAATATTCCAAGTTGTTCCCCTTGTGTGAGCCAGGCTCTTGATTGCAAGTATTCGGAGGTAAGGAGACGGGGTAAAGGGAAAACGTGGGTAGACAAATCCAAGTACTGTTCTAATCTCCTCACTAAGCTCTCTGACAGGAAAACGTACGTGGAGCGTCTTGAGAGAAGAATTGCAATGATGGAGCGCTCTTTACGTCGTTCGTCTCAAGTCCCGGGCCAGGTAAGAGTCTAGGAGACAAAACGTATTCGGAACAATAGTAACTGGTATGTGACGAACATTAAGGCACTTAGTCCAACACATTCTATGCCAGGATGTCGGGAAGCGCCACCCTTGAAGAGCACGGCAGAAGGAGCTACGTGTTCTGGTTCGTCTACTAAAGGAACAAGACACCTCGCGGCAGATCAGATGATCGAGCAGATATGTGAGACGCAAATGATGACATCGAATGGATTATTTGATGAGAATATGATGATTCTGAGAGACAAGCTTTCTGCATTATTTCCCGACGAAAATAGTGTGAAGAGCCTGAAGCTCCAAATCTCCCGCGGCCCTTTTGTCCTTAACAAATTCACGGGCCTTGCGCAAAAGGCCCATCTCAAATCACTTTTTGGAATTGCTTTCGATGACTTTAATTGCTCATGGCCGTTGTTCAATCCTTCTATGCTAATAGCCCTTCTGGATGAGCAGGATATAAGTGATGCTGCTTCCACTTGCGAGAGCCTTACGCGCTGGGGTATGTTGAACTCCGCAGCAGCGATCGCAATCCGGTCCAAAACAGCCAAGGGCTCTTATAATGAAATGATCGATTTATCGTGGCACTTTTTCAAGAATTCTTTCAGCTTGTTTTCCGTACTTGTTTCTCGGGGCACAGATATCTTGGCTCTGGAAACCCTTCTTGCCATGGCTCTATTCACGCACGGATCGACTGATTTGCGAACAACATCACTTCTAATATCCACAGCTGCAAGGATATCATTAACCCTCGGATTTCATAGGGAGACCTTCTATACAGATATGGACCCGGTCAGAGCTGAGCGTCACAGGCGGGCGCTTTGGATTGCCTATATACTTGACCAAGATATGTCCATCAAGACTGGGCTGCCGTCGGTTTACAGCAACGATGACCTCGGCCTTGACTATGCAAGTTCAGGTTCGCTAGGTGTTCCTGGAAAGATTGCCATCTCGGGAAGTCGTGTGGAAGCCATCGTCTTTCGAATACGCACCGAGCTAGCCATGATTCAATCCAATATTCAAAGTCGACTATATTCTGAAAAGAGCGCTAAGATGACTGTTACCCAGCTCCTGGGAGCAGCCATGGAGCTGGACCACCAGCTTGAAGAATGGAAGAAGACGATTCCTTCGGAGATGCAGCCGGGCCACACTGTTTGGTCAGCTGTTGCGCCGCTAAAGGAACCTATTATTTCTTTGCACTTTGCATATTACCACGCTATTGATGTAATACACAGTTTTGTCGCGCGTCTCAAGCCAGGAGATGATATCACCTTACTTCCACAGTGCGTTTCTTCGGCACTCACTCAGACGAGCACAGCTTACGAGACGATCCGCCTGCTGCAACACCTACCCCCCCAGCTGCCAGGAGCACTCTGGTAGGGATACAAGTTCCTCATGTGGTGCTGTGCTAAATTGTTCATAGGCAGGTCTTGTGCTATCCTCTATCTGCTTGTATTGCGCTGTTAGCAATCCTGCTTAGAAACCCCACCGATGTGCGGGCACGATCGCATTTGAGACATATCAGTGGCGGTTCCGACCACCCACCGCCTTCCGCCGGTGGGTGGTCGGCAGCCTAAAGGAATTTTCAGCCTAAAGGAAGATAATCAATTTCCTCCCATTTTAAAGCTATACAAACCATAAAAAATGCCCAAAACGTCTAAAATTTCTGGTTTATGTGTAGATGAGGCCGTTGAAGCTGCCTGTCTTGAAAAAAATTCTAATATCGCAAAGATTGCGCGAGAATTCAGGATTCCTTATCACACACTCCACGGCTGTATCTATAATAGAAGAAAGTCTTGTACAGCTTGAACTGCACCAAATAAAGCGCTAAATCAGTATCAGGAGACTGCCTTAAGGTAATAGATTGCTATAATGTGTGATATCCATCTTCCGGTGACTATATCATTGCTTTTAGAGTGGGTAAACCTTGCTATACAGCAAGATAATCCTATACAGAGTGTCAGCTAATTATGGGTATATCACTTTACTAAAAGCCTTTCTCCTGACCTTAAATTAAGCCTGGTAATTCAAAGGCTAAAGGAGAAGAAGTGCTTAGATGTAGAGGATATTGGACAGCTTTAGTTCTGGTATAATTAGCTTACTAACTTACTTAAAAATGTCCCTGCTTATTTTATGTATAATTTTGATGAATGCGGCTTTTAATCAGGTAGTGGAAAGTCTTAAAAAGTTCTTGATATAAAAGAAAGAGTTCCTAATTTTCCTGAAGCTGAGTATGCAGATAATATTACTGCAGTTGAGTATATTGCTGTAGATAGCTGGATTATGACTTCGCTCTTTATTTTTAAAGGAAAGAAATTTATGGAGGCCTGGTATAATAAAGCGATTCCCGATTACTATACCGCAGTCACTGATAAAGGCTATATAAACAATAAAATCGCGCTTGAATGGCTTTAAAAATTCTATGAGAAGACTAAAGATTATATAAAAAAGGGAGAAAAATATATATTTATTTTTGACAGCTATATAACTTATAAAATAGTTGAATTTCTTTAACTCTGTGAGATATATAAGATTCTTCCCTTTTATTTCCGGTCTTATACAATATATCTCTGTCAGCCGCTTGATAGAAAGCCTTTTCTTATATATAAAATATATTTTCACAGTGTAAATAATCTCATTGCACAGTGGTATGGAGTTCCGGGAGATAAAGTAAATTTTCTATGTGATATTGTTGCTGTATATAAGAAGACTTTTAATCCATGTCTTATTCATAACTTCTTTAAAGAATGCGGTATCTTTCCTTCAGATAGATTCTTAATTATTGAAGCTATTCAGAATACTTTATTATCTTTACTAGAGATCTCTGCACCTAATCTATATGTATATAGAGAGACTATGCCGCCTCTATATTCTCTCTCTTTAAGTCTTGAGAATATATCTCCAAAAAGCGCTTAGCAAGTTGAAAAGAATTAGAAGAAGCTATTTAAGCTTTTAAATAATAATATACCAGATAATTTTTATATTGAGTGCTATCTTGACCGCTTATTTTATCAGTAAAAGCTTTAATCTGAACAGCTTGCTGTCATGAATTTAACTTTTAAGTAAATTAAGGCCGCGCAGGCATCCTGAAGTTATAAAAAGACTAAGAGAGAGGTTTAACGCCTTAGTGATAGTGGCATACTGCGTGTAAAGAATGTGAATCGGTCTATTGCGGACAGGAAGGCCAAAAATAATGAAAAGAATAAGAAAGCAGCTGATAAGGTATATTTCAAGGTGTACAGTCATCTCCCGCCAGCGCCTTTTATAGAAAATTAAACTACAGCTTCAGATACAGGATTGGTAGAGGAATCGGGTGATCAACTTTATTTTATTGATTCTACAGGCGTTTAGTGGTGATAATACGAATTGCTTCATATTCTTCCTTTAGGCTGAAAATTCCTTTAGGCTGCCGACCACCCACCGGCGGAAGGCGGTGGGTGGTCGGAACCGCCACTGATATTAGTAATTTTGTCAAGTTCCTGACCGAGGCCCAACACCATGAAGACTTTGATGTAGGGCGTATGTTGGACTTCTGTTCCGAAATGGAAAGGATCGCAGTTGATGCACTCACGAAGGCGACCAATATGCCCCAGCCAGCGGAACTTATAGTTGGTGATTCTTCGCCCACTGTCTTCGATGGAAAAGTCCAGGTAGGCCCAGCTTATCTATGGATAAGGCTCTTCAAGCTTACTGTATTGCAGAGACTCACGTCGCAGTTGACCAGTTCGACTAGTTATATGCAGCTCGCGCAGGGACTCATGGGCAATCTGCCAAATCTGCGTTCCGTTGCGAGCAATGTTTTTTCCGAATTTGTTACTATTGAACGGCATTTAAGCTCGCCGGGAGGGCTCCTCGCACCTGTAGCGCTGATTCCAGAAACATACCAGTTCGCCTTTACGCTAAACCGCGACTAAGGATGAATTCGAGGTAGTGTTATCGAAGTAGGGTCACAATCCTCCAGACTACAGGAGACCTAGCAGACACCGCATAAACAATCCGATCATCTAAACTCAGCATATGCAAAGTCCGCTGGAGCTAAGCAACGCTGACGCTCTCCAAAAGCATATAACCCGAGCAGCATCCCCGTGAAGGGTGCACCAACTGGCGGTGACTGGGTCATCGTGCTGTTCTTTACCTCACCTATCCATTGGGTTTTGACATCGTCACCACCCACTTCTTGAAATCCAAACCTGTACTGATTACCGCATTCAATGATAAGTACAATATCCGATTCCACACTTTGAAGTTCTCGATCAATGACCTTTCCTTCTGCCGGTCGAAATCGCACAACCCGTGCACCTTCCTTTGTAGGGGAGAGTCGGATCCCTAGACTGCTGTAGGTGAAGTAGTTCCACCAAACAACGGTTCCGGCTTCTGTATGTGCTGAGTTCGGAAGGAATGATAGGCGTGTCTCCCAAGTACAGTAGCGGTGCGTTTGCTTTCTGAGAAGTAGGGTTGGACAGGTGGGGACAGAAAGATTGTATGGCCCACCATGCAGACGGAGATGGTTCGGTCGTTCCGTGAGCGAATAGTCGGTTCTGACGGGTGTATCTAGAGATATAGGATTTTAACTTCGGTATGTGTAGGCGGGGAGTCATTGGAGACCTACTCTTGCGGTACCAGCCTAGCTGTAAGTCAGGGCTTGAAAAGTCGTCTCTCCATGATGCTGGAGGTTGATACTCGTAGAGGTGCGGGCTCTCGCATTGAAGCGAGATCTTCTTGCCCCCGTTGAAGATTGGCCAATCGTCCCTCCATTCGACGGGTATGAGGAAGGTTTCACGTCCTTTTGACAGTAAGTTGATACTGCACCATTCCATAGCGGAAACACCCAAACAAACTCACCGAAGACCGACTCTTCCCAGTACCCATCCCTTTTCACAGGTCGAACACCCAGCAAAACAGCCCACCATCTTCCCCGCGCATCTTCTACCAAATCCGCATGACCGGTATTTTGCACTTCGTCGGTGACTCCATTTCTCCAGAGTGGGTTATTTGGACCGACATCCCATGGACCAAATGGGCCCGTCGCACTGCGACTCACCCATTCGCAATGTCCGCTTTCCGTGCCGCCTTCAGCGGTGAAGAGGTAGTAATATTTTCCCCGTTTGAAGATGTGCGACCCCTCTGCGACGCCAGAGGTGGATTCGCGGATAAGCTTCGGCTCGGAAGTGGAAGCACCGCTGGGGAGATCGATGGTGACTATATGGATAGCGAAGTCTTTCAAATTCGCACCGGGTGTGCGGTTCAATTTGCGATACGTCGACGAAAGGTAGGCAGTGCCGTCATCGTCCCAGAATAACTTAAGAGATTGGTGTCAGTTTACAATAGCGACGTTCGTATAAGAATGTGCCGCGAGAATTACATCCTGATCAAATCCAACCTGATCGAAAAATATCGGGTCCGACCAAGAGTCCGAATCCCAGATGTTCTCGGTTTTCACATAGAAGCCCCTTGGCCAAACCCTGTCGTCGTCCTGCGGGCGATAGCGCTCGAAACTGGCAGCAATGATGTAGTAGACACCGTCATGATATCGCAGGGTGGTCGCCCAAACTCCACCGCCGGGCTCGGGGGTCTGGATGTGTATTTGACTGCGCCTGGTTAGTGCGTGGCCGACCAGGGTCCAGTCTATCAGGTCGCGGCTATGGTATATTGGGCTAGCTGGGAAATATTCAAAGGAAGACGTCACGAGGAAAAAGTCATTGTTCACACGGATGATAGAGGGGTCAGGGTTAAACCCAGGAAGAATGGGATTGTTGTACATGACGACAAGAGTATAATAGGCTTTCCTACCGAAAAAGGCATGAGACTAGGTTGACTGCGGCGAGCTAGTATTTATAGCCCGTCCCAACATCATGAGCGAGACACTGGGATTGGTGGATAAATGTTCCTCGGTCTCTGGCTTAAGAATGGGAGGGACTTGCTCAAAGAAAACAACGCGATCCTTAAGCTAGAGGGGAAGCTCTTCCAGGATTCAACGAGTACCCCGCCTGTTTGCATACGGAGAAGTCGTATGTACAGTACAGTAACCAAATCAGTAGGAGACTCAAAACTGTTCCTGCTTATCTTATCTCCCCCAATGGGTTCGGTGAAAGTATATATCTCCCGTCATTCATGTACTCTTGTTCGAGAGGGATTAGGGGCCTTTCCGTAACCTTTATATGTTCTACCGGAATCGTCAACGGCCATTTCTATTCCACCGACGCGAACCACAAGGTCACTTTGGAGTTTGGACCAGAAGTTCGTCACGCATATTAAGAGCGTGGCCTCTTCCAAATAATCAACCGCATCGTTCCAACTGATTTGCAAAAGACTATTTTCGAACAGGCACGAGGCTTTTTTCGACTTACTCTTTGAACTATAAGAGAAATATGCCAAGGGTGTGGAGTACCACCTACAGTTTCCTTCCTTTTTCGGTTACATGTCTAGAAGATAACATCTCGGACTAATGATCTCCAGATGTTAGAAAATACAACCGTGGATCTGAGCGTCCAGGGCTGAGAGTATTGAGAAAAAAAAAAAAAAAAAAAAAAAAAAAAATCGAGGCGGTTCGCAAGAATGCTTTTACCTGAGTGAGGCATCACTCCCTGTTCGCCCGAAGATCATGGCCGGGAAATTAATCGGACAAAACTAATAACCCGCTGAAGTACGGGACCCAATTGCTTTTTGCAAAGTGCACTGAGGCGTATTATATGACTATGGAATCACGAGATTTACTCCGCACCATCGCTCTAACGCTCACTCTCGGATTACTACGGTATTCGGCTTAGGAGCCCGACGCATCTACTCCGATAACCCTGAGCATAGTATGTCTGTTGTGTTGTATAGATAACGATATTATCTTTAACCAGATTGGCTAATATGGGTCGAAGACACCGGTGTCCGATCGACTTGAGGCTAAGCTACAAGCTTAGGATCGCGATTCCTTGTGAATATCTAGAACAAGCCATTAGATTTCCGGCTAACGTACGGAGTAAATAGCACCTAGAAATACGCTATATGCACCACTAGTCCGATATCACCCCCACGCGGGAGTTGCCGAATCCTTTAAGATCGCAATCCCACCGCAACGTTCTATTGAATCTCATTCGAAGCCAAAGATCGAAAAACAACATGTCCCTCCAAATCCGCTACGCAAACGAATCCGACAGCCCGGAACTAGTGCGTATCAACGCCCTCAGTTTCTCTCCCAGTGTGTTTTACCAAAATGCGTTTGAGAACGTGGAGTTTTCAGCCCTGTGCACATTGAAATATATACGATCGTTTGAGAAATTTGTAGATCCCAAATACCATGTCTTAGTTGGAACCGACTCGGAGACAGGCCAGACCCTCGCCTCCATGCGATTGATCATTCCTCTTCATCTTCAGCAAAAATCCCATTCATTCATCAAGCTCTCGGAAGATGCAGGTAGGATGGTAGCTGAACCAGAGAAATATACGCCGGAGGGAATAAACCAGCGCGTCTACGCCTCCTTTTTAAATATGCTGAAGGCTATGAGGGAGAAATATCTGGAAAAGGATGACATTGGTGTGTACCTTCTTTTTTTTTTTTTTTTTTTTTTTTAAAAAAAAAAAATTCTTTTCTATGCCCCAATCTAGTCTCTCTGAATGGGAAAGGCTAAAGAGTATACGTAGTACTGGATTACTTGGCCACAGACCCCGAGCAGCAGGGCAAAGGAGTTGGAACTCAACTATTGAAATGGGCCCTTCAAAAAGCCGACACTCTGAATGCGCGGATGTACCTTGAAGCATCGGAAGTAGGGTATCCACTGTACCAAAAGCATGGGTGGAAATTAGTGGAGGAAATCGTTCTGGATTTTGAGCCGTTGGGAGGAAGTAACAAGGGGAGGTATTACATTATGATCAGAGATCCAGTGGCTCACCCAGATCAGACTAGTTAAGCTTGTTGTGATTGTTGGAGAGTGATAGATGAGAACCTGATTGAGCGCAAAAAACGGTCGCTGGTTTTTGCGACAAATTTATTGGTCCTGAAAAATATTCCAGGCAGACCTGAAGATACGATGGTGTTCTTTTACCTCCTCAATATAATCCATGGTTTGCGGGAAGGGAGCCACGGAAAACACCTCTCAACTTGAAGGGAGTCTCCGCTTACGAGATCATCAGTCATCATTGTATAAATGGCTTGTCACTATAGCTCCGAGGAGACCAACGCTTGTTCTCTAGGAGAGGTGAGCTCAAGGGGCTAGAACAATCATACAGCAAAATATCCACGGCGGGCCACGCGCTTTGTAGTGGCATATAGTTTATCGGTAGACGAAGAGTTTGTTAGTAGTTCTGATTTTGGTATACTTCATAAGGAGGTATTACAGAGGTATCAGACACCCATGATGATACCCACCTTACCATCACACAAGCGTGGACCGTCTCGTGACCTTTAACAGATAACGTGTAGCCAATGTCATGGCATACTATAGCAGCCCTAATGGCCTTGATTCTCTTCAATATGACGTTTGATGCCTTACAGGTTTCTGGGTGTAGTTTATATGAGCAGACAAGCTTAGTAGGTGGTGATGGTGTTCCACCAGTCCAGGTACAGGACCTATTCCCTGAGAGATGCGAGGTTCACAAATATCGATATCCAAGTTCCCTTACCCCACTGAGGAACTACTCTAATAAGGGTGGGGTTAAGAGAGCTCGAGCTCTTGCTTATGTCTGCACATGCCGGGGTAACCATCTGTCAAAGGGGTTCCTAAGCTATGACTGATTCCCACGGATCGGGCCAATCAGTAGCTGGCATTGTGTTTGACAGATCGAACAGTGGTTTCCGGAAAATACTTGCAGGAGCTTTGCGCCAATCTAAGTTGTTGGTCAACGGGCGATGTTTGGGTCCAGATCCTTGGGTCGATGTGCAGTCGATTGGCCCTTTTATCTGGAGTGGTATTGGGTTTTCATGGCGATGATAAAGCTTGATTGATCTATGACTGTGGCAAATGCTGATGAGTTTACTCGTCGGGTCAGTGGCTGATTTATGCGTTTATTCTAGCATCCTAATTCTTTTCTTGGAATTAGCATACCATTTGTGACTGTGCCACCAATGTATAAAAGCCCACGCAGACGAGCAGAGCGTTTGTTAATCAAACGAACCCGGACTTTAAACTTGAATTTTAATTTCCCCCCACTCAATGCGAGTGGTACTAATGAGATTTGCCATCAATGATTGCCAAGGCTGCGCAGCTTCTCGGAGTCGTTATATCGTTTCTCGTCCTTGCTGTGGGGATCGTAACTCTACGATGCTACGTGCGTCTACGAATGAAAAGGTGCTTTGGGATTGATGACGGCCTATCGGCCGGAGCCCTGGTAACTTGCCTGATTTTGAAGTGTTAGTCAAAAGTTCAAATAGGCTGATCCTCTCACTTTCAAGGTGTTTTTCATTGTATCAGCCAGTGCTTTGGTTGAAGGTGTTCGGACTGGGAGTTTCGGGCGCTGTTGGATGGATATGTCACCAGAGGTCCTTCTCAAAGGCTTGAAGGTAGGAGAAATGCGCCCGTATATCTTGGAGTGAGGCTTATCTTAGTGTCCAGCTTCTGTTCCTTTACGAGTCATGCTACGTGGCTGCAACCACTGCGGTCAAATTCGCCGTGGGGCTATTTCTCTTACGGTTCTGCATTGAGCGGTATCATAGATGGATCATTTATGGCATTTTCGCGCTTTTAACCTGTCTAACTATTTTCATCTTTGTCTTCATTCTCGTCCAGTGTCAACCGCCGTCTTGGTTCTGGAATCAAGCAATCAACCATGGTGGCAGTTGCAACGGAATGGGCCTCATCAAGGCTGCGTACGTGCATTCGGCCATTACCGCGTTTAGCGATACGACCCTTGGATTGCTGCCCATCCTCCTCGTTCGTAGCCTACACTTACCCTGTTACGTCAAATCCTACGTGGCGGTCATTCTTGCACTTGGCTCATGGTAAGAAACCCAGTCCTCGGTAAGGAACATGCTTATGGGTTTGCCTTTTCATCATAGTGCCTGCTTTGCCACAATAGCGAGGATCTGCTACGTTCACGACCTCACTGATCCGAAGAATCTTTTCTACCATACCGGTATCATATGCTGGTCTTATATTGAAGTCGGCGTCGCACTGATTGCCTCGTCTGCCGCGACCCTGCGGCCACTTCTAGACCAGGTCGAATGCTGCGTGCCTCGATGGCGACGGTTGAAATCCCATCAGTCCACCTTCGATACTTCGAACCACCATGATACGTCCTCGGCAACCTTTGAGGAAGCGCTCCAACGAGAGAACATGGGTATGAGTCTTGCCCCTATAACCCCTATGTCTTCCATATCACACGTATAAGTGTACCTAAACGACGGATTGCAAAAGTAGATATTCTTCCCCCTCTGTCTGTTTTTCCCTTCTCTCCAGATGATTTAGCCTCCCTCAAGGTAGATGGTAGGGACACTATGTGCAACATGGCGCGGTGCTTTGCGTTCCATGCGGATGGTGGGTTTATACATTGTAGAATAGCTTGTAAGATATTCGTATTAAGCGATATCAAAACGATCAGATATACGATCCTATCAAACTATCTCAACGGCCTATCTAGGTGGGAATCATGAGGTCATTTATATGTGTCCTGATTTACCATAGTAGTCAACAATCCACGTACTACCGCAAGTGGTCAATTCACCAGTCATATATGCCAGGTGCCTGCGATACTAGGAAATTTCATGGTATTCAATATATATATATATATATATATATATATGTATATATGTGTGTATATATGTGTGTATATATGTGTGTATATATCTTCGAAGAATAATGGGTGGTGTAGAATTGTCAAAGCAAGTCAACCTTACCAAGACAACCCTCCCTTTCCACCCCTGCTCTTCTCTTTCTTTACTATTTGCCTTTCCCACTCTCGTTCTTCCCTCTCAGCTGGGAAAAGGGGAAGGGTAAAACAGGGTGGAGTTCCCGACGGAGGTTCGCCAACTTCGCCCGCCCGGAATTTTCGTGGGTCACACGGGGAAAAAGCCGGGGAAGTTGGACGGAAGAATCAATTGAAATGATTGTGATTATTGTCGGAGCTCAAGATGATGCTTTTTTGGGAGAGTGTGGTGGATCTCAGTATCCCGTCTTCACATGTGATTGTGGGTTCCGCCTCTATGGCGAGTAAAAGGGAAAAGAGGGATCAGCCCCGATTGTTCACATTCTTATCCTTTGGGATTGAAGCTTCTGAGACTATGCTGGGGGAGATCATGTGAAGCAGAGGGAGGCTTCGTCAACTAGCACGTGTCACACAGCCTTAGGAATGATGATTAATTAGCCGTCGTTTTCTCGCTTCTCCTTTCTGCCTTTCTTCCGTTATGCACGGTAATCGGAGCAAACGAAGGCGACTGCCCACATGGTAATCATTCCGAAATAACAATTAGCCACAATAATCATAATAATACCTGTTCTATTGTCTTTAATGTTTTCGTTCGTGACTGGATACCGATCTGATCACGTGCCCCACCGAGTTACGGTCCACAATGGTAGAGTAAGTAGACTGGACGTTTAGGATTCATGGTTACAATTACAAATATAGAAAAATTACTCCCTGTTCTTCCTGATATTATCCCATCGGGGAGAGAACATTTACTACCTCTCTCAAGCTTGTCGGGTTGTAAATTTAATACTTCTTTTCCCTGGCCCTGATCGTTATCAGATAACCAGGCAGACCAATCATCAAACACGCTCAGACTCTGATCGCTGTCGAACTGCTGCACGTCGTGCCGACTTCGGGACTGATCCCTGTACCCAGACAAGTTAAGTTGCCTTAGTGCTGCGCAGACCTGGAATGAATCATCAACAGTAAGGAAGATGACTCGGCATCATGATTTCCGAGTTGTCGTCGGCCGAGAAAAGTTACGGCTCCTGCTGACTTGGCCATTTGCCTCTTGCCGGAGAACGTAAGGCACCAAGGCCACCACCGACACCGACTCAAACAGCCGAGGTTTCTGCCCCATTGGGCAAGCGCCGCGTTCACCCTCGGTCTCTGTCTGGGGGGCATTTTCCCCGTGGAGTGTTCTTATAAGTCATGCACTTCGCCTCCCCCTCTCTTTCTGTCCAAATCTGTCTCTTTTTCCCACGAACCTCTTTTCACTTTCACCAATTGGACGTAATCCCATTCTTTACACAACGTCCACGAAATGCCTTCTCCTCCTCCCGCCTGGGTCCAGGCTTTGAAGCCGGCCGAGCCGCAAGGCTCGAGCCTGCTGGCGCAAGAACGTGCCCAATCCAACGTCGACGTTGACAAGTTGGCCGAATTATTACACACCAAGAACGCGCTAGATAGACAACAGCAAATTCTCTCCATCTTACAGTCGGAAAAAGTGTTCGACAAGTCAGAGAACTACACTCTGGGCCGGACGGAAAAGATTCAGAGAGCATTGGCCAAGGCGAAGCGCCTCCAACAACTGGCAGTGCAACATAAATGGTCGCAGGATGACTACTATATGGCCAATGATCTCCTGAGTGAGCCAACTCCTTACGGTCTTCATGCCAGTATGTTCTTGGTAAGTACACTGGAGTGGCAACTGACCGACACACCCGCGCGATCCGCGACTAACAGCTATTTGCGCAGGTCACTCTACGGGAACAGACTACCCCAGAACAAAAGAAGCTCTTCCTCGAACCCGCATCAAAGTACGAAATTATTGGATGTTACGCACAGACGGAATTGGGCCACGGCTCAAACGTTCGCGGCTTGGAAACAACGGCCACATGGAACCCTGACGACAAGACTTTCACCATCCACTCTCCTACCCTCACTGCGTCGAAGTGGTGGATTGGCTCCCTGGGTCGCACCGCCAACCATGCTGTGGTGATGGCTCAGCTGTTTATCGGGGGCAAGAACTATGGCCCCCACCCGTTTGTTGTCCAGATTCGTGATATGCAAACCCATCAGCCGTTAGAGAACGTCTATGTTGGAGACATTGGTCCTAAATACGGTTACAAGTGAGTGGCCCTTGAATAGCTCTTCACATTGGGAACCCTACTGACTTGACCAGCACGATGGACAATGGTTTCCTGCTGTTCAACAAAGTCAAGATTCCCCACGTTAATATGCTGGCTCGTTTCTCGCGCGTCGATAAGGAGACCAACAAGTATATGCGCCCAGCATCGCACTCTCTCTTGTATGGTACCATGACCTGGGTCCGCTCCAATATTGTCCTGCAGGCCGGCACTGTGCTGGCTCGTGGGGTCACCATCGCCACCCGCTACTGTGCTGTTCGGCGGCAGTTCCAGGACCGCGATGCGGGTAACGAGGCTGGAGAAAACCAGGTCTTGAACTACAAGATGGTCCAGATCCGTCTCCTTCCATTGCTGGCTTCCATGTATGCTCTGCACTTTACCGGCCGGGGTATGATGCGGCTTTATGACGAGAACCAGAAGCGGATGAAGGGCGCCGTTGAGGCCAGTCAGGACAAGAGAGGCGCAGGCCCTGAGCAACTGAGGGCGGGTGCAGACCTGCTGGCGGATCTTCATGCTACCTCTTGCGGTCTGAAGGCGCTGGCTAGTACCACCGCCGGAGAGGGCCTCGAGGTGTGCCGTCGGGCCTGTGGTGGTCACGGATACAGCAACTACAGCGGTATTGGGCCGTGGTATGCTGACTATCTCCCCACATTGACCTGGGAGGGTGATAACTACATGTTGACCCAACAAGTTGCTAGATATGTAAGTATACCAACACTCAGTTATCCTTTTGTTGGAATCCAAATGCTGACCGTAGTAGCTTTTGAAATCTGCACGTGCTGTTCTTGCTGGAAAGGGAAGCAACAACGACACATCCCAGATTCTGCAGTCATATCTCGCTCGCCGGGAGAAGGGCGCTTCGTTCGACATCCTGGAAGAGGACCGCGACATTGTTGCCGCCTTTGCCTGGCGTACCGCACACCTCACTTTTGAGGCATTGAAGCGCAGAGACGTTGAAAAGCGGTCATGGAACAGCCTGCTTGTCGACTTCTGGCGCCTGTCCACCGCTCACTCACAGTATCTGGTCGTTAAGAACTTCCACGAGGCGGTCAACTCTCCCGAGCTGACATCGGAGTTGGACCCCGAAACCACAACATTGATGCACAAGCTCTTCCGACTGTATGCCTTGCACACTCTGGAACGCGAGGCCGGCGAGTTCTTCTCATCCAGTGCCGTCACGACCCGCCAGATCTCGCTGGCTCAGTCGAATGCTGTGATGAAGCTTCTAGACGAGATCCGGCCCCACGCAGTCCGCCTCGTGGATGCCTGGAAGTTCCCTGATTGGCAGCTTGACAGCAGTCTAGGCCGCTACGATGGTGAAGTCTATCCGGACCTGTTCCGTCGTGCCTGCCAGAACCCGGTCAACGACCTGGTCTTCGATCCATACCCATGGAACGCCAATGTGCTGAAGGAGAGCACGCCCAAGAGTAAGCTATAATTGATATGTGATTTGTAATTTTTCGGCGATATATCTTGTGGTTACGTTTGCATTCATGTACAGTTTTGGGTTTTTGGGAATGATTTTGCTATGACGGGGTAACATAGATATAGACTATCTATAGATTAGAACAATAGACCCTAGATGAACTTCACAGCTTAGCATTTGGCAGTTGCAAACGTGCAGAATACGGAATAACACACGGAAATAGCCGACGTATACTAGGGCAAAGGGGAAAACACCTCGGTTCTCCGCGAGAGTCAATAATAGGTTTGACTCTCCCCAGAGCTACATGCCTTGCTGTGTGGATTTGTCACTTTTTAGAGGTGAATAGGGGATTCTGTATAGATTCCATGCTTGCATAATTTAAATAGAACTGCTGGGAAGACACAAACACAGCATTTTCACGTCTGCCAATTCATATCGAAGGCGATGCACACCATCAAACCATCAATATATGTATCAAACCACTAATATAGACCTGTAGATATTTTTTATAAGGATGAGGATATTATGCAATCTATTCTATTCTATATACATCTATCTCTTTATATTCCCCAGATTCATCACATCGCATCGCATCATAGACTAATCTAACCTAATCAAAGATCGACGGCTTATAAACCGAAGGATCAATATAAGGAGTCCCACCACGTCTAGTAAAACCCCAACGAATCTGATTTGCCATCGAGATCTCCGTATCAAGATGCTGCGCGAAAGTCCACGTCAGACCGGGGTCCTTCTGGAATCCACGCCCCACAAGCGCCACATCGATCCCCTCCTCCTCGAGTACCTGGTTCGCCTGCTTGCCGTTGGTGATGGCGCCCACGGCCGAGACGAGCAGCCTATCGCCCACGGCCTTTTTCACAGCCACGGCAAAGGGGACCTGGAATAGAGGGCCCGACTTGACTTTCTGCGCAGCGTGCACGCCTCCCGTGCTGATGTCAATGAGGTCCACCGCGCCCTGGGCGGCGAGGGCCTGCGCGAATTTGATTGTCTCGTGGACGTTGAAGCTCTGCTCCGGAAGGATTTCCTCGAGCCAGTCGGAGGCCGAGACACGAATGAAGACGGGGACCTGCGGGCCCACGGCGTCACGGGTCACCTGGGCGATTTCCAAGGATAATCGGATCCGGTTCTCGAAGGAACCACCGTACTCGTCGGTTCTGCTATTGGCCGCCGGGGAAAGGAACGAAGAGAGCAGGTATCCGTGCGCGTTATGGATCTCGATGAAGTCCGATCCCGCGGCAATCGCCCTCTTACAAGCCGCCGCCCAGGCGCTCTTGAACTCCTCAATGTCCGCCTTGGTCATGGCCTTGGGCTGAGGGAACGAATCTGCGAACGGGATATCAGACGGTCCCTTAACGTTATTGGGCCATCCGCCGACTTGCTCAGAGGCCACGACCGCTGTCGACATCCACGGCGGACAGGTACTGGCTTTCCGGCCGGCGTGCGCGATCTGCACGCCAATTTTCTGGCCCTGGCTGTGTACGAACTCGATTACGCGCTTCATGGGCGCGATGTGGGAGTCTTTCCAGAGGCCTACGTCTTGCGGTGTGATGCGGCCTTCGGGCTGGACGGCTGTGGCTTCGATCATCATGAGACCTGGGCCGCGCTGCGCGATTCCGCCCAGGTGGGCTACGTGCCAGTCTGTCATGTGGCCATCTTCGGCGGAGTATTGGCATAGAGGGGCTAGCTTTGGGGGTCTGTTAGTTGGCTTTCCTCTGTTGAGCTGGTCCTAGAGGCGTTAGGTGGACTTACGCCTAGGCGGTTCTGGAAGGTCACGCCGCGGACGGTGAAGGGCTGGAAGAGTTTGGGGATCTTCTGGCCGTTCGTCTGCGGGTTGGCGGCTGTTCCGGCGGGGGGACTCTGGGCGGGAGTGAAGTAGGAAATGCCCTGAGCGGGCTCGACGTAGTCGGGTTGATGCATTGTATCTGTATTAGGTATGTATAATTTGGCCTATTGGTCTACTGATGCTGGGGAGAAAACGGGTCACTATAAATACTACGTCCTGACCTGGATCGAAAGTGAAGGAAAGGTGCTCCACCGGTCTTGATTTCAAATCCCCGCCGCGGCGGATATACTTAAAATGTAGATTGTGACGACAGGAGCCGTAGGAAATGCCGAACGTTAGGGTAGTACGATCCCAAACTTGGTCGTGTTATATTTTTTTTTACCCATCGACAATGTCGTCCGATTGGACCGTGATCCGCAATACATATTCCACTCGACCTGGTTCGGAGGACTGACCCTCTTTTTTTCGGCTCTATCAAAATCTCTCAGGGCTTGGGAGCGGAGATCAGGCGATTGGTGGGGAGGAAAACTAGAGGATTTATCAGCAATCGGACGAATGATCTGAAAGTCTCCGAGGTCACGTGATGCTTGCCTTTTTGGGGATGGAGCGGTTGGACATGGCCAGCATAGTATGTCGATAGACTGATATTCTACAGGTGTCGTCGATTGTCGGACGCTGTTCATGGGACCGTTATTGCTAGGCTATGGCTCTTCAGATTTTGCGCGAATAACCTGCATCCTGCGCCTCTATACTTTGCCAGTCTGCATGGCTGCTCGTGGGGTACCATCGTCAGACAAAACGCTCGGGTTTGTGTCCTGGTCTGAACCCAGTCTGGAGTATCTCTACAGGATACATGTTATTCAGAGCTTTGGTGTAGTGATCATGTGGAATCCTTCCTACAAGCCACCTCGCCAGCCCAAGCTGCCGTAACCGAGATAATTCCGAGATCTCCCACCGAGACACTTCAGTGTATATCTGGGAGTTATGTGAGCCAGTGCATCAACCGCATCGGATAGTCGCGTTCACCGCTACACTCAAATTCAAAATCGGCGCCCGAACTTACATATTTCAACTGTTTCCGTAGCGTTTTCCCCAAGAGATGCTATGCTACGTATGCTATTTGTACCATATACACTTGTAAAGTGCCGTCAGCATGCAAGAAGCCTGTCAGTGCCTGGTATGAAAGATGCATGGGAGCTTCCAGCTACCATGTAAACCAGTCAAACAGTACATATATATACATGGATATGAAGGATAAGGGACACCTCTATGATATTGTTACTTGGCTTGTCAACAGCAGCCTTAGTTACCCTGTGCTAGACACCTCGCCCGTATTGAAAGCTAACTCAATGTTGTTCAACAGGTAGACTACTCCGTGGTGATTGTTGCCTTGAGGGGACGACGTACAGCTCTCTTAATAACGATTACATTTCTCAGCCGAAAACACGGGAATGAACTCCATTATACATCTCTTTGCTAACTCTCTTTACATTCCTTCGCCCATGTGGGGCCGCGGGACGAGGCGTCAGTCTAACCATAACACCAACGAATTGCCTGTAGAGCACACTAAAAAGATCATTCAAGAAGCATTTCCAAAAAGGTACTTTACCTAAAGTCTTGCTTGGTATGAGAAGTCTCAATGGACTGTTCCTTATCATACCCAGCCATTGGCTAAATATGATTCAGTTTATCTCCATAGTATGCCGTACTGTAATATTTGTGTGGGTATACATGAAATGGTATTAATACGTAGGGAGTGATTGCAATGGCAAGGATAAACCCGAGTTTATTATGGAATGGGTTTAAGGCTACTAGAGTCATGAAGTCTTTAATCGCTTGGAAGAGAAACCAGGATTTCCCTCTGAAAGTTGGAATCGGCTCCTCTGTTCCAGCAACATCTGGTCAATCTTATCATGTCCATTAGCGGAAGCAGCCTTGAGGGCATTTCTATAATGCCCACCCTGGACGTTGACATCGGCTCCTAAGTCTAACAGCGTTTCCACAGCCTCATAGTGTCCATTCCATGAGGCCCACATTAGAGAAGTAGTCCCATGGCTATCTGCCTTGTTTACGATATCCTCTGCTGTCCTGATGAGCAATTGCCATATATATGCATGCCCGTTGAAAGCTGCGAGGTGTACTGTGCCTATTGTGGCCCGTAAAGCGGTATAACGGCCTGCTAGAGTCTTGGGAACCATAATCCAAATCTTGGCGCAGTGGTGTTGTATAGGGCATATGCCAGATCAATAATTTGTCGCTGTCGTGATGAGGATCCCTCCCGAATATGATCAGGCCAGTGCTCTGCTTAGTATGATAGAAAACATTAAATATTAGACACAGTCTGTTCTTGATAGTCCTCCATGTTATCTATTAGCAAATATTGGATACAGATTTGCGACAACTGGGTCTCAAACGTCTTATTAATTGAATGAGTATTTTAAGATAGACCCCGCCGCTTCTTTATTTGATTCTGGCAGTTTATCTCCCGCCTGATCCTGACTCTATTGTAGCTTCTCAAGCTACGTCTTGCCTATCTGCCTGTATATATAGCCTGACCGGTAGCCTGCCTGCGTATTAGCTCTGTTGGCTTGCCTGCCCGAATTCGCACCCTGACAATCAACAAATAATTTAGCTGCGACCAATTTCCCATAGCCAGGGTCAGCTATTATTCAGAGATGATCATTACTATAACTCTTTCACTAGAGAAAATTAACTTAAATACTGTAAAGCCTATTAACATATTCCGGGTATTCAATTCAGATTAATATTCTTATACTATTTATAGTTTAATCTCTTAAATGCGAGGTGATACCAGTGCTGCTAGTTAGTCTACTCTAACCCACAATTAACTGGTTTCTTTGATCTCTTTATTCAAATTGTCTAGTGAGCGTATAGAGTACCACGTAAGCCCAACCACACCCTCGTTGAATACTAGGCTACTGTATACATGACTTCTGGCAAATATCCGTTGCTAGGTATTCTTGGGTAACCTGATCCCTTGGCAAATATTCTAGCAGTTCCTTAATATATATTGCCGCTATAAAAGCTGCATATCCTTACTATACTTATTTTTATGGGAGTCGGGATAGTCCCAAACATCACGGATAATTATACAGGGAATGTCCAACATTAATCCCGCTATCTCTATTTTAAAGCAAAGTACCTCTGTTTCTAAGTGCAGCTTCTCCCTTGTCTGTCTATACCTAATAACAGCGTTTCCAGATGCAATAATTCCATAAAGGGATCGTGGGCTGTAATACTTGTACTTATCTTGCGACTCCTACTATTCTTTTGGATATTTATTATAATTATCTACTATAACTTGGTGATTATGCTTGAATTAGGACAATCAATCGCTCTGCGAGATAGGCCGAGTAAAGATTTTCCGAGTCTATAGGGTTCTCTTGATCGCGTGGTGGAGATATATTGGAAGCCGGGGGTTGTTAGATAGCTCGGCAGCCCTTGAGCACGGATTATAGTTAACAATGATCAAGAAGGGTTGTTTAAAGACCTAGTTGAATATATATATATATATATATATATTATCTACTCTAACCTCGTCTATAATATATTACAGAATACCTCTACAAGTGCCTGCTGGATAGCCAGTTACAATATTACTAAGTTACATCTTATGATCCGTGGATGGAATCCCTTCCCCCCAACGTTAACTATTAATCTAACTGGTAACAAAATATTCGAACTATATTATTCACGATAATAGTAGCTGATATAGCTCCATACTCTCCTATGGGTAGGTAAGTAATAACAATATAATATTTGCTGATTTGGCTTAGCATATAGATGTTCGGATCTGTTATGTCCTGTTCAAGAAGAAGTCCAAAATTCTCGTCAAGCATCTCCTTGGCTGCAGCTGCTTCGATGGGCAGTGCGAAAATCCATCTGATCTGAAACGTCTCGAGGAGAACATGGCATAGCTACTGTGGTCTAAAAAAAGGTAAGAGTTTTGCGCTGCTCTGAACTGAGACATGTTTGTTAACCTTGCTTGTAGCTCCAGAAAACAGTCTGAAAGGATATCAAAAGGATATTCACATCGGCATCAACTGCCAAGCTTCAGCCTTGTGTTGACGTGAATGTAACGCGGGGCAACAAGCTCAGGGTGACAAGGCACAAAATATCATTGGAGTACTATATAGACATCCTATATCAGTAAAAACCTTGATTGGTCCCTGTTGGATGGAAGCCAGCAATCGTTGTTAAAACTTGAAGCTCCTTTCAAAAGCCACCGGTAGAAGTGATCAAGACAGTAAATCTTGAACTTTTATTTCCCCATAACCCTATTATCATCATCTGGGGAAGCCGGAAAGCCAATCATACCCGCCGACAGTCCGAGATGCTAGGTCTTGGCATCGTTTTCAAAAGAAGTGTTTCTGGGATCCCATTCAGCTTGGGTTAAATTCATTTCAGATAGCATCACGTGGTCTGGCAGTCGTGCAGGTGGCACGGAAAGCCTGTTGTTGTCTAGGGCAATTCAACTGTAGACTGACCCGTGGAGTATCGTGTCGCTCGAAATGAGCCGACATATGGCGAGAAAAGGAAATTGGACCAGTATGCGGTGTGAGCATTCTTTATTCAAGCGATAATCTTCCCATGCCGATTGCTATTTGGGTAAACAGGAACTACCTGTATCTCCCCTCGTCTGGACTTTATAGCTGTCCCATAATTATGAGTGATGGCGCTGCACTTATTCCAAGACTGGAGCGCACGGAGCTGAGCGCGGATCACCCCTTCTAGGAAGCTTATCAGAACTGAATGTCCGAGAACAAAGGGTATTTGCTATCCGGCCAGGCCAGTGGACGACCGAAAAAAGGCAACGAAGAGCAATGTTCAAAACACGAAGATTCGGCCCACGTACACGACTTAACGCACAAGTTGAAGGTCTCAAAAGGTCTGATAAGGATGATTATCCTATCAGCGGATTCAGGTTCTTTTCTTTCGCTACGGATGCTAACGTCATCCTTTTGCTCGCCAAAACTCGCCGGGAAAGCTTAGCATGTTCCCCGCGCTGCTGCGAAAGACCGTCATTAGGAAGACAACAACCCTTGAGTCGTTACGAACAACGTTCATAATCATTGGAGAACAAGCAGTGAGCTAAGAAGATCACCGGCGGCAAGTTAGAACTTAAGGACATGCGGACGCGTCTGATCGGCCTCCCCGACCATGGTTTGACGGCGATCGCATATTGCTCGCATTTTCGCCATCGCTGTCATAGGCGTGGTCGAGAATAACGGCGTCTCCACCACTGCGGTGCATCTGCCCACAACAGGCAAGCAGTCATAAGTAGTATTCCGGGCCTTGGCCGAAACCATTAAAGCGGTAATTAGTAAGAGTTCGACTGCAGGGATTCGAGAATGCCAAGAGGCGTTGGGTGGGATTGGATACATGGATGCATCGAACGAGCCGGAGTTTAACATGGCTCTCCTGCCGAACGCCGCGGTGAACTCCGGGGCCATGAAACGTGCTGGCTAGTGAGCTCATTCGCTTCCTCATTAAAACATGACACCCTGATTATCTTCTCATCTTGGTTTAGCCGCGCTTGGGGGCTAATCAGGACGTCTGAGCTTGCGAGTGCATTGGCGCAAGCATGGTCTGACTTCATCTCTAACGTTGAGAGCCGCCGGGTAAACCGCGGTTTCTTCTTGTGGCCGGTCGTCGAGTTGTCTTCCCCCTGACCTGGATCTTCTGGGTTGTGCTCCTTGCTCTAGATGCTGAGCCGGATATTAATAGCGTTGCAACAGATATTGCGCGACGTTGGATCCTGTGCGAGGAAGGCGGTGTTGGCGAGTTATCAGCATGCAGCATACTCCGACCGCACGGCCTTCATCGGTGACTAACGGGCACCTGCGCCAGGACTGTCGCATTTTTTGGGAGGTGGAGTCGCCAGCAAAGCAAGTACCGGACCATCGGGCATTTCAGGGGAATGACTCTCAGCTGTGAGTTGCAGGATGCATATTATTAATGGTGTTATTATTATTATTATCCTCTCACTAGGCTGCGAGAGAGTAGAACCTTGATGGCCCACTTCGCGGTCGAAGTCTTAGTATATAAGGTTTGTAGCCATCGTAGCCAAACCCATTAAGCCGCTTTTCTACACAAAACAGGGCGTCAAACGAAGTAAAGTAGAAAGAAAGGGAAAAGGGGAAGACAGTGAAAGGTGAACACTAACGCCCGCAACGCTTACCATCACGGTCCGACGTCGTAGATCTTCCCTTCCCAGCCCATTTCCCTGTTTTATGCATGCTGGCCACAAGTCTAGTATGCGATAAACTTCCGGCTGGCCACCAGATCGATTCTCTCATTGGCAGCGGGGAAAATCGTTGCGATGAGTCTCCAGTGGCTTCCAACTCTCCATCCGATTTCCTTGAAGGATTGTGGATCCGCTGTCTGGTGACAAAAACAGAGGGAACTTGTCGCAAATCAGTTTCCTTCTAGGGTGCGGGACGTTAGCTTTAGTCTCAACGCTCGTTAGTTTGATAGGGTCTTGGATGTCAGGTGCAGCCCCCATGTGTCGGGAAAAACGAACCCAAATATATTTATAGTATTATTTCTGAGTGATAACCAATTACCCAATTAATTCTTCTAATTTGTGAATGAGTTGATCAAAAGGAGTCACACACTTTCTCTTCATATTATTGGCTGTAACGAATACTCATTCCCACCCCTAGCTATAAAACTGCATCGTTATAGCGAGACTAGCGGGAGGATCGGCTCCGATTCTGATCTGAAAATAATTAAAAGAAGGGAGGGGGAAAAAACCATGCGGTGAGTAGAGAACGAATGAGGAATAGTACTTTTCGAAGGATCCAGCGTGGGGAAAGAGGATGGAAATAAACCAAAGAATGAGAATACAATAAAAGCCAAAATTCAACGGTCGCCCCTATTCATCACTGTCGTGTCCCCTGTCCTCGCTCCCGGCTATGCATATCCTCTCCCTGTTTGCACTTGTTCCTTTGTCCTCTTAAATCGCAAAACCCCGACTGATCGCTGCCAAAATGGCTTCGTATCAGGATGAGTGCCAACAGGCAGCTGCGGCTGACTTACGGATATTAGCGATGTATCCGGTACAGGCCGATGTGAGTTGACGCAACGGAGAGTTGTGGGTGATGAGGATGTGGTGAATGTGGTGGCTAACGCCACAATCCCAGGATGAGTTCGAAGACTCCATATATAATGACTCGTGCGTTCCACCATGCTGTTATTTGATGAGTCTTTATCCTAACGAGGTTCTCAGTTTAAACTCGGCCAGCTTTGTTACCTCTTTGAACTCCAGCATCCTCAACTATAAGTAGGTGATATATGACCAAGTCCTGGTTCTTGAAGGAGTATCTAACAAGAATGGCATTGCAGATACGAGGTTGGTAGCCTGGTCTGGGAGGGATCTTGTGATGCTGACTCCAGCTGCAGAATGGCCGCCGTTATCATGCGTTTCGCGAAGGTACCTATCTAGTGGTAAGGACTCTTAGATCATCTTCAACCAATTTACCAAGAGGGGTGGCTGATACTGAACAGCCAAACGATGAGGAAGAGCAAGACCGTATGGATCTGGCCCATCACGTATATCGCTTACTCCTCGGAGGGGCTCTCTATCTTGCTCCTATCCAGGCTGGCATCCAGCGGGTACTAGACCTCGGCACGGGAACTGGTATATGGGCGATTGACTTTGCAGAGTAAGCATATTGCAAGCCCATGTTTGACCTCGGTGGCTAACCTTGTCGCCTTAGTGAACATCCCTCTGCACAAGTTACTGGGACAGATTTAAGTCCTATTCAACCTCGATGGTAATTGGTTCTCATCACTTCACACTACCTGCAACTAATGTTCGTACGTTAGGGTACCACCAACTTGCACATTTGAGATCGATGACTATGAGTCCGATTGGTTATATACCAGACCATTTGATTTCATACATGCCCGTGAACTAGAAGGCTGCATAGGCAACGATGTGAAGTTCTTCAAACAAGCATTCAAGCACTTGGCTCCTGGAGGATACTTTGAACTGCAATCGGTTACATCGCCTTTCCTGTGCGATGATGATACGCTTCACAAGGCTGTCAACGCCAACCTGTGGATGGCCAATCTTGTCGAAGGCTTGAGGAAGTTCGGCAAGCCGATTGACAATGTCGGCGGATGGAAAGATAAACTTAAAGATGTCGGCTTCGTAGATGTACATCAGGAAATCCGTAAGGTTAGTAGTGTCTGGAAGATTATAAAGTGTAATATCTCTCCTCTCTTGTCGCTAACTGATGAATTGCAGCTTCCAATCGGACCGTGGCCGAAGGATCCGAAGTTGAAGGAGATCGGCAAATATCAAGGCGTCCAGGAACTGCAAGTCATTGATTCCTATACACCCGCTCTATTCTCACGTATCCTTGGGTGGAGCCAATCCGAGATCCAGGTCTTAATAGCTAAGGTCAAGGGTGAGTTGAGAGATCCGTCAATCCATCTGTATCTCCCTGTTTATTTCATATATGGGCGAAAGCCTTTATGATTTTGATTGGCATCTGCCTCCACCTTTCTTTTTCACTTTCTTTCTTTCCTTTGTCGCCGTTCTTTTCCCTGAATTATCTTTCTGATACCAAGCGCTTGGGCTTCCCCATCTTTCACATCAAACCCTTGTATAGTCGGGCAACATGCCCAGGAATATCGATTTGGCGTTTCTTTCTTTGCTTAACGTTGCCATGGTTTGCAAGTCAAGGGCATTTACGCATTATTGTCTTGAAAATGAAGAAACAGAAATGATTTAACGTTCCATGAAAGTGCCCATGACCTTTTACTCTCCCATACGACGTGCTTGTGATTGTCTGCTCTGGGAGGATGCACGTCTCAAACATAGGCTTCTACATGGTCAGGATGATCAAACCGGAATACCATGCGGTTCCAAGAAAGAAAGTAAAGGCTAGGATTGTTGCCTTGATGTTCTGCAGCATTCCATACACTTGTGCGCACGGGATCGGGGTATGTGGATCCAATCGGACAACAACTGACAACCTTATTCAAGTAATCTTCACGAAACACTCGAGACGCCTGTCGACTGCACCTATGCCAAGGGTGGCATTGCTGGTGCCTTATTTATCGTTCTGTGAGATGGCACATAGCCTTACCAAGAGGGTATCCTGAAATTGACACCCAGTATGGGTGTATGGATTTGGAGATCTGCCCTACAGCCTAGAATAATTGCTGGCCACGGATTTGAATGAATAGTTTAGCTTACCAAAGATCATTGCCCGTACAGATTTCCCAGCGGCTGGATCTACGTCGCTGTATCCTCAAATAAACAGATGGCAATTATCTGTAAATCCCGAGGGACTCTATGGGTGTTGCCTCTCAGACAAGATTGCCGAGCCTTGGCAGCGGCGTCATGGTCGTAAAGAGAAGGTCTGTTTCCCAAAACATAGGATAATGGCAGTCTGGCGTGGCTTTTCAATCATGCATACCTCCAAGGTTGAAGGACTTGTGCTTGCTTTTGCTGCGTTGTACTACACCTATGACCAGTCGCTATATGCAACATTATTTCGGGACCAATATCTCTATAGACATGATACGACCGTGGATTACGCGGTCCCAACATCGCTTATTGTTCCTTGCTTCAAAGGCTCGCGTGGCAATCTGGCCGTTCGACATAATACTGATAGCGCCGATTGCCTCCATGAAGCCAAACGGGAATCTACCCCGTGAACGACCCGAAATGATCATATGTCCCTCTTGATGGAAAGTTTCGCCGTTTCCACTCAAAGCTCTGGGCATTTACTACTTGACATATGACATAGGCCGTGCCATTAATCTCCACATATCTTGCAACCTCAGCGAGTCGTTAGGGCTGGCGGGGCACAAGCCAAGCCTTGGCTGGCTTTCGGATTTCCTAATAGGACGAATCCGCAGGCATACTGCCAAGTCCGCCATGACGGAACCAATGGAGATGGAGTGGCACAGTGTAGCGGAACTACGAAGTATTGGAACCCTCTTGCGCTCACCACACTCTCGTATTCACAGATTCTCCACGTCGGGAAGATGGTGCAGACTATATCTCTAGTCAGACTCCGGGTATAAAACTGGAGGTGTTTCCCGGGGACTCCAGCCCGGGGTAAGACCCGCAGAACCAACATGTCAATCTCCCTGGAGGCTGACAAGCAGTTGGGGACGCTATTCCCCAACTCCGAACATATTCAAGATGCATCGTCTCATAACACCAAGAACAAGGATCAGGGCATACGGAATGAACGCGACCGTGCGAACCCTGGAAATGGAATCCTGAAATACTTTGGTTGGATGGGTGACTTACCCGAGTGGAAGATAGGCGGAGAGAAGCTTAAGGGCCGGTCCCTGAACTGGTCCATTGGGTTTATCGCTAGTTTCGGGTTTCTGATGTTCGGGTACGATCAGGGGGTGCTAAGCGCGCTACTCACGCTCGATTCTTTCCAGGAGACCCTCTCCCTCATGACTCCTCGCGAGAAGTCAAACGATCTTTGCTGGTTGAACAACCCGACCAACACCATACCCCACCCCACGCACTGCAGAGGCGATGCAAACACTCAGGCAGCGGGAGTTGCTATATACCAAATCGGATGCTGGCTGGGCTCACTCGTGATTCTGGCCTACGGGGAGCGCTGGGGACGGAAATCAAGTACATTCTGGGGCTCTCTCATTATGATCATCGGCACGATAATGCAAGCTGCCTGCTTTGAGTACGGCTTGTTCGTTGCAGGCCGTGTTGTCGGAGGTATTGGCAATGGCATGGTAACATCCAGTAAGTCTTGCTCCTTTATCGCTTCCATGTACACCGCACTCACTGATTGAATTAGCGATCCCAACATGGCAGTCTGAATGTGCCAGGCCACATCAGCGCGGTATTCTGATTATGCTCTCGGGCGCTCTCATTTCTGCCGGTATTATGATCGCCTACTGGGTGGATTACGGGTTTTATTTTCTGACTGGGTCTGTCCGCTGGAGATTCCCACTTATGTTCCAATCGTTCTTTACTATCATTGTTATGATCGGTCTGCTTTATCTACCCGATTCTCCTAGATGGCTCATCATGCAAGGCCGCCATACAGAGGCTCGCGAGGTCACAGCTCGACTTGTGGACAGGCCAGAGGAGCACCCAGATGTCGACGAAGAACTGCGTAACATTAATGAAGCTTTGGAGGTCCAAAGTCGTGGTGGTGGTTTCCAGTACCGTGAGCTACTCACCAATGGACCGTCACAAAACCTCCGTCGCACCACACTGGCCATGGTCGCACAGTTCTTCCAGCAGATTTGCGGAATCAATTTGATAACATACTACGCCACCTTCCTGTTTGAAAACTCTCTCGGATTCGGACCAAGCAGGGCGCGCCTTCTGGCTGCCTGTAATGGAACCGAATACTTCCTCGCCTCGCTTATAGCCCTACCTCTTATCGAACGGACCGGTCGACGGAAACTGATGTTAATCGGTGCGTTCGGCATGATGGCATCGATGGCCATCTTGGCTGGTACTGTGTCCACTGGGGAAACCCTGGAAAACGGAGCGCCTAAGCTGGAGACCAAGTATGGTGTCACGGCCACTGTATTCTTGTTCGTTTTCAACTCTTTCTTCGCCATCGGCTGGCTGGGTATGACCTGGCTGTATCCGGCGGAAATCACGAACCTTCGGATTCGGATCCAGGCCAATGCTTTGTCAACCAGCTCTAATTGGATGTCCAACTTCCTGATTGTCATGATCACTCCTCCCGCGTTTGCTAATCTAGGGTACAAGACATATATCATGTTTGCCGTCTTTAATGCTGCACTTATTCCCTGTGTATATCTGTTCTTCCCTGAGACTAAGGGACGTACGTTAGAAGAGCTGGACCTGGTGTTTGCTAGTGCTAATGCTGAAGGTATATCGCCTGTGAAGCAGAGCTTGAAGATGCCGAAGCTGGTCGGACAGAACCTGGACAGGGAGTTGGCGCGGTACTTTGGTTCGGGTAGTGATGAAGAGACTTCAAGGGAGAAGTAAATCTTGGAGATGCCGGGTGTATCGAGTACATGGGACATGGATTAGGTTGGAATACCAACATATTTTGTCATTTTAACCTTATGATAGATTGTTTCCAGATGGATCTACTTATCAAGATTGGCCTAAGATTTAGCGAAGACCAATTCGCTTCGGATGTTTTCTTCAGTATCATCCTTTCCGTTTGTATGGACTGATATGTAGCTCAATATCCTAGCAAGGACGCTACTTGTGAACTAACGCCTGAAAATTGCCTAGAAGAGACTAGATTGAATGCAAGTCTGCGGAACGGAACGGGTCGTACAAGAACCAGTTCACTTTTATTCCTTCCTCAGCCGATTCTAAACGCAACTCTCTCTATTGGTAGAGGTATGTATGCATTCAATTACTCTCACCTGACATGCCTTCGTTGTGGACCGTGTTCCTTGCTAGCACCAATAACCTTATGTACCAGGCTCGTTCTGGTTTTGGATCCAAGATCCACCCTTGCTGAGTGTTCCTTCATCTACCTTGCATGTCATATACCATGTAGAGCTTCTGGTTCTCCTTTTCTTCCTTGATAAAGTATACAGCTTTATTCATTGTTTAGCTCTTCTAATCTCCTATCAATACGAATGTGTCCTGCTACTTGTTCGTACTTATGCCACAACACTTTAGTCACTGGGGCATTACGATAACACCGTCGGAGGGGCAAGTCATTATCTGAATTGATGATCGTAAGCCGAAGCAAGAGCCTTAGGGCACAACTACATGCCTGAGAGATCCTTGAGTCAGGGCCAAGGATACATCGAGCAGCACGATGAAGTGATCCCACTCAAATGTCGCCATCCCAAGCGGTATATGTGTCATCCGCCCTAACAACCCAACTCTCCAATCTCCTGGCCCCCCACCTCCCCGAAACCAACATCACCCACCTAACCCAAGATGGCCCCCATCCCTCCACATTCCACCACAAGATACCTCGCCTACTGACCCTCTAAGCCTACCTACGAAGAATGGTGGCACAGCAACCCCGTAACAACTTTCTGGACCACTCTCCCCGACGACGCAGGGACATGGCGAGAAATCATCACCGTACCGGCCGCCAAAAACCCAACACAGCACGACCAAGCCGACCAAAAAGCCCCGGCATAGGTTGCCTAGCATCCTTCACCCCTATTCCAGATAAAACAGGATACTGGGGTTGCTACTACCACCGCATACCCACCACAGCTAACACTAACTCTTCCCAGGGTCGATTCCCATCACCGTTAAAATGTAACCCGCCTCTTCGGCAAGAATGTACTGGGAATATCAGACACGGTCAATTCATATAACCCAGTTCCCGGATCATCTCTGCTTCGTCGTCGAAGGACAGGATCATTCGGCTCTTACGTCTACGAAGGAGGTGTGGTTCTAGAAGTTCGATTTTTCGACTGCGCGGTGGATAGGTAATCTGCAATCTGCTGGGCCGGAGAAAGGTCTTCTTGATACGAGGGTTTGCTATGAGACGCAGAGTGGGAAGTTTCGGGATATGGCCCCCGAGGCGTTGAGTTGGAATCGGAAGATACAGTTTTTCTATTTCTTGGACATGGAGTCTATGGAACGCATTGGGAAGGTAAATAAGGGGCATGTGGCGCTGCGGGAGGAGTCTTTAAAGGTATATGGGTCTTGTGGGGATATGGCGGAGACTGGGGAGCTCGCTTTGTCGGTTGGGACTAGTATATTGGGAGCCGGGGGGTGGGAAGTGTGAGTATGTTGAGATGGGACAGGGTTAATGGGTTATGCCCGGGATTTCGAGGGAAAGTGTTAGGTTTGCGGGTAGCTCTGTATATTTTGGATTTATGGGGTTTCTGTGTCTAATAAGACCGTTAAATTCGGTAGCGTTGGTCCGTCGAGTCATAGCAAATGTTGAGGGCGTATCAACAGCCAAATAATTAGATCCACACCTTTGCTTCCTGGTCAGAGACAGGAGAAACATGACGTGTAACTCTTGCAACGATATCCCAGCCATATTGGCCATATGCGACGCAAAGAGTGGATATATTGGCATTATTAGTAATGTAAGGTTAAGAGCTGAGAAGATCGTTGAATAGGGATAATTGAACCGGGATAGGTTCGTTCCAGGAAGATTGTTCCCTTCGCGTGCAAGAAAACTACAGGCGATTAATATTTTCAATAATAATTTCCTTCAGTCATACTAATTATATAGTGTCTGTCAGAATTGATTAGGCACCTGACGCACAGCCATATAAAAGGTTTCCATTGCCTAGAATCTAGAACTCAGTCAGCATCACAAAGGCCCCATCTGCGATGTAAGGATACCTTGACGTTGGTACAGGCAAAACCCGCCTAGTTTTGGCTGAAACGCCATGGAATAGTCTTGGATAGGGCCTCCAAGCCCATTGTATTTCCATGTGGCTGATCGTCAGACCTCAACTCGTATCGGTTGTGGAGAAAATGACATCACGACTTTTTTGCGTAACTGGTATATATACAACTTCAGACCGGATGATCAGCTTACTCTCTGCTGCAGATCTCTCTCGATATCCATAATTTATCTGTTCAGAAGGTGCAAGCACTACTCTGGTTCGAGAAAATGCAGTTTATCACTATCATCCTCTGTTTATTTTGGCTACTCCTTGAAGTTTGTTTTGCTTATCCAACGGCCAGAGCAGATCAAGTACCCCAGAATGAATACGATTTTATCATTTGTGGGGGTATGATAGCCCATACAAGGTCTGTCCAGAATCACTAAATTAACCTATGTTCAGGAGGTACGGCAGGCTTGGTTTTAGCGAACCGGTTATCGGAATCCGGAAAGCAACGCGTGCTGGTTCTTGAAGCAGGACCAGAGCCTTCTGTCGTCGCTGCGTATGAAACGCCGGGTGGGAACCAGTTTCTCAGTGGTATATCATAGGCTCGCTGTTCATATTTGTTTCCATTGCTAATTATTGCGCCCAGGGACCGCAATTGACTGGAACTTTTACACAAGCCCACAGGAGAATCTAGACGGACGGATTCTACCATATCATCGTATGTGAATTTCATTCACTATTGCGATTTTGCCCAAGTGGCCCTTCTGCGTCTCGCAATAATGAAAGGCCTAACTAGGCTCAGGCGGTAGAGCCTTGGGGGGGAGCAGTGTCACGAACGGTCTGTACTATGCGCGTGGAAGTGCCAGTATATACGACCGATGGGAAGCGCTCGGGAATCCCGGTTGGGCTTGGAAGGATGTTTACCCTATGTTCTTGAAGGTATAATCGCGAATGACGCTATGTCTGAAACTTGCCAGCCTGACAAGCTTGGGTAGAGTACTCACTTTAACCCTCCGGCCCCAAACAGCCAATTTGACCAAAGCTTCCAAACATGGGATCCCAGTGTCTATGCTGATGGACCTCTGGAAATCGGATTTCAAGGATTCGTGCCTGAAACAAGCGTGGCCTTTATTCGTGCCTGTGAAGCGGCGAATATACCCATCGTGAATGAACTAAATGCAGGAAACGGCACCGGCATCAAGCAAGGAACTGCTAATTTGGATAGCAGATATAGACGTAGCTCGAGCTATGATGGCTTTTATAAACAGGCTGCATCTCGGCCTAATCTAGATGTTCGCCACTATGCCACTGTTACTAATATTGTGGTGGATGGTGCCACTGCACGAGGAGCAGTATATATTGACCAGAGGACGAGTTTAGTCCATAATATAGTTGCAGCAAAGGAGGTTATTGTCAGCATGGGAGCGTTTCATTCCCCCCAGCTATTGATGCTATCGGTATGTCTCAGTGCTTACGTATTCTTGAACGTTAAGTTTGACTAGAGACTAGGGTATAGGGCCAGCTACAGAGTTGGCAAAGGTCGGCGTTGAACCTGTCGTGGTCAATGAAAACGTTGGACAGCAGTGCGCAAACGCATAGGACTTGTATACGAGGGCTTGATTCTGACTGGATAGTCTAGTCTCAACGATCACTCCGTGTTCAGTATCATGGCTGTTGTTCAGCCACATGGCTCGACATCCCAGATGACCTCAACATTCGCTATGCTAAGCGAAGCGCAGACCCAGTTTTACAGCAATCTCTCTGGCCCCTACACCGCTCCGTCCGGAATCACTAACGGCTTCCAGAAATTAACTGAAAATGAGCTTCAGTCGATTGGCGCCGGTGAAGTGATTGCAGAAGGCTTGCAAAACCAGTCTCATGTTGAGTACCTATACGAGTCGATCTTCTACCCGGGTGGACCAACCCCCTTCTACGCACCGAAGGAGAACGAGTCATATATTTCTTTAACTGCGTCGAGTCTCGTGGCCCTCTCTCGGGGGAATATATCACTGAGATCAAACTCTATGAGCGAGCCTCCAAGCATCAACCCTAATGTTCGTATAAAATGTCCTCTTTATGTAATGACCGACCTAACAAGGCTCGATAGTATTATAGCCATCCGACCGACCGTATCATTGCAGTTCACTCATTTCGATATCTGCGAAAGATTCTAGCTCACCCAGAACTCGCGCAGTTTACCATAGGGCCCAATAACGGTGAAGTCAGCCCTGGTCCTTCAATTAGTGATGACGATGATAAGGCTATTTTTGAGTATATCAAAGCTAATACTATTCCAAATTGGCACGCCTCCGGAACGAATCGAATGCTGCCATTTGAAGCTGGTGGGGTAGTAGATTCGAGATTGAGGGTGTATAACGTCTCCCATCTGAGAGTTGTTGACTGCAGTATTATTCCTCACTTGCCGGATGTGAATATCCAAGGTCCTGTGTTTATGATAGGTGAGAAAGGAGCACAGATGATTCGGGAAGATTATGGGGACTTGTAAGAGACAAGAAATGGATGGATTCGTCAGGCCCTCACAAATGGTATTTGCTGATACCGAACATTCACCTATGGCAGGGAGCGATTTAATTTTAGTAACCTGATTTGACTCTATTGGTTTTTTTGTGTTAAGCGTCCAACGATTATTCACTAGGGTTGGGTCCTTGGCTGGAAAAGCTAGGTACATAGGTAGGCGCACAATATTTCCAAGGTATAGTAGGAGTACTATGGTTATCCACTGGATTTTTTATCTTGTAGACCAAGTATTTTGATCTCTATCTATATCACTGCATCATATACACCTACTTCAAACTCATCATGTGTTCACGACTTGTGCGATCCCATCTACATTCAGCGCTCGGATATATATATCAGAGAGTAACATATACTAGACGCTACGCAATAGACAGGAGATAGGAGGACATAGCAGTTAATCGTCATTAAGAAACGATGGAGAATGTAAAGTAAGGATATGGATATTTCCTAATATGTTGTCTTATGGAACAGTTTGTTGATATCGAATGAAGAGTATTTGGCGATGTAAAATTTTGTTAGGGTCGGATTGCTTTATAAATATTAAACAGTAAAAACTGTTCGTCACCAAGTGGTTGTGTAGTGTAATGGTTAGCACCCAGGATTCTGATTCCTGTAATCCCGGTTCGATCCCGGGCACGACCTCACATTTTCTTTTACTTTTTGTTTTCTCCTTCCCTTCCATCCGAACGACAGCTCATGACTCTCAACCCTTTTTTAACTTTCTTTTCCTTTTTGACTCCCAACCCGAGATTCGGAAAGGGCCGCTCCGGATTATGACCGATTCTGCAAGCAATTTTGGTCTGCTACACTCGTCGGCCTGTCGGCAAACCTCCAGACATAAACCAACCACCATACATGCTCAATAAAAGGGTCTGTAAAATTAGAACAGTGGATCTCTTGTCGATCACAGTCAATGTATTCGGTAAGGCATCAGCGACTACCATTACTGATATATCCTATGTGTCAAATTGTCAATTGCCATCGTGTTCGGCGAAGCTTGGCCGACGGGTGGTAGATGGACATACGCCCAGGTCCGTAGGTTGATGTGCTGGTCTGAATTCTAGCAAACTCAAACTTGGCGAGGTTTAAACCTGCAAGCGATACATACACCTTAGCCGGTATACTTGTTTCTCTCTTATTGTTTATGGTCTACTGCTGTGCTACAGAGAAGGTGCCTGTTCTAGCAATGTCGCCACCACCGTATTTACCAGGTAGATGCTTAATCTGAATTATGGGAAAAAGCTCGACTGATCAGCACATCCGAACCCTGAATACAAGAAAATCTCTGATCAATTCCCTACGGGTGCTGTGCGGGAGGTGGCCGAAGCACTCACTTTCGGCCATCGGCATTCGGCCAAATTGGACGGAGTATCAGGTCTGTGATTCACATAGTGGATTCGTACTCAGCATATGACATGGAAAATTTTCACAACGAAGAATCAGATAGAAGGGCAAGCACTTGGAGATTCTCCTCAAACAAGGGTATGATTGGTAGACGTCTCCTATACCCGTCGTGGAACCTGATGGCGACATATGCGGGCGTTTAATAATAAGAATAATAACCATGTTTTGGCACTAACTTGCCCACGAGGAAAGAAAGAGTTGGAACTACACGGAGTAACTATGGGTCCCATTCAAGGGCCATCATATAAAGCGAGATAGAGTCCGTGGTATTGTCGCTATACTCCCGTATAAACGCCAACATTGTTAGATTATCATAGAAAACTTCATACCGCATACCGAATGGACCAACTCGAACTCACACCATCTAATCCCGCCTGGTGCTACCCAGAAGGTGGACTCCGGGCCAACCTTGTCGTCCTGGGTAGCTTCAGCTCTATCATGGGTGGCTTGGGCTTGATGAATAGTATAGGGATCTATCAGGCATGGATATCCACGCATCAACTATCCCACCTCAGCGAGAGCCAAATTAGCTGGATCTTTGGAATTTACAACTTCCTAGTTTTCTTTTGTGGTATCCAGATTGGCCCAGTCTTCGATGCTAAAGGACCCCGTCTCCTCATGCTCACGGGCTCAATCCTACTTATCCTCACCTTGGTCCTGGTTGGATTCTGTCAAGAATACTGGCACTTCCTCGTGGTACTAGGCTTCATTGGCGGCATTGGAACATCATTCATCTTCATCGTACCTGTTGCGACTATCGGCCACTTCTTCAGCGAGCGCCGCGGCGGAGCAACTGGCCTGGCCATGTCCGGTGGGAGTATCGGCGGTGTGATCTTTCCATTAGTCCTGGAGAACCTGGGTCCACGCATCGGGTTCCCCTGGGCAACTAGAGTCATCGCGCTTATCACACTAATCCTCCTAATCCCAGGATGCATCTTACTCAAGGCCCGCCTCCCCCCGAAGTCTTCAACAGGCACATCCCTGCTCCCCGACCTGACCATCCTCAAGGACCCCGCCCTCGCCCTCACCACCCTCGGCGCCTTCTTTATCGAATGGGGGTTCTTCATCCCTCTCGAATACATCACCTCATACTCCCTGACATACGGTATCTCCAGCCGTCTATCCTACCTGATGGTCGTATTCCTCAACGCAGGTTCCTTTCCAGGTCGCTGGTTACCAGGCATACTGGCGGACCGAATCGGGCGATTTGAAATGTTGACCCTCACGAATATATTTTGTCTCATAGCCGTATTAGGGGTCTGGATGCCGGCGGATGGAAACGTCGTAGCAACGATTATATTTTCCGTGGTTTTTGGAATCGGGTCGGGGAGTAATATCAGCCTGGTTCCGGTTTGTGTGGGTGAGTTATGTCCCACCGAGCAGTATGGGCGGTTTTATACGACTGTCTACACTATTGTCAGTTTAGGGTACGTTTATGCTTATTTTCTCCGCCCGGTTCTTCTTTTCACTCGTTTGGACATGTTGCTGACCATTTTAGGGCCTTGACTGGGGTTCCTATCGCTGGTGAGATTATCCATCGTTGTAATGGTGAATACTGGGGACTTATTGCGTTTGCTGGGTGTGCTTACGCTGCTGGCTTGGTATGCTTTGCTGGTGTTTTGATGCTAAGGAAGTCGAAGGGGAAGGGTTCTGCGTAATGAATCAGTAGAGGCTTGAGGTCAACATTAAAAACATACAAAGTTCAGTCTGAAAGCTACATTAAAAAACGACGATGCATGAGTCTATGTTGAAAATACGTACCGTTTATGGGTGTTTGAATTGTGTACTTTAGAGACTTATCTTTTCCTCCGTAAGAGTGTCCGATCTAGTATCGTGTCTATTGGGATCGTTATTCATAGTTGATAGTGTCTTATTATTTCTGTGAGTTGGAATGCAATGTCCTTGATATCGTTCTTAGATGCTGGATTCCGAACAGCATGCCGCCGCAATAGACAAGTACAATTGTGATAAAAATAGCGTCTGAACGGGCGTGATATAGAATTCATGCTTTAGGACTAGTAACTACGTGGCAGCCGAAGCACCTTCTCACTGACATAGTTCAAGATCATCTCCCGACTCACTGGCGCAATTCGCGGCACCAGACACTCTCGTAAATACCTCTCCACATCATATTCCATTGCATAGCCCATTCCTCCATGGCTCAGAACCGCCCGCTCGCATGCTTTGAAGGCCGCTTCCGCGGCAAGATATTTAGCACTGTTGCATGCCACGCCCACAGAATGGAATGGAATGGAATCATCCGTCTTAGAGGCATCGTACAAGCGAGCAGCGTGATACGTTGCCAGCTTCGCTGCTTCTAGTTGCATATATGCGTCGGCCAAAGGATGGGCAATGCCCTGATTTTGCCCGATCGGTCGTCCAAAAACCACCCGCTCACTCGCGTATTGGGCAGCACGTTCCAAGGCAGCGTATCCAAGACCCAACGCTTCGCCGGCCAAGAGGCATCGTTCCGCATTCATGCCGTGGAGGATGATCTTGAACCCCTCATTTTCTCGGCCAATAAGGGTGTTTGTAGGTACCTGGTAGTTATCGAAGAACACTTCATTGGCATCGACCGCACGGCCCCCCATCTTCTTGATCCTCCGCATGTCCAGCCCCGATTGGTTCCGATCCAAGTCAATACAGAATAATGATAGGCCTTGAGTTGACTTTTGTACTTCCTCGAAAGGCGTTGTCCGGGCTAACAGGATCATCTTGGAGGCAACTTGCGCGCAAGTGATCCAGATCTTCTGGCCGGAGATTGAGTAGATATCCTTTTCGGGGTTTTTGGTGGCAAGAGTCTTCAACTTTAATGTCTCCAAACCTGTGTTGGGTTCTGTTACACCGAAGCAAGTCCGCCATGTGCCGTTAATGATGTTAGGAACGGTTTCCTCTAGTTGTTGCTTGGTACCGAACTTAGCCAGAGGCTGTGTGGCATATACATTTGCATGAATGGCTTGTGCCCCGGCCATTCCGGCACCGGATTGCGTAATAGTCTGCATCATCATTGTTGCTTCAGAAATGCCTACTCAATTGTTAGCATGCCATATTTTATTGGATTCCTTCAGTGGAGGAACTTACCTAATCCAGCACCCCCCAGCTCTTCGGGGAGTGCGATCCCTAGCCATCCATCCTTGGCTAGCGCGGCGTGAAACTCCTTCGGATCGGTTTCATTTTGGTCACATTCTTGCCAGTATGTGTTCGGAAACCTGGCACAAATGGCCGAGATCGCATCCCGAATGGTTAATTGCTCCTCGGTGAATCCTGTCAACTCCATCAACGATTGCCGAGCGGTTGTCGAGAAGTTAGATCGCGAGGTCGTCCATGATGCTATCGGGCTACGTAGCCGAAATTTCCCAATGACTGGGTTTATTCTAGAAGATAGAACTCTCTGGGTGCACAGATGAGACATGACGAATTGATTTAGGAGAAGTTATCATTCCAGATGTTGATTGGGAATTATAAATGCACGGCGAGTGTGGCGCGGACCATATACCCGGCATGAGCGACGGCGCATATAGCCGCCATATAACCGGCGCACCCCACCGGCCTTTCTCTCCGAGGCAGATCACTGTTAAAGTAAGACATCCTCGCCAAGGGCTGATCTCAGTCCTAATTCCTGCTTGTAGACATAATCCCACGAAATAATTATCCATAATGTATCGCAGAATTGGCCCATCGCGACCGCTGTCCGAGGCGTTGTGTCGTCCGACACGAGGCACTCGTAGCGCCTCAACTCACACATCGACGAAAGGTCCTCTCTCCGGCATTACGGTCGTCAGTCTTGAACAGGCTATTGCAGCTCCATTCTGTACGCGGCACCTGGCGGATCTGGGGGCTCGCGTCATTAAAGTCGAGCGGCCTGGCGTCGGGGACTTTGCGCGCAATTACGACACCCGAGTCAATGGCCTCGCATCGCATTTTGTCTGGACTAATCGGTCCAAGGAAAGTCTCGCACTGGACCTCAAAAACACTCGTGATCATGGTATCCTAATGCGGCTTCTCGGCAAAGCGGACGTTCTGGTTCAGAACCTGGCTCCTGGAGCCAGCGCCCGGCTGGGACTATCGCATGTGGACCTTAAAACGAAGCATCCTTCATTAATCGTATGCAACATTTCCGGGTACGGACCGGATGGCCCGTATCGCGATAAGAAGGCTTACGACTTGCTTATCCAAAGTGAGGCCGGCATGCTTTCTGTTACGGGGACCGGGAAAGAGCCCGCCAAAGTAGGCGTCTCCATCGCAGATATCTGCGCCGGGACCTACGCGTACTCTAATATTTTGGCCGCTCTCATTCAACGGGGCAATGACCCAGAAAAGCGTGGATGTAACATCGATATCTCCATGCTGGAGAGTATGATTGAATGGATGGGATTTCCGATGTACTACACCTACCACAACGCACCAGGGCCGACCCCAGCGGGGGCTTCGCACGCTGCCATCTACCCGTATGGCCCCTTTGAAACAGGCGACGGAACGTCAGTCATGCTGGGGATTCAGAATGAACGGGAATGGGTCAAGTTTTGTGAGAAGGTTCTGTCCCTGCCTGACCTGGCAACCGATCAACGATTTGTCAACAACTCTCTCCGATCGAAAAATCGAGATGCGCTCAAGGAGATCATTTGTGAGGTGTTCTCGTCTCTGACATCGGGGCAAGTGATTGCCCTGTTAGATGAGGCCGCTATCGCTAATGCTAGTGTCAACGATATGCAAGGTGTTTGGGAGCATCCTCAACTCAAAGCTCGGGGTCGGTGGACCGAAGTTTCAACTCCTGCTGGCCCCATCCCTGCTTTGTTACCTCCGGGACTGACTCTAGGTGAACCTGGTCAATCCTCGGCGAAGATGGGAGCAGTTCCCGATGTTGGGGAGCATAATACGGCGATTTTGGCCGAGCTGGGGATTGATGACAGGGAAGAGTAAGAGGGGGAAATCCTTCATAGATTAGATTAGATAGAAACGGTCGGCGTGTAGAATTTGTTGCCGACATGGGAATGCCAAGACCTTTAAAGCCGACTTGCCTTATTTACTTCGCTGCTCCTTTACTGGTTTCCTTCCCCTGATGCTCTTATCGAATTAGGGGGCCCACGGCAATTATTTCAAATGAACAGTCGTACTTTAATAAAATAATGTCCTCTGAGGTCGATACGGGACCGCATCCGACAAGGAAGCGCGCGCGACAGGCATGTCTGCACTGCAACCGGCGCCGGATCCGCTGTAATGTCCTGGAGACGCGGCCTTGTCAGAACTGTGTTTCCCTGAATGTCCCTTGTGAAGTAGGGGTCTCCAAACGAGGAAAGTGAGCTTTACCCACTATGCATGATAATCTTAGTACCGAGGAAGTGGCCATGCCAATGTGTCGTTGCAGGTATCCTCGCAAGAAGGCTTTACGGCAATCGGCAACTTCAACACACCAAGAAGATTCCACCATTGCAGACTCCATTATTTCCGCAGATCATAGTTCTTTCCAGCCGGATGATAGCTCCAGCGTGCATATTGATGCATCGACTTCTCCCGATCAACGCTTTCATCTGGGGCATCGCAGCAACGCTGCCAACCACCCTGGGATTAGCTTTGGGCCCCCTTGGATATCTCCTGGCGATACGGCAAGCATTTCCCAACAGACTGTATTCCTAGGAGAGTCAAGTCCCTTGACATGCGTAATTGATGAGGGACGGCGATCTCCTGAGAAAGGGCCATCCAATGTCATGCGAAAAACTCGGCTTCACTACCCCATCCCGGAACGGCTAGATGCCAATAGTACACGCGACGACGCTCTTCGCGTGCACAAGACCAAGATAGGAGAGCAACTGAATGCCGACGGTGCATTCTCATATCCTCCGAAAGAGACTTGCGAGATACTACTGAGCGCGTACTTCACTTGGTTTCATCCATGCTTCCCCATCCTCGACCGCTCAGCGGTCAATCAGTCCTACACTAGAGGCGATATTTCTCGTCTTCTACTGCAATCTATGCTCTTCATCGGTGTTAGTCTCTGCACTGATGAGGACTTTGCACGAACAGAATTCTCGGTCCGATATCAAGCTAAGTTTCACTTCTATAGCAAGGCAAAGGCTATCTATGATGCCGATTGGGAATCCAACAAAACAACTAAGTTGCAATCATTGTTTCTGCTGAGCTCTTGGCGGGGAGGGCCATCTGAAGAGCGTGATACGCGGTTCTGGTTGGGAGTTGCGATCAGTTTGGCGCAAAAGCGTGGCATGCATATGATGTTCGTATTGAGCTTCACAATTAAAACGAAGCGGTTACTGACGCACCTAGGTCCAAATTATCTTTCCAATCGACACGCGAGGAGAAATTATGGAAGCGAATATGGTGGGCTCTCTATGTGAGTATTGGCTATAAGATGGCCATCTACTACTCTAACATAAAAGAAGGTGCGTGACCAACAGAGTGCAGCGGCTTTAGGGCTCCCACCTCGGATACGGGACGAGGACTGCGATGTTGCAATGCTTGTCCCGAGCGATATCCGCGAAGAGGAAACAGTAGATGATGTACGTGTATTTGGGGTACAGAAAGACGAAGATGTAGTCTATCCGACTGAGATGGTGAAGTTGGCTAGGATACGTATGGTCTGCCCACTCGCTTTGAGGAATTAGTGCTAAGGCGAACAGTGCGGAGTATTGTGTCAACACAATATCTTCATATACAATCCGATACTACTGAGACCGCACGTACAGGACTACATCAAAAATTATGTGAGTGGGAATCGAAGTTGCCTACAAGCCTCAAACTAGAAAGCGCAGCTTCTGCGGGAGCTATATTTCTTACTGGACTTTTGCATATGACATACAAGTATGTCACTTACCTTGAGGCTGTCTCTCTTGACTCGCGGTTACTAACTTTCTAGTAACCTTTATATTCTCCTATATCGGTCCTCGTTTCTGAATCCTTCCAATTCGTCCGTAGATAAAGTGGGCCGGGTTGCCCTGGATGCCGCCACTAGAAGCACTAGGATTGTCGAAGACATGTTGTCTCACAGTCTTGTTCAACACGGGCCTACTCATCTGTATGTTCCTTATACCTCTTCTCCCGTTTACCTCTAACCTTTTAAGAATAACGCATACATTTTCAACCCTGTGTATCCATACTATTCACTGTCGCCGAACATCTGGTACTGCCAGGAAGCTCGCGGAGCACCGTGCAAAGCTCTGCCTTCTTGGGCTCCAGGAGCTACAGAAAACCTGGGATTTGGAGAACTGGGTGCTGGATCTCTTCTTTCGATGCTTGGATGATGGCACCGCCCGCACTCTCCGTCTGACAGATATTGTCACACCACCAGGGCAGCCGATGAGCCAGACTGAGAGTGTGAACAAGAATATTGATACAAACTATACCCGAGATCTGCCTACACCAGTCGAAACGATGGACCCCATACACAACGACCCAACACTAGCGCCCAGCCTGCAAACCTCTCCAAACATGGAACACGGAGATATTGCTGCGCCTGGCGACTGGTACGGATTATTCAATTTCACAGATGATTTTACAGACGTTTTAGGGGCCTCTTATCACGATCCACGGAATTTGCAGAATCTGCAATTCTTGTATCGATTCTTATAACTCATGCCTTCTAACCGACGCAGCGATGAAATCTATTCTATCAAGAGACAAAGGATCGTCAGGTTGCAGTAGCATATCACTTACGGAATGATTCGGGCCTTCCTATACCGGTCGAACATAGTATACACCCCCCCCCCCCCCCCCCCCGGCACATTTCTTTCTTCTTCGGCATTCCTCCACGCCTGGTGCGTTTTAGTGAGGTCCAATTGTCTATCAAAATTGAAGTTGGAAACGATAAAGTGAGAGACATAGGGAATACTCTGGTCATCGCCCAACATATATCGCGTCTGTAGGCCATACTCCCTATCGCGACCTATTGGTCCTGATGTTCACGCAAAAAAGTCGTTGGTTCCGGGCCTGGCCCGTTCGCTGGCACTACTCCCTTCAGACCGGAGTACTCACATATGATGGGCCGCTTAACGGACCGGCTTGTCAACTGAGAATTATCCGCTACATTGAAGATCCACCCCCTGTCTGGTTTCTCGATGAAAACCGGCATAGGCGGCGAATCGAGCGATGATGTCTTGGCTGCTGTCATTGCTCTGAATTGGCCAGCTTTTTGTTCCCGGGTACATCACTTCCGCGCCCTTGCCGTGAATTCTGCGATACAAACTGATATAAGGCGACCCATTGGGCCAGGTTGTGCGTGCTGTTGTTTGGAGCGAATCCGATGATAATGTCTGGTCTCACGTTGCGGTAAGTCCAGGGTTTACCATCGGATAGCGTTTTGAGTAGCTCGTGCTGATGGGTGTAGAATAATTGCGAACGGTGTGGCTCTGGGATATCAGGATCTCCATGAGTGGACGGATATTTTTGAAAGGGAATTTATCGAGAAGATGCACTTAGTACATCAACACCGTCTGTATTGGACGCTTGTGGATGCCGGGAAAGAGAATGTGCATTTCGTGGGGTAGACAAACGCCATGAACCTCGCAGGAAATTGGGCAATTCAGGATATTTGGCTCCGATCTCCACTCGAAACTTAGTTTCTTGTAGAAGCTCTAACGTATAGGGCGAAGTTCAGTGCATCTCAGCTTATTGTGGGGACGGCGTGCAGTTCTCAGCCACAAGAGACTAGATCTTCAAGGATTGCGAAGAATAATATCCACATTATTTATAGGACTGTTTATCGACATGTAGATGACTCTACTGAGGGATGTGTAGACTAAAGTGTGAGTAGTTCTATCAGAATGAAATACCACTAAACACACTAATTCTACATCATCTTTTTGACCCCCTTGTTCCAAGGAGGCACTCTGGACTGCACCCTACATGGCTGAAGCCACTGAAGACAGCTCTTTGTTTTGTTCTTGCACTCGGTGTGTGACGGGAATGAGTGTGTAATGTTGTCGAATTAACGAGAGGATACACTAAATATCAAGGCCGGTAACCTCTAGTCCTTCCCGCCAGAAGAGGATACTCTGACAGCATCATGGTGAGTAATTGGAAACATTCGTTGAGATAAGCTTTCTCACGACCTGTTCGTACCAAGAAGCCCAGGACTTAGTTAAGACTATGAGAAATACTTAAACTCGCCACGGGTTTACCATCGTGATGGTGATAAGCCCTAAGGGCGATCGTTTATGTCGAACACCCGTCAGGTGCCCACAAGAGAATCTATTGCCACTCATGCTCAGCGGAAAACGGAGTCACATCGGATTTCCGATGAGAAATGAGCTTACCTGCGCGAACCGACCAACGGATATTAAAGGATTAGCATTGCATGAGACCCACCGGTCTGTGCACCATGGCCCCCCATACCTAGTCTACACAGTACCGGATATCAACGGCAATGAGCTATCAAATCGGTGTACCCCAGATATGCAGTGCTCCGGTCTACGAATCGGATTTCAGATTGATCAAGCCAAGAGCATATCCTTGCGATGCTGATCTCGTCGCCGCCCCATGCCATGCATGCAGCATGGCTTCCTTATGACTTCGACCTCCGTGCGACTAGTACAGTACCCCAACATCTTGCGGTGGGGATTTGCCGGGGACGCCATCCACAGCGAAACATTGTGATACAGTGAGGAGGTCCTTGGAGTACCGAGTTAACTCCGATTGTACGTGGCGCAATACTATGTCACCCCATATATGAGGTTTGCGCTGGGCTCGGGTTGGCTCCGTGAAAGGATCACCCGCCCATTCCTTCACCGACAGCTATGCAGCGGCTGCAGACATGTTGCCACTTGATTTGTGAGTATGAGCCCATCCGACAGGCGGGTTGCGACATGCACAGTCTCATCTGACGTCTGAGTTGGCAATGCATCCGGGTTGCATTGCGAAGAGGGGTGTGTAGGAAGTGTTCACCGGCCCGATAAAACAGTTGCGATTATTTGCGGCCGAACATGGGAAACTAGTGCAGAATAGAGCATTCTAGAACGCGTGGGCTCCATATATAGTGACATAATAAAAAATATCTACGGGAATAAGGACTATTCCCGACGCCGGGAATGGAGTGGATCCTTTCAGATTCCTGTTGACTCTGTTGAGGTCACTATCAAATTGTTAGGGTTTGACTCATTCCCGACCGTGCGATCCTTTTCACCCTTATAAATGTCTCCCCCAATCATTCTTGATTTACCTGGTTAATAGGAATTGACTTTAAAAAGCTTCTTTTGTGGTTCTAGAAATGCCTGCCTCCTGTCCAGAGACTGAGGTCTTTCCTCAGTATAGCTTTACCGACGACTACAGTGAAGGAGCCCATCCGCAGTTACTCCAAGCCCTTTTGCGCACCAATGCCACACAGCAAGTTTCATACGGATACGATGAATACAGCAATGAAGCTCGGCAGCTAATCCAGGATCGACTGCAAGCTACCGAGGATGAGGTGGCCATCCATTTTGTGCCCAGCGGGACGTCTGCCAACCTCATTTGTATTGCAAGCTGTCTACGACCCTACGAGGCTGTATTAACAGTGGACTCGGGCCACATCGTCAGCAAAGAGGCCGGAGCCATCGAAGCAACCGGACACAAGACAATCGTCGTCCCGGGAGTAAGAGGCAAAATGACACCCGAAAATCTGGACCGAGCGGTCCGCCAGAACCAATTCTTCCCCCACAGCGCTAAACCGCGCTTGGTGTATATCTCCAACGCCACCGAACTCGGAACGGTGTATACCAAACGCGAGCTGCAAGAATTGTCCGCCATGTGCAAGCGATGGAAGTTACTCCTTCTCATGGATGGGGCACGCATCGGTGTCGCCCTCAGCGCCCTGTCCAATGATGTAACGCTGCGCGACCTGGTTGACCTAACGGATATCTTCTGGATTGGCGGTACCAAGATGGGTGCCTTACTCGGAGAGGCGATCGTGGTACGGAGGCATCTTGCCGAGGACTTCATTTTCCACTTGAAGCAGCATGGAGCCTTGCTGGCCAAGACTCGTATCATGGGCGTGCAGTTTGCGGAGCTGTTCCGGGAAAACCTCTTCTTTGATCTTGCGACACATGCCAACGCCATGGCGCTGCGGATCTCGGCGAACCTTGAGGAATTGGGATTTCTGTTGGCGGCGCCCACGGAAACGAATCAGGTCTTTGTTACATTGCCCATGGGGTTGGTTCGACGGCTGGAGGAACGGTTCCGATTCTACACTTGGGATCCGTTGGACGGGGAGCAGGCGATTGTCAGGCTTGTTACGTCCTGGGCGACGGATTCTTTGGAGGTCGATAAGTTTAATGCGTGGGTTCAGCAATGGACGGCTGTTTGATGATGTGGCATTTTCATGAGCGATGTTTGGTTTGCGTCTTGTTTCCCGCGGCATTTGTCTTTTTGAATTGCATAATGAGCGTTATAGACTAGTACAACTAATATTTCATGGATTGAAGACGTGTTTTTGGACTTGTTTGCATGATTGTGGTGCATGTTTAAATATCGTAGCTCTAACCTGCCGTTTGCAAAGATCATGCCCCAACTGGGCAATCCCTAAGTACAACACCATGCAACAGGCTTTCTACTTATTTTCTATGATCGCAAGCGATGGTCTACTGAGCACATGGAAAACCTAAATGAAGTTCATATTTAGGGTTACAAATACTGTGGAAAACTATTCTAGGTCCTATAAAACCCGCAATCAGCCCGACCATATCCATTACCGCACTAAATTAACCAATAATCGGGCATTTTTAGAAAAACTCTTCAATACTCCCGGAAGGTTTCTAGAAATCTATCAGGCAAATTCCTTGCCCAGTTTCTCCAGATACTGCTTGGCAGTATCCAACATAGCATCCTCAAACGAACGAAACTTCAACCCCAACGTCTTCTCCGTCTCACTAGAATCATAGGAGAAAGGCAACGTGCCCAGACTACCACGCTTAAAAACCCCCTCAGCAACCGCCTTGGGAAACGCCTTCTCAATATAATCAAAAAGACCCGTATAATCAACATTAACGCAGGCCCCGAAGTTCCCGGGCGTCTCGGGCGTAGGCTCAAGACCCAGTACCTTTATATAAACCTCCGCCAGGTCATCGATATGGACGTACCCACCGTGCAGCGGGAAACTGATATCTTTTCCCGTGATACTGGCCATGAGGTATTGGTTGGAGCTATTCTCATTGAGAACCGCGTCTGCCGTGAGTGCCAGCTCGTTACGCCCAAAGACATAGCCGGGCATGATACGCGCGACTGTGAAATGGGGTTTGTTCTTCTCGACAAAGGCGTCGGTTTCGTTCGCTTCATAGATTTTGGAGAGGGCATATGCCTCGAAGAGGTTGGAGAAGCTTGTTGGGGCGGGGCCAGGTAAATGGATTCGTGATGCGGCGGTGATAGTTGTCAAGGGGTCTGGGATGGGTGGCATGTTTCCTACGATTGAGGAGGTGATGATGATTCGTTTGATGGTGGGCACTTTTAGTGCGGAGGTGAGGAGGTTCGATGTCCCCTTGACGGTGGGATGCCATACTTGCTCAAGAGGATGGAAGCCTGGTACCGCGACAGGACTTCCAACATGGATGACGTACGTGACGCCTTGTAGGGCGGCATTGAATGCGTTGTCGACTGTCGTATCGGTTAGAATGATGGATGAAAGTCGGTCGCCTGGAGCCAGGGCCTGGATAGCTGGGTTGGATAGGATTTTTTGGGCCTTTTCCTCTGAGCGAGCTGTGAAGCGGATACTATAGTCGCTTTTGAGAGCTTCCAAGAGCACTCGGAAGCCAACAAGCCCGGTAGCACCGGTGAGGAGCACAAGAGGAGCCATTGATTGTAGGTGGGTAATGCAGAACAGTGAAGAATATGCAGTAGTGTAGATGCGATTCAGACTCGTCAGGAGGGGAATTATGGGTGAATGATGGGCGACTATTTATATATAGTAAATTGATTCATAGAGGGCCATGGATGGGAAAATCCACTCTAGACCAGTTCAGCTTGTCTCCTGATTGGTTGGCTCGTCAACCATACTCTGTAAATAGAATGGGCGCTTATGATGGAATACGAGTTTGTAGGTCCGGACCTGCATATCACTAACCATACTATAGCTGTCGTGCTCAGGGTTTGAGAAACACCGTGACTGGTGTGGCCGTGCTTGGTTGTGGCTTGAGATCCATGAAGATAACTGGGTTAAATACTTGTTCCCCAATGTCATCGTGACAATTCTCGCCCCCACTTCCTGATTACAAACCCTCTTTCATCTAATATCAAATCATCCTCCATTGCCCTGGTTTCTCGATGTACCGGATAGAGTAATCCATGAACACCAGGAGAATTTTGAGCAAAGACGTCGGAAGGAGTCGCCTCGAACGTGGGTCTGATTCTGCATCCATGGAGCCTCAACCCAAGCGCCGAAAAGTGCGGAAAGGTACTCACAGTTGTTGGGAATGCAAGCGAAGGAAAGCAAAATGCATCTTTCCGTCGCCCACAGAGTCAACTTGCGTGGGTTGTCAAAGTCGGGGGACAAGCTGCGTCAGCCAGGAGTTGGAGTATACGGCTCCTCCAGCAACGAACCCTATGGCTAGAGTAGAAGCTCTGATAGAGCGACTGGTTAGAAAAGCTGATGATCGATCGGATGAGGCACCAACCAAATATGGCATCCACACGCCTGGTGAACCTCCAGGGTTTACATCCCAACAAAATGTGACGCCTAGAGATGCTCGATTAAGTGAAGTAATGCCTGTGTCATCGTCGGCACTGCGAGAGTTAGGTATCTCGATACCCGATCGGACTATCAGCCCTAGTAATAAGAGGTACGCCGAGCTTTCGAAAGCTTTGCTCGCTGCTTTCCCTGCCATGCACGACGCACGTATCCTTCTAGATGCTACCCAAAATGCTACCCTATGTTTGTATCAAATTTTGACGAAGTCGGAAAGAGAGTTGGAGGAAGAAGGGGTCGATACATGTTGGAGCTTTGAGGAACTGCCGAACCCCGACGTGCATCCAGTCCTGATAGCTAGGCAGATGCTTATTTTTGCCTCATTATTACAGCAGCTCGACTTTAAGCAATTCAAGGACTGCGGTCTGTCGGAGGCACCTGACACCATCATGCAAAGACTTGCAGACACCGCAATCCGTCTAGTTACCGCCAATGAGGAGTTCACTGGCACAGCGGAGAGTTTGGAATGCATCGTCTTGGAGGGTATGTTCCATGGCAGTTGTGGCAACCTACGTAGAGCATGGCTTGCATTCCGAAGGGCGGTTACTGCCGGCCAGCTGATGGGAATCCATCGCTCGGGTAGTCTTATGTACACGATTGACCCGACTAGTACATTAAACCCGCAGGTATTGTGGTTCCAGATCGTATGTATGGACCGCGCCCTGTCAATGTTGTTAGGACTTCCCCAAGGCACCAATGACAGAAAGATGGGTTGCGATGCTGCAATGGCGAGCGATACACCGATCGGCAGACTTGAACGTACCCATGCCGTGATTGCATCGCACATCTTAGAGAGCCGCGACGATGGCGCTCTTGGTCTAGACTACAAGACTACGCGAGAATTTGACGAAGAGCTGCTAAGGGTAGCGAACAATGTACCGGGTAAATTTTGGCTACCACCCACTTTCCTCGGATTCGAGGCAGACATTCGATATGAGTTCATGGAGACCATGCGGGTTGTCAATCAACTTGCGCACTATGATCTCATTTCCCAGCTTCACCTACCGTACATGCTTAGCTTCGCCACTGTGGGTGAAGACCAGTATCAATACTCTAGAATGGCATGCGTCAATGCCAGTCGCGAGATTCTGACTCGCTTTCTTGCATACTCTAACTTCAAGCTGTTAACGTATTGTTGCCGACGGATTGATGTGTTTACACTTACTGCTTGTATGACACTCTTGCTTTGCCATCTGGTCAGCCATCGACCAGTAGGGGATAATCCCTTGACCCATCAACGACATAGCGATCGTGCTATGACAGAACAAGCACTTGAGAATATTCGCCAGCTAAGACGGGTAGACGAAGCTGCTATCGTCAAGAACGGTTTGAATATACTTCGCTGTCTCCTTAGAGTTGAAGCGGAAGCAGCAGAGGGTCGGAACTTCAGAGCCCAGTTGGTGCAGAGACATACAAGGTTGAAGGAAGACCCCAACACCCTGCTAATGAGTATACCATCTATCGGGGTTATTATGGTCACCCGCAGTGATAAGGCTTCCCAAAACACTAATTTTCAATTTGATCAGCGTGAGTTAGCAAGGAATGAACAGATCAGCAATGCAGGCTCTGCGGAATTATTTAATCGTATTCTCAGCGAGCAAGAACCATCAGCAGTTCTTCAGACGTCAGGAATTGGACAGTTTCACGGCATAGTGGATAATATAACAACTCCGTATATGCATCCCAGTGCAACAGCAAGCATTGAGGATTGGGCTTTCCAGGGGGTGGACATGTCATTTCTTGACAGCATAATACACACATCAGATAGCTCCCAGGAGTGGCTGGCCACTGGATTATGAAAAATGGCATGGCACGCGCAATACTTGACATATCTCATTTCATATTCGTACTACATATATGACGACAAGAAAGCGTATGCCAAAAGATTTGAATCAGTGACTTTCGATCAAAGTAAAGGAGAGACAATCCGTATTTAAGACAACTCACCCCGTGTTGATAAATTCACTGTCTCAATCCCTTGAATCCCTTCCATCGGCATGTTTCCCTGCCGTCGGCGGTCGAACTGCCTTCGGTTATAGTAATACCTGCAAGGTAGCTGCGATATCGTAGAGTACGTACTCACCATGCACAGGATGCGGCAAGTCGAATGGACTTCAGAAGGAAATTGCATCCTTCGAGTCGGTATATAGTAAAAGTCCTAACGTCCTCTGCTTTATCATGTAGTGGCGTACTGCCTACCGCGCCTACTTTTCTTTCCGAGTTTTATAGTATGCTATTGTCGGAGAGCTCATTCACAGCCAGTGATACTATATCTACTGCCATTATACCTACAAGCTGGTTGCGCGCCGTATAGTGATTCAATACATAAACTCCTGTCTGACCAGCTTCTCGCTGAGCTTCCACAATCTCTCAACACTGTCCGCATCCGACGCATGTTCCTCTGGCTCTATGATCTGGCTGTTCCGTAGGTAGGCCGGTGCCTTGTTAGGAATATCCGGGTCCAGAGCAGCGATAAGTGGCGTGGCAGCGATTTGAGTATACGTCTTGAAGCGGGGCTCCTCGAACTCAAAGTCTTTGCCCATATTCCTTCGGACCACTGGAAAGATACCAGCGTAATCATCCGCAGTTAAATGGCTTCCCAGCTTCGTATCGCCGTTATAGCCAGGATGTGCGGCCACAGCCACAACGCCACGCTCCTTCAACCTCTTGGTCAAGCCATAAGCGAAGAGAATATTGGCCGTCTTAGCCTGACCGTATCCGGTCCAATGGTCATACTCCTTGCCGTCAGAGTAGTTCCAGTCGTCGAAGCGAAAACGGCTAATGAGGTAGCCTGAGCTTGTTAGGTTGACGACGCGAGCCCCTCCAGGTTGGGATCCGGCGGACAACAGAGCTGGAGCCAGTAGGTTTGTCAGAAGGAAATGGCCGGCGTGGTTGGCAGACAGCTGGAGCTCGATCCCCTGTTTATCCACTGTATAGTCTTTTATGGCCATAATTCCGGCACTATTGATCAAGACATCGATCTTGGGAGCTGCGGCCAATATCTCTTGTGCAGCTCTCCGGACAGAGTCGTGATCGGTCAGGTCGACCTGGACAAAGGTTGTCTTAACGGAGCTGTCAATCTCTTTGATGTCCACGAGCACAGGCTCAACCTTTGCCGCTGTCCGTGATGCAATGAGAATATGGGCCGGTGCCGCCTTTGCTAGAGAGGTCGCCATTTGGCTTCCAATGCTTGGCTTACCCGCGCCCGTAATCACGTAGGTACGGCCCTTGATTTGGGATGCAAATGCCTCGATGACCTGCTCATTGGTCGCGGTTCCGTCGAAGACTGGCGTGGTAGAATCCATGGTGACGCCTGGATCTCAATTTGATATTCCGGTGCAGAGTCTAGAAACTGGTAATATGTTGGATGAAAGTGATCACAGGATTTCCGGTTTATTGTTATATAGGATACAGAATTGGGTCTCACAGATCGCTGACCACAAGACCGATCCAATCATCCAAGGATATATCATTCTAACTCCGGACACGGCGGTCGAACGAAACCCAGGTACACTATTGGCTATCATTGTCCTTCGCCCGTTTGGGGGCCAACCATCTTACTACAAAGTACTAGACAACTGCCTTGATAGATCAGAGCTTTTCCGAAATATCTAGTCAGAGTAGCTAGGCAGGGTTCTCTCCGTTGACTTCCAAATTGGATTAGATTATGTTGTTTTGGATCCAACGCAGTACCTGAAGCGTTTCAATTTGAAGTATATATATGATAAAGCGTGTTAGGACTAATATGTTGCACGGATCTGGGTAGTTTACCCTAAATTTTTTCTAAAAGTTTGTGAAACGTCTAGTAATTTCCTTTTCTTTTCTTTTCTCAGGCTAAGATCAAGATAATTACTAGGAGGTAGTAGTACTAACGTGACATTATCGTTGACACTTCTTGCGAGGTCACCTGACTCTATTCATTAGGGAGATGTGGGCATGCGGTTCATTGCAAAGCCGACGGTGAATCTCCGACCGTGAGGAGGGGTTTTGTTTCCGGAAACTGCAATGCTAGTTCTTCGACCAGAAAACCGTTTATTATTCATTCTAAATTCACACAGGATCATGGATAAAATATGTAAACTTAAAATAAAAATTTTCAATTAAAAAATAATCGCTTTCGACGAAGATATTGAGCCTGGAAGAAGAGCGCTACGAATGCTACAGGCGCAATTCTCAGAATGTCAAATCATTCTGCCAAAAAAAATCCACCGCCTTTGTCCAGGGAATGACTAATGAATTGCGGGTGCATTCCCGACATTCCCGACACACACAAAATGTACTTTTGTCCCTATCAACACTAATTCCCGACTATCTATGTGATCCTCTGATAATGCGTCTTTCGATATCCTGTGATGCCTGCCGGTAAGTAGTGATAGAGCCCTCTAAATTACAGTTAGTTTCGCTAGATAGTGACAATTAGTGGCAGACAATCGAAGGTCAAGTGTGTCCATGACGGTCAACCGCCATGCCGGCGATGTCAACGCATCAATCGCCAACCCTGCGTACTCACAGATCCACGGTCGTCCCCATTGCGCCCAAGACGAGGTTCATTGCGTGTCCAATCCAAGGCAAGGCGGTCGTCCAAGTCCGCAACGGCCACCTGCCCCGTGAATGCAAACAATGAGCGGCAATGGTGCGCTGCCGCCACGACTTCCAATCCAATTGCCTCAATTCCCTCTCCGGTGCTCATCAACGCCTGTGACATCTACCGCAAAAAGTTCCCCGTTGCCAACTTTCTTCATTATCCGTCGCTGATTGCAGAAATCTCCGCGAGCCCTTCGTCGGTGGACCCGGTATTCGTGGCGGCATTGCTCTCTCTGTGTACACGGTTCCTGCCGGAGCATCAACTGCAGGCTGGAGAGACGTACGCCGACTATGCACGGACACAGCTGGCTCATCGTGCTTTTGAAGGCCCTTCTCTCTATTTGGCACAGTCCTTAGTGATAATTTCATTATATGAATGGGGCTCGGGCCGCCCGTATAAGGCGTGGATGTATAGCGGTGGGTGCTACCTGGCTTTTCTGTATATCAATGTTGAATATTGCTTACGCACCGGATAAGGAATGGCTACATACATGATCCAGTCCCTTCTGAAGACGGCAGATGATAGTATGGAACACAATCCCGATGAGTTTCATGCCTCCCAGGTTCAGTACGAGCAGCTGGTCCGCACGTACTGGTGCTGCTTTGCCCAAGACTGCGAGTTGAGTTCTGGCGCTCGTCAGCATTTCGCCCTGTCATTTCGCCAGATTTCAGTACCTCTACCTATCGGTGACCATGATTTTAACTTCGGCCGTCGAGCTTCTCGTCGATTGATGCCCGCTGATCTCACTCGGGATTCCCCGCTCTCCGCTGCCATGACTATTGACCACGGCTTGACCATCGTCACCCGCGGATTTGATATATTTGTGCGAATTTTGCGATTTGCGAACGAAAGTCGTCGTGGTCAGACATCGTCATCGTTCAGTGGTTCGCCGTCCCCGCAGAAAACGTGGGAAAATCTGAAGGATGAGTTGGATGAATGGCGCTCGCTGCAGGATGTGACGGTCCGTTTCCCGGCTACTAGTGCCCAAGCACATGTGGCTCTAGGGTATGGGGAGCTTTTTGCCTACATCAATTTGGTCTATTTCATGAGGTACGGGTGATTGGAACCGGGTGTGCCGCTGCATGGGATTATTAGACAGAAAGGCTAACCGAGACACGAAGCATCCTTTTCCTTCATCGCGATCGTGTGTTGTCGAGCTTAAAGCTTATGCATGATCCCCACCACGACCACCGGGTTGCCACGAATTTTGAAGAGTCCGCTTGGTGTGAAGCTGCCATTGAACAGCTGTTCGAAGCGGCACAGAATATTGGCGGTATTTTATCGGCCTTGGAAGCTTCAGGTGCATCGGTAATTACTCCTTATGCCGGCTTCAGTGTTTTCGTCGCGGCCCATATCAATATGTACGGCACTGTGTCTCCCCGAGGTTACCCAGGGGGTCAAGAACGCGCCGAACGGGAGAAAAGAGGTAATCTCGCATATCTCGAACGGCTGTGCGAGTACTGGCCGGTTGGTCATAGCTGGGTATGTTTCATTAGCTCCCTCTTTTGCTTGACGCTAATTGTCAATAGTGGCGTACCGTGCAAGAGGCCTGCAAATTCTATGAAACTGCCAAAAGTAACCAGGAGAACGCAGCCGCCGGCGACCGTCCGGGCCATCTCACCCTCGCGAGTACGCTTGATGAATATGGAGATATCCGCTGTTCGCGGCCGCGTCATGACGTATCTGTAACTCGCAGGCGAGAGATCCCAGGAAGGGATGCAGCGATCCCCCAGAATCATGGACCAACGAATTGCCCGGCCCATTCGAGCATAACGTTCAGTGACCAGATCATATTGGACCCACATGAACTCGAGACGGAAATGATGCAATGGCCCTTTATTGATGAAACATGGTCGTCTGGATTTGATACTGGATTTGACGCTGCGTGGCCGAATCCGGCCTAAGCATCTAACGACCAGGGCTAGAGTACGATAGAAATGGATTTGTGTTCCTCGACCAGCCGATTGCATACAGCAGAATGGGACAGAGGGATGCCTTCGGACCGACCGAGTGACTGAAACGACAGCGAACAAGCAGATACGTCCAATGCCGGGGCCCCATGGACCCGTATCAGCAACAGTTACATGCAGTTATGACCTACCAGTATGTTCAACATGTATCATTGGTTCATGTGTCCGTCCTCGGTCGAATATCCCTGTCACAAACATGCTCCACCATGCGTGTCGAACCAACCTTAGGCCCATGCAGCTAGTGAGCGACATGCCTGCTAGTCGCAGCCCGTCTGGTCTTGGTTTTCTTAAAGATAACTACGATTGTTAACCACCATGTCCAAAAAAAAAATAAAATTAAGATTTGTGCATATCACCGTAATTGGCCATGTCTCTTCTTGACCAACATATCGGTATCGGTATGATATCTTTGCAACCAACGCCACTTGCTTAAGCCAATTCGGCCTCAATGATGCCCTGTCCATCACCCTCGCGGGTCCAGTACTTGTTCACCTTCAAACCAGCCGATTCCAGGAGGTTTGTGAACCGTTGACGAGTGCGCTCCAAGCCCGAGCAGAAAACCATGACCACAATATCGGTCATTACCTCTAGCGCCCGTGAGTCTTTATCGGGAAGGATGTACTCCTCCATGAGAACCTTCGAGTAACCGCGCTCCATGGCGGGGACAAGGTTCTTGATGATGAGGCGTGCCTTATCGTCCGACCAGTCGTGGAAGATGTTTCGGAAGTAGTAGACGCGTGCTCCTATGATTGACTTTCATCAGCGGCTAGATAATATTGGGGATTACAGAATACAGGTCTCACCCTGAACAGGCTGTTCCTGAGCGAAGAAATCATATCCGACCGCGTCAATGCCATTGCCGTCCAGATCGAGAGCGGACCGTGCTTCATCAATCACCGTCGGCAGATCCTCCAAAACTAGCTTACCCGGTACATCAGGGAACCGTTGTTTGAACCCGAGCAGATCGTGTCCGCGACCACCCCCAATATCCACCAGCAGCGGCCCATCTAGGCCCTTGTGAGCGCCAGCCAAGATCTGATCTTGGATAGGGAACCAGTCGGCCCAGTGAGGACGATCGGCACGCTGGCCTTCCATGTAGGCATTGAAACGGGTGAGGGCAGCGGGGTTCTCGCAGAGCCAGGAGAAGCCATCTTGCTTGATGTGGTTCGCGTATTGGAGTGGGGCGAACAAGGGGTCTTCGGGGTTCTTGTATCCAATGACTTGGAGGTACTCGGGAACCTTTTGGATGCCTGGTAGGAATTCGAGGAAGCTATAATTCTATGGGTTAGTGGCGCTCAAGTTGAAAAGGGAGTCGGGTAACAGAAATGGGTTACATACAGGGACTCCACGATACCAATTGAAGTCCGCTGGGTCATTTCTTTTGTTAAAGGCGTGGGAAGATAAAGGCACGGTTCAGGTTCTTCGGCGAAACCATGAGCGACAAGGACACGCATCATACGCTCTACGGTAGTCGACTTTCGTTAGAAATTCCGCTAGTTAAAAGCCTTTCCGGATGTATACTGACCAACCAATAGAGGGTCCGCGGGCTTTAAAGCTGCAAGCTCGTTCAATGGCACAGAGGATGTAGCTTTCGCTAGGGCCTGGAATACGTTCAAGTCATGGGCCACCTTCATGGCCATCACAATCGTGGGCTAGCCGAATCATTTGGAATGATTAGATTCACTGAAGAAGGATATTCAACCATGAGAGATTTACAGATAATGATATTTTCAAGATCGCATCTCGGGGCCTTTCCAATGCACGTGCCAGTTTGAGCGCCTTCTCCTGGGCTTCAACCCGCGAGGTCTCCGTGGGGTCGGATTGATAGGTCCCTAGTGCAGCCTGGACATCTTCTAGGAGCTTCTGAATCGCCTTAGGGTCCATGATGTGCTATGTGAGCAATACTCAGGATTTTGCTGGAAACAAAGAAAAGTAAAGAAAGAGACACAGACTATTGTGTGCCGCAAGATCTCTACACATATGATAAATAAACTTCCATATCGCACTATTTGGCCTTTCCATGCTATAGTGAGCCAGTGGTTCCCCGAAGTGTGCCCACCTACCTGTTTGATCATCTTACATGAACTAGCATTCCAAATCTCTGGGTCTCTTGTACACAAGGAAGGGAGCGCTTGTATGGAGGGGGTGGAGCGCTGTCCGCATATACGATCAGTCTTCCTGGAATTCTGCGGAAGGGAAAAACGGTTAAGAATTAGGTTTTGACGCTAGGAATTTAGCTGGTTTTGGATATTCGCAGTACTAAAGAAAGACCCCCACATGCACAATCCTATAATTCCTTGAAAAATGCAGAAAGTTAGCATCCCTAGTTTGATCGTCGATTCCTTCACTCGGGACATGGTGGGATGTTGAATACTCCGTGCGGACCTTCAAGGTGTACAGGTGTGAACGGTTCAGAAATGGGCTCCTAAGAAATAGTTCCCTGAATAACTACTCCCCTGTAATTGCCATCAAAAGGTTTGCTGGGACCTGTATGGTCATTGCTTGTCTGAATCAAGCCCAAAAAAGTACCGAATACTCTACACAGCGGTCGAGGATTCAAAACCCGAAGGATTTAGAGCCTTGCAAAGTGGGAGTAAATCAGCTGACAGGAGACTACGCTACATACAGTGAACGGAGAAATTAGTCACTTGGCGACTGGGGCCAAAGGAAGAGAATTTTATAATCAGTTACTGCCATTGTCTACTTCTGGCCACGTCAACGACAGATATTAGGGCTTGCGGCCCATAGGAGGTCCACTGAGCTAAGAACTGGCCCCCAAATCCAGGGCCCCATAAGCCGCGCAACTAGTCTATATACTAGTCCTATATACTCCCATATTATTGAACGACATGGGCTGAAACGCTTGCATGTGAATATAGTCAGTTCATCTTGACCCCCCGAGATGCGCTGTGGTACGTTGTTGAGGTTATTTATAGTCTGACTGTTGTTCATTCTAACCAGATCTACAAAACTATTTACCAATGGTCACTCTTGAACAGCGAGGATGACACCCAGAACTACCTACTCCCGTTAAATAAATAGCATTAATCGAGACTAGAGGGGCATGCCTGAGAAAGAGAGTCCGTGACCTTTTGGGCTAAGATCGTACAATATTGGCTACGGTTGGTCCCCTTCCGGAGAATCGCCAGGGAAAGCCATTGCGACTTCCGCTACACAGGAGATCCATATGGGACAGCCTCCCCCTGGTTGATCATTTCTCTTTGTCACCGGTAGCGCCTTGGCGAGACCCATCGGACAGTGCACTGTCACAGAGGTGGGCCCTGAAAAGCGGATATGAGGAGCTTAGTATCCACTCTGAGGCCAAAGATGGAAGCCTATCATTAATCAACCTCGTGTTGGTTAATGACTAGGCCAAATTCCTTCCAACTGTCATGCTGCACTGGAAAATATATGATCTTCACGCTGAGGACAACGACTAGCGGACCCTGAGAGTTTGAGGCGGAAAATGTTGTGCTTTTCCCCTGGGGTGATCTATTTCAAATCGTATCCCGTTCTTCGGCCATGGTCGTTTTGATTACTCTTTCTGTGCGGAATAAGGTGGCGCTGCTTGCTTCAAGTGCCTCCGCTCTTTTCATATACTTTGGAACTGAGCATCGGACTAAAGACCCCTTATGGGTCGGACTTGTTTCGGCGCTTTTCTGGCGTTTCGAACCATGGCAAAGCTTTCTGGAGGAGTCCAAGGTCCCAGCTCTTGTGGATAATTGCCCTAGTCTTTTGGTCTTGGTAATCATGTTGAAGATCTAGATGACTAGGTAAGCCTATATTCGGTAGTCCCAATTGCCACATTGGGAGGCCAGCGATGTAGATAGCCGCCGGTGATCGCTAGGCCCGATGTATCTGCACTATTCTCACCCTTCTATGATTGTTCATCCTTCCATGATCCTGTGCTCGTATATCCTGTAGAACGACCTGGTTATGCCCACCGCCCCCTCAAAGATATGACAGCTCTGAAATCCTCCAGCCGATGACTACGGAGTGAAGTTCCACGACCATACCATATTTGCACCCCCGTGCCATTGGCACCCAAGAAAGAAAAGAACCGTATGAAAGATGGCCTACAATGTGGTTGCCGAACTCTTCGCTGAATGGGCCATTGGAATGATGGTCATAATTATTCGTTTATATACGCGATGGTCTATTGGCCAAAAGAACTTCTATTGGGACGACGGATGCTTGCTACTTGCGATGGTGGGCTCACCTCTCCTCTGGATCACTGATATTTTGCCGCAGCTGATCTGTCTGTTTTAGGTTTGCTGGACTGTATTTACTGTGACCTTGTACTACTGTACTGGTAGGTATCGCTTTCTTCTGCATCTTGCCTTCATATAGAGAATGCCATTAACAAGAAAACAGATGTGTACGGCTCCAATATTGGACTTAATGAAGAGACGGCAGCACTTATTCCCGATGAAAAGGTTCCACAGATACGAAAGGGTTCAATATGTGCTTTCGTTGCCTGGGTCACGTATATCGGGATGGTGTGGGCTTTCAAGGGTGTTCTGGTCTTCCTATACAACCGACTCACGTACGTTTTGCCTGGGAATTACCTCTAAATAATAATGATACTCATACCACCAGGACGGGGCTTTCTCAGCACCGATTGACAATGGTAGTGGGAGGCGCCACCGTTTTCACATTTCTCGTGTCCTTTTTCTTTCACCTGTTCGACTGCATGCCGATTCATAAGAACTGGCAGGTCAAGCCATACCCTGGAGGTAAGCCTTCTTGCATTGATTGCGCATTCGAATAGTGACTAATGAAAGCCAAGACAAATGTACTTTACGTCCGTTGAACTATATTCTCATTGAGACTCTCAGTATAGTGTGCGTGAATACTTTTCAAGGGCCCTTCTAATACTCTTTATTCCTTTCTCCGTGTAAGGCAAAGCTCACCAAAACTTGCATTTAGGAATGACTTAGCAATCATGTGTGTTCCCATACCATTGATTATCGCCGCGAAAATCCCCCCGTCACAAAAAATCGTTCTCATCATCCTATTCTCGTCCGGTATCTTCGTTATGATCTGCTCTGTCCTTCGCGCCTACTACTCCGTTCGAGACATTGCTCATCTTCCCACCGCGCTCGGCTGGGCCTCGCGCGAAGGCTTCGTATCAGCATTCATCGTCTGCGCACCGGGTATCAAACCGCTCTTCACTCGGATCGGATGGTTCAAATCGTACGGCTCCTCGAATAATTACGGCAGCAAATACACGTCGAACCACAAATCTCGGACGGGGAGGTTCACCTCCCGGCCGAGCCGGGAGTTTAACACACTCAATTCAGGAAATGAGACGCATCCCTATGAGCTGTCCTCATCCATGGCCTGGAATGGTGCTAGACGTGGCTCCTCCGGTGAAAGTCAGGAACATATCATGGAAGATACGACGCATAAGCGTGGCGATAATCCGGAACACGGCATTGTAGTCACGACGGATGTTACGCTTGCCCATGAAGATTCGCCTCCGAGAATGAAGGGGCTTGGGAGGCGTTGACCGTTGCTTTCGTGGGCTTGGATTTAGCTGTACGCTGCTCATAAAACCAAATTTAATTGCTGTCTACATGAGCTACTTTCATGGGAAATGGCTACTATGTATTAATACTTGATAGTCTGCTGGTGACAAATTATACACCTTATTAATTAATGAAAACGGGAAACTTCAGTATGTGTGAGAAGGGGCTAGCGAGACACCTGCTGTGCTAATATTCTAGGGGATTGTCTGAGATTGAGAGACAATGGCTGATGAGAGACGGAAAACTGAAGTGAAGGTCCTGATGGGTTGAGAGAGGCAAGTAAACTATTATAGGATTTCGAGCATTTGGCATGCCCACCATACTATGAAAGCATGCTTTTATTATACATATATTAGCTCTGAAGTATATATTTAGTCTCACGCGACCAGGTTGCTGAATGGAGAGGATTCAAAAAGAAGAAGCCAGGCAGATATCGGTCCAGGCGAGGGACTCGTATAGCCTGCGAAAGCGAGGAGTTACAATAGGCTCCTCGAATGGCTACGGAAACAACTACACATCCAGCTCGCCCGTTGTCTCTGTAGTGCGAGCTCTTGAGCATGTCTTCTCGTCCCACGGTATAGCTATAGGCCTTGTTCCTTTTTGTTCAAGCACTATTGATCAAAACTAATGTACATACATTACAGAAAAGAAGGTGTTCTGAATCGGAGAATTTAGATCGGTACCGATCGAGCGCCTGTCTCAGGCGCAAGCCGTAAGTAAAGCCGAGTAGCTTCATGATTCTTGTGTTGAAGTTGAGTTAATACTTACTGTGGTTAGACAAAAGAAGTCAAGGCTCTCTCTATTTTTATATTTTAAAGTCTCTAGAGTCGTGCATCCGAGAAATCCAGGATCGAAAACTCTGAGATGCTTTAGCTAGTCTGTTTGGCGTCAGGGAAAAGCCAAGCTTCGATAATATCATAATATCTGAAGTCGAGAGTCGTCTGGTGCAGCTCATCCAGGCCCTCGGGCTGGGAGAGTCGTTTGTGCTGGAGGAGATTCCTGGAGAAAGAAGTCCTGATCCGTGAAATCAAAAATAGAAAGTTGCGTTGTGATGCCCTGATCAGATAATTTAATATTAACAACAAATCGACCTTCGATGACGATATGCCTGTACTCGCCACTCGTATCAACCTGCTGATCTAGGCCCTCGGCCTTGGAGAAAAGTTTGTGCTGGACAAAATTCTCAAGGAGACGGGAGAAAAAAAAATCCCTGATAAGGCGAAGTGAACTTTTTCTTCTTGTTTTCCCCAACATCTCCCTCTCTCTCTGTGAACCCCCTTGTCGTTCCGTTTTCAACCCATCTACATCCTACTGCTTTCGTTTCGATCTCGTGATGCCTCGTAGCCAACCTATGCTCGACAATCCTGTCGAACCACTCTTTCTATGGTGTTTACACTGCCTCCGAACTGCCGTCAAGGAGGGCGAGCGGGAGCCAGGCGAACATGGATGGGGTATCAGCACTGGTTGTACACCAGATCTTTCAGCAGCTTGGACTTGTGCTCCGCGCACAGATGAGGCTCCCTAGGTCCGCAAACTGAGATCTGTGAGGCTTCTGGTTAAGGGCTAGTCATATCCAGACGTTATTGTACAGGGATTCCGACCAAGCGCATGTTGCAGGAGAGTTCTGGACTCCGTGGGCAACGGACCCATGGTCAGCTGATACTCGTCGAGTTCTAGATGAGCTTGACCTCGTCCAGTGGTAACGATATGGGTCAGGCTAGGTTGCCCGCTATATATGGATAACTTCTCTTGCAAGTTCGGGTTTGCGAGGACCTGTAATGAAACCGTGTTTATGAAGAGAGTGGGATCGTACCGGCTTCAAGTATTGCCGACCATCAGACATGATGATGCCTTTGCTACGGCTGGGGGCTGGTTCTTTGTCTGCACTTCCGAACAGGAACGATAGTCAGTGTTAGCGAGGCGTTCTAGCACATCTGCAGCCTTGTTACGGCAGCACTTGGAGGTACTTGAGCCGGACTGTAGGCCACACCGTGGTACCTAAATGCCCACCGTTCTTCGGTTAGGGCCGTCGTTCCACAAAAGCTAAAACGTCTGTGCAAGGTGGATGGTGCGTGGGAATGGAGTTAAAATCTCCGGAACTAGGTCGGACATGTGCAATACACGTCATTGATTATTGAAATATTGACTATAAGTGAAGTCAAAGTGAAACTTTTCTTGCGCGTTTCCCTATTAGTTCGTAAATACAATCATATAGATTACGTAAACGATACAGAAGAGACATGGAATACCGGGAAAGAAAATTACAAGCTATCACTCCGCTCACTACGTCGAGCTGCGCTGACGTTCCACGTCCGGGTCTCGCGGATCATTCCAGCCTGACTCGACTGGCTATCTGCATCCCAAGCGCGCGAGGCCGAGATTGTGGTCATATTCCCTTGACCGGAGGCAATGGGGACAAGCTCATGATGATTCTCGCGGTGCTGGTGGCTGCTCCCCACCGCGCTCCGTGACTGGTTATCACGTTCCTCGGACCGGGGATAGGAGGCCTTGCCGGTCGAGGGCTGATATTCCACCCCCGGGATGCGCTGTCCGTTTGACTTGAGCTGGTTCAGGAACGGTTTTAGTTGCCCCCAGCAAGCGGTCACGATGCTGGCACATTGCACTGTCTGGGCCGCCAGAGTCACTCCGTAGTCATCAAAAGTTCGATCGGTGGAGCTTGCGATGTCCTGCGTCAGAACCAATTGCGCGATCACTGGGAGAACGACTCTAATGAGGCACAAGGGATGGGATTAGCAGTGGTTGCGACTTAATGCACCCCAGTTCTCGGTAACTCACAAAATCCGGGACAGGAAGATTAGGGCAAACACGGTCTTTTTCTTCAGCGACGCTTGGATGCGACTGATCAGCACCAGCGCCTGTCCCATAATGAAGACATCGGTCACGATGTTAGAAGCACAGAAGTAATACCACCACGCGTTCTGTTCCTCGTGGTTGGGCCGTTAGTATACGCACTCTCAGCCGAATCAAGCCGGGGGTGGTTTACGAGATCATAGCATTTCCCGCGCGTATCCCAGGTGTGAGGGACTTGGCACTGGAAGGCACTACCGAAGAGTGCGACGACGACCCAAACAGTCAGGAGGATCTGCAGGATGGTAGCATGAAAGTGGTCCCGGGAGACCGGGGTGAGGTTGCGAATAAAGGCGGATAGTGATAGTTTTGAAAAGTATAGGCTTAGGATGTGCAACAAAAATCCCGCGTACTGACACTGCGTTTCGACGTAGATAAAGTCAGCCCCCTGCTCTTCCTCGAGCTGTCAAAGGAAATTGTTTTTTTTCTCTACGTAGACAATCTTCGGTTCATAGCTCACCTTTAAGATTGAGAGAAAATGCTCTTCGTCAATCGTAGCTTGATGGGTGCCATACCCGTTCTGCACGGCGATTGACAGGGTAATCGATTCTCCGATACAGAACATCTATCCCATTGAAAAAAGAAAAGATCAGCACAGGGTGGGGGGCGCCACTGTGCACCACGATTACCTACCAGGGAGATGACAATCAAATAGTCATCGCTCGTGAAGCGATGGTACATCCATAACTTCCTGCCCAGTCTGGTGAGGACGCTGACGATGGCGACAACAAGCAGGAACCAGTTGACTACATTGAGAATGGGGACTCTTCGATCCTTATCGTCGGCGAAGCGACCCATGGAGGATATCTCGGGCGAGTCACAGACCAAGTATCGTATCGCGCAGGACTGGGGTCACATTGATGAAGAAGGGGTTGCCGAAGTGGAGGAGGCGAGCGTGTCTTGATCTTTCTATAAGATCTGTTTCAGCCATGTGGCTATTCATCACGCGCATTTTCCTTCCAGTCTCCATTTGCCGACATCGGTTGGTGAGATTTTGGTCACTTTCATTGACGACTAGTGTGCAGCAGGAAGGGGGGTTCAGTCACCCACGAGGTTCTCTCATTCACAGTCTCTCTGCATAACGCAAAGATAAAGTTTGACAGCACCCACTCATGCTTTTTTATTTTTTTATTTTTTTGTATTTTTGTATTTTTTTATTTTTATTTTTTTTCCCCCGAGGGGTGGTGGTAGAAACCCTGTCATTTTGAATTGTTAATTTAATCGTTCCAGTTGAAGTAGGATCGCACGTTCAGACGTCCAAGTTTGACCCACGGCGGGCACTACTTTGGCCTAATCACGGGGCAAGTCGGAGTTCCCTTCATACTGTTTCGTAAAGGCAGGTATAGTGTACTCCGTATGTTACATGGTGTCAGGGCCAAGACGGGCTGGCCTGAGGTTTGGTCCAAGCACCCCCGTGATTGTACTTGGAAGAAGTAACCTTATTCTTTGACGTTCCCGCCGGAAGGCTTAAAGTGGTGCTTTCTTTATACCTTCTCTTCTCTCCATGTACATACAATCTTGATCCTACGTACCATGCACGCTCTGGGGTATCTTCTTATAACAGAGTGTATATATACGTCTGGAAGAAATATGCACGAGACGTGGGGCGACGGCACCAACGGTTTTTTATTCTTTTTTATTCCTTCAATTCATCTTTCCTCGCCCCCGATGTGGAATGATCGTTCAGTGTCGCCCCACGAACAGGGATGGTCATGCTTCTGGCCAGTGTCCTGCACTCTCCAACCCCCTCCTTACGTGGTATCCTATTACTACTATCCATGCAGTCGAGCCAGCAGAATTTTCCGACCGACGACACTAGTGGCCTTTTCAGCATTGTCCCCGTTGCATCCAATTAATTGCAATCAAAAATTTGCCTGACAACTAAGCCCAGTGAATGCTACCTTGTGGGGATTGACCATCATAAATCATGACCACGGCGACCACAACATTGATCTATCAACTTCCCCTTTTGCTCGCCACTGTAAGTATCCGGTTTCATACTCTTCTCATTTCAATCGCTCTCCAGAGTACTCCATCGCATCGCCCAAAACGATCACTAATGCACGCAACACTCGCTCTATCACATCGCTAACCCGATCGATCAGACAAACCCCCTTGAGAACCCCCACATTGTGATTCCCCAGTCACAATGACGTCCTACGAGTTGAAAAACCGAGTGACCTCCAACAATGAGGTCCAGGTATCCGGTGATTACTCGACCAAAGATCGCGACAATGCGGAACTCGCTCGGTTAGGAAAGAAGCCGGTTCTAAAGGTGTGTTTACCATCTCATTATGCCGCCGCGCATTGCGGTCGGCGGGAAGAGAAAAAAAAGAAAAAAACAAAAAAAAAAACAAGAAAAACAAAAAAAAAAGCAATATACCGCAAACAAATTCAATGCCGAGAACTGACCACCCTTCCAGCGCAACTTTGGAGTTTTATCGCTTTTGGGTTTCAGTTGTACCATTCTCGCCACGTGGGAAGGTTTATTTGGGTAAGGGACACCGACCCATGGTGACCGACTCGAGTCAAGGACTAACATTGCGCATTTCTAGGACCTTCCTCATTCCTTTACAAAAGTTCGTACCTTGATATCCCCCCTCATCTTCGACGGAGCGCACCATACTAAAGAAAACAGTGGAGGTCCGGCGGGTGCGGTTTACTCCTTTATCTTCGCCTGGACGGGAACAGCTTGCTCCTTCACAGTCCTTGCGGAGCTAGTCTCAATGTGAGCCATGACTACCGATATCGACGCATGGACCTGCGTTAAAATTACTAAACAGTATGCAGGGCGCCGACATCCGGAGGTCAGTATCACTGGTGCGCGATGCTTTCCCCGCCCAGTATGATGAAGTTCCTGAGCTATATTACCGGTAAGGGCCCCCATCCAGAGAGTTAGTCCGAGATTACTGACAATGTCAATTGACCAGGCTGGGTAACGACAATTGGTTGGATGTCTGCATTTACCAGCGCGAGTTTCTTTGCTGGTACCGAGATCCAAGGCGTCGTGACCATTTCGCACCCCAACTATGACCCGAAGGCATGGCAGGGAACCCTGATCATGTGGGCAGCAATATGCCTGGCCCTGGCGATCAACATCGTTGGAGGAAAGTTGCTACCGAGGTTCGAAACCCTCGTCCTACTCGTTCACCTTTTCGGCTACTTCGGCATTTTGATCCCCTTGACGTATATGGCCGATCATAAATCCAGCAAAGAGGTCTTCAAAGATTTTGTCAACAGTGGCGGCTTCCCAACAGACGGGTTGGCCTTCTTTGTAGGAATGACCGGATGTGTTTTTGCCTTCGCAGGCGGCGATGCTGCGGTTCACGTATGTTCTTCCCTGACCTTGGTGGGGTTATACAGAAAATAATGACTCCCCGCAGATGGCCGAAGAAGTCGGGAATGCCACGGTCGCGATTCCTCGCGCAATACTTCTGAGCGTTCTCATCAACGGAATCCTCGGATTCACCATGTTGATCGCCACGCTGTTCTGCATGGGAGACGTTGACAAGGCCATCAATACCCCAACCGGATATCCCTTCATTGAGATCTTCTATCAGGCCACCGATTCCGTCTCGGGAACGCTTGGCATGAGCTCGATCCTGCTGATCATTGCCATCTGCTCCGTCATTGGTATGCTAGCTGCCACCTCCCGTCAATTCTGGTCGTTTGCCCGCGATCGAGCCGTTCCGGGATGGCGCCTGTGGAGTCATGTAAGTGGAACTTCCCCATCGTGGGCCCGGTTACTCCGAACCTAACCGTTGCAATATGGCAGGTCTCCCCCAGGACACACACCCCGACCTACTCCATTCTTCTGACCATGACCGTCGCATGCCTGCTGGGCCTCATCAACATCGGCTCCAATGTTGCCCTGAATGGAATCATTTCCATGGCAGTGTCTGGCATGTACCTTTCGTACCTGATTGTGGCGTCCTTGCTCCTGTACCGTCGCTGTTCGGGGGAGATTTCTCGGTATAGCGACGGCGAGGACATGCTGGTCAACGTGCCGGGGGCCAAACTGATGTGGGGACCATTCCATCTACCTGGCATCTGGGGCTTATTGATCAATGGCTACGCCGTCATCTACATGATCATTGTGGTCTTCTTCAGTTTCTGGCCCACGCAGATGTCTGTCGATAAGACGACGATGAACTTCAGTGTGGTCGGCACTATCGGTACGATTATCTTGGCGCTGATCTACTATGTCCTTCGTGCGCGCCATGTCTATACAGGACCTGTCGTCGAGGTTCAGCGGTGAATCGAGCGCCCTTAGTGAAGGATACATTATATAAAATCGGAGGCTATAATGACGTCTTTTCATTTTTTTTTTTTTTTTTAAAAAAAAATTTCCTGGTTGTACCTTAATTCCGAAATTGTGTCGATAATTCACTGAAAATCACCCCTATCATGAGATACGATAGTAATATAATACACGCCGTGGGTTTACTTTCTCAAGAATTCTGGTTGCGTCCTGTTCCTGTGCTCGATACTCGGGGATTCGTCGAATGCAAATTGCAAGTAAATTAAATTTTTTATCACAGAAAAGAAAAACAAGCACATTGTCTATGAGTTATGGCTACGATTGGATATTTCGTTCCGTTTCACTCTTGTTTTCAAGTCATTCTTCTCGGACATGGGCGAGGTCGGATTGCTCAACATATATTCGTACTCGCATTAGTATACTGTCATGGGATTAGCTTGACTGAATTAAAATACTCTAATTGTATTTCAAAGAAAAGACAACAACGTCAAACCCAACCTAACAAGAGCAAAAACCAAAGACACGACTAAGAACGCCAAACTCTAAAAGCTCGTATTTAAAACGCGGTTCCGAGCAAGACGATCGACCTTGTAAACGCGCCATGATTAGCTACAAAACACGACGATGTCCCTCCAGTTCATGCCAGGATCTCGATCAAACAAAGGAACTTTCCACCAACTCAGAGATTCCGACTCTTCTCGTGGACCGAATTAAATGAAGCATGGAAAACCCCGGTGGCGCGTCTTCGGGGTTCCTGTCGGATGGTTCGATAACAAGGATCCTCAACGAGGAATCGTTAATGCTAGCCGCCGACAACGATGGGCGGACGACGGTCTATCTGGGTTCGAAAGCCCAGTGCGCAAATCTGATCGCGATTCGACTCCCTGAGGGTGTGGAGGAGGGTCCCCCAAATCGCGTTGCGTGGCTACCGCCGAGCTCGGCGTCGGATTCTTACCGTCTCGGATTGGTTCAATTGTTGATTGGGAATAGATCGGAAGTGGATATTCGGAATAATGATACGTGGATGCCGCTGGATGCCACTTCAAACCGCGGTTATGTTTCCCTCCTGGATCTGCTTCTTGGGCGTGATTATAAGGTTGATAATGAAGACAGCCGGGTTTGGGAGTTGATGAATACGGCATCAGTATATGGCTATGAGGATATTGTTCGGTTTTTGATAGGGAGGGGTGCTGATGTCCGTCTTTCATGTGAGCATGACTGGACCCCGTTGCATTCGGCGTCTAGTCATGGACATGAAGAGATTGTCAAATTGTTTCTGGACAATGGAGCCGATGCAGCGACTGTGGGTGATGGTGGTTGGACTTCGTTAGCTTTAGCGTCCAACAAAGGATACCTGGGGATCGTCCGACGACTCCTTGAGAAGGGGGCGGGGGCCAGTGTGAATGTCGCGAACGGCTTCGGGGTCACTCCGTTGCATTTAGCCTCCAACAACGGCCATACAGAGATTGTCCAGCTTCTTCTCGAGCATGGAGCGAATGTGTCCCCGGCTGATGATAGGGGGTGGACACCGTTGGACTCGGCATCATATGGTGGGCATCTGGAGATTGCGAAGTTACTTGTCGACAATGGTGCTGATGTATCCGTAACTGATGAGAATGGCGGCACGCCGTTGCACTCTGCAGCTGGCAATGGACAAGCTGAGGTTGTTCGGCTTTTGCTGGCTCGGGGGGCTAATATTGATGTTGTGGACAATGTCGGGCGGACGCCTGCCCAATTTGCATTGGACAATGGTCATGAGGATATTGTTCGGCTACTGAGTGAGTGGGAGCTCCAACATTGACATGAATTCCACGCGAAGCATTTGATGTTTTGAAGGACTTCCGGGCCAAGGTCTTCCCTCGCGCTTCGTCCTATCTCAGTCAACTTTGCTGTATCCGTCATCGCTAAGACCTGTAAATCAAGCAAGTAACAACCGGTCAGTGAAAGGTTCCTAAAGGTACCAGAAGCTCATTAATACGAAAATCTCCATTTTGGTTTCGCTTACTGTGTCTCGATTCTACTTCACAAGTGCTTGGCTTAGTGCGTGTCGTTCGTCATAACCAGAGTCGGTTTCAGAGGGAAAGTGTCTTGCTATAACCCAGCCTTGATCAGGCTGTCTCAAGACGCCATCAGCTTCCTGGGCGCTGGCTCGCATGTCTATTACAATTAACTATTGGTTGATGAGCATGATTCTGGGATTACGGAGCCATCACAACAAGAAGAACCGGTACGGTGCCAAGGAGAAAAAGGAAAAAGAGGCTAATAAAATATATTACCATATGATTGGACAATACCAAGAGGCAAAGAAGGATGAAGAGATAGAAAAACCTACCGAAATGAGCGCACTGCACTTCAAATAGGTCTTGCCGGCGTGGTTCCCAGAGGCGATCCGCTATACTCCACACATCTGACTTGGGGACAGGGATTGATGAACGTTCTGAAACATGCAGTGTTGTCGAAGGTGCCTCTGAAGTTAAGCTAGATAGGTGATTATCAGGAGTTTGCCCTTTCTCCACAGGATAGTTCAACCCTACGGAGCACGATTCACCTTTCAGAGGGTCATGTGGTGCTCTCGTTTTACTCATTTCGGGCCTATGGAGTAGGGAGTCTTTATTGTTTCCCTCAGGGCCTTCACTAACTGCGACTCTAGCTTTCCATCTGCGGATGTATTCGTGAAGAATGTATTGGGCTCCATGATTCGGTATGTGTTTAAATAGGTCTGGTTGAAAGCGAGCCACATGATGCAGCGAGTCCATGTCGAGCAGGCTCTCGAAGCACCCCACATGATAATAGTCTGTTGTGTGTATGAGAATCTCCCCCTAAAAGTGAAGAATTGCTTGCAGAAGTGACAAAGATGAAGAAGCCTTACCTGGGCTCTTATACCCGTTATTACCAGGGTTCAGCGCGATTCTATAATCACCTGACAGGATTCGGTCATATGGCTCCGTTGGGTGAATGAGGTGCTTTTTGAAGCAAGGAGAGGGGATAATGGGAGATCTGGGCCTCGCGATTATAGCCGCGGGCTAACTGCGGTTGGATATGTGATCTGAGTGTTTCGACAGACTGTTCAAGGCCAATTATCTTTCTTCGGGTAAAAGAGCCGCTCGGCGTGCTTCTTCTGCATTAATCTTGACATTTCTCTGCTTCCAATACTCTCGCTCTTCATCTGACCCTACAGAGTCTATATCACGGCCGGTTATCCTAGCGATATTTGCACGCGCCCGTTTCTTAGCTAGCTTTACTGCGTCGCTGAGGCGTTGCTCTTGGGTTGGTTGCTTTGACACCTGCGCACCACTGATGCTACGGTGAATCGAAGGCGGGGACGATACCGCATGGTTTGGACTGGTAGATGATGGAGATGTGTTGTTGTTGACTGCTTCATTCCTCACTGCACTGGGTTGTGCTTTCTTGTCGCTACCATTTGACTTATCCGATGGCGTTGGGCCGCTACGATTTGAGGGCGCCCCTCTTGGTCCCTAAGAACTTCGCTTTGGGTGGTGTCGTTTGCCGGCGATTCACTTCTTGTGTGTTCGATGTGGTTTTGTGTGAGATAATCGGATGAGGACACAAGTGTCACCCCGTACGCGCTGGGATCAACGACTGATTATCTCATGTTGAGTTTTGATCACACAATATTAGGAGCAGGAGGAGCTGAAGGTAAAATAACGAAATGAGCGATAGATAGGGGAAACGACCTAGAGAGGGAAGCAATGGTGAATTTAACAGTCTACCTGCGTCGCGCTAGGAAGTACCCCTGTCGTTGTTTGATGCTCTTATACGGTGTTAATGAAGATGTCCCCGCTTACTTCGTGGGTGAAGCGCACAGCTACACTATTATGACGAACAGCCTTGTCTTCAACCCTTTTCGTGTGATGCTAGAACTTGGAACACTATACCTGCCAGAGATGACATGAGATATTTGGGGGTTTTCGACCCCGATGCACTACTTGAATGAGGGCTGAATCGGCGAAGCGTACAGCCTTTTCGGCATAAATATGTTCGCAGCTCCGGCTGGGAACTCCACGTGTGTGTTCGGGATCATGACCTAGACACGTAATACTATGCCACAGCCGATTGTGAAGAGGTGCTGTGAGGCCTGGATTCCCGCTGATAGGCGATTTTAAAGCTGAAGTATTCATGCCTTGTGCTATTTGCTCGGGCTGGTGGAATCCTCGAACCTTAGCGGATAGCGTACGGCCCGCCCTAGGCACGTCCGAGCCAACCGGGGTAGGAATGGCGGCTCCGATGCATGGAGAATCCGCGGAGTGTCCGTTAAATGTGACTAACAGAAAAATGGCACCAAAAAACCTTACACATATAATAAAACGGAGCTTCTACCTCTATGGGGTGACTTTGACTCTTTTTCTACTCATATCTTGGTGTTATTGTGATTTTGATCTGGAGCCTTTCAAGTTCACAGCGAATTGATTCAGATTCTCGGGCAGAATGGCTGCCCCTGTGGTTTTGATTATCGGCTGCGGAATCGCAGGCCCAGTCCTTGGGATTTTTTATAAGCGCCAGGGGTATCATCCTATTGTCTTCGAGAAGGTCCAGACTTTAGGAGATGCGGGAGCGTCATTGATGCTCATGCCGAACGGGTGAGTGTTGATTTGAATCAAGGAGCCTTAAATGAAAACCGGTCCAGCGGCTAACAACTCCCAAAGTATGAAGGTACTTAACTTGATAGGCATCGCTGACCAAATCACAAAGGAATCGCTGCCACTGACAGGCTTTTGGGACGGTATCTCCTCTGGAGAGACATTGGGTCAATCGGGCCTCCCCTCGGCTTTTACAGCGAAGTACGGCCAGCCGGCAGTGGGTGTTAAGCGCACTTCGATCAGCCTGATGTTGAAAACGAGGCTGCTGGAGATGGGCGTCGAACTGCGCGAAGGGTGCCAATTGGTGAAGATAGAGGAGGGTCAGGATTCCGTCACAGCCGTCTTCAACGGGGGCCAGAGAGTGACAGGTGCGTTCCTCATTGGCTGCGATGGCATTAAGGCAGCCTCACGCCATGCAATGCTGGGTATACAGGGTATCCCCACGGCCTTGCCGAGCTTTACTGGCCTGATCCAGAGCGCGGGCATCTCGCCTACACCGCAGTCGCTCGATGCCTTTCGACGCGGTAGCCTGTGTAACTGGTACGGCGATGGCGTACACGTCATTGCTTATCCTATATCGCCTGCCCTTACCTCCTGGGCCATCACCCTACCAGAATCGCAGGACCAGGAAGAAACATGGCGCGTGTCCGACCCATCGGAGATTGAGGCACAGCGCGAGGCGCTAGCAGCAAGGTTGACGAGTTTCGAACCGATCGTGCTTGACCTGATCAAGACGGCAACCCGAATTGTCAAATACGGCCTGTTCGATCGCGAAGAACTAAGACCTGAGCAGTGGTATTCGAAGCGCTGCGTGTTGGTCGGCGATGCGGCGCATCCGACGAGTCCTCACCTAGGGCAGGGTGCTAACCAGGCTCTGTAAGTCATTGTTTTCTGGAATACTTGATGCAGACTGTGAACTGATAGTATTTTAGGGAAGACTGCTACCATCTTATCCAACTCATGCCGTTCCTAGATACGAGTAGCGGAGACTACACCAAGGAATGGGAGAGGATCAGCACAGGTCTCCCGAGCTTCTTCAAGGCCTACGCGGAGAAGCGTCAGCCACGCACATCAGCGTTGGTGAACGAGGCTCGCGCTGTTGGCGAGAGACGTGTAGTGACTGGCGGTACTGCTCTGTGCCGAGAGCGTGATGCTGTGATTGCAAAGGCGTGGAGCCATCCCGACATCGTCATGGCCAAGTATGATAGGCTGTTCAAGGAGCCGTTTTGAGCTTTGAAAATAGCCCTCACTAGTTTATCAACAACCGTGATGGCGCTGGGCCAGGCGTTCCGTCAAGCCTGAGCACGCGCTCAATTGTTTATCGACATAGCTTTCACTGGTCCTTGTTTATCATTCATCGGTCATCTATTTGAGCGGGAATAGATTGGTACATCATTTTGATGGGAATATATTGCATTAAGTCCAGTGGCTGAATTAATTTGAGTTGAGTGTCGATAGAGAAGAGTAGATCTACACGTATAAAGAAGGAAAACAAAACAGGATAGTGTACATTGGTATCAATCACAACTCATCCTGCCTCACACCCGGAGTCGGATAACTCGGCCCGTAAGCAAGATTCTCCAGCCGAATGGACTCAGCCGTCGGCCGCTGACCCTGCGGCACTATTCCCCGCGTACTCGAAGCTCGTGAGTGGGGCGTTGCCTCCCGATCGGTACTGCCCCCCTGTGAAGCGGTCGTTTTGTCATCTGCAATAGGTCCGCTCGCAGCCTGTTCGGCCGCCAAGGCAGTTTGACAGCGATGGCGCATGGCGAAGGGGACAATAGCGAGACAAGCAATCCACCAGGAGAACATGATGGGCAAGGCGCGATGTAGCTGATTCTCGCAGCCGTCGCTCCAGATCTGCACGAGGACCTGGTACAGCTCGTGAGAGGGGAGTGCATAGCCCCAGCGGTAGAAGCCGGGGCTGATCTCGAAAGGACTGATCGTGCTTGCAACGTTGATGATCGCCCACGTGAGTATGCAGAAGGGGAGGAATTGCAATGGAATGAATGCGGTGAGGATGTCGACAATAAGGAAGTTGATGTGCATGTAGAGCCAGATACTCATCCAGGAGAGTGTAAATTGGTTGCTATTCACATCCCAGGACTCCCGGTATGCCCAAATATATCCGGCCATACATAATGATCCTATGAATGTGTAGGCAAGGGAGACACACAGGCGCAGGAGTCCGTTCTTGTTCGGGCCGAGTTTGGTGTACAGGTGGAAGCTCGCTGAGATGCCGTTGAGGGCCATCATGAAGAAGAACTGCTGGATAATCGGCATCACCATTGAGACGGTGTTGTATAGCACGCGGGTGCCCTGTTGGGTGGCTTTGATGTTGATTTCGGTTGCTTGGATGGGATCGAGGAAGGCCTGGAGGCTTGCTGGATTTTTCGACAACGGTGCGGTGGCCAGTACGTTAGATGCGTTGCGGGTGTAGTAGGATGACTTGGTCACTTGTATGAGGGTCATGATGCTCGAGTAGATCGCGCTCTGGGCGAATGTTGGGTATCGTGCCCCGTTCCACACATATGTCAGTGACTTCCGGCTGCCGCTTCCTGTGGCCAGCGCGGCGGAGAGATTCGAGGACGCGCCGGGATTGGCATAGACTGCGCCCCAGTAGTCGCCCTTGCATACAGCGGCTTTGACATCCTTTGGGTTTGGATATACGCTAACTGGTGACTGTATCAGAGAGGGGTATCCGTTGCCACGCAATATCTCGTATGCATCGAGCACCGATTGGCCTACCACGTCTCCGTCATAGTCGACATAAAGCATCTTGAAAGCGTGAAACCGGGCGCTATCCTTATATTGAGTTCCGTAGATATAGGACAAATTCCCCAGGAACAGAAGCTGCAGCAAGACGAAGCTCATACCTAAGGCGATGACAAAATTCTTGCGCACCTCTTTGGAAGATCCTCCCAGAGGGGAGGTTGTGGCGGCCGTCATGGCCGAGGAAGAATGGGTGTGATGGATATTCCGTGGCCTACAAGGTGAGTGTAGGGGAATGATACTGCTTATTGATCTATTTATGTCTTGGTTTTTAATGTTCTCCTTTATTTTTTTTTTATTTGTTTCCACCATAACTTTTGCAAGTGCTTCAATTGCATCACCGACGCTGGGCTGATTTAGGGTTCCGCTGACAACGTGCAACAACGGGCGAATGAGAGCTTAGGACTTGCATGACTAAGCGGAAGATGAACGAGTCCGAAGAAAAGGGGATCCAATAGTGTCAGATCGTAGATCTCAGACGGCGTTGAGCATACCCCGAGTGCCGACAGCTTGCAATGCCATATGGTATGCACTGACCGCCAAACAAATAATATCTGTGCACTGCTTTCTCTTCGGATACTCAACTCAATCAGGCAAATTCCCGAGGTATACCGCTCGCCTCGACCATGCGCAAGTATCGCCCGGCAGTCATCGCCCGTAATCGTTTCCCCCAAATCATCATCGGAATGACCGTCAAATGAGCGACAAGTCCCATGACCATCATCTGGATATATGCATTGCCATAGCCGGAGTGGATCAGCCATGGTTGTATAGTGAAGACGAAAGTCATGCCGATCAGATTGCGAAAGATGTTGATCAGAACCAATGACTCTGGAGCCACGGCCCGATAGGAGTCCAAGATATAGGTCTGCTGTCGTTAGTGTGTGTTGGCATACGGCGTTCGCTGATCTGGGAGTATTTTACCTCTCCGATAATAGAGGATGCTGTGAATCCGAACGCCATCAGTCCCATGCCGAATACAGGACATGTCCAGTGTATTCCGACTTCTACCCCTTTACCGTACATGACTAGGCCGCCGGACGTGATGATCGCTGTCAGGGCTAGTAGGATGAGCCGGTGCTCTGGCTCTCGGATACCGTTGTTTCGGCGCGCGGCAACGATAATGAACCAGTCGCTCACATTTCCGGCAAACAGGGTGCCAAGGATGGAGCCTATGAGAGCGGGGACGTTGGTAAGTCCTACCTTCTCTCCGCTCCAGTGATAGGGTGGGCCCGTGAAGAATTCTACAATGGTGAGCAGGTGCATATTAAAAGTGATGAAGCAGTCCCCACGTACGAGACTCTGTGGTGAAAATTGCAGCCCACCAGCAAATCGACACGCCCGTAAATACACCAGCCCAGAGAACGGGTGGAAATAGGGCAAGTTGGTAAGGGCGAAGGAACAGGTCGTGCCAGCTTTTGTTGGGATTTACGCCCCACGAATGTAGTGGGTGCGTCTTCCAGTAGGTCTTCAACTGAATAGATGGATCTAAACATGCGGCTTCTGTCCCTTGGGAATATATCTCTGTCAGAGATGCCGCGTTACTTTCCAGAGGTTGAGCGTTCTGCGGTGTGTTGTATGATCTTGGGTAGAGTGTTTCCTCAAGTCCAAAAAACAACGTAACGGCCATAGCGACCTGACAACGTTAGCAGAGCCGTCTGCCACAAGCTAAGCATCTAGATGAGAGACCAGGGTTATTCACAAAACCGATTGCGGTAATCCAAAAACACCAGCGCCAACCCAAATCGACATAGACGTAACCCGCAACAAGTGGCTAACCTCATCAGTATTCAACAGTGGCTACTCGGGGCGATTTAATTACAATAACAAAGGCACCGGCGCTGTAAGACAGCGCCCAGTATCCAACCTTGGATCCCATTTGATGAGCAAAGTATGTGTCTTGCAAGGAAATCTGGGGCAGTCCTTCCTTTGGACCGCAACCTAAGCCCTGCAGTGATATAAGCATGAGTGCGTGAGGAAGATCGACTATGTCTGTTCGCCATCGCTTACCCAAAATACATTAAATGTTACCCAAACCTCTAGACTGGTTTGAACTGCGCCAACAATGCTGCCGACCATGGCAATCAAAAGTCCAATGATGTAGACTGGGCGACGACCGATTTTCATCGCGACCGGTTGCCAGAAGGCTGCTCCAACGCCAGTAAAAAGGAACAAAATTGCGCTCCTAAATCACCACGCTGTTATGAGATGGCTAATTTGTCAGAATACACTGGTGTACGCACCCCATATTCAATCCGTCAATGGTTGTGCCAAGGTCTGGGGCTAGGCCATCATACGCGACGCCGTAAAAGTTAATTCTGACTATGATGAGCATCGACCATACGGACTGATAGAAACGTGGGCGGCTATTACAGGCCATTCATGAAGAAAGTATAGACGCATAGCAGGATGAGATGTTGTCTCTTTCGCGCCGGAGACCAATTCTGCCGCCAATCAGCTATGGTTCTGTCAGATTCCCAGGACCAACCATCACATACCAATGGATCATTCGGATCATCTGATGGAGGCGGGATAAGAACGATCCCCATATGTTTACCGGTCGCATGTTTGGTGGATTGTTCGTGCGTGTCTATTGCAATTCATCAACCCCCTCCACTTGTTGTGGGAGCCCTCAAGATCGGAAGACGCTCTCGAATACTGAACAAGAGGAAACAACGTGAGAAAGAGAATAAGAGACGGGAGCTTACCGTCGATCAAAAGCACAGTACCCGGAACGAACGACGCCTGTTCTGTCCCTGAGGCTTCGAGCGCCATATCTTCCAATTTTCCAATACCATATGTCTCAAGCGGGGAACCAAGCGGCTTGTTATGCAGAAAGCAAGACCCAACAAGGCAGAAGATGAGAGCAAATTGTCACTGGCTAGGCAAATACGCTTTATCCCTATGCCTGGGAGGAAGCAAGGGGTGGATAAGCCCCACAATGCCATCCCAATCACCAGCCATATGGATGCTTAATATCGCGCGGCAAGACTACCTACACTTGCAGGCACAAGGGTTACATTCACTTCGACCCATTCGTGCCTCGAACGTCACCGTCTTAAACATCTTAGACGTCCAACAAGGCTTCTTGGCGCTACTCTAAAGATGACCAACGGTGGCTGGGATCAACTATAACGATGCCAAGGCGGAAGGCATTCCGGGGACATTGCTGACGCTTTGTGTAAATTGACCCTTAATAGGGCCTCATGCACTGGTGGTGGATCGACATAGATTGCTGTTCGTTCTACAGAAAGGCCTGCAGATAATATAAGTCGAAATTCAATTTGGACCATTCGGCAATGCATGATATGTATCCTATAGCCCGCAAAGGCGAACGAAACAAGCTTCCACGGACCCGTGCTCTGCTTGTGCCTTACCGAATATGATGGCATAAGCTACAATAAATAATACCTCAACAAGTCCATCGCCAGGGAGAGTATTCCCCCAGCTCCTTGGCTGTTTCGTTAGAACAGGAACAATGCCTTACTTTCGAATAGCCCATGCTAGGAGAAGCACCGTTCTCCTATTGTGGACTACTATTCTAATTACCTCTATATTTCATTGCTTAATGCTTGTTTCTGAATACATCCAGTCAGTAGGAACTTACAAAGGAGCTCAAGCTGAATATTTCCCATGAGCAACAGCCATAGCAGGGGTACATTTGCCACGTATGTTCTTTGACCGACTTCGGCATTGCGTTGTCTGCCGCGGCTAGGTCTGACCCGAGCCTTTATCCATAGAAATTTATCATTGAATGCGGAGGCTGAGCTATGGTTAAAGAAGATGATATTCTCATCTACGGCCATTTAGATGGCCCTTTCGTAATTTTCCTCCAATCCAGGCGAGATCAGACAGAATCGCCTTGACATCACACGGCGGATGCTGGCTGACTGTGCCATCCTGTGATAACGGGCTCTGCCGAGTAGAACGACAGGAAGCTTGAATACCTTAGCATTTCCAGTATTCGCTCTCATATACCCATTATCGGAGAACAAGTAGTTTGTTTTTCGAAACCAATTGGGAGATAATAAAGTGTGCTCATGATGATGATGATGAGGTTATTCTAGGAAAACTCTGAAACGTTCGACGAAGGGCGAAATTCGTCTTTCGTAGTTGTCTGTCCTCCGTGAGCCTCGGCAGGACTTTTTATGTACCTAGGCTCCGAGGTTGAAGAGGAACAGTCGGCAGACAGAAAGCTTGAAGCAAGTGATAGCGACCTCCCTAGTATATGCTGAAGTGTGCAGATGCGGGGTTTTTGAGGCATCAATTTAACTACCGGGTCGAGCTGCCGGTTAGGGTGAGGCTTCATTAGTCTAATATCTTCCATATCGGGAAGGCCGACCCTCTAGCCCTAGTTAGCTCGTTGATCGCCGCCAAAGCGTCGATCGCTCCATGGACATGCTTCTCCAATCACACTACACAATAAAAATTAAAGCTATGACGGCATATATTGTCGGCAGTGAAAGCTGGGGCTATACATTGAATGGATGATACATAAAGGTAACCTTACATCTGAGAATGGGAGAGGAAGAACTATCTTTGTCAGGCAACACCCTGCACTGTATAATCAATTAGCACTATCCCCTGATCATATAGCGGACTGCAGAGAAGCCTTTGAGGTTGAAGCAATGCCGCAGGTCACTGCATTTGTCGTCATTGCCTGGTTATTGATCCGGATCAGTGCCACAACTAGTGTGGTACCAACCTATAATTTTCCCACTAATTGCAATGCGAGTTGCCAGCGGAGTATCGAAGAAGCCCTAGCAGTGGATCGGGCAGGTTGGGTAAATCCCAATGTATCAACGGACCCTTTCTACACAAACCCGACGAACCTTTCCGATTATGCTGCGGGTGAAATCATCAGATGGGAGGATGTACCCAGCAAGGCATTCACGACCATTGACTATGAGACGCCTCCCGCGACCACTTTGTCGCGGTTCCTCTACATGACGGAAGACATCGACGGCAACCCTATTCCAGCAAGTGGGTTCTTATTACTACCGTTCACGAATCAAGATGGTAAATCAAAGCCCCTTCGGACAGTCGTGTGGACCCACGGAACTGCAGGAATCACCCGTCAATGTGCACCGTCGAATAATAAAAAGCTATACTACGAATGGGAGGGCCCTTTCGCGTTGGTACAACAGGGATACGCGGTCATCGCACCTGATTACGCCGGGCAGGGCAGTGATATCCCCATGGGCTTTATGTATGAGTCTGGTGCGATGCACGCTAAGGATGTGAGCTTTGCTCTCAAAGCTGTGCGGTCAATGCTACAGGATCGGATCACCCATGAATGGGTAGTGGTTGGTCATAGCGAGGGTGGTATGACTGCATGGCGCGTCAATGAACGAGAAAGATACAATGCAACTGGAGGCTTTCTAGGCGCAGTTTCAGGTGCTCCGGCGCTTCGTCCACTTTCCCTTATTCCGCAATCATGGCGTCTCGCTGGCGACGGGCCCGTCCACGATGTTGTATCAATATTCGTCTTGCAATCCATTTCCCGATTGTATGAATTGGTAAAACTTGAGGACTACATCAGCGATATTGTTGCAAGCCGAATTCCACTTGCTCAACAGGGATGTCTGGCAGCGGGTGGAGTAGTCTATGGGAACCTAACACTGCCCGAGCTTTACAAGAATACCAGTTGGATTGAACACCCTGACGTTGTGGACTGGCAAAAGCGCTTTAACGGAGCGGGTCCTTATGAATTGGCGGCTCCTATGCTGGTCCTCCAGGGTACGGGCGATGAACTGGTCTATGCGAACTTGACTGAGTGGGACTATGATCAGACGTGCAAGACATTCCCTCATAGTATGATGCAACTGTATATGTATCCCGAGCTTAACCACGACTTTGCTTTCATTGCTGGTCAGGCGCAGTATCTACCGTGGGTCAAGGACAGATTTGAACATGTATCGCTTACTCAAGCATGTAACAAGACTACAGTTGGACTATCTGGGCCGGCTTAAAGGGTTGTATCTTCTACCAACTGTGATGATGTTTGCTTAGCCACGTTACTACTCGATATTTAGTAATAGGTTCAACAAAAGAACTTTAATGTCTTGCGGTTACACCAATCTGTAGTCAACAGTCGTCCCTTGCTTAAGGGATGGCTCCTCTTATGTGTCTCGTAGATTGATATATACAGAATTAGCAACAGGCTCCTGCAATGCGACTCGATGACAGCGTGATCAAGCGAGTCATTTCACTGCAAGGGATCCAGGGCACGAGGTTGCATAGCAGCGATATCCTGCACTGTTCGCCAAAAGGTCACCCATAAGGATTCATGCGGTTTGCCGTGGCGTATCGAGCTTACCTCAACCTGAGATCCCCTCGTTGCCCCCCATGTATTAATCTCTGGGTGAAGGGTTCCCACGCGATCTGGCCTGATAATATAACAGGGTATCTTACCCTTCTGTGTAAGACCTCGTCGCCTTTGTACAAAGTCGCAGTTTCCTTCTCTTAAAGAAAGAGCAAAATACTATGGCTGAATTACGTTCCCTCGCCGCTATAATTAGCGGTAGCTAGAAAGTCTTTGCCCAGGAGCTGGAGAAAGCCGGACATGACGGCTACTCCTTTGATAAACCGGACTCTCCATTAGATATCGGCGAGGCAGATATCAAGACGCAGCTCATATCGGTGGCGAAAAAGAACCTGCGTGTGGCTCGTCGACCATTCTGCTATCTCAATAACTATGTATCTTAGTAAGTTGGTGTTGACCGAAGATGACTAACTAATACTACTGTATCCTGACCGGAGTAAATAGGCGAGTGAAGCGGGAACAATCAGTACTTTGATCAATCTGGGTGTTCCATCGTCCACGCCCAAAACTCTGGGGAGCCTGTCAATATACCCTACATTGTGGAGGTCGTCTGCAGTCTCAAGGGTGGTTCAACCGAGTCCCTGAAAGTGCACCACCCAATTCCTGCATATATGGCAGATCGACCTGGCATCACCCATGCACTTGGGGCTGAGGAGCAGCCGGCCTCATTGTAAGAGGCTTTCGCGATGCCATCCTACGATATAGCCGACCAGTTTATACAAGCCTTCAACATTATTCACCCGGCCTATCCGGTGTTGTGTTTGATCAAACAAGATCCATGCAGTGTATCTCGAGGGTCAGGCATCTATCTTGGTGTTGCAGACCGTCTTTCTGTTAGGATTTACAGTTGGCAGTGAAAGTCTTATCCATCAAGCAGATTATAGTGATCGAGCAACTGCAAAGAGAACGCACTAACTTCGGGCAGATGATGCTGACTATGAGAATGATCGTATGAACCTTGTCAGGGCCCTGCTACTTCTTGGGATTTGGCAGAAAGGACCCAAGGATTAGAAAGCTACGTGCTATTGGATATCTTGCGCGACAACCGTGTCTCAATCATTAGGGGTAATCCCGTTTGCTATTCGAACACTAAACTGATACTTTCCTAGCACATCACAATCAGTATTTAGTTCACAAATGAGAGCTCTACGAAGCAAATATGGGGTTCAATATATTTAATTTACGACTATCTATCAAATAAACTATACTAGGTTACTGATATCCCCAGATTCGTGACCGCCATATATCTGCCGCATTTGGTCGACCATGTCGCATCCGTGACGAAGACAATGATATTGAGCCACTGACCGAGATCTATTTCAACTTTGACAGTCACTATGGTCAAATGCCTCATACCTGCCCAAAAGTACTTCCATATTTCTTACGTCCTAGAGATGTCTCAATTGACCATAATACGTCAGTTGAAGCCCACCTACGAACTGCAGTTGCTTGCCTAGATGGTAGACGACTGGCTGTGCTACTCTAGTTGGTGATACTCTCATGGGAGAGTTCAGTCTACAATGCGGTGCGTTAGACAAATACGATACAAGAACACTAGCTGATAAGATGGTAAAATGGGAGTTTGAGTTGCCAGATCAACTGCAAAGCAGGACCTGGACGGCTTTGGGTACTCCGTTTTGGGCTATCATGCTCCAATTCTCCTATCACCAAGGTGCCTGATCGTACTCAGCTATTGTGGTCTAACTAATCAAACATAGATACTGCTTATCACCACAGAAGCCGAAAGAGATGCCCGAGCGCACATGGCCGCCGACCATATCGCGCGTCTGGCGGAGGGCCTTCCAGCAACCGAGACAGTCAAATCTGGTTTAATACATCCGTAAGAACATGCCCTTCATGGTTTTTGAAATGGTCATATTCTAAAACCCTAGTGTCCTAGCGTGATTCTCTACGGACTCGGTCCGCACAATCGTAATCTGCCGCAAAGACCCATTTCGTCGATAGCTGGCCGAAATCAAGTCGCGACAATGCCTACTCGTATTGAGCGAGCTGGCATATGCGTGGCCTGTCAAAACCTGGCTTGCGAAGGCATTTGCCAACCTGATGCGAAGGTTGACAGGGCAACACTCTGCCTCCGGTAGATCGATCATTAATGTGTCGTCTAGCGTTACAAGTAATCTAGGGTGCTCCAATTTCTCGGGGTTACACCGTGCATCTAGCCTTATTCATACTGACTTCCAGAGTACCAGCCAGGATGAGTCGGCCTGACAACCCGGCTGCACCAACGACGTAAGATTGCGAGACCTGCATCCACCGGAGTACTTCCCCGAAGCGGCCGATCAGTTTGTCTATAATTTATTCTGGGCGAGCTATTGTGATAGCACCCTTGATTTGATATACCGCGCAATAGTCTAGGCCAACACTCATTGGACCTTTTCATTACTTGGATAGGGCAGAGGGGACAATGCCTTAAGTTTGATGAAGATAACGCATATATGTCTCTGAAGGTTCCTTTATGACATTTCAGAACAGTTACTGTCCCGAAATTGTTGCCTTGAAATCCTCCAGTTCCCTTCCTAACAGCTCTTTCAACAAGGGATCCACATACGCCCCCTTCACCTTGACGGATGGCCTCGAAAGTAGAGGTACACACCATTGAATGATCCACTCCATGGCACGTAAAGCTCTGTTGGTTCTGTGGAAGTGCGGCAAACTCCTCCTCAGTGGCCTTCTGGATCTTAACTGACCGCTTCGCTACCTTGCTCAAAACGTTCACAGTTTCCTTCAAGGTTAGGGTCTTGCCCCCAGAAAGCAAGAGTGTCTGTTGACGGTATCTGAAGACGTTAGGGTCCTTCACGAATCGCGCTATTAGCTCGGCGGTTCCCTCGCCCAGCTCATCACGCTTAACCCACGCAATCCCTGGGCCGGAGCCGTCGTGGGGGACGTTGATCGTGCCCACTGGGTTCATAGGGTCGAAGAAGGAGGTGTAAAGTGGGTATGGCTCAGAGTAGAGCCCCCCACGAATGATGGTATACTCGAACCCTGGGTGACGTCGGGTACATTCATCAAGATACCGTTCGGTATCTAAATGAGCCTGCATTACATGGGGGACAGACTCCTTGTTTTCGGGCCGACCGCCGTATCCCAAGGATCCATAGAAAATATATCTGACTCCGCTGCAGATGGCCGCATCAATGGCCACTCGGTGACGCTCTGTATTGAAATTCCTCCCATGAGCGGGTAATCACAAAGACAGTTGAAATTGATAAGGAGACCTATAACTAGAACTATAACTTACCTTACTCCGGTATTCATGCTCGACGGAAGCGTACGAGATCAAAAAGAGGGCATAGACCGCATCAAATGCGTGCTCGAAGCTGCTATCGTCGTCATAATCTGCCTTGCGGATCGTTGCTCCCGCATTGGATTCGGCCTCCAACTTATGAGGATTGCGAGCGATGAACACCAGCTCATTAGCTTGGAGGCGGGGGAGAAGATGCTTTACAGTGCTGCCTCCGATGCCTCCAGAAGCGGGAAAGACTGCTACAGTACGGTTAGACATGCCGTCGAGTCCTTATGTAGGGAATAATCACTTTTGTCTGCTGTCCGTCTGAATAAGATTGAACCGACGTGTCCAAGGGTGGTGCCAGTGCCCCAATTTTTAGCTCACTGTCGGTCCAACTCTTCACCGAGCGGAGTGTTCCATGACTGCCTCATGCACTTGGATTTGTCACCATCTTTGTGTGCAGCTGCCGATTATAGATTGCTACTAGGTGCTGGAATAAGGGTTCTAAAATAGATGCTATTGGTTCGTGGCTGTGAATCGCAGGCCCCTTCTTCAGCCGAATTACTAATTCCACGGCTATTCTCTGGTTGATAAGAGACTGAGGTAGAAAGATGTTAGGACTCCGCGTGTCTACAGCCCAAGCTTTTCTTGCGCTTAGAATGAGGTCGGGAGTGAAGCCTCCGATTGGCTGACCTGAAAGCGAGTGGGTCTTACGCATATTGTCCACCGGAAGCAACGAACGGAGTTCCACCGGACTCAAAGTCAAGACTGGGTAAGGAGACGTGAGAATGGAATTATTTTACACACTAGAATATTCACGAATATAAAGTGCTGTCGACCATAGGTTAAATTGGCCTATCTTCCTCATAACAGGCACACCTTTGACCTCGCCTCTACGTTCCTCTACCTCTGTCGAAAGTTTTAAAATGCCCTCGTCCGCTTCACGTCAACTAAATGTGGGAGCAGCTCCATACCGGGGGGATCCCCTACCAAATGTTCCGGAGGATCTTGTGATACCAAATGTCCTCAATTTGAATTTTGAAGAAAGGGAATGGGTGCCTCAAGCCCCCAACGTCTGGTTCCGCCCCCTTGTCCTCTCGGTTTCTCAGGGTTACTTCGTGAATCTTCTCCGCGTCCAACAATCGGGCATCTTGTCCCGCCATCGTCACTCCGGCCCCGTTCATGCGACGACACTGCGCGGCATGTGGCACTATCTGGAACATGACTGGTGGGCTACAGAAGGGAGTCATGCCTACGAGCCTCCGGGCGATATTCATACGCTTGAGGTGCCAGATGATGTGGTGGAAATGATCACGCTATTCCATGTCACCGGTGCATACATCTACGTCGACCCCGAGGGCAATCCTGTTGGTGTTGAAGATGTTTTCTCCAAGCTTAAGAATGCGCGTGCCCATTATGAAAGTGTGGGACTCGGAGCCAACTATGCGGACCAGTTTATTAGATAGTTCTTTGGGTTATCTCTCATGAGAAGCGCCACAGAGCTCTGATATCTCCTATTCTATGTATTATAACTAAGATAATGAGTCTCCATTTCCATTGGCACCAAGTTCTACTTGTGCTAGGGCTAGGCACACACCGGAAAAGGTAGAAGACATCTGTAATTCATTGAGGAACATTCCAGTTCCAGACCCAGCCCTGTGCGCAGAGAATATCACTGAGGCAGTTGGAGTCTTCACCAACCATGTCATTGCTCAGCATCGAACGCTCATCAACCGCAGCGTCCAGTGGCGTCTGGGGGCCTGCTGAAGTGGGCCACGGACCTGAGTTCTGCGAATTCTGCCACAACACTACAGGAGTCAATTTTACAAATCCTGAAGGATCTAGAATCACAAGATAATGAGATACCATACCTTGTTGTACAAATTCTAACGCACTGTCTACCCCGGAGTTATAGGATAAATCTTCCCAGTGATTGTCAGGAGTGGCATTGGGGGCGCCAGCTGGCACCGAGTTGAGGTAGGTTCCTGTCGTTAAACTCTGAGTAGCACCCACTTCTTCCGTAGTTGCCGTGCAGTGGGAGGCTAAACGCCTTGAGCCACCATCCTCCAAGGGCGTGGGAAGCCCAGTCGCTCCTCGAGCCAACTCTTGGTTGTAGGAGCCGGTCCGGCTGATTGCCTCCATGTCTTGTGGAGAGTTCCCTAGCATTGAGTCCATCTCTCTGGTAAAGATGAGCCGGAAGAGGTGCTCAAGGACCTTAACAGTCTGCAACGGGACAATCGACGAGCCCGCGAGCATTTTTTGTATGGCAATGGAGTTGGCGACGCCTCTCTTGGCATCCTGCGATTGTTCAGATCCCGGTTCCGCTAAGGCGACCATGACTAGGGTCACCCCGGCGGTGAAGTTCTGAATCGCGATATACGCCACCGCATGAGTGGTCCGGGCAGCCCGCAGAACGCTTTCGTACCGTGGCAAGATGTTGCAGGTCCGACGAGCACAGTGTCGGCATTGTTCAAAACTGGTAGGCCGCACATCCATAGGGACAGGATCGGACGACCCAATTAAGCAATTGTTGTATCGCAAGAAAGGCCGGTGCAGTATAATTTGAATGTTGTCATACGCCAGCTGCAGCGTGAGGGCCTGCAGTTGGAACAGCATGCATGTCTCAACTTCGGCTTTGGGCAGATTGCAGGTGTCCAAGTCCACCGTGCGCTCCAGTCGCAGCTCAGGGGGGAGCTGGTCAAACCACTTTGCCAGTCGTGTGTTAATCTCGGCTGCTTCTTGGATCACTGCCAGTGGATTGGCACTTTTGAGACGATATATACGGCCAACAATTGGGGATGCGATTGAGTAAAGTTTGAATTTGTGCCTCTGATATGCCATTAGGGTCACTCGTGTCGGCTCGTGCCCATTTACGGCCTCCAAAGAGTTCAGCAAGGGATGCGACGTGAGCGAGTCGTCCATATCATTTGGTATCCTCACATTACAATCCGAGTCATGAATAGACAGCGGCCTTCCATATGTGATAGATGCAAACCTGATGCTTGGTGAGCTTTGAAACCGACAGGCTAACATTTTCAAGACATGAACACGACAGCGGGGGAGCCAGTCGGACACATACATACCTGTCTAAAACAAACAATGCCCACCAGGTGCGCCGGCGAACCTCAGTTGTTATATTGTCTGCGCGGCCCCAGAGAGACTCGTTATGTAACCCAAATGCCTGTGCACTGCGAGCCCCGGCACCTAGAATTGCGAAGGCTAGGTTGGGCCTACCATTGTACAAGTAGAAAGTACTAAGCAGCACACAGATTTGGGTAGATTCAACCCCCCCGAGATCAAAGATATCAAACAAGTGGTGATGGATATGTCCTAAGAGATCCTTCTGGAGAGCCTGCAGGTCACCATGCCGATCCCTCTCCTCGAGGCTATCACATTCCGCTGTATATCTGGCGCCCATGACGAACACCATTAAGATGAGCACTGCGATCCCAAGTTGCCGAGGGGCTATCGCTTGAGTATCCATGATTTCCGTGTATTCTTTTTCAAAAGTCGGCTGATGGAAGAGCATCATGAACCAATGCACCGAGGTTCGATACGCTTCAATGAGAAAGTCACAGTATACTCTTGGCGGTAGAGACAACCCTGGGAAAACCGTTGCCAAGCTCTTCTTTCCCTCTTGCCTCATGCGATTGGAACTTTGTGCTGCAATCATATTAGCGCCCGGAAGTGCAGTCGTGTTGTCGGTTGCTATGGACGTGATAATCGACCCTGGGTCGTAGGTTTGAAACAGCTAAAGATGCTCAGTGATTCGAACACCCAACGTTGCGAGCCGCATGGCCTACCTCATTGGTCAGTTCGATGGCAGAGGCCTGGGCATACCTGTGTGAGTTTGGCAATGGGGATGCCCGCTGACCGATCCTACTATGACCATGGCTGTCTGGTTGTTCCCGACTCATCCTCCGTGGGGTTTCGCACGGTCGTGCATCTGGCTTGGCCGCTCCTCGGGCCGTAGTCGATTTACTATGGAGCGCTCAATGCTGTCAATCTCCGCTGACGTTGGGCTAGATTTTATATGTCCAAGATCTATCCACTCACCGCAGAGGGGAATTGGCCGTGACACAGTCGAATCCTGAGCGAAGGCAGAGGGAACACGGTTTTTCGACATCACACTAGAATGAACCCACTCTTTAGGCCGCCAAGCCTTGCCTTGAAAAATTTGCACCTCGCACAGAGGTGCTTGACAGCTCGTGAAGATACATACCTTTAGCTTTTGCCTTCGACACCGATCACAAGCATATCGACGGGTCTTCGGAGCCCGCGTTGACGTTCCGGTATGACCGGAGCTTACGTTATGCATCATTCCTTTCACTACTGTTCCTCTCCGACAGGTGGAAAGATGCGATCCCAAAGAAGAGATTCAAGGAAAAGCGATAGATCTAAGGTGGTCAGACGTAGCTCAGCCACGGAGCTGGAGACAGGAAGACAGGACATTTGAGCCTCCGAGAGTGAAGCTTAATTGCTAGTCCGTAAACGGTTTTGTGCCCCACTGAGTGGCGGAACCCAATATATTGAATCTAAGACCACCAACCTCGCCAGGTAAAAAGGTTCACGACATTAGTGGAGATTCGAAGTGAGCCAGCTTGAGCACGTGCCCCACTACGACTTACATACATAAGCCAGTCAATTAATTAACTAACTATGCACCACTCTTGACTAAGGTATTATGCCAATTGAACTCAGCACCGACCGGAGTGTTCTAAAAGAAGTGCCTCATGCCCTTGTATTTGTCACCGGCTATATTTATCTGGAGCTCCCGGTTGAACTCTCCTAGGTCGCAGGTATGATGTTGTTATCAGAGAGATGGACACTGAGGTGGAAAGACGATAGCGCTGTGTTTGGTTACCACCTCACCGTTGTTGGAAAGAAAATCTCCACTCCAACCTGTTCCACCTTTCATGCCGATTGGCTTAGGTATCTGAAGGCGGGCCTACTGTGGATTTTGTCCACCGGATCACTATTCGAGTAATTGAATCCCACCGGACTCAAAAAAGTAAAGCTGGCTGACGAAAGACCTCGATCTAAATATAGAGAACTGTCAACAATGTATTTACAAAGCCTGCCTTCTTTATACGTAATATTGTAATATCCACCTCCGACTGTATTACCGCGTTCCTCTATTTCAGTTACAACTTTCAAGACGTCCTTGTCCACTTTTCAAGGCCAACTGAATACAACTGCTGCTCTATATCCAAAAGATCCCCACTGAATATTTTAAATAACTAAATAACATTAAACACTTTTAAATTAGGAGAAGTGTCCCAGATCGAATAACGATTCGGCCTGATGACCGTACCGTATGCCTGACTCTCACGTTGTCCCATTCGACATCAAAGTCAGTGAACAAACCCAGCAAGGCGGTTATTTGAAAGCCGTAGGTCCTTATGGCTTCTAGAAGTGTTTTATCTATACCACAGGTTCATGACTTAGAAAATTCCGATTTAACATACCCGCTGAGAGTACCAACCGCGCTGAATAAAGAGATTAACTCCTAGCAATAAAAGAGAACTATTATCTTACAACCCCAATAGCCTGCTATGTCAAAAGAAAGCACAAAATAAAGGTCGGCTTATAATACCAAAATCCTCCTGGCCATCTATAGTACCCATCTTAACACCTTGCCCGATTGGGTCACCCACAGTTCATCCGTAGACTGGATATCTCTTAATCAACTCGCGGCGGAGATTTTGCCGATTCTGGTACCTCCATTGATTCTCATCGTTCCAGGTCTCCAAAATACAAAGCATACGTCTTCCATTTAGCGGTGGTGTGAAATAAAAGTAACAAAAGAGATTCTATGTCATACACAGAGTGTGCTCTTCTTGTGACTTTGCAAGCATGTTAGGCCGAGATGTGAGAAGCCTAAAACATGTGCATAAGTAGGTAGGTCATGGATCGAATCGATTTCTATTCCACCTCCTTTAGCTCAGCTCCAAGGTCGCCCTCCTTCAGAGAGTCAATCTTACTTACTTCTCCCTGTAGACCCTTGGTAATGGTGCCTTTATTGCGCCCCATCGCCAGTTTATATATGCAGGCGGGAAAGAACAAGAAAAAGATCAGGAGGCCCCATATACAAAGATGGAAGTTCTTCGATGATGAGACTTGATCCAAGGCCGACATTATCAATAGCTAGCTGTTTTAGTGGAAAGGGCAGACGAGATGACGTGGCAGCCTATTCTCTCAAACCATGTACAAGCTTCAGAAGACTCAAAGATCTATCGATATGAGCCTCGATCAAAACTAACCGAGGTGGTATTGGTTGGTGCTATAACAGGGTTTATACAGCAGATAGGTACGAAGAAAATAACCAAGCAGAAGAGGTAATAGGCTATCTACCAAGGCTATCTACCAAGGCAGATCATACCTTGTAGCCATTCGATGAGTGTCTGGATCACACGCAACGAAATCAATAATATCCTGAAGGGCAGATTTCGCACCGCTCTCATCATTATACTCGGAATCCGAGTAGCCATAGACGAGTCCATCAATAGCAGCCGCCCCTAGTAGATACCTTAATATCTCAGTATCCCCTTCTCCACTGGTCCAGCTCAAGACCGTCCCGAGTTTGCCCCGGTCGCGTTCCCAGCTTCCACACCGAAGCTCTGGGTAAAGATCAACCCTCTGGTTCAGCCGCAAGTTTCCAAAATCCATGATTCTCTGCTTCGCTGCAATAGCTGCATTTGTAGTATCATACCAACCCAAAACACTGCGCGTATCCTCAGCCCCCACCTCAAAACAACCGCTTCCTTCGCTTTTAGGGTGTCTATTATCACCTTATAGCTGCGACTACTTGCTGCTCCAGAGAATCCATACAGCACTTGTATACCCACTGGCTCCAGAATCTGTCGGGCTAAGTCCCGCAAGGCCTCGATAGAGCGCGGCCGATCCTTTCTGCAATAATCGGGATTCTTGATATCGAGCCACACAAAGGAGATACTATAACCGTTCTGGGCAATAAATTCAAAAATGTCCCGTGCGGTGGCGCCGGCGCTGAACAATTTCCCGTCATGGTATGCCTACCAACCGAAGTACCAGGCAGTGAGATCAATTTCCAGTGCATTCGCGCCGTGAGGAATAGCAGCGGTGACTGCTTCGGGTCGGAGAACTCGGTGTGCGGTAGCGTAGGTCGGTCGTTGGACGTCGACAGCATTGGAGGCGGCTGTTAGGCTGAGGACGAAGACCGCGCACGCAGTGCTAACAAGCGCCAAGAGGGAGAGCATCGCCGAAAGGACATAAGCCTATATGTAGAGGAAGAAATGTGGCTATCTAAGCCGAGAAATAAAAATGAATGAGAATGGTCTCTAGAGGTTCTAGATGCTCGGGGTTTATCGTCCTGATAACTCGTAGAGAAAGAAGGCCGTGCGAAACCACAAGGGTCGGTTTCCAACAGAAAAGTGTGGATTTATAGCTGGAGTGCAGGGTCGTCTCAATAGCTTACCTCTGTATTATGGTAACGTATACGTATGTCGATTTTTGGAGGTTTGACGAAGAATCTACAAGGCATCACGGCCGTGCTTGAAACACTGTAAAAGAAATTTACTACATAAGTCAACCCTGTCTCTGCAATACGGAAACCCGGATCAGAGACTCTCGGATTAGTTTACAAAAGCGGCTGGGCGTGTCTAGATTGGGGCTTGAGAGAGGAACTCAAGAGTATAAACATTCGCCAGGCGACCGGAAAACCCAGGCAACGATAGACCGTACGTGAACATCCTATTCGGTCATAGAACAGGTTTGATGAGTGTAGTTGACATTCATATCGGTGTTCTTAATCTCTAGTTTCTCTAGTTCACCCTCTTCACCCTCAACCTTCTTGATAGAGATCCATGATGCACAATATCTATCACAACTATCAGTTCGGAGTGAAGCTGCCTCCTACAACCTAAAATCGCGACCTAAGGGCTAACGGTCTTCTGGAACCCCGATAAGATTATCTATGCCTGATCTACTCAGTCCTGGAATATATCGATAGAGCTATAGTGCCACACCATTGGCGTTTTAAATAGACTCTTTGGACCGCTATTTGGAGCTGAGTGTTTCTCCATTTGCAATCTGTAACCCCTCTGGCCCGTTGCTGTTCTACCATCAAAAATTTTCAACTAATAAAATGAGCGACCACATACCGAAGTAGCGGCCTAAATTCTACCAACATAAATGCGTAGAGCAACTTCAGTACGCGCCCCGTAGAAGGCTTAGAAAAATGAAAATCTATGCAAGCTCAACCCTCAATAACCGCATATCACATCCATACAACCCGACAACCCAACCATGGAGTGGAACCAATAGGCCCCACGTTCTAGGTAAACTGCCTGCTATGCCACAAACTCTGGGTATGGCCAAGTTGTAAGATTCAACACGTAGTAAGCTCGGACATTGTATGAACACCCTCCCCCCCAAAGAAACACAATGAGGTTGTGGGACATACGTATCTTCAAGGGAACCATCTTGGCAAGTACCCAGTCGCCCCAGCCCCAGAAGTTTAGGGCGCTCAAGGGATGGTCAGCACATTTGCGCACATCTTCAGCAGAAGACCCTTCAGGAAGATCAGCAGGGATATAGTACATAACTCCGAGACGCCCTCAATTCTTCTTTAGTGGCATCCCGGCGTCGTTGTTTGGGGAAGCGAATGGGCCAATCATCGCCACCATCATCCCAACTGAGACGCATACTTAGGTTGAAATAACCACAATGCATTAAACGACGCAAGCAATCGTCGTTTTTCCGGTAACGACTCGCGAGGTTGCAGATTCCCCGGGCTGAAGTAGAACATCGATTGATCCATTACCTTTTTGGGTGCCTCAAATTTGGCTAGGCTAATGCCATCGAAGTCCATGATATGAGTATGTCAAGAGTGCTACGTGAGGTGCATTCGAAATCTAAGGATGTATTGATATTGGGGTACGGTTAAGTGCAGCTGACGCAAGGAGTGAAAGAGGGTAGTTAAGGTGTTCCGCCCTAACCTACTTACCGGTATAGTGGCTGCCACTTGAGTTAAGGCGTACGATTCGTCGTACTATACGGAGTACAATCCCGTCGCTCGACCAAGCATATTGTTTGTCTTTGGACAAATACATCCGCGATATTAAACCCAGGTATCTTAGTATCGTTCAGTGCCCAGTTAGAGTAAGTCTCTCGGTGGGGGGAAGGAAACGCTGGAATAGCGCCGAGGAGTACATAAGTAGACTGACGATATTATAAAACTCTCAGCCTCGCCCCCACCTTTAAATAGGTAGATGATCAACAGCGGCATGAACTTTACCACTGTGTACGAAAGATCGCATGCCACGATCACCGTGTCTGTTAGATAAGATCAGCGTCTCCGCGGACCATCCTCCTCTTCTCCTTCTGTGACTAGGTTTCTACAGTATCTGCGTCAACATGGGTCGACTTAACGAGTTCGCGGCCCATCGGTTTGATTATTTGATCGTCGGCGGAGGCACCGCGGGCTTAGCGGTCGCAGCACGACTCAGTCAACGCTCGGACCTAGTGGTTGGTGTGGTCGAAGCCGGTCCAGAAGCATTTGAGGAGAAAGCGATTAATATCCCCGGACTTTATGGCTCCACGATCGGCTCTCGGTATGACTGGCAGTTTGAGACGACGCCTCAACCTGGACTGGCCGGTCGGAGTCTGCCGTGGCCGCGCGGGAAAGTCCTTGGCGGCACCAGCGCGCTGAATTTCATGGCATGGAACCGTGGCAACATTCAGGATTATGATGCTTGGGAGGAGCTGGGGAATAAGGGATGGAGCTGGAATGATCTGCTGTACGTATTACAAGTTTCTGACCCTCCCCGATTGCGTGGCAGACTCTTTTGCGAGGTACATCTTGAGGTAGATGTCGGACTCTCACTGATTACTCAGAAGGCCATTCTTCCAACGCTCGGAAACATTCCACCCTCCTGACACCGCTCACCAAGATCAATACAAATCTTGCTATCAGGCAGCGGTACACGGGAAGGACGGTCCACTTCAGACTACTCATATTCAATCATACGGCCCATCACACCAATTCTGGCATGCGACGCTCAACCAGCTTGGCGTGGACACCAGTCCGGACAGTCTAGCTGGATCTAATAGAGGAGCCTGGAATATGATTTGCACCCTGGATCCTGCCAGCCAAACCCGGAGCTATTCGGCAAATGCCTACTACCGCCCAGTATCAGCGCGGCCCAATCTAATCGTCCTCACTGAGGCGATGGCCACCGAAGTTCTCATCAAAAAGAACGACGATGAAGGCGGATGGATTGCGACGGGCCTCGACATTCTCTGTGACGGTGAACAGAGGATGGTCCATGCTGCAAGAGAAGTCATCGTCTCGGCGGGAAGTGTTCAGTCTCCGCAGCTGCTGGAGCTGTCTGGCATTGGCAACCCGGACGTTTTAAAATCGGCTGGGATCTCTGTCAAAGTTGGCAACCGGAATGTTGGAGAAAACCTACAGGAGCATATGAGTGAATATTTCCCACCGTTCGCTCAAATCAAACCCACTGACTGGCAACGTAGTGACGGCAACAATTTTCGAAGTCTCGCCAGAACTACTCACCAGGGACGACATCCTCCGCGACAAAGCACTTCGGGAGGCCGCGGAACGTGAGTATGAAGAAACCCAGTCCGGGCCGTGGACAATTCTCCCTTGCTCAATCGCGTACTGTTCATTATCGCAGATCATTGACGAAAAGGAGGCGGCAGATTTGCGATCAAGAGCCGAATCCATAGCCAAGCAGACAGGCAAACGGCGCGATGAGATCCGAGCTCGCCAATTCCGGGATGATGTCAATCTGGGCCAGCTCGAGTACCTCTTTGACGTTGGCAACTGGAGTCCATATCTTACATCCGAAGAGGGCAAGAAATACGGAACGATGTTAATGATGCTTCAATATCCATTTTCTACAGGCTCCATTCACGTCCCACCCATGGAGTCTGGCCGTGTGACTATCCATGATAAGCCCATCATTGACCCAAAATATTACCTGGATTATGGAGATATAGATTTTGAGGTGATGAAAATGGGCCAGCGCCTAACGGAGCGGATCAGCACAACCCAGCCACTTTCCAACATCATTCGCTCGCGAGTCTTCCCTCCAATCAGTGAAGGAGTCGAATATGATGAGTTTGTTCGAAACTACACTATAACTGACTGGCATCGTAAGTCGATTCCGAGTATATTCGTCTCTAGAATGCTAACGACATGGCCAGCGGTCGGAACCTGCGCGATGGGGGGATCGGAAGGGGCGAGGTCCGGCGTGGTCGATGACCGTCTTCGGGTATTCGGTGTCAGAAGTCTGAGAATCATCGATGCGAGTATCATTCCCCTGCAGATTAGCGCACACATTCAGGCCACTGTATATGCGATTGCGGAGAAAGGGGCTGAAATGATCCTCGAAGATGCGGATCGGTACTAGTGTGCGAAGGAGATAGGTGTAATGATTGTACATTACTTTGCAAAACACTCAGTTTCCGAGATTGATATGATGAAGCCATTATGAGCCTGGCATCTACAGGTGAGCCCTATCAACATCGCTTCTTCCCAGGACGCCTATCCCAATTTTAGTCTCGTATTTGTCCACGAAGCATCGCATGGCCCTTTTAGCGCTGCTCAAAAGAAAGCTAGACTTTTCCACTTTGCACATTGCACAATGGGCTTATGGTAATACTGCAAGAATACATTGGGTTATGCGGGTTGCAAAAATAGCCACACCTTGGATAAGCTGAAACGCCGGCTCAAGAACAATTAACGCTACCCCCCCTCCACGCATCAAATGTCGGTAATACCGGTGGACGAATTTATGTGTGAACGAGATGTGGGCCTTAAAGACGTCAAGGTAGCCACAACGCCATTATTTCGAACGTAGCTTTATGGCTTACGTGCGGAAATAACGAGTCTTCAGCCATATCAAGCCGAGGGAAAACATCCACGGAAAACCCGCCGACCCAAGGTGGGGATCTATTTCACTCTTCCACGCATCCAGTGCAGCTCTCAATTCATTCCAGCACCACTGATGAGATGTTTCACACATGAGACTGAAGCGGGTTCGGCCTAGGCCTTGAGTTCACTGCTCTGGGAGTGGTACATTCTCGAAGGCTAGTGGTCTTTTACGGAAGCTCACTGGGGTTCATCCCGGCCAGGAGGCCCCTGATGGCGAAACAACGAGATTTGCTCTTCTCTCCTCTAACGTAAGGCCGGGTTTTCCGAATGTCGTCTTGCGGATACGGTCCCTAAAGCTCATCAGACGCTCTCTTACTACAAGAGCCATACAGTGCTTATAGGTACTCCTGACGCCATACTGTATCTCAGGAACGATATTTGCAAACCTAGCATGATGGCCTACTGCTACCGATGGGTAGTTTCACCGAAAATAAAGCCAAGGCAATGTTGCAGATGAAGACGTAGGACACCCCGCACGGAGCCTTTAAGATTCGGAATTAGACACCAATCAATGTCTGCTCATCGGCCGGAAAGGTCTTTAAAGACTTTTTTGACCACTACAAAGAAATCCTGAGCCGCGACCTATACATAAAACTTTTGGAATCTGGTGGTTAATCCACCGGGCTCAGTGAGTATCTAGCATAGAGACACCAAAACACCGCCACATCCAGCGGAGCAAGCGCTGATCAGCACAACTTCGTCGGTAATTAGCATAAGGTAATGGGGGGCGCTAAGCTCCAAAGAAACGCAGGAACCCCAGATCAACGTAATTCTTCCTCTTGATTCCCCCCAATGAGAGGAAGGAGGGGCATAATAATCCGGCCATAATTCGTGTGTCGAACCCTAATGCGGGTCCAACGTACGCGGCGCCAAGACAACTATATCTTCCAGACTTCACAAGAACCTCGATGGAAGTACCAAGGAAACACCGGCTTCTTTGAATTACGCATCCCCTTATAGAACAGTAGCCCACAGAGAGCATCGCCAGAATGATTGCTTTGTCTAGTGGGCCGATAGGGCCGACGACGATGTTATCTGGATGACGCGGTTTTCTGACGGCAGTTATATGCCCAGTGGCTGGCTATAAAGTCAAGGCCATCGCTGATGAGTCTGATGTATTATCAACCAACAAAAACAAATACCATCGGCCTTTTCAGTCGCTGTCGGCTTGGCAAATATCTGTGACAATATGCACTTTTCAAAGCTCCTACTGCTCTCCGCGGCCACCCTCTCGCTTGCGCACCCCGGCGAGAAGCACGATCCGCATGTACTCAAGCGTGAGATCCACGCTCGTGACGCTCTTGCTGCCCGTTCAAAGCGGGCCCTTGATGCATGTGCCAATACTGAACATGCAAAGCGACTACAGCAACGGACTGTCTCCCGTCGTGCCCGCACCGTCCGTGAGTTGCGCAATGCACGTGGCATCACTACCAGTAAGTTTTCTGTACCAGCAATTATTACTAGATTATTCCAAATTTTGAAGAACTGCTCACATGTCCATTAGGCCCGAAGAAGTGGCGCCGGTCCTCCGATGATCTAGAAAAGTGGGAGGCTGTCAACCATAACATGACTGGTTTGGTCGACATCTCTTCCGAGAACCCGGACGTCTCCATCTTTGCCGGCAACACCAGCGCCATTCTGGCTCCCACGATTACTGACGGTCCTTACTATGTGTGGGGGGAGATCTCCAGACAGCACGTAGTAGAGGATGAGTATTGCGACGGCGTAGATCTCTACTTGGAGGTCCAATATATTGATGTTGAAACGTGTCAGCCAATCAAGGGGGCCTACGTCGACATTTGGAACGCGAACGCGACTGGTGTGTACAGGTACGTCCTTACATCCGCCCTCAAAAGCCTTGCCATATACCATGGATTACTAACACGAGCTATAGTGGCATCTCTACCTCGGGCAACTACGCGGCTGGTGGATGGGATTCGACCTACTTGCGCGGTATCCAAGAAACCGATAGCGATGGCGTTGTATCTTTTCAGTCCATTTTTCCTGGCCATTACGACGGAAGGGCAACCCACACTCATCTTCTCACTCATCTAAATGCCTCGGTGAATGACAATAACGGTACGCTGGCTGTTGGGACCGGTACTGTTGCCCATATTGGTCAGCTGTTTTGGAACGAGGCGCTTCGCTCCGCTGTGGAAGACACCTACCCCTACAACACCAACACCCAGGACATCACTAGCAATGCGGATGATATGTGGTCCGTCGAGCAAGCGTCCAGCGCCTATGATCCCTTCCCGGATTACGTGTACCTTGGAAACGACCTGAAGGATGGTCTCTTCGCTTGGAAGCAAATCGGAATTAACGTCAGTGCTGATTACACTGACAACTCATACTACAGCATTGCTGCTTACTATGACGAGAATGGTGGCCACCAGAACTCCGACAGCGCTGCCTTTGGCGGCGGCCAAGAAGGTGGTATGCCCTCGGGCTCGGCCGCTCCTTCAGGTCCCATCCCGTCGAGCACTGCTGTTTAATCAGTTCTTGAAATTTGATCGCCCGTTCCGCGGAGCAGGATCCTTAAATAGCAACTCTGTTAGTATCAGTTGTTCTGCGGAAGCCTTTTCACTGCTTCTCTTCGTCGAACTCAGGCTACCATGTTGTCAGCTTTTTAAATGTCAGAATTATTTTATAACCTCTTGATTCAACTCCCACACTAATTAATTGTGTTGTGTTCTTTTGTTGATATGAGACTATATGAGAGCACGTGATCTCTAGCGCCTTTGGCCGATCACCGACTCAACCCCTGAAGGCTTGACCCATTAGATAGTAAGAAGCAGAGAGATAGCTATAGAGATAGAGCCGTCCATATAATTGAGTATCTACTGAAATTGCATCCGGTCCTCAAAATGCTATGTGAGTGTAGCTGATATAGCTTTATTCTGCCTTTCTTCCTCTGCGATCACAACATTTTGTAACCTCACTTCCGCCTCGTGTTCGTGGGCACGTGACACCCCATTGTGGCGATGCCACTCGTCTTTTACCTTCAATCTTATCTTAAGGATGACAACCTGTAACAATTTGAATGCTCTAACCTTCAACGCAAGTGACTTTCTTAATTCGAATATATGATTCTCATCACTGTTCTCTCATGTCTACCGAGCAATTTCAGAGAGTACTCGACACAGCAAATGAGTTGGATACCCAAATCTGCGAACTCGGGCAGAGTGTGTTCCAACTGCCGGTGTTTCTAAATGAGCAAAAGCTCTATCACGCACGGCGTCCTCATAAAAAATCCCGGGCCGGCTGCATAACCTGTAAGAAGCGGAGAGTTAAAGTGCGAATACCGTTTCGGCCCTTTAGATCGAAACTAATACTCGGGTTTAGTGCGATGAGAGTAAACCGTCCTGCACGAGGTGCCAAAGGTACGGCGCATTATGTAGCTACCCGCCTGTGGCTTCCGGCAAGGCCAATGTAGCAGCTGCCATCTCAAAACCGGATAGCGTCATGTCTTCTTTATCTTTGAGCGACATGACGAGTCGGATAGAGGACATATTGAAGTCGGATCAGGGCTTCAATGCTTCTCTCATCGAGCCGAATTCTGCTCATCCCATCAGCGTCCTTGCCTTTCAACACTTCATCAACTCCTCCACTCAAACAGTGGGCAATCCATCCATCCGAGCGGTTATGAAGAGCGACATGATTCGTGTTTCATTTACAGTAAGCCCAAGCCCCTTTCTGAACCTTACGCGAACGGGTGCTGATGAAGGGATGCCCTCCCAGAGCCCATACTTAATGTACACAATACTTGCAGTTGGCACCCTTCACCTCAATCGTATCTCGCCCGACAATAAGATGCGGCGGTTCGCGGAGACTTACTTTTGGCAACGAGCGATCAAGCTGTACCAGGCAGCACTTACCTCCAAAGTGACTCGACAAAATGTCGATTCCCTTCTCTCGACATGCATGTTCATGGGCCTTATCACTCTTTGTCCTGAAGACATGAAGCCAACTGACTCCTGGGTTTTATCCGATAAGCCGGATGCAATGAACTGGCTTTGCTTACAGAGTGGTCTCCGATGTATCATTAACCTCGCAGGGTCGTACGTTGATTCCAGCATTTGGGGTTCGGCATTCCAGCAAGCCCACAAAGAAGAGATCCAACTTTACGAGCAAGGTATTCAAGTGGGTCGGGACGGCCTCGATCCCGACCTGGCTGATCTCTGTGGGGTTGACGAATTTACGTCGGCCAAAACAAATCCATACTACGAGCCTCTCAGGCTCTTGGCCGCCATATTTGGGCTAGAAAGAAATTTCAAGAATTCGGCGCAATGTGCCACTTTTATGGGGAGGCTGGAGACCGATTTTCTTGCTCTTTTGAGGATCAAAGATCCAGCGGCGCTTTTGATTCTGGTGCAATGGATGGGTCTAATGTGTACCCTCTCTCATTGGCAGCCATGGAGTGAAGGCCGGCTGAGGTGTGAGGCCATCGCGATCTGTATGTATCTAGAGCACAGCCCGGACCCCAGGGTATTGCGTCTTTTGGAGTTCCCGGCCAGTGCATGTGGGTATCCCCTACTGAACGATTCATGATGCACAACAGTAATCGTCCCAGGACTGTTTGTATATATCTAAAGTTAGGAGATACCCGGTTTTAATTCCAAGATAGATTCGCAACGGCCTGCTGTCCATGTAACGGTTGACTTGATTTTCCGGTTTAATGGCTGCACGTTTTCGTAGGCCACATTTGGTGATTCTTAGAATCCTGAATCAGGAACTTCATACTTCTCCAGGAAGGTCTCATTGCATTACAATTCTCATAAGTGCGTACTCGGAAACGGGAGCCATTTTATACAGGATGTGGATTCCCTTCGGGTCAGTTGAAGATATATATTTATATATATTTTAAACCGAGGTGAAGACATAAGTATCATATATCGACGTAAGATAATATGTACTGAAAAACGCAGCTATCAATATTCGGTTAGGAGATTACAGATATGAAATCAAGGATTCTAAAAGGTGTTTCAGAATCATTATTGTTGTGATCTCAGGAGAAAGATGGCAGAATGAGGCTGTATCAGCTACACGTACGTAGCCTACTGAGGATCGGATGCCATTTCAATAGATGCTCAATTCCATGGACGGCTGTATCAACTACCTTAACCGCTTCCTTATCTCTCTCACTAATGGGTAAAGCCTTCAGGGGTTTGGTTTGGTTTGGTTTGGTTACTATTTAACGTCACTCGGCGGTAGACCGCGGCAAAAACATTTAGAGGGCCGGGCGGAGGGCGGGACTTTACTTGCCCTCGCCTGACCCTCATCGGGCTTTATTTACATAAATAATTCGCAACCTTTTCTATTTAGAATATATAAAATTACCGGTTTTATCTAAATATAATACTATTACTTATAGCTATTTAATTAATTTATTAATTTATTGAGCTACTTCATTACTATTAATAGGTAATCTTAAGAAATTTTAATATATTCTTAGACTCGTTAGGCCCAGCCCACGAAACCCGGCCCAACCCGCCAAGAAATGGGATAGGATAGGATGGGAAGGGGAATGGGAATGGGAATCCCAATCCTAATTTTTAACATGGGATGGGATCCCATCCGGTTTAATCTTAAAACGGGATTCCCGTATTTATCTTGGCATTATTTTGGGATTTTGGGTTGGGACAGGATTCCTATTTCCTATCCTAAAATCCCAAAATCCCATCCCATCCCGAAATCCCGGGGATTATCCCGTCCCAACGGTCAGCCTAAGTCCAATACTGTTAAATACTATTTAAATAACGTAGTAGACTTTGACACTACTGCTCTTTTCTATCAGCACCTATTAAATAAAGTAGTGTAAAGGGAGTTCTGGTTTATGACTCTCCTTGCAGACAATACCACTTCTCTAGGTCTGATAGATAAATATAAATACTGTATTACTAGTGATCCTGAAGTTTAGTGCGTACAGAGAGTCTGCTAATCTCTTACTGAGGCTGTCTATTAAAGCAAGTACCGAACTGAATAGTAAACTCACTGAACTTTAACAGAAGACAAAGAGAATAAATTATTAGCAGTATTTTCAAAATGCTGATATAATTCTTTTTAACCAGTGATATAAGAATAGTCCATAATGCCAGGAAAGTAAGGTTCTGGACCACTCTCCCTATCACTACCAGATCCCGGAACACACAGAGCTGGTTAATTTGCTTTTCTATACTTACCCGCAAAGACAGAGGAAGAGACTTTTCTTCATTGGTTGAGGTATATTTGGCCTCCTGGTCCGGTGGTAGTGCTAGAAGAAAGCGCCCCGTAGGGGAAGGCAAGCGGCAGTGGCAGCCGTGCCCTAACCGCAACCACCCCTAGTATCCCTAAATATCAACACTATCCCAGAAAAATATAACCCGTTACAATGCCTGTTTTGCCTGGCAGACCAGAGACTACCGCCTCTTAACTGTGAAAAGAGAAGAGCAAAATTAATAAGCTCTGGGACCATATCAAGAATCTACATAGGGAAGAACTCGCCGCATTCGATTCTGGCACTCAATGCTGTGGGTTATGCGGTATGAAAAGCGTCGATTTTGTCCCTTCTAGTGTGCCTGCTTTCAAGAATCATACCCAGGCCGCCCATGGTATCCGGCTTCGGGCATGACATGTGCCTTACCTCATAATATCGCTAGCCAACTTGTATCGAATACCTCCATTTTATGCCTCAGATTGATATGGAATAGGTATCTGTGTGCATGATGTATCGCATGGATAAATTACCTGTTTTGAAGTGATCTTTTGCCTAGCAATCTTATATCTGGACGTTGTATCGTTGTCTTTTTTTGGATAGCAGCCGCCTGAACGTGTAAGGTATAGGGATATAGATTTAATCCATTCTTTCGAATCACGTTTAGTCTACTTTATGTCTCTTTGTGCCACCTATTTATAAGTCCTATAGCTTTTTCTTGCCTCTACCTACAGGCTCGAAACGTCTCGTTATGGGTGAAATGGAGGAAAGCTTATTGTCCTGAAGGTTTGGGGATTAAACCAAACTGGTGATTCTTGTTTATAGCCTCATCAATGTGGCTCTACTCGAGACAGAAACTATGGTGCATTACTAAGAATATAAAATAAACTATAAACCCAACACCCGTGTAACGTACTCAACGAGAGCAAAGAGAAAAATGAAGCAATGTTGCCCTTCTTTCACTTATCAGTAAGCAATAGCTCGATAGCTTATCCCCCTTTCTGCATTAGAATTGTAGTTCTGTCTACAAAGAGAAAGCTTCTTTGTGTTGTATTCAATAGCAGGATGGAATTAAATATCAGAAGGCGGAGATATGTCGGTCCATGCTGAGTCGGAAATGTACTTGTAGATCATGGCTATCCCGTGCGAGCTTGGGACGCTGGTATCCCTTAGGCCGATCACTTGGCAGGATAGTTATTCACCATTCACCTCCTATAGGTTACAATTCAATCAGAGTTACGCTAAAGGTAGCTAATATTGCGCTGCTTTACGTCTCATTGGCTTTCCACGCCCCCTGCCGTATATAGAGGTATTCCACTGCCCTGCCCACGCACTACTCAGCTCTCAAGAATTTATCATCAAAAAGGGGGTCTCCAATCCCGTATGAAGACCCAAAGACCCAGTTCAATGAGAGCCACGCCTAAGTCCCACCTCCGTGCTAGAGAATGTAGCCCCTCGCCTCTGGTTTCAGCTGTGACTTTCCGGTCCTGGTGTATGGATTATCCACCATCCCTCCATGGTTTTAAATAGAGGTGAGTACCCCAATAGCCCGTCTGCGAAGAACAGTTACATCCCAGAGACATAAAATCTGGCGATATGAGGAGCTTGATGTAGTTTTTCGTATCCCTGATGCTTGGGCTTCTTGCACTTGCATCAGATGATAATCCTGAACTCCCATCAAAAGGTTCTTTCTACACACCAAAAGCCCCCAACTAGACCGACGAGGACCCAGGCACAATCCTAGATTATCGCAGGGTAACTATCGATATGCATATCCTTCCCTTCGGAGATATTAAATTCGAGGCCTTCCAACTGCTCTATGTAACCCATGAGCTGGACAAAAACAACGAAACCCAGGAGCTGGACAAAAAGAAGGCCACATCTGTCACGACGATTATCGTCCCGCAAGGAGCCAACACCAGCCGGATTCTGTCTTACCAGATTGCCTACGATTCGCCCGATATCAACTGCTCTCCCTCCTACGGGTTGCAGAAAGGCGCCAATAAGGAGGCAGTCTGCATACAGTGTGAGTTGGACTCGTAGTAGGGGTGGTAACGCCCTGCGAAACCCAGACCAGCAAAGGTTGCAAATGCGAAATATAGCAAACCTTCATGATAGGTAGCGATTGCTTGTTAGACTGATATACAGATATAATTAAAGGGTACTAAATGGAAACGGGCCTGGACATGGATGTTGTCTCAATCTATATGCTCTATCATCGGTATTGCAGTTCGAGGGTCGTTGTCTACAATCCGAATACATCATGCCCTGTAGCTAAAATTTTAGTTGCATGCAGAACTCAGTATGAATACCAGGGTAGCAAAGGTAGCAGGTAATATTTAATGTTTGCTAATGATATCAGGAGCCCTATCTCTATTCAAAGAATGTGTCTTGTGGGACCATACGTATGTTAGATATTGACACAATTATCTAATATTCAAGAAGACACACTCATAAAGTTGCCTTCTCGGTTTACCCGGAAAGAGCAAAAACCACAAAAGCCTTAATGCCTAATATATTAGGGTTACACTCCAAGCACAGTGAATGCTTAATAAAGTTAGGCTCTATAGTTTGTTTATATGCTATCCAACCTAGCGAGAACATCTTCGCCTTACAATGATCTGGACACTATTGCATGCATGCATGTCTAGCGCTAAACTTTAGTGCTTCCTGCTTCTCCATGCGGTCCACCACACCCTATACCCTCTTGCCCAATTTATGCACGAATCACAGCGAGGATATACTCATTGTGGGATACAGTGAGGTGGCAGTTATGTACAGGCAGAGATGGCCTAAAGATGTCGCGGTAGCCTAACCATTACGGCACACACATGTCATGGTCATGAAAATTGATTGAAATATGACAACTGATTAGGACGATCTAGTAGGTAGTATCTAAATGAGGAAGAGGAGGATTAGAAAGCGGCGGTGGAACCGGCATGGTAAGTGTACGGTAGGGCCGGGCAACGGATAGAGCAAAGGAGATATGGTTAGGTAGGAGTAAAGTTTGATTGCCAAATGCAGAAGATCGAGACAGGAGTCATGACGTACGTTGAACTACAACGAACCCAATTATTCTTTATATATTTGGGATTTGTTCCTAGTAGGTCGCTGCACAACTCAGAGTCGTTAACTTTACAAAAAGGTTTGATCTTAAGAAGCATCTTTCTAGCACAATCCCAACTACAATGCGGTTTGCACCAATTTCTATTCTGGCTACTGCACTGCTACCTTCTGCCTTTGCACGACTCTTGGTTAAGGGAGTAAACCACGTCTCTAGATGCTACCAATGAAAGTTGGCTAATATTTACTAAGGCACTCTGTACAGTGAACCTAATGCGAATGGCTACAAACAAGTAGTACATATTGATGGTAGATGCCGAAAACTGAATCCTCGTCTGTAAGTTTCAATAACCTTAGTAGCATGGCTTCTTTTAATACTAAGGAATTCTGCACAGAGTCGAAAATTTAGGGTCCCTATATGTTGAAGAGGGCGCCTTTTGTGATCTTTTTGAGTATGTGTTAGCCCTGATTCAAAAACTAGATAAAGCTGCTTACTCGCTTTAGGGATACACACTGTGAGAAATACGTATATGAAGTCGAACCAACCGGGGAGGATAATCTCCTTGGTTCAGGTGTCGGATATATCTCTAATGCAGTTCGCTGTGGCTATTTCAATGATGTCTATAGGATACAAGGGTTCTGAGTAGAGCCTAAAGAATGGTTCGGCGACTGGGTTACTCTTTTCTTCCACGTGGATGCAGAGACTTCAATTCGGGATATGTGCCAGGTATTCAGATAAGATGATAGGATGTGCCACTTTTTTCTGCTTATGCTTATAATGAACCTTATATTGCAACCCCTAGTTCTGCTTATACCATTGGATTCCGTCTATGATATTGTGGGGATGGCAAGCTTTCGTGAGAGTTCAAAAGTCCAAGCAAAGCAAACGACTACACGTTGCCGTTGCCCAAGTAATCTTTGGTATCACAGTGTCTGCATTGGTCTCCTTTTGCACGAAGGGCACATACCCTTAAGACAGCAAAGACCTAATTGACGCCTACAAGGTTGGTTTCAAGGCGTGGTGGGGCATAGCTGAAGCCGCCATGCATTACTACATTTACATCCCCGGGGTTTCCGCAGCCACCGCGAACTACCATGGTACCACGTATGAGTTCAACATGATGGATGATCACAAGACGGTCACAAGTATTCCAACAAATCAATTTGTGCGTATTTTCATGTAAAGAGGACAAAGTTCCATGAATAGAGGCCCTTACCCATTGTCTCAAGATTTACACCATTCGAGTATGAAACCATATGCATATGTCACGGCTAGGGGAGAGTATTACATCTTATAGATGGGGACTGATCCGAAAGGAGCGAGTGTAGATGTGCCTTCAAACTTGCGGGCCTAGAATCTTCTAAGTAGGATGGTTTGGATCCTCAACCACAGAAGAAATGCTTTGAAACTTCGTTGCCGAATTATTGGCCTTTTGACTCTAAGCAATTTCCGGCAGTAAAGTTGAAATTTAGCTCGAAGTTGTGTATGTCATAAGTGGGTCTAGGTCGGCTAAATGAGCCTGTCTAATCAATGTATGATAGCTGAACAGAGCGGACCCCGGACTATAAAGTGCGGGATATTCAGTAACAAAATGATGAATCCCAATCCAGGACAGTCCCAACCCATTATTTATATCTGAAAATGAAGACTTTTGCGCCTCTTCTTCCTCTTCTTAGCATCGCCGCCCCTGTTCTCTCTTCTGTGTTATCACCTGCCGACGTTCTAAGTGAAGACGTAATAGTGCAGCTGGCAAACGACTGGACAGGCGCTAATGCCAACGCTACTATCTCACCTGACGGCTCAAAGCACTCAATCCAGGATCTCTGGGGTAAATCTGACCTCGTCGGAGATGACGGTGAAGTCTATGCCACGAGTGCATCACTTGTGAAGTTTGAACAAGGCACAGCATGTCGTATTGTGCAGAAGCCCAATGTGAACATTATTATGCACTCACAAATGACCTGGGTATTCTTGGATCGCGGGGCATGGGTGAAGTTGGACAATGCAATTTTACAGTGTGTTGATGTCAATCAGACTCCTTATAGAGGGGATCTGTAGGTGCACTTTCGAAAGAGGTTTTCATGTCATGTATACAATATACTGTTGTCTGCAGTTCTTGGCGTGGCCTTCATCAGTATAAGCCACCCTATATTTTCTCGCAATATAGGTCATCATACCATTGTTCTTTTTTAGTGCAGACAAAATAAGTGCATAATGCTTTGAATTATGTAGTTAATGGCACAAGATTGTCTTTGATGTGAGCATGTCAGTGCTGTCACACTTGCACTCAATAGTTTATTTCTCATTCTACAACTACTAGACTAAGGAGTGAATTTCTCACTGCATTATTTATCGCCTGTATAGGCTAGAATTACAACCACCCCTTTTCAGATATTTAACACACATGACTTGGTATACATTGTGGGCCTAACATCATAAGGGGGTGCAGTATACATTGTGGGTCTGGTTCTGGGTCCCTGTCGTCAACCCTACACTGTCTTGTTGTTTCAAAGTATGCATTTTAAGGCAGCTAACATTCCAGGTCTCCAATATATTCGTCATAAAACAGCAGAAGATTCAAATGACATATTGCCACCTGCAATGACATAAGTGATCATGTAAGACGTCATTACTCTCTTGCTAGAGATTCCACATAGATCCGTGGCGCTGTCCTTTGCCATTTCCGGAGATAGGGTTTGTTTCAGAGCGAAAAGCAAATATATGAGTAGTTCATATTAATGCATAATACGCCCTTTTACCTTGCAATCTATCATATTACCTCTTGGGTTTTGCAATATCTTCTACTACACAAACATCGCTATTTATTAACGTTACGATGGACAGAAACAGCCTGATTGAGAAATACAAGGTAGCCCACTTTTACAAGTTTGTATGTTTCTAAGTTTACAATGTGACAGAACTGCCCAAACGTTGATATGGTTGATATATTTATAAGAACATTTAAAGATTTTGTATGTAGCACACAGTGGCTCTTTCCATATATTCACACATGAAATCACTGACGCATTTCTCTGGCAGGACAAGGACATCAACGGTGAGCCGCGCCGTAGGAAGCCTTATGGGGTTCTAATAAATTTATATTAGGAACGATGAATGCAGACGAATACAGAACTATGGCAAGAGAGGTTTTCGGCGATGGACTGAGTGATCAAGCAATTCAATTTTCCTTTCAAAAGTTAGATAGAGATCACGATGGCCAGCTTTCTTTTGATGGTAAGTTCTATTCCTATGGGTATTCTTAAAGTCATTGTTCGATCAACTTCATACTCATAGCTCTGAACAGAGTATATGGATGGCTGCATGAACCTGGAATAAGCAGTAAAGTCCGGAGGAGAGTGGCATGGTCTCGCTGTGTTATCGCTTCTCGTGTCATGTATTGTGTTATAGCTTGTCTATAAAGAAGTTATAACTACTAAATTAAATCCCAGTATTCAACTTGTTTGTACTCTTCTAATTATCAAGTATACATACTTAACAGGCCTGGTCTTTTGAACTTGAGCTATTCACGGCTTAGTATCGCATCTCGCTCGGACCTTAGATTAGGTCACCCCTCGGCATTGTCGCCTCTTGTTACTGAATCATAGAGGATTCTATCATTCAGATTTGACCCTCGCTACGCAAGAGCAGCTAACTGGTTACAGAGCTCCTGCCTGAATACCCAGGCGTAACAGTAATTAAAAAGGTTATTATAGATATTATAGATTTTATAAACAGCAGATCCTGTATTTTTTAAGAGACAGTAGATAATAATATAAAATAGAAAAAGAAGCTCCTTAAGATATTTAACGTATTTCACTAGCGAGCGCCGCACACTAACGAGCGCCGCACCTCTTCAAAAATCTACGCGTTGTTTTACCTTCCTTAATTCAACCACCCGCCATGCCTCCAAAAGCGCGTCAAAACCGAAGAGAATTAATCGAGCAGGAGGATAGAATCCTGCTAGCAGTTTCTGCTTTTAAAAAGCAAGAAATTCACAGTATTTATAAAGCAGCTCGCATTTATAATGTCCCTAAAAGAACTTTACAGCGATAACTTAATGGAATAACTTCCCGCTCAGAAACACGCGCCAATAATTATAAATTAACTTAGAATAAAGAGAATTCACTTGTACAATAGATTCTATTACTGGATTAACGTGGAGCGTCTTCTAGACTATCAGATATATAAGAAATGGCTAATCTTCTTCTTGCTGGCCGCGGTACTATATCTATTTAATCAGTTAGAGTAAACTAGACTACAAATTTTATTAAATGCCATAATAAAGTAAAATCTTGCTTTTCTTGATAATATAATTATTGACGTGCTAAATGTAAAGATTCTAAAGCAATTAAAAAGTAGTTTAACCGCGTATAAATCACTATAATACAATATAGGATTGTACAGAAAGATATCTATAATTTTGATAAAACTGGCTTTACTATAGATCTAGTAGCTAATGCTTGAGTAGTTATGAGAGCTGATTACTATAGAAAAGTGCTTCTTATATAGTTAGGTAATCGGGAATGGATTACTTTAATTAAATATATTAACTCTACTGGTTAGGCGCTTTCTCTATATATTATCTTTAAAGGGAAGGTCTGTATAGAGAGCTGGTATTAAGATTTAAAGTTTCTATCTAGTAGCAGAATTGAAGTTAGTCCTAATGGATAGACTACTAATAAGATAGGCCTTCACTGGCTTAAAAATCTCTTTATTCCTATAACTACTAGCTGTATAACTGGGAAATACTGTCTTCTAGTTATGGACAGCTATAGCAGCCACCTTATATCTTAATTTAATCAAGTATATAGTGAGAATAATATTATTTCTATCTATATACCTGCACATTCTTCTAATAAGCTCCAGCCTTTAAATATAGGCTGTTTTTGGTCTCTAAAAGATGTGTACAGTACCTTAGTGTAGTAGAAAATACGCTTAGGAGTCAGCTATATTAATAAGCTTAACTTTCTAAAAATCTTTCCAGAAGCTCGCAAAAGCGCTTTTACAGCAGAAAATATTTAGAATAGCTTTATAGATACTGGTCTAGTTCTATTTAATCCAGATAAAGTGCTTAGTAAGTTAGATATCTAACTAAAGACTTCTATACCACGAGATAGTTAATTAACCAATTCAGCGCCTAAAATACCCTATACTACTAGATAGCTAGAGAAGCAGGTATCTACAGTAAGAAAACTGCTTAGAAAACATATTTAAAGCCCTTTATCTTCACTAGAAAAGCAATTAGACAAGATTATTAAAGGTTATGAATTAATACTTAATGAACTTGTTCTTGCGCGGGAAGAAATACGCAAACACCGCGCTAATAATAAATAGGAAGGCCAAAAGCAGAAGTAATCTAATAGACAGCTAGCTATTGCAGAGGGCCTATCTTTTCAGGAAGGCCTAGAGCAATTTCAGCGCAAGAATGAGGTCTATGAAGCTCAGGATACTATCTGTATAGATCCAGCTCTCTCTATAGTTGGGCCGCGTATACGAGCCCCCCCAACATGTTCTAATTGTCATGTTCAAGGACATACTAGAGTTAGATGTCCTAATCCACTTAGTAATTAGTTTTTATATAGAAATGCAATTGTTTGGTTGATAAAAGGCTCTATTTAGCCCATGGGCAGAAATCGGAGTGGAGGTGCGGCGCTCGTTAGTGTGCGGCGCTCGCTAGTGAAATACGTTAAGCTATCTCTACTTGACTAAGATAGATTAAAGATAAATTTAAATTATTGCTATTCTAATAAAGAATAAGCTTTAATAGACTAATAAAGCTTCAGTCTATTATTATTATTATTATTATTAATCAATTTTAACGTCCGTATCGAGCCGTTGGCTATGACAGACACATGTGTCTAGGAGTGACTTAGGCCACTGCCTCTAAATGGTCCCTGGGGGCTCTATCAGCCTCCTCTATCGTCTGTGTGTTCATTCTAATCCTTTTCCTCACCCGAGCTGCCTATCTGCGCCAGAGCCTTTAGGCTATGCCCTCCTCAGTGTTTATTGCTTGCTGGGCGTTATCTAGGCGTGCCTAGATTGCCCTTTCTATTAACCTTCTCCTCTACTTTCCGCTTTATCTACCACTTCTAGGCCCCAAAGATTATCTCTAGAGGCCCTATCTATCTCTCTAGCTGCCTCTCCTGGGAAGCAGCTGATGTTTGCTGTTGTCAGGAAGGCCATTAGGTGAGTCTTGGACCCCTTGATGGCCTGGGACCCATTGGATAGTGGTTTGGCACCCTTGATACTCAAGCCTTCGGGCATTAATTGCCCAGCTTTGCCCTGGGCCAGTTCTATTGTCTCGCAGCCGGGCTTAGCTGCCTGTAGCATTTCAGTATAATGTTGCGGCTACTCCACTACATCTATACAGTTAAATACTAAAAGCACTAAGATCAAGCTTAATCTCTATTCCTCTTGCTTAAAACCATGTCCTATATACTCCGGGATTCATGCTGGTATCTTGCTGTAGTCTACTAAGTATAACACAAGGTTTCTACTCTATTATCTAGTTTATAATTTATCAGCAGCAACATTCTTGCCCCTCATTACAGTAGACAAACTTATCTATACTAGTATATATATAGACTTGTTAGCGGTATATCACCAGAAGAAACCCCATATCCGACCAAACCGCCGCCTCCCGCCTCCCCTAGCCTTTAATCTATTTATGCTAGCAGGCATCAGAAACATTTCGTTCCGTTCAGGCGGACGCAGGGTGACATCCGTCGAAAACGTCAGCCGAGGTTGATGGCCAGTGGCGGTGCTGTTTCCTGACACGACAACACCCATACTAACAGGGAACAGATGCGCATCGGCGTCATGAGCCGGCCTTCCAGAGCACAAAGCTTCAATGTGAGCACTGCTCGAACCCCAGCGTGGGAAGCCTCGGGGCACATCGCGATGGCTCCGTACCAGGGAGTTGACCAGCAGACCTGTCACCATCACGACGCCACAGAGGGTCGCCAGGATGATGGGCAACAAAGCGTATCCCACCGCCGACCCGGCAAAGTGCGGGAACGTCACCATCTCACCGCTGGTGTCGAATCCGATAGTCTGCACCACAAACAAACTCTGTGATATCAGCCAGTGAAGCAGGATCATAGCTATAGTCAGAGTGAGCGAGTACGTCAGGGGAAGGGATAGGAGATACGAGGAGCGCTGCATGCCTCGTGGGGTCGACACGCGCAGCGCCTTCTTTCCGTCCGGCCGGACGAACCGCACCCATTGATCGGCGACGAGTTGATGCGTGAGGATGTTGTTGTAAAAGAGATAGAGGAAGCTGACGAGGAGCTGGACGATGTTGGCGAGGAAGACGCACTCTATCAGGCTGTAATTGCTCATCTCGCTATTCATGCCGAGGAAGCCTTGATTGACGCCGAAGCCCAGTTTGACGATGGCGGGGATGCTCATGTCCAAGCCTCGACCTTTCCAGAAGACGACAGCGTCAATTAGTACGGCTAGTGGTGCGGCAATGCCAAGCATGAATCTAAGCAGTTCATCCTATTAGCATTTGATCTGCTACGCCAGATACGTTTCGCGGAAAAGACTCACAATGTCAGCGATATGACCCAAACCTTAGGGCGGACGGTGTTGAACCACGAAACTCGGTCTCGGGGGCGCCAGACCTGATGATATACACAGACGGCCTGAGAGCTTGACAGATCACTTGGATTCTCCAGATACTCCACGATAGCATCGCCCATCAACACCACAGTTCTCTCTGTTTGGGCACGACCTCGACCGGACTTGGTGCGAGAGGTCCACCAGACGAGCGATATCAAGCAGCATTGGAGGAGTGTACACACACAGACAACCACGAAGATCTGCGTCCCGTAATGCATACCACACCGGCGATTGATACTGCTCTCAGCACCCACCAGGCAGTAATCGACCTTTACCCAGAATGGCCAGCCCGGCTTCCCCTCTTCCTGATGAGACCACGCGAGTGTCGCCCAATCGTCGACGAACGTGCTGGCCCATTCCGATGTGCAGAGGCGATTGTAATCCGGCAGGTTATACGCTGCGCAGATCCACCAGGGAGCACGGCTCCAAACATCCCATCCGGTGAACCCGCCGTCGAGGAGGGTCCGGTTGTAGTTCTGTGCTGCTGTGATGTTGGCAGCAACGACGACCAGTGACCGTTTGGTGGTTAGCCCGTCGATATATGCGTCGATACAACTTTGCTTCTCCAGCCGCGTAAAGTTGTCCATCTGGGTGTATAGGTCGTGCACCAGCGACCAGTCGTGGCTGGACAGCCATGGCGGAAGAGGATCCAAGGCCCAGTCGCGTCCCATCTCCTTGTAGTCACTCGTGACAGTTGCCATCGCATAACTAACAACGGGTGTCGACGTGAAGGTAAGCGAGTTCCAGCTGGAGAGGCAGCTCAGGAGCTGGACATTAGCACTATGCATGGCACAACATACATCACAGAATAGACTCACAATAAATGCAAACAGATCGATAGCAATCCCAAAGCCACCCATTGCAATAGTCTGCGCGGGTTGATCCACCTCAAGTTCCGAATGCTCTGTACGCCTATATCGAGAGTAACACCGCGAGCATGGGCCTCGTCGATTTCTCGACGAGACGGAGAGACTAGGATCTGCATGCAATAGCTACCAGCGCTAAGGAAGAGGGAAGAAAGCACGTTCAAAGCCACGTGTGCAGCGCTATCGATGGCTGTTATCTCAGAACAGCTGCCAATGCGTAGGGTCCCTATTCCCCGTTCGTCCGGTGGGTAGAACACCCAGAAACATATCAGCGTCACGACGTTCGCTAAACAAATCACACCCGCTGTGATGAGCTGGGTCCGAATCATAGTCGATTGCTTCGATGCGGCAGTCTTGCGTGTTTTGGATCGTACATGTTGCTCGTCGATCTCGGGAATATACCGACCCAGGATTTTCTTACTGGCAAATCTGAGATGAATGTCATTTGAAGCCTGCTGGGCTTCATAGAATCTGGATGAATTTCTTCTGTGATGTTGACTTCCTTCATGATCGCTCGTGTTAGACGGTAGTGTGGTCAAGGTGCTGAGGTCCGTCACATCTGCAGCCGGTAACAGGAGCGGCTGATTCTCATCTACCGGCCCTGAGTCTGGCAGGCCCCTCAGTTCGATGCTGTGACTGGGCTCCATCAGGGTTAGTTACTAGTAAAGTCAATCGATAAAGTTAGTCATTGTTAGAGCTTGCTCGGGCTCTGAAATAACCAGCCACCCGTGATCGCATGGGCCACATCACGCCTCCATGCCAAGACGGCGACCACTATAAAGGCTGATGCTATAGGCCATGCGACTTTCCCTTTGGCCCCGGCCAACCCTATCACTGCGAGGCGAGGCTGCGCTCAGCCTAATCTGCGAGCTTGGCACACGGAACTGGCTCTATTTTTCGGACGTCAGGAGTACACGAGCCAATGGCAGCTGGGGGACAGTGCTTGGGTCCGGTTTGGGCCTCCTGTTGCCAAGGGTTCGTGCAATGACACGGCTGAGTATGGAAATGAGGCGAAGCTTTCCATGAAAGATAGGGTTTCTCTCTGGTGTATGCGCTTGTCACCTGAAGTTTCATTCTTCAAGAGAATATGGATCTGGATAACAATACAGGGCACTGGAGCCCGCGTGGTCTCTTACCCTTAGAACTGGCCTGGCAGGGTAGTTCGCAGACTCAGGAAGCACGAATTCGCTAGATATTATGCATAATATCATGCATAATTTACTCCGTACTTCCCGTAGAAACCACCAGAATATTTCAAGGCAGCAAATGTCTTTCGAAACTCAGAAAAAGAACTAACTGAATAGCCCGAAATGCAAGAATTCAGGTACCTTGGCCCTCCGCAAGACCACATCCGACCATCATGCTTCGCGATGATGCTGCCATCCACAATGAGGCTTAGGATTCTCTCAGAATATTAAATAGAGGAAAATGGCAATAGCGAAGGCTACGGCTGAGCGGAAGAAGCGCCAAGATACATATCAAATCATTAGAATAAGGCCGCTCTCCACGGGAAAAGAAGATGTCCTGAGCTGGTCATTGACCGTTTGAGCCTTGGCTTTGACGAATTGTGTCTCTTTTCTCCCACGGGGGTATAATAGCGAGAATGGCAGCGCACGAGTATCTCGTCCCGATGGACGCTTCGTTTCCATAACATACCTGACTGAACGCCATCTCCTCGTGTTTTGGCTCCGTTAGCCATGTAATTCCAGGAAGGCGATACGCATGCCAGCCGTGCTGAAGCACCTGCAGCGAAATGCGTGAGTCTCTTAACATAAAGTGGTCGGCCAGACTTACCTCATCCATCGACATGTCTTGTCCCCAACTCGTTGTACGATAAGGCCTTGGGTAGGATCCAATACGCGCCCCCTCTTCGATCAAGCAGCTATCCTCTTTATATGGAAGATTGTTAGCTTTTGCGAAAGACATCGCCTCATCCATGCCCAGTAACTGTCGCGTCATCATTAACAGCTTCCAACGTTGGTCTACATCGGCAACCTGTTCCTTGCGGGAAACAGGAGGCATCAATTCAGAATAGTTCACCGCCAGCCGTTTACCGCGTGCCAAATATGGCTGGAAATTGTTACTAAAATGAGAGCCACCATACTCGCCTATATAACCATGCCAGTTGTCCCTGCCTTTGACGCGGCCTGTTAGGTCCAATGTAGGGTTTTCAGGAACGTACTGCCCAGAGGTCTCCAAAACAGGTAGGACTTGCACATGCAATCCCAGCGACTGGAAAATAGAGTATAATACCACGTCCGATCCTTTTAGACCCCTTCTAAGTTTATACTTGGCGAGGTCGGAGGTATGCGGATAGGCGTGGGAACAGAACATCCCAAGAACGCCACCTATTTCCTCGAGTTAGACTGTAGTTACCAAACAACCAAAATGACAGGGCCAGATGGAGAAGACAATAGTCACCGTCATCCAGAAATCCGGGCTTCGAGACAAGATCCTTGATCCAATTGTACAATGGCAGCGACTGGGGATCCATTACGGATGGCAGCACGCTTTCCACGGACTTCGTGACGTACAGATTATATGTCAAGGTGATCCGGTCGCCTTCAGTTATGGTCTTGATCTCATGTTCACAGTCGCTATAGAAAGCTGCCCATTGGATGTCCGTTGCACTCCTTGGTGCCCAGTCAAAATCGACCTCTTTTCCCTGGTGGCGTACGAGCAGATTCCCGCCTTTGAAACATGCTGGGAGACAAACAACCAAAGATCCAATTTGGGCGTCCGAGCGAGGCGTATCGACATGGCTTCTGAAAAGCCCAGAGGGGCCAGAGTAGACCTATGAGTATTGTGAGCTAGCTAGGCCACCGCAGTGGAGAGATTCACGTACGTTCATTTTGTAGAGCTCCGCATGAAGCTTGCGTGCCTCTAATTTGTTCTTCACCTCGCTGACAATACTTGGAAGAAGCACCTTTTCAATGACGGCGATGATCCCAAAGTCCGCCGGATGGAAGCTTGTCGCGAAGTTCTTGGGGTCGAGCTTTCCAGCTTTTCGGTAGGACGGGTCGATGACATCCTGGTCTCCACGACCAAAGCTGGCTGGTCGAAAGCTCGTAACCATGTCACATAATGCCTCTGAGCTGGCATCATTATTGTGTTGGTTAAGTGGCAAAACGAGCTTCTTCGCCGAGCTACCATTCTCCTGGGACCAAAAAATGTTGATTGGGCCCGAAGCTCGCGGGTAACTCTCTGGCGGTGCAGTTGTCTCGTCGATAGAAATACTACCACCACAAGCATAGGAAGCAGTCGTCCGTTGGTTCTCAATAAAGTCTTTCAATTGACGACAGGACTCAATGAAGTGCGTGCCAGTCGAACCAGCTGGTGGAACGGGGCCACTGTATCCAGCGCGTTGCCGATAGTGCTTGTCCATCAAGACATCGAGTAGCTCGTTGGGGACACTGTCTTGCTTTGCTGTCTCGCCATTGGTTGGGATAGGGATAGAATCCCACCTCTTCTGCAGCCTTTTCAATAATTTTCCCGTGTTCAACACGTCCACCACACCATCCAGGTAACCGGGCACCAAGCGGTTCAAGTTATCTCGGAGCTCCGCTTTAATTTCCTCCAACCTAGACCCCGCGAATTCATCCAAGTTTATTGGATAGCTACGACCCTGTCGGTAGTCTGGCTTTATCTCTTTCAAAAAATAGATAAACCAGTCGAGACAGGCATCTACCTTGCAGCCCTGCGAGCAAGAATGTGTTAGTATCCCTCCAGTAATGGAATATGTTTCGGTAAAGACCTCGATCATGACCCGATTAACTTCATCTTCCAGCTCAATCACCGTATGAGCGTATTCTCCAACAGGAACATTATCATAATACTCTCCGGTCCAAACGTTCTCATCGAAAACATGGTGAGTGCCATCGTCAGCCATCGTGTTAAGGACAGGTATTATAATATGTAGGTGAATGAAGCTCGTGAAATGCAGGTTATTAGTTCGGGTAGTTATGGAGAGGATAGAATTCGGTCTATTTAAGTGCTTTGTACTGAACGGTATGGTTATTCAATCACTTGACACACTGCCTAAACAAGGGGGGGTGCTGCCTCGAGGTAGGCGGCAGTCCAGGCAGCAGACGAACCCTAACTATATTTCAAGTTTAGGAAGAGTCTATATAACGACGGTTTTATTACCCCTCGCATCGAGTCAGGCCCTTGCCTACATCTATAGTATGTGATTCAAGTTCTCTTGTCGTTGTACAAAAGTAAGAAACATGGAAGTTGGTAAGAAAATGGAGGTTATTGATGTTGACTAGGGTGAAGGTGATCACTGGTCTTGTGTCCCAAACACGTCATACAGTAATTCACAACCATGGACCATCCTGCGAAGGCGTAAACACCACCTCACACAATGGTCACCTTTGTATATCTATTCTCTTGGAAATTCAATCTGTGGAGACTTGGCCAAATAGGGAGATAGCTGTGATCAAGAGCAGGGGATATATATTGGGTCGAATAGACTCGGTGGAAGATGACAATTATCGATATAATAGACAAAGTGTGCAGATATCCTTCAATTCTGCGCCGAGGCCACTGAGCTAGGAGAGTGAATGGGGTACTCAATGGACACTCCAAGCTTCAGCAAAACTATTCAGGAAGGAGACGTTCTCTTTCTTTTTCGGGGAGCTTCAAAGCCAAGTATAATTACAATGTGCGAGGATTAAAGAAGACGGGGCAGGCCGCGTGGGAGCGCTACGAGCAGATAGGTCGATAGGCATGATCTGCGTGTATTGTACATTATCCGCATTAAAATTCATGAAAATCAAACAAACAATCTATATGTCCAGCTCCTAAACTCAGCAAGCCCTAAGGCTCCTGGCTTGGATCATCTCCACTTAAAATAACAAAAGGCAAGAAACACAAAAACCTCAAATAACAACCCTAAAGCAGAATAAGAAACCAGCCTAATTATATGAATCCTCAAACACCGATCCAACTTCGCCGTAAACGAGCTCCGCGTATGTATCATCGTCACATTATCACTCACCACCCAATCCCCATCCTCCCACGAATGCCAATACATCACCTACCGACCATGCAGCAACGAATCCAACGTCTGACAGATCTCGTCCGAGTTCACCACATCCTGAATAGTGATATACATAGGGTCGAAGGCGGTCTTCTCTTGCGGCCACGGCTGATGGCACCGCAGACAGGGCCTGCGGTGCGCGTAAGAGGCACGACTAGGAACCATTTCTTCTCCTTGCTCTCCCTTGCCCTGCAATGTTCCTTCTCCACCTCCCTCTGACCCCACGGATCATCTCTCGTCCGCCAAAACACACACTGCCAAGTACCGTTTATATGAATGCATTTCACCTTCCTGTACACTTAGAATGCCACTCGGTTGCACCACGGCTCGTTGGTTTCACCGTGGCAAATGCGCTCCCATGAGCAACGAATCCAAATTTTCTTCCTTGGGCCATCAAGCGTTAGCTGGGACACTCGGCGCCCCAAGACGGAGAACATTGCTCCACCATCCGGCGAAGGTATGTGCGGGGTATACCCCAATTTGTTATGGAGGGGCCTTGCTTAGCAGTGATCTTTTAGATATTACCCAAAATTTCAGTGGCCTTAGCGACATGGGCGACGTTGATATGGATATTGACGATTTGCCCCATCCAGACACTCTGTTTTTCTGGGCGCAGAATAACGGTGATGCAGGGAGGCGTCAATTATCGGTCACTCCGCGGTGCGTGAATGATAGAGTACTTCACATCGTTAGCAACTCAGCCGTCTCTGGGATTTCTAATGCAGATTTATCTTCCTCCGAAAGCCCCGAATGACAATGACGATGCCAGTCACGTGAATCGTACTCTTGACGAAGGCGAGGGACGCCTGTCGGATGTGACACGATCGGAGGATCATCCCTTCTTACTGCAGTCGACTGAGCAATAGCTCCTGCAGCCTGGCATTCAGAACTACACCGAGAGTACCTGCCAAAATCCTGCTCGAGGAGCTGCTGCATGATCTTATGTCCATACTCTCCTTTATTTGCCGCTGCTGTCTTGACCACATCTTTAGAGACAGGTAGGCTCTTTCCATAGTGCTTGAGAAGCTGCTGCATAATCTTATGTCTATGCTTTCCTTCATTTGCTGCTGCTGCCTTAGCCACATCTTCAGAGACTGGTGATTTCTCTCCACAGTGCTCAAGGAGATACTGTATGATCAGATGTCCATACTCTCCTTCATTTGCTGCTGCTGTCTTGATCACATCTTCTGAGACTAGCAGGCTCTTTCTACCCCATCTATAGCCCCTTCTATAGAGCATGAGGAGTTGATGTATGATCCCATGCCCATATTCTCCTTCGTTTGCTGCTGCTGTCTTGATCATATCTTCAGAGAGTGGTAGGCTCCCTCTATAGCGCTGGAGAAGCTGCTGCATGATCTCATGCCCATATTCTCCTTTATTTGCAGCTGCTGCCTTGACTACATCTTCAGAGACTGGTAGTATCTTTTCACTGTGCTCAAGAAGCTGCTGCATGATTTCTTCTCCATGTCTTCCTTCATTTGCTGCTGCTGTCTTGATCACATCTTCAGAGACAGGTAGGCTCCTTCCACAGTGCTCGAGGAGCTGCTGCATAACCTTATGTCCATGCTTTCCTTCATTTGCTGCTGCTGCCTTGACCACATCTTCAGAGACTGGTAGACTCTCCCCAAGATGTAGAAGTAGATATCTTATTCGGTCTGTAGGATGTTTTCGTTGCTGGACCTGTATCATAATATTATCTATGATAAGTGATATATCATGCAGTCTTTTTGCCTTTTCGAAGGCCTCTTCTTGGTACCGTGGCGCCACAGTTATGAGCTCTCCTTGATCTGTCTGTCTGCTGTTGCTCTCCCTATCAGCCAGGGGTATTTCCCAGGTTATATAAATGTCATTGAGGGACCCCTGTACAGGAAAGTCGTTTTGAGCAGGAACTATATCAGACCTGTCTATGTTTTTGTGGGGCTGAAGTTTTGTCGTACTCACAATAACAGTGAAGCGGTCGTTGCAAAGTTTGAGAATGGTAGGGCTTGAAGCTCCTTGTAAAAGACAAATAATATTACCTTCATGAATTGACTCCGCAGAAGCTTGCAGAGTCCACTGGGTGCCCCATTTACTTTGACAACCTAGTTGATGAGCAGTATCATTATAGATGACGTTGATCTGTTGATGGCCATACTTGGAAGTACCCTCTTCAACAGAATCAACATAACCTAGAATCCACCCCTTTCCTTTGATCACAGCGACTTGTGCCCCAGGCCATGTCTCTACAGAGCATGAACTTGGAAATATATGCATAGCGACTTGCTTGAAGACCTCATTCCATTGAAGGCGATAGTTTGGTTTCAAACCAGCTTTATCAGCATTTTCATTACTCAAGCCTAGCAATGCGTATACTTTGTCGTGCGGCTTAGTAGCATTGTGATTGCGGTACATATCAAGCAGTTCGCCTATAGCAAGTGTTCCATGTGAATCAATGTCATAGCTTGGTCGGAAAAGCGCCCCCCTTATAAGAGACAGGACTGGGAGAATAGACCTTGGGAGTTTAACAGAGTGCCTCAAGTTACTGAGGCCTTCACAGAAAATATGTCCGTTTACTTCCACAGAGCCACAGATGATAGAAATACATCGTGCGACACCAACCTCCTGGAGCACCTAACACAACTGGTTAGATTGTGATATATAGATATTTCAATGCTTTCTTACCCATATACGCTGGAACCATTCCCGTTGTAATAACCTTAAACATGCAGCTTCACTTGTGTCCCAGTTCTGAGCCAATAAGGATTTGTCCTGTAGGCTTTTATCTTCTGCTAGGTAGTGGATTGTTTTTAGTGCTTTGTCACCATCTGCCATAGCTTCTCCAAGCCAGACAATGACGCGATTAGCTTGTGCATAAATCGCCCGCATAAGTGGGATCTGTATGCTCTTCTCATCATCATCATCTTGATTGATACATATCGCATCGACCCATATTGTTCTCTCCAGCTGAGGATGTCGGAGATAAGTCAAGGCTGTGTAGAGGTTCTGCGTAATAGAAAAGGCACTTCCGTTAAGAATTATTGTATTAGGTTTCATTTCGCTGCCCCATACATAGGACAGCGCCTCGTAGGGATGCTTCCTGTCGCTCCTTTCTGGTAGACTATAGTTGAAGAGCTCGCATTTTATCTGGATATCATTTTTCTCGGGCGGCAAAAGACGGGCTAGGCGAACAGTATCTGGCTTGAGCTGAAGCGTCGAATAATTAGTGGGGAACATCTCCACTTAGGTGATGTGTTTCGGCTCTAGAAGTATGAGTTATGGTGTAGTAGGTCCCTTTACTTTATTTAGCGAAAAGATCCACGAGGTGGTTCTGAGGCCCAAAAAGGAGAGAAATCTTAGTTCCAGCTAGGTCAAGCTTAAATCGGGGTTATGGGGGGATACCCCTCGTTGTTAGTACTAATTTGGTTAGGGTAAGCATACATTAACGTGACTAGTCTTAATAGGCCTAGTTATTGTACTCCCTATCTGGAACTGGGAATATCCCAGGTGAATTCAGAGGAAGATAATAAATCGAAAATACCGACAAAATTCAAGGATGCAGTGCCAGACTCGGAGAGAGATTGAGACAACAAAAGATCAAGTGACATGGCACTCATCATCGCAGATACTATCATGATAGCCATGAAAATGATATCGGAGAGCCATGGGAGGCAGCTAATAAATTACCTACCTGATCAAAATGGTTGCAGGAAATGCTGAATGGGGAGGTGATATCATGAGGCGGTTACTTGAGGAAAGAGGCGAGAGCCTACCGGTCTCAGAAGAAATGGTTAAAATCGCAGCTGGGAATACTGGATACGGAGGTAATATTATAAACCAGCTACCTTCGACAAAGAGGTGAAAGCCTACCGATCTCAGAAGAAGTGGTCGAAGCAGTTTCTAAGGGTAGATGCGGTAGATCCGTAATTGGGCGTCTAAACAACCTATACTACTGGCGCCACTTTAGTAGTTAGTGTATCTGAAATATACTCTCACATCCTCTCATATTTTCATATCTCTTATCCAAATGAGCGTATAGGAAAAGGAGGGAATTTATGCTTTGCTATCTTAGTCATAGAATATATTATTTTACCCAGCCAGTGTACCCGAGAATGTGGCTGTCAACTACATGATTTCAGACCATGCCTCATGGGCTGAGTATGCGATAGTCATAACTTATACCTGAGGGTGCCAGGCACTTGGTACGGAGAATGCCATTTTAATTGTACTACTCCCTCGAGTCTAAAGTACGCGGCTAAGATCGGCTGACGCTGCGACCAGAACACAGGCGTCGGGCCGTCGGCGATATTGAAGGCCCGCGCGTGCTCTTTTTTTTTTTTTTTTTTTGGCGTGGTTGGAGGGAAAGCGTGGATGCAAAATCTCGCAATGATGCCCTGGTTGGAGTCGGTGGATCGGATGTGCCAAGTGGTCTCGTTTCCCGGAAAGGCCACCCGCGCCCCTTCGCCCTCCAGCTCACGATAAATACTCAGGTAGTTGGCCATTGTTTGTGCCATGCTATTGGCATTGCCAAAAGGGGCAACGCGCCACCTATAGGGATTAGAAACGAGAGGAGTCACCGGAATGAATGTGAGTCAGTGAAGCAATTACTACAATTTCCGGCCAGACTTCAGACCACGACCATGACTTGCCAGCGGACAATTCATGGAGTAGGTTAGCCTGAAGATAATAGAATAGATCCTTTGCAAGCTCGGGGTGTACACAAGGGAGGTCTTCGCCCAGCGGCACTTGACCCCGGGAGGGAAATTTATCAAGAAGATATACACCATATGCCTATGCTGTAGGTGAGGAGAGATGCTCAGCACCGATGGGGTTACCTCTCACCTTGGTTTCAGTGACCAAGGTGACAAAAGGAGAGTTTAGGAGAGAGCTTCTCGAATGCCTGCTTCGTCAATTTATTATTCTGTCTGAACGAGGAGGATAGCATACACAGAAACATCAGTATTCACACTCCTATGGTGGCTAAGCTCCTTGGTCTATCCACCTCAAAAGGGTCCACCGGTGGTTCGGCGTATGGGACCACAAGTCGTCGTGGGGATGGAAACCATCCATATCGCAAATCTACCAAACTGGGCAACATGCTATCGCGAGCAAAAACAGTTGTGGAGATCAGTGCGAATGGGCCAGAGGAACGCATTCATCCCATTCAGTCCACCATGGGCATCGAGTTCAGAACATCAGTAAGCGTTGGTATAAACCGGAAGGTAAATGATTTGCCTCAATGTGCGCCATCAAGCCCGAAGGCCTGAATTCACTTACTACTTTTTCTATTTTTGTGTAAATGCCTGTCTTCTCATTCCTGAAGTGTGCATCCCTGGCAGTAATAGTCAAGTAGTGTATAAATGAAATGTTTTGCAGCGAGATGGATCCTGTTACCCGATTCGGGTCTCGCCGCTTTCCATTCTTATCCAATTTCGAGTCGCAAGGTATACAAGCCAATGAAGGCCAAATAGACTATCGCGAGCCTATATATTAATAATTAAATATACCTTTAAAAGACCTAATACCTCCGCCAGCTTTTTTTTTTTTTCTTTTTTGGTAAAGGTGCAGTGGAAAGAATTGATCGTGTTATGGGACTGACTTACAGGCAGCCCTATATCATGGGAAGCTCTGCCTAAGGCATCGCTGCCAAGCCTTTACCCCACAAATATTTCGTACGATGTGTTATTTCTGTTAATTAGCTATTTCTTCTTGTTCAATAGGCACGCTTAGGTGAGAACAATCTATTCGTCCCGTAACAGATCGCGGGACATCTAGTGGATCAATATAGGCCATAAATGTTAAATAGTCGGCTGCTAATTCATCTAGTTGCCAGATTTATAAGAAAGAGACCTACCATGTCATTGCTACTGGAATCTGTATCTCAGGATAGTGTCCATTATCTTTAAATTTCTGGCTTAGTATTTTTATTGTGCTTCTCTCTGCCTATCTAATAATAATAGTTAACTACTCAGATATTAGTGGTGGGACCGACCACCCACTGGCGAAAAGGCGGTGGGTGGTCGGTCCCACCACTAATATAAGCTGCTCAAGAAGCGCAGTAGTTATATAGTCATTTCGTAGTGACTGCTTCTATATGAGTGATTTATTCAATATCTCTTTAGCAGTAAAATAGTCCAGATCAGGAATGTGTTGAACATTTGGTGACGCCAGCTTCACCGGGAGCTTTCGGTTACGCGAGATAGGCAGACTATAGCTTTGTTCACTATAGAAAAGAAGATCCTTAAGTGGTGGCACAGCCACACTTTCTTTAGTCTATATCTCTGCCGGCTTTATGTCTATTAGTTCTAAGCTCGAGGCAAGGCTTAGATAAGCTTATTCGATAACGTAATCGGTAAGCGAGCCGCACACCACCTGCCATATAGAAAATTAAAATGATCAAAACACCATGAATTTAGACTTCTATACAAAGATGAGTAGTTCTATCGATTCGGACAGTGCGTAATTTTATGGCCCTGTACATCACAACCAGAACATTTAGATGGGGCGCGCTTAGGAGCCGATTCAGTAGGTGGAGCTCTCTGCCTGTATAGCTTCATCTGCCTGATTTCGGCGCTCGATAAGGATTCGGGCTTCAGATACTGATATGCCTGCTTCAAAAGTAGTCTGCTTAGTAGAGCGCTTTTGGTTTTTAATCTGTCTTTCAAGTGCAGCCTGATATTACTCTAGTTAATTCTTAAATATTATCACATCATTTATAGCTCGTTCGGCATCTTTAATCAGTTAATTCAGGCGGGTTTTGATAGATAAATCAGGACTCTGAGACCGATTTTTAAACAATTCTTTAAGTGTAGATTCTAATTTCTTCAACTGTTTGATTATATAAGATGTTCTAGGCGCTAAGCTACCTTGACTGCTTAGTCTACTACCCGGAGATGGAGAAGTCTTAAGCTGAACTGTTAGCTGAGATAGAACGCGCTCAGGATATAGAGGAACTAGGCCAGTAGCTCTAAAAGCACTATAAATATAATTGCTAATAAAGGCCTCTATATAAGCCTTAGGGTAGATCTTCAAGAAATTAAGCTTATCAATATAATTAAACCCGCAGCGCATATAAGATTCAACAAGGCCCCTGTACGCGCGTTTTAGAGACAAGAAAATAGCGATATCAAGCAGTTGAAGTTTATAGAAAGCATGCACAGGCATACAGATCGATATAATATCATTCTCTGCGCAGATCTAATTAAATCAAGGCGTTAGATGACTATTATGGCCATCTAGAATAAGAAGTCAATATTTTCCTTAGATCAGCCAGTAGTAGCAGGTATAAAATGATTCTGCAGCCAATAGAGACCGATTTCATTGCTTGTCTAACTATTAGAACTGACCTCAATCCTCTAATCAGTTAGGACCTTGTTATTCTCATACCAGCCCTCTATATATACCTTGTCTTTAAAAATAATACAGGAAGGTAGAGCCCATCCATTAAAACTAATATCTTCTACAGCGGTAACCCATTCTCGGTTCCCTAGCTGTAATAAAAATGGCTTTCCTGGCATATCAGACCTAGTAAGCATCTTGGCGGCTGCTATCAGGTCTATTGCACATCATGTCTCATTAAAATTGTAGATATCACTTGGCACTATACCGTACTTCTGAATAGTCTTATTTACCTGCTGAAACTAAGTACCTAGAGCCTTAGAATCCTCTACTTTAGCACATTAATAGTTATAGCGAAATGTAAAGAAGACTTTAAGCTCAGATATACATTTGGTAAAGTTGTATACCTACTTTTCCCCTACAGTAGTAGGGGGAGTAGCAGTATCATGTTTTAAAAGCAGGATACTGGCCATTTCTCGTACATATGCAGGCCGAGGAGATGCTCTATATTTATCTAGTGATAGAATCCACTGTGTAAGTGATTCCTCTTCACTAGTAGTCAATTTATGACTATTTGCTCGAGTATCATTTCGAAATGAAACTCCCTTTAAGCGATAACGTAGTGTAGAAATCGGTACATTAAGAACCTCAGCTGTCTTCCTTAGGCCCCTGATTTCATTGTTTTTTAAAGCTGATAAGGCTAGTAGGATTCTACCTTCCTGCTCAACGCGTGAATTTGATAATTCCGGCATTTTTGGTAGAATAGGTGGTGTTCAAATTACCTAAGAAATTGAGGCGCGTTGAAAACGCGGATGGTGTGCGGCTCGCTTACCGATTACATTAACTATTCTTGTAGCTAGTATATAGGATCTAGAAATCACGGTTCCAGGATCCTTTTCTCGAGCATAACAAGCCCCAGCGTGATTTTGGTTTTCCTAATTCCGCCTAGTCCATATATAGCAGTCTTTATTAAATGTCCTAAGTAAATAACTGGCCGTTCAAGACTGTCGATCTCATTTTGTCAGCCAACAAATCATAGGTTTCTCGCGAAGGGGACCATCCAGCAACTCGTTTCTTTTCCTGCTCAAATCATTGTTGTACTTCCACCAAGTTGCTGTTCACTGTTGTTCCCTTTCTGCCTATCTCGCTGTACCGCCCTTTTCACCGCTTTGTTTAGAACTTTGCAACATCCCGTTCCTAGCGAAGCACCCAACCCAGAGGAACCACTTCCAGAAGAGCTTACATAAGCTACATCTGTAACGTAATCGGCAAGCGAGCGAGCGAGCGGCCATCTGCTGTTGTCGATATAAAATAAATTTCTTGAAATATTTAATTTTAGCATCGAAATCTTAGTAGAAAATATATAATAATTTTTTTAAAAAAATACTAAATAAATAAATACTCTTTTTATAGTCCATTTCAATCTATATATCAAGATTTAACCCTCTATCATCTCTGGCTGCTAAGATATTAGCATTCCAAAAAAATGCTATTTTATATGGAAAACAGCAGATGGCCGCTCGCTTGCCGATTACGTCAAGGGCCCTTACTATGCATCCGAGAGTTACTCTAGTCGGGCCGACATGGCCTACTCAAACGTTGCAGACTACCAAACGCGGCCGCCTGTTGGACTCGAAAGATACGACATCGAAGAAGTACTAGACTCCTATTAGGAAGGAGGGGGCCCCCAAGTACTCTACGTCTACTACGTTGGCAAGTGGGTTCGTTCCGATAAACCGTTCTACGAGCCCTGCAGAGCACATGCATGGAGAAAGGCCAGGGAAGCTGTGAATAACTTCCGCTTCCGTCACCCGGAAAAACCCAAACCCGTTACCACTCGGCAGATCTCGTTAAGGATGTTGAGCCACGTACCCCACCCAAATACCCCGAGGGGAAGGGCACCATTTAGAAGGTAAGCCGAGATGACCGTGCCGGCGATGCCCTGAAACGGTATACCACGTGCTGACGGTCTGCCCTGGATATGAAAAGCCCCACTGTGAACTCTGGGGGGCCAACCGACCAGAACGAAGTGGTGGCGGGCTCGGCAAAGCTTCCCTTGGCCTTGGCCGGCTTTGCCCACATGCTCCCGCCCCCGCCTATCCTGGACTCTAAACATCAGACCGGGGTGGTCTCCAGCGCTGGAGTCCCCGGATCGAAACCACCTTGTGCGCGTATCGTGGGGGGAGGGGTGGGGGCAGCACACCCGACGCGATCATGTTGTATCTCTTTTTCACACTTCACGATATTACCACTCTCTCATGCCTTTCGGCAGCTTTTGCGAACTTGGCATCTTGCAAATTCTGTTGGAGGTCGACTATGTATGGTTCATAGGGAAAGGAACGTAAAAATTGGACCCAGTCATGGTAGCATTAGACCGCATCGTCATTGTGGGTCGTGGGTCATCCCGATGGTGACTAATTTGGGGGGGGGTCTATGCTTCCCGAAAAGCGTTCATTTAGTACAGATTCATATAAAGCATGCTACTAATACATACATATGATAGGATACGGCCATACCGAGTCGGTCCCGATGCCACCACCTTACTCCTACGGCGTGGTCCGAAGGCCGGCTTGACACAGAAAGACAATTGCGCGGGGTTGCCCCGGTCCGGTGCCTTGCGCTTTGCCACAAAGTATTTGGATGTCATTGGTCCAAAGTTTCGTAAATAGCCGGGCAAATTTTTCCTAGCGCCGAGTTGGAGACTTGGCAAAACGTTTTTGACATCATATTGGGGCGACAAGGCCTTGGCGTCTTCAGGTGTACATACTGTAATAGTAGAATGCAAGTATGCATAATACGTATATCGTGTCGCAAAGGGGAGAGCAAAATAAACTACGTGGTGACTCCGGGGGGGAGCCCAGCACAGGGAAGAGAAAACGAGAAAGGAAGATGGATGAAAGATCTCAATGGATTGATAGACACATAAAGATCCCAGGAAAACAAGCATGCGCGCCAGAGAGCAAAACCCGCGGGGGGGGCTAATCCAAACGGGGCGGGCTCGCCTGAATCCACCACTACGTAGAGGGAAGTACGGTAGAATGTCAGAATAGAGATCCAGCCATATGCTGAACCTATACCCGACACGGGAAATGGGGGCCTTGCGGCCTCCAGTTTAGTCATCCGCACCCTGACCCAGTGGACCCGCAAATTACTAAGTGCCAAGTGCTCCCGCCAAGGTTGCCAAGGGGAAGGATTCCCTTCGCGTCTCTCTGCCTCGGGAACTGCAGAGCCTTCGCTGGACTTTCCCGTTTGGGGTCCGACCAGGGTTGCAGTAGAAGTCCGATATTCAAATTACCGTATATAAGACCACGAATTTTCCGCTCCGATGTATTCTTTCCTTCCTTACAACTTTTTCCCCAGCTTTCTCTTACCCCCCCCCCGCGCCAACAAACTGACGGCTCTTACTTTGTTCCTACCGTCAACATGTGGACGACCACCAGCGGCTTGAGTGGTCGGTCGCTCCGGGTGAGCATCACCTTGGCCGCTGTCGTGGGTTTCTCGCTCTTCGGCTACAATCAGGGCATGATGGCCGGCCTCCTCAACGGCGACGAGTTTGTTAACTCCTTTCCCATCCTCAAAATGCCCGAGAATCCGACTGCCTCGGAAAAACACTACATCGACGTTATCCGCGGTGCTGTCACATCCTGCTATGAGCTTGGCTGTTTCTTCGGCGCGTTATTCTCCATGTTCTTCGGCAACGGACTCGGCCGCACTCGCCTGATCTTTATGGGTGCCAGTATCCTGATCATTGGCGCCTTGCTCACAACGGTCTGCTTCACTGGCAAATGGGAAGTTGGTCAGTTCGTTATTGGCCGCGTTGTATCGGGCATTGGAAATGGCATGAACACGGCCACGATCCCGGTCTGGCAGTCCGAATGCTCCGGCGCTCACAATCGTGGCTTCCTGGTCTGTTTTGAGGGCGCGATGATCGCGGGTGGCACCTTTATTGCCTACTGGGTGGTCTTTGGTATCTCGCACGCCGCGGATTCGGTCCAGTGGCGATTCCCTGTGGCGCTCCAGATCTTTTTCGCTCTGGTTGTGGCCACCGGTGCCTTGATGCTCCCGGATTCCCCGTCGTGGTTTGTGATGAGAGGGCTTGACAAGGAGGCTTGTGAAGTTCTCGGTAAGCTCAAGGGCGCCCCTCCTGATTCCGACCAAGTACTTCACGACTTCAACTTCTTAAAAACGGACGTGGAATCTTCAAAGAGCGTACAGTCAAGCTGGAAGTCCGTGTTCACATTTGGCAAAACCCAGGAATTCCAGCGCCTTCTTATTGGTTGCTCTGGTCAGTTCTTCCAGCAGTTTACTGGCTGTAACGCTGCTATCTACTACTCCACATTACTTTTCCAAGAAAACCTCCATATGGAGAAATATCTGTCTCTAATTATGGGTGGGGTTTTCGCGACGGTTTACGCCCTTGCCACGATCCCGTCCTTTTTTATGATTGAAAGAGTCGGCCGCCGCAATCTATACTTGATTGGTTTTCTAGGCCAGGGGCTTAGCTTTGTGATTACATTCGCTTGCTTGATCAAGGAAACCGAGGAGAACTCTAAGGGAGCTGCCGTTGGTATCTTCCTCTTTATTACTTTCTTTGCATTCACCCTCCTGCCACTGCCCTGGATCTACCCACCGGAGATCAACCCCCTCCGTACCCGCACCGTGGGCGCGGCGGCGTCAACCTGTACCAACTGGATATGTAACTTTGCCGTGGTCATGTTCACACCGCTTTTCGCTGGCCAGAGCCCATGGGGTGTTTATCTCTTCTTCGCACTATTTAACTTTGTCGGTTTGATATTCGGCTTCTTCTTCTATGTTGAGACAGCCGGCCGTGAGCTTGAGGAGGTCGACATCATCTACGCCAAAGCCCATATCGAAGGGAAGATGCCGTTCAGGGTCGCCCACGACATGCCCAAGCTCAACTTCGAACAGATCGTCCAACAGTCTCGCGAGCTGGGCCTGGATACCAACGATCATGCCATGCCTGAGAAGAGCGAGCTTGGCCTCGGCAGTGACAGTGGTCAGGAGACCGAGGAGGTCCAGGAGAAGCAGTAACGCCCCTTTAGTGGACGTGCTGTAGCTGTGGTTGAAGGTGGTGATGATATCTGAAAGTAGTTGATTCCTACTTTCTTTTGTATTGTTCTGTTTATTTTCTATACCCTAGTACTCGGTCAAGTGTGGGTACACTCGGCGTCCGGGCACTCTGATTAGTCCTTTTTTCAAAATTCCTATATATACCTGTTGTTTAGAGTACATAGTGATAGAGAGCTGGTGTCGCTCGTGTATGGGATTGGTTGTCCTAAGGTCTTTAAATCTATCATAGAGATTCCTTGGTGTTATGGTCCAAGTCGCGCGGTTACCGCCTTAAGTTCCTGTATGCTCTGACACGGTAATATACTTGCTCTTGTATAAAAAATCTCTATTTTAAATATCTGTATTATTTTTACTCCCGCTCCTGTCTCTTTTCAATTATCAAGAAAGAGAAGTAAATATATATATATATATATATATATATTTATTAATAAAATTACTCTATAACTAATATACTAATTATATTCCAGCCAATCAATAAATTTCTTTAATATAAGCTCCTACGTAATGGATAAGACCCGCAACGTTTGATCCACTACCATAGCTATCAAAACAAGAAGGAAACGCTGAAGGAGAAAGAAGCCGAAAAAAAAGGGACAAGAATCAACAAACATTTAAGACGCATGATCGCGATGGCGGAAGCTGAAGGCAGAAATATGTTACGTAATAAACTACAAATGAGGGCCAACCCGCTAGATCCTAAACGTCTTGATCCTAGGACAAGAACGAAAATTTCTCCCCTATAACTGAAAAGGCCGTGAGAATTTAGGTCTGCTGATACTTGCTATAGAACCTGTATTTTTATTTTTATTTTAAACTCTATTGTCTATGTAAGTATTTAATACTCCTTAGGATTCAGTTTTATCTTTTTCTCCCACTCAACTTTTGACTGAGATACTGTATGTGCAGTACTGTGCTGCAAATAATGTCCCAAGAGTAGCTGCCTTTATGGTTTGCTTCGTACCAATCATTTCTCCCTAGGCTTTGATTAACGCCCCTGTATATGCTTCCCGAGCCAGCTTTCTGAACGTACTTGTTGATTGACTGAAGTCGAAGATTCCTGGACTCTTCTAGCCTCCTACAATACCTGCTGCGGTCACGCATAATACCGAAGACCCTAGTATATAAAAGAAAGCACGGCCTCAATTGCTGAATAAGTCCCTATTTAGTTGGCTACCAGACACGTTTTTCTTATATATAAGTGGATCTTGACAATCATAGCTAAAGTTATTAAGGGGCTTTTCGATTAACTGGTAGATCCTCTATCATTATTCCTCGATCTTGAAGATGTCAACCTCTCGCGGTATAGAAGTATCTCTATTCTTCAGAACTTTATTTTTACCTCATAACAAGACCTATCTGATTGATATCTATTCTCTAGAGGAAAATGCCTTCCTGTAAGCTGCAAGTAATGGCCAGACACTTAAAGATCTTTTAGAATCATAGTCCGCTTCGAAGATCCTCTTCGATATCCGCAATAACACTGATGCGCTCTACAGTCACTTGGGAATTAACCTCGCCAGCTTACAGGACCTTCAATTGACGGAGCCTGCGACGCGTAATACCGCCAAGAGATATGTTAATAGCCTGGCTAGATGTATTAAGAACGACGCAGCCATGGCCTTTTCTGAAAAAATCTACATGGAAGCTAGGGAAGGACAAAGATTTGAATTTATTTGATCCAGAACATGGAGGAAGCCATGACGTATTCAATGTTCGTCCTCTTGCTCAAGACATCATGCAGCATTGTCCTCTCCATGCGTCTTCTTAACTCTAGTTCTCTATGTGTTCATCAAATAGATAATCTATGGTTGCGTTGGAACCCGCCTGGATATATTGAAGCTTCTGAGGTTTGGGAAGGGAGGTCAACCATCTGGTTATGACGTGAATAGTCCCCAGTAGCTTCAGGAAAGTGATAAGCCATTCCCAATGCCTCTTATGCTGTGCCAAGGCCTTCTCGGCCTCCAATATAAGCCAGGTTAGTCACACAGCGTGATACATGCCCCACCCAAACGAGTCCTGTCGTTGCTGTTGGGCTGAATTTGATATAGTCGTTCGACTTTCAGAGGGCTCTAGAAAAGTTTAACTGACCAGCTCACGTCTCATTGCCTTCAAGGGCTGCCATCGCAGCAATAGCACTTGACCTTGCGAGAAAGTTTCACAGTAGCCTGGTTCAGGAAGCATCTCATGTTCTACCATGTCATCACCCATGGCAATCCAAGCTCCTATGAGGCTCCAGATGGGGTGGGGCTCATTTACCTTACCTGTTAATGCAATATGGAAACAATGAGGCATTTGAATCTAGGGACAAAAACCAACAATATTGTTTCAGTTACTCCTCCAAGGCCCATACAGAGAACCGGTGCGTTGTCTATCTTTCGAGATCTTAGATTTTGGAAAATAACACAATCGAAAGGAGAAATAGGAGCGAACAATAGTGATTTAGAGCAGCTAACAGGAAAACTACGCCATAGTCAATGGGCAAAAAAATATATATATAGGTATTACTGCACACATGCCCGATACATAAAGAGAGAAGACATTCTTTTCCACTTAACAAAATAGCTACAGCGCCAGGAATTCAACCAGTTGCCGCTTCTTTGCGACAAGTTGTTCTTGTCATTGGTATTATTCAGTACTAACTGAAGAAGACTACCGAGTCTCGTAAACAGAAAAAAAAAATCGCTTCGCTGTCTCCTCTGGAACTTTCTCCTGCACTAATGTCTCTCCAAGCCCGAGGGCCTGGATAAGCAGCACAAGGCGATTTTTTAACTTCACAAGCCATATTATTTTCAAAGGTGGGATGTTCCTCAACACGAAAAAGATTAATTAGGGCATTGCGGCGTAACTTTCTATTCTGAATCTCTCGGATATATGACTCGGGAGATTTTAGATTATTGAAGATAATCGGCTCTGCTTCCTCTTACTAACCACAGTAAAAATATATTAAACTAACTCTAATGCAAGAATCTTGAAACTATTAGGCTTTACTTACAACTTGTTCCGCCGAAAGGCGCTCGATAGGTATGGATCCTAGATTTTCTGAATCAGAATGTTTTCTTCTCTGTAACGTATATACAGTAGATTTGATCAACAGTGCTTGAGGAGAGAGGAATGCGGTCAATACACATACCATTGGAGGAGACATCTCTAACCATGGCTCTTAGGCTGCCCCGGGCTATGGCCCTAAACTCCTGCAACTATATCTTGAGGGGTTATCTGAAGCTCATCTCCACGAAAATCATGATCTTACTGATGTTTTATCTAAATTACCTTAAGCGCTAAAACTCATTGTAGGACTTATTTCCGCGTACCTGCCGGATCATCCAGCTGACCAGTCCAATCAGAACCGCCAGCCGGAATCCCCAGCCAACACAACACTATATAAAGTAAATATCAATTTAGCTACCAGCCTCGGAGTGTACCGTGTTACATACCTCTTGCTCCGGATAAAGATTCTCGATCTTGAGATCTCTCAGCTTTTTGGGAGAGGGGGCCAGGGAGGGGCTTCGCCCCCAAACATTAGCATTAATTCAGCCATACCTAGACAGAAAAGGAGGAAACCAAAGGTCATACATTGAAGGACATTGTACGAATCCCCCCAAAGAATAATAGGTCGGCGATAAGCAGCCCAATATGCTGTGACTTGTTCATTAATCCTATGCCAACGTGCAGTGATCGGTGTGGAGCCCAGGACAACTTACTATCACTCCTTTTAGAAGGCCCACCAGACGACATGCATAGACCATAAACCACCATTTAGGAGATGGCCGGAGGCGCGCGACGCCATCCATAAGGATGACAGAAATTACCGAGCGTTGACATGTCCCAGTGGATGAGATTTGAGGTGGAAGATAATGATAGGGACGGTGGTGGAGAGGATACGATAGGAACGCTATGACTCTGGGCTGTATTAACTTACGTTCTACAATATGGTCTTCATCTCTTCACGTACTCATTGAAGTAGATTGGGAATATCAGAACTATTGAATCGTACACAGTCAGTGCATACGTAGCAATCCATTGAAGGCAGATAGAATTGACATGGTTGGCCATAGGAAAGAGCAAAACGAGGAAAGTAGCGCAATAGAGAGAGGTGAGCTAAGACAAGCCTTAAAATAGAAGCATAAGAAGAAATTTTTATTGCCATGGCAAATGATCAGGAGAAGCCTCCGCTTTAATACCGAGTAGCTAGAAGCACGCGTCTGTAAACCTAAGGGTAGCGGCCACGTATATTCGTCTCCGTTTCGCTGTTCAAGCGGGTTCCCATTTGCCCTACTGGGAAGATGCCCGTCAGGATGAGATATATCGGGCATGGAGACAAGATACTAGTATTCTTGCTACTACATCAATAGTGGGATTCGCGAAGAAACCAAGGGCAGAGGGAGGAAGACAGAGAGGCTAAGAGAAGAGAGTTGCCTTAACTATCATATAGAAACACCAAAATACTACATATCATAATTAGGCAGAGGCCACTTCTCATCCTCACGAATAACCCACTGGCTCAGGATATCTAATCTAAGAAAAGCAGCTACCGATAAGACAAGGTGCAGAAGGGCAATCCCCCATTGTGACGATGGTGTGTAGTCCCAGAAGGTTGAGCCTTTGGTGATCCCCTTTTGAACCTGGGTCATAAAGGGTCGATATGTATCATCGTAGGCCTTCAGCGCGAGGGGAAGACTCTCTTTCGAACCCTTGTTCGCTTGGTGCGACTTATTTATCTCGCCCGCGAGGACGTATGCACCTACCAAACCAGAAGTCGTTCCCATCCCGGTGGTCGCCGAGGGGCAATACGCAGCATCCCCCACCAGGGCTACTCGGTGACTAAACCAAGCGTCCATTCTGACAACTCCTAAACGTTCGCAGTAGAAATCATCCGCGGCTTCGAGTTCCTTGAGAATCCGGTCCGTCTGCCACCCTGCACCACGGAAGATCTCTGCCAGGCACTCCTTCTCCTCGGCGATATTCCCGCGAGCATTATTCAGTCGATCCGACTCGGTCTTGCAGGCAAGGTACACCTGAATTGCATGGGGACTATGCCGCCGCGTGAAGATAAAGCGCCTTCCGGGAGCAATATAGATTGCCGCATTGTATTCCTCGCCAGGCTCGATCGGACGGGGCGTGGTAAAATAGCCGATATGGACTCCCAATGGGTGGTTGGGGTCGGGCTCAGCTCCCAGAATTATATTCCTCGTCCGTGACCATTGGCCATCGGCGCCGACTAACAGATCAAATTGATCTCGCTTGCCATCGGAAAAGGACACCTCGACGTGATCGTCCCGCTGCGTGAAGTCCTCGATCAACGTTCCAAAGATGAAGGTTGTGCGGTCCTTGGTGGCATCGTATAACAGTCGGCAGAGGTCCCCTCGCATGATCTCATAGTCGGTGGTGAAGCTTTGCATACCTAAGCCGGATCGATTGGCGGAGAAATATGCCTTCCGTTTGCCGGCGCGGTCGACAATTTCCATGCCTTGTTCGTGAATGGCTTTAGCTCGATAATCATGCATCAGACCCATACGCTGCAGGACAGTGATCCCTGGTTCTCGCAGGTCTACCTGGAGCCCGGTGGCACGTAAAGTCGAGTGTCTTTCGACGACCGTAACGTTGTGGCCCATCTTCGAAAGCCAGAAGGCCAAGGCATTGCCGGCAATGCCCGCGCCGCAGATGAGAACCTTTAATTGGGGCATGATCGACGCACTGTGGCGATGAGTTTATTGCTGTATTGCGATGATTGTTCGTGCATGGTGGTCAGAAGGCTGATTTATATGAGCTCCGTATGCATTGCTATGTATCTTTGTTGCTCGGCGCTCTGACAAAAGAGGAAATCACCGTGGTTACCTCCGAGGGTAAAGTCCGAAGGTTTGTTGGCACCATGAGAATCCACGTCAAGCCGACAGTTGATCACCTATAAATAGAATCTTTCGCTTGGCCGCAGGAGTATCAGTAAAAAGACAACAAGGTGGCCTGACAGGCCCAATCAGTCCAATCTTGGATTTGATGGCGCATTACCCAATCGTGGTGGACAGGCAAACAGGACAAACATCGTCCCCTTTGAGCTTAGCGTTGCGTGGACCCATATCTCCAACGGCATTGTTGGTGTCTATGTTGAAAGGGAGCGATTAAATTAGAAAAGAGAAATATATAGTCTGTATTTGAAGATAAACATAAATTCGTCACCGAGGATGGGTGCTGTAAATGCTTCCGAGTACACCTAGTGTCGGGTCGTTGGTGCATTAATCACTCAACTTCAAAGATATATTTTGGTGATGAAGAGTACGCACACTATATCAGAGATCATGCCACAACTACAAAAGGTGCCTGGGTTTATACAATAGTGGATTTAGCATACAATGCAGAAGTTGCTTAGAAAAATGTTCATTTAAACTTTCTGGTAAGGAAAGGAGGACCCAAAAAAAAAAAAAAAAAAAAGAGGAACTTGAAGAAAGGCCTATCTGGTATCCTGGACATGGTCAAGTGCGGCAATTATTCATGCCTCAGGCTGCAATGAGAGCCGTGACTCATGTGGAAGAATCTGAGTCATGATACGATTGTATTAAATTGATGACAAAGTGTGGTGAGTGGTCTAGAATGTATTTGACGACAAGTATCTCTTAGTGTTTACTAGTAGTCACTAGATATTCGTAATCTACTTTATTCTAAATGGTCGGGCAAGGGATTCGGTCGGGAAAAGCCGTCCCGCAAGCGTCACGTTCTTGGCACGAATCAAAGTCAGGAACTAAACCTAATCAGCTCAGGTAATAGGATCATGTAAAACCTTGCGAAAGCCACTGATACACAAGTCCATGCAGGCCAAGAGGTGCTTGATATTCGCTGATGTTCTGCACAACCCTGTCATAAGGCGAAGGAAGAATACGCTCGACTACTCGGTATAGAATAATAATTACGGCACAACCGAATTGTAGAAGCACTTTGTACTTTGTAGGTGAATTATTGTCGTAGAGACCCGAAATAAGTTTGACCCGGCGATCTCTGACAGAAATTTCTGCACGTTTTCCGTCAGGAACCGCTAAGAAATCCGGATACCACTCGGTTTCCCGATCATCCATTATTGGCCAGTGGGCTACACGGAGTCGTTTAACGCACCTTCATGGTCCAATGAAATCGACTTATTACTGTCACGACGCAAGCGGAAGGTAATCCGGATACAACAATACACCACTTGTAATCTATGACAAAATACCCCAGATGGAGAAAATTTATGAATGGTTACATTTCATTCTTCACGGCATTTGAGACCTTCTGATGGTACGGGCTACGTCCGGTATTTCCCTCTCTTTCTTCTTAAATATAGGCTCTGAACAGCTCATCTCACCATGAGCTATCCGAGGGAAATTTCCGACGCCAATCCGGACTATGGCAGTGATGGGCGGAAGATGGACTCGCCCAATGCGTGGCCCCCAGATAGCAAGGCGCTCCCCGACGCAATAGATGACGGGGAGCAGCAGATCATCGAGGCTGGTGAGGCGAAATATCATCGCTTGGGGTGGAAACGTCTGACCATCATGCTGATTGTGGAGGCAATTGGTCTCGGGGCCCTGTCAATTCCCTCCGCCTTTGCAACCTTGGGCATGGTGGCTGGTGTGATCTGCTGCGTGGGAATTGGTTTAATCGCCATCTATACTTCCTATGTCATTGGCCAGGTGAAACTTGCCTTTCCCGCCGTCCGACACTACGGCGATGCCGGTGGTTTATTAATGGGCCGCGTGGGCAATGAACTGTTCACCACAATGCTGGTTCTGCAGCTGGTCTTCCTCACCGGTTCCAATTGTTTAACCGGCACCATTGCATTTCGCCATTTGGCCCAAAATGAACATGTCTGCTCGGTGGTGTTTGGCGCGGTCTCGGCCATTATCCTCTTACTCCTCTCTATCCCGTCGTCTTTTGCCGATATGGCCTTCCTAGGCTACATTGACTTTGTATCGATCGTAGCTGCCATTGGCATCACAATTATCGCGACAGGTATCAAAGGCACTGAGGCAGGGCTGTCTACGGTCGACTGGTCGGCACTTCCCCAAGGCAATCCAAGCTTCTCGGATGGATTTATTGCTATTAGCAATATCGTGTTTGCGTACACCTTTGCCAGCTGCTTGTTTTCTTTCATGGATGAAATGCATACCCCGAAGGATTTTACTAAATCAGTGTGGACGCTTGGCATCCTTCAGATCGTGATTTATACAATCACGGGAGCGACGATTTACGCCTTTGTGGGCCACAAAGTTGATTCTCCTGCCTTGCTCTCGGCTGGTTCAATAGTGAGCAAGGTTGCCTTTGGGATCGCCCTACCGGTTATTTTTATCTCCGGAGCGATTTGCACGATTGTGGCGGGACGTTTAATCCATGGTCGCATCTACGAAAAAAGTGTCACCCGCTATGTGAACACCACCAAGGGCTGGATTACTTGGCTGGCTTTGATCACCGTTCTCACAATTCTCGCCTGGATTATTGCAGAGGCAATCCCTTTCTTCGATGACCTGTTGTCTATAATCTCCGCGCTTTTTACTTCTGGATTTTCGTTTTATCTTCCTCCTATTATGTGGTTTGTCCTTATCCGCAAAGGCAGCTGGTATTCCAAGGAAAACCTTTTTCTCAGCATTGTGAATTTCTTGGTCTTTATTTTTGGCCTGGTTGTGTTGGTTGGAGGACTTTATTCAAGTATTCAGGACATAGTAAGTGGCCTCGATCCTGCTCGACGGATGGGTGCTAACCATGGCCATTTAGAGAAACAATTACCGCATTGGCAACGTCCGTGGGGCATTTAGTTGTGGAGCAGTCTAGGGTCTTTTGCTCTTGTATCATCTCGATATACCCAACGTTCGCATTAGCCCTTTTTCTATGGACATCGCGTGTCATCTGTTCGTTGAGGGAGTGTGCTTCCTTCAACATATCCTCAATGGATAACCGAGCAGTGAGCCAAGAAACACCGCGGGAAAAGAACATGTACATACATACACGACATGAACAGCATATAGTTACAGCTTGATTTCTGTGTCAAAATTAGAGTCCTCAACCGGGCTCGGCGAGCCACCGTTTGCAGGTTAAGTTGGGTGAACTTTCGGCAAGCCGAACCCGGGTCGAGCTCGGGCAATAGGCGAGCTATCTCGCTCGATCGTTTCAGTCGGCAATTTCAGATCGGCCACCTGGACTCCAACCAGAGGCCAGGGTAGTACCCACCGTAGTGCACTTTGCGAAAACTCAGAAGGAGTTGGGACAACATCACAAGGGTGTGTGGCTCCAAGAGATATGTTGGTACGGGCAGGGGGAAAAGCCCAGCTCTTTTGGCGCAAGGGGGCTAACCGTGCAGGAGTCAAAACCTTTAACCACTCGCTAAGCACGCACACGCACTGTATCACTGGCTCGAACGTTCTGCAATAGCATGCCCTTTTCGATGACGTCTCACTGCGCAATGCATGCGAACCGTCATACCCAAAGCATCTACCTTTCAGCTAGGCTTACCAAGCCACGGAAGGCTTCCGTGATTTCATCAGTCTACTAGCATTTTTCATCCCCAGATTGAACGGCACCTAGGGGCTTTTTCTACCACAATTGGATTGGTGCATTTAGTTTTGCATTCGCCGGAACGCCGTAGTCTAGCCGCCGGTACCGTCAATATGTATATGCAGCAAACCCCCATTATGGAAAGAAATTCAAAAGCAGGCCCGGTAGATAACTGTGGTAGCGACTTAAACAAGCTTCAGAGTGGTTATATGCAATCATCTAACGATAGCTGTGATGAATACTATGCATCTGATATTGATAACATGATCTCCTCCACTATGTACTGGGGAGATAATCTTTTCTCCGAGTGGTAAAGCAAGGACACGCAAGATTCGCTACGTTTGTTTGAAGGAACTCATTCAACGAACTCGCGAGAATATTTAGTGAGTTTGACCTATCAAGCTACCGGCCTACCACTCTCGCGCGAGCCGTTCCTTCAATCCCTTCACATGCCATACACCCCCTTTCCCCACAATCCGCAGTTCATGCTCTCCAAACGCCAGACTCACGGCGACATTATCCCCTCCACCGACGCGGATAGTCCCCAATGTGTCGCCCGTCCGAGGGTCGAGCACGTCCACTCCATCTCCAGCTCCGCAGAAGATGTATCCATGCCGCGAGACCCGAACCCCATCGTAGAAATATGAGGTGGGGCTGTTGAAGAACCTCTGATTGTACAGGACGGAGCCGGAGTCGGAGACATCAAACGCCCACAGCTGCCGCATTCCATAGGTATCTGTCCGTTTCGGAAAGTACTTGGAGACCCCGGTCTCCGGAATGTAGACCCTACTTCCATCAGGTGAGATGGCGACGCCGTTTGTATTCCCGCTAGTAGTATATGCTACCTTGGTGTGAAGGGTAGACCTATCTACGAAATAAACGGAAGGGTTTGTTGGGGGTGAGAACTCTACAATCTCTCGGCCCTGTTAAGCGGGTCAATTAGTGGAGCATTTTATTATTAGAGCACGGGGTAGAACATACCCAACCTGACTTTGAATCCGTCAGCCAGAAATTCCCCTCCCGGTCGATCTCTAGATCGTTGAACCCAGCAAACGGTTGCACCAAGTAGTTATTGAGTAGTGTCTTCTTTTCCATGCTGACAGGATCGATCATGGCTAGCTCTCCGGTCTGCAGATCACTGTATCCATCCGTTACCACGTGGATGGAGCCATTATAGTAGACGCATCCGTGGACATTGTATGTGGGAGGGTTGGTGGTGATCTTGTGTAAGGTATTGGTCTCGACATCCAGGAGATACAGGTGTGAATGTATGCCATCGTCGCCTCCCGGTGGACCCCATTCCACGAAGAAAAGTTGGTTCGTTGCTGGGATGTAACATGGAGCCTCGTGGATCTGATAGGATAACTTTTGAACATGCTCAACGGTTGCGGTTGGGCTAATGATATCAAAGAATCTCTCATGGTAGGCCATAAAGTCGGTGTCGTTTAAGCGGGATAGACTAGACGTGTTAGTCATATGTCGCTAGGGTTTACGGTTCCCGCCACTCATACGTTGTGCTCAGGCCTTCATCGGATATGTCGGAGGTTGCCCACGGAGCCTCGAAGGCTGTCCGGTTGAAACTGCCGGGGAGACTACCCAGAGCGGCCAATGAGACACACGCCCACTTGGCAATGGCGCTTTTCAGGAGCGGCGGAAGCGGGTTGAGGTATGTCTCCATGCTGCAAGTGAGGCCTCTGGGGTACCAGGCATACCCCGTGGGAAGGGAGCAGCTCCATCTAGAATAAATACACTCAGAGATTAACATGTATATGGCTTGGTCTAGACTATCCGGGGAAGATGACCGGCATGTTCCTGACCTTAGATGGCTGCTTGATATGACTCGCGTCCCCATACATAAGCCCAACTTAGGGTTAACAGCCTTGGGATTCTTCCGCGGAGTTACCCCGTGGGAAAGTTATGCTTGTCCTTTACTCGTCTGAACTGAAAGCGTGGTCCCCGCGGAGCCCTCACTACATTTACGATTCAACTTATGTGTGTTGAGGGGAACAATGAAAATTGGATAAGGGGAGATACATCATCCAAATTCTTCGCTCCCTACCAATTATAGAGCGCCTTGGGTGTCTCTACCATCAGGTTATGCTATCATTCTCCAATAGCCATGACTAGAGTCGTTCTAGCCAGGTGGGGTCATCCACCACAAGGAACGGGGTTTCTCTTATCTCCTCCTCGTTCGTTCGGACCTTCATCCCTGCTGTGTGGGGCTTGAGTGACAGTTACGTTAGCCGAGGGGTCAACTCTCAGGGTGGAACACGTACCAATCGCTCCGCTAGAGAACCTGGAAGTGATCTGAGACTCCGGTAGGAAGGCCCTTCGTTGCTGATCCGATAACATGCACTGAGCATGACATACAACAGGCACTGGCGAACCAGCTCGATGATATCCTCGAACCTCACCTGACGGGCCACATCACCATCACACTCTGGGGACAGCATACTTGGGCCCTTGAGTAAGGCGAAGTGATCGGTGATTAGGAGAATTCCCGCTGACATGGTCTCCTACTCGTTGACCGGCTTCGACTCCCAGAACTCTGGATGTGTCTGGGTGAAGGTCAAGCTCCATCCACCATGGACAGTGCTACCCAATGACAAACGCATGATCACGCAGAGAGACCCTTCTGTACCTCGACATCGTGCATGGCATTGTACCTATACATATTGACACGAATGCTGCGGATGCCAGCGTTGTGCATATCTCGCAGCGCTTCGGGGGTGACTGTGTCGGGATCGAGGACACCAATCCCCTTCGTTGAGGACTGGCCGAGCACCTTCACGAAGATTTTGAGGAATTCCACGTTAGCTCCATACGATAGACCATGGATCAACACCGAGTTGGTGATACCCAGACTCTTCTTGAAGCGGATGTATTGCTCAATAGTCGCGGGAGGTGGAGTCAAATGTGCGTCGGAAGCATAGGCGAACTGCGCGGCTAGAGTATACGAGGCTTGCTAGCAAGACTTAGTCGTTGGTATTTGTTTCAGGAATCTCACGATCGAAATTATGGTGATGAGCGACCCAACAGGCGTTCGGGAACAGCTTCGACACCGCGTCACTTTGATTAGCAATGATCAGAGCGAAAATATAAGCGCTCAGGGTAAGAGTGAGCCAGACAAGGATATTGTTTATCACTGTGCTCAAACCATTTAGTATGTTTTGTTCGTCGGTGAGGAGGTCTCCGCAAGATTGGGTGACTCCAGGGACTTAAATCAGATCCACCCGCTGAACTCCGACGGAATATCAAACAATACGAATGTCTGGAGCACTGCAAATGTGTTCTGCATATCTGATATAACATTTCTATTGCAGTCAATTGAGAGATACCACCGTAGCCCATATGTGGTAAGGAAGCTGCTTCTAAAATCGAAAAACTTGAACCACTTTTCTCCGGCATCCACTGCTAGCGTGCCATCCTCCTTAACTCCCACTCTTCGACGATTTGTACTCCATGAGCTTCCGACTACCTCGACTTGACCTCCTCATCATCAGTAATGGGAATGGGAATCTTTCCATTGCGCATTGACTTCCTGACCTTGATAATAAGCCGAGTCCTACACAGCCCCTCAGAAGGGCGTACGGTGCCATCCTTCTGCTCAAAAATCCAATTGACAACCGGAGAACCGCGGCGGCGCACAAAGACGCAGAAGCCCGCCGAGACAATTCACGGGACGCGAAGCTCCTGTCTTGCTCTTCCCTGCAGAATCAGGGAGGTGATATCATGCTCTCCAACATAGCCGCCGCATTCAACGCCGTCGATGGTGAGAAAGTTTATACCGAGTTTGACAGCTGATTGGGCGTGATGGAGGGTGGTGCACGACGATGTTGGCCTGTTTCAGTTGTTTGGTCACCTTTATAGGATTGTTGCCGGCTGTCTCGACAACCTTAACTTCTTCGTCGATGATCGTCTGCACCTAGGCGCCGTAATCGGGTGGGACGAGAGTTGGGAGTAGGGTGATATTGACGTCAAACGGCTTTTTCGTTGGAGTACGACACTCACGGATCTCCTTTCCAAGCTCGGTACGCGAAGGTTGAGTAAGAGCAGTAATCTACGGATGTCATATGTTAGTTGTCTTCTTTATTCGTTTATGGTTAGCTGGGGACTACCGACCATTCCAAGGCCCCCGGCGTTGCTCACAGCGGCAGCAAGCTCGGCATACCCTACCCAGTGCATGTCGTCTTGGACTACAGGGACTAAGGAAGAAGAAGAAGAAGATGTCAATAGAGCTTTCGCAAGGAAGGGATATGTGGATAGCAGGTAAATATTTACTGGTGATCCCCAGTCTTCTGGCTAACTCCGAATTGAATGGCACCTTCCCTCGCGGCTGGTAGTTTGGAGACAACTTACAAAGAAAGACAAGGAGTCCCTCTGGTTATGGACCTTAGAAGTAGCCTGTCTTTAAAGACTTACGGAAGTATAATTCAGAGAGCAAAGATAAGTTGATGTCCGACTTGCTCGGCCGAATGCATCACTAATTCGATAATTCACACCAGCCCGCACCACTTAGACAAGAAACCGAGCTACAGAGCTTCAAGTATGTGCATTTAATCTGCTATATTCACCGACTGCATGCTTGTACAGATATAGTTCCGGAGCCTTGCCCACTTTCACCAAGATAGCATGCCGAGGCAGTTTCATACATTCCAGTTTGAATAATCAATATAAGACCACTCAATGGATCTATGCTGTCTAGAGCATCACTGCTCTTACATTCTAGACTCCAGCTTCTCGATCAGTACAAGCCTGTGTCGCCACCGTGCTGTGTCAAGCGCCCGTTATTCCCGATATCTCAAAGGCATGCATGATGTGTCGTCCGATTCATTGCTTACAGGAACAGACACAGGCCCAGAGCTGGAACCAGAAACACTGCCACAAGTCCCCAATACAGCTACAAATACTGGGCCATCTACTTCCCTCGTGAGCATGTCGCCCATGTGGAGAGCAATCGCCTGGACAAGTTAAATGCATTCACTTTGTCAATGCAATCCACGACTCCAAGCTCGCCATTGCCAGCCTGATTTCCTAGAAGAGTCTAGCCGCGGTGTTGGTACGAAGGAATTGTTTAATTATTCACGAGACCACTCCATCAATGACGGTGAGTATTGCCACCCTCAGCCCCTACAATTGGCTGTACAGCTGGTATCTCCTCCTTGACCTCTCAGATTGGCACTAGGACTCCGCTGCACTGAGGTCTGGAATAGTGGTGCCATACAAACTGGCAATGTTTCTACTGCTTTACTGTCTAGCATGGAAAGCGAATCCCGAAATTCGAAAAACTATAATCTACTGCAAAGAAACAACAACAGGGTGATAGCCAGAATTTCGGGAGACAAATATAGCTAGACGAACACGGGGATTGTCTCACGTCTGTAAAAGACATTTATAATGGGTAGATTGTATTTTGGATTTAGTATTAATATTATTCTACCTGAAAGAAATTGTGAACTCGTCTTTCCCGCTAAGTTCATGGTCCAGATAGCGATCAAATTGTTTCCCTGGATCAGATTTTAACCCAGTAGGACAATTCTGGGGTGGGGGTGCTATCTGAATCTTGCCTTTGCCTTCAGATGAAGGGAATAGATTCTGATCTCTGGTGGTGGTGCAAGTACAGTGCTCTCTGGTCTCTACGTACCCTTTAGGTTGTAGTCATCCAGTTTTCTCTACTGTCGAATAACGATGATAGATAATCGAAACCAGGGTCCAAGAGCCATGCGGGAACGATCTGCTTTCCCCTACATACCCAATGTATCGATCTATCCCTTCGAGAGAGAATAGTCCAGCACTGCCTAATAGATCACCAACAGTGGCATACACCCTATACATTGTATTCATTACGGAGCACCTCGGTTGGTCGAGTACAGAACCTTCCAATAACAAAGCAAGCAAGTGTCAACTGCGTCGCAAATGGGGTGAGGCAAATAATACCAATACGAGATCTAACTGGTGAATCAGAAGACAGCGTAGAGAGCTGGCCGGGAGTAAGTCCTCCATGTCGTCTATTGTGATCATTCCGGAGTTTCGGGTTAAAAGCTGTATATCGTAAATTACCTGGCAGTATAGGTACATATACAAGTGCTATTAAATAACAATTCCTTACACTATAGTATTACAAAGTTGATATAGGAAATTTAAGCCAATGTACTTTAAAACTGCTCGAGTGGAACTCTATATAACCTTGAACCAGGGCTTACTCTGCCAACATTGACAAGGCATCCGGAATGTAAATCGGTTCTCTAGGTAAGAAAAGCAAAACGTCCTACCAGGTGATGATAAAGTGAAGTGGGTAGGGTAGTTTATGAAACTGGAGTTGTTGATTCGGGAATTGGCTGCGGTGATGCTGCTGTCATTTGGCCCCTCCTAGGCATGTTTTGCAAGCAAATCCATCATGGTTCTCCAGACGAAATGTCAGCCAGATAGCCTCAAGCCGAAGCAAGCGCCTTCCCCTCAATATGTTGCTTCTAGTACTGATCATGAAGGTCATGGTCTGGTAGAGACAAATTATCCTCCATTTCGGTCAGTCTCCCGTGGGTTAGCTATGTGACAGACTCGGCAATCGCCTGGTTAGGTTAATTGCGGCGTAGGGTCACCAGTAGAGGTTTTTGTTGCTGTGCCTTCCAGTCCTCCCTTCCATATGTGTCTCTGGTTCGCATTCCCGTTGAGTAGGTAAAAGATTACCAGAAGGGCTTGGGATTTATTTTACCCATGCTGGGTTAGCATAAGCCAAATTATATTCAACTTGCAATGTATCCCGGCATTAGTTCTATTTGTATGCTGTCACTTCTTCTCTGAAAGCCCTTGATATCTTATGATAGGTCCGTAATAGCCTGGCAAGATTCCGCGGTGGTCTGGCCACACCTGTATAGCGCCACATCCTTCGACCCCGCCCTGTTAGCGAAGTCAGAATAGAGGAGTCAAACTCAAATATAAATGGGTTTCACCCCTTATGATGATTGCCGCTGGTAGCATCCAGACTCTGCAACAGCAGAGAGTCTGGCATTAAGGAACAATTCAAATATTATAATACTTTAGGCCCTACGGTCTCCGAGGACACTGTCAGTGACTGGAGACGGCGTCCATTCGCTCCCTTTCTTCATGCGTTGGTTGGTCTGCTTCGTTTAATTTGCCGGCGTTCGGTGTATTTAGGCTAAGTAAATAGGATGTCGGCTCCTTGGAGTCCGTCTCCTCCGGCATAGCGGCCATAGAAAGGCACGCTGTATGGGTATGAATACTACTCCTGCTATTCCATAGGGTATTAACTGTATGTCCTCATCTCCGCGGGCTGGATATGATTCTGGTTTGGATGGGTGTACTGGGACGTTAGTGTAATGGTTTCTTCATCACGAAATATATTGCATTTAGATTAGGGGACCCACTAGGGACCCTGAGTAACCCCGGATCTCCGCAATTTCAGTCGGATCGAGTTAATATAAGGAAACTTTGAAGCGCCTTCCTCGGTACATGGTCGCTGCAAATGAACATTATAGGTCCGGAGACGAGTATACCATTTCTGAGCACGGGAGAAGTGATCATCTAGTGTGTTGGTTGTCTGCTAGTTGCTGCCGTTGACCTATCCAACCCTTACCATCTCGCGCACGGTGTCTGTGATGGGAAAATTTAACCATAGGTCTAGTTGAGACATTTCTAGATGCCGAGGTATAGCGAGTACTCAGTCAGGAAGGACATGGCTATAAAAATGACCGTTTACTCGCCAAATATGAATGTCTATCAGCTCTCAGCACTCTCCCATTATAACGAGTTCAACCAGCTTTCTCCATTCTTCCCATCATCATGAACCTCCGCCTATTGATTTCTACCCTGGCTGCGACTGCAGTAGCCAGCCCAGTAGACCTTCAGGGCCGCCAAGGTATGTTAACAAAGTCTCTGCTACCTGATGTAAAGGCTGACCATCCTGAGCAGTGACAGATGGAAATGAGCTGCGAGATGGGCCTTGCAAGCCCATCACCTTCATTTTTGCCCGAGGTTCCACAGAGCCTGGTCTCTTGGTGAGTTTCAGTTCACCTGGATCGGCCGGGGAAATACTCAAGGTGATCAGGGCATCTCTACTGGGCCAGCTGTATGCAGCCGGTTGAAGCTGTCGAGAGTAGGTGATGTCGCTTGTCAGGGAGTCGGACCTAGATACCGAGCGGACCTACCGTCCAATGCGCTGCCAGAAGGAACATCCCAGATTGCAATCGCAGAGGCGAAGGAATTGTTCGAACTAGCGGCCTCAAAGTGTCCCGACACTCAGGTCGTGGCCGGCGGATACAGGTATGTTGAGAGCATCATCAACTTAGTCGTGCATCGAAGCTGATGAAAACACCTAGTCAAGGATCAGCTGTCATGGCTGGCTCCATTAGGCGTCTCTCAGCGAACTTACAGGAGAAAATAAAAGGTGTTGTCCTTTTCGGCTATACTCGCAACGCCCAGGAGCATGGCCAGATTCCGAACTTCACTCAGGATAAGGTCAAGGTATACTGTGCCCCGGGCGATCTCGTCTGCCACGGGACTCTCATTGTCGCACCACCGCACTTTACATACGTGTCTGACGCAGGAGATGCAAGCAATTTCCTTCTGTCCAAGGTAGGCGTCTAGACTTGGGTCTCATCCGCTTCGCTCTTCTGTTGGTTGACCGAATGCTCTCCCTGACACTGGGCTTCTGGCCCCTTCTTCCCACCTTGCTCCCCTGTTCTCGTGTTGATGGTAATGGGCCATCATGGTCCTGGTACATTCATTTGCTATGAATAGCCTTGTAGTGCGAGATGATCGAACTTATGGACCTTGTACTCCCCGTGGCGAGAATTGAAAATTGGATTTTGTTTTTTACAGTAGTAGTCTCATTGAAGGACAATGAGAAGCTGTCATATAACTATGTGTGTTGTGCGAGATGTCAACATGTCAACATGAAGTATTCGAAGCGTTGCCGAAGGCCTTCGAGAGATAGACACACAATAGGAATAGAGTGATCCTGGACTAAAGAGCCGAACTAATGCAAATTACTGTATTCGTACAAGGAGAGATGAAAGTTGATATATGGAAATATTTATGGATTGTCTTTCATATACAGTATTATATACTTCACGCGGGTCAGCGTTAATGATATTTCCAGCCCTTACAGTCAACCGGACCCCTCTCTCTATGACCTCCCAATCATATCTCGAAATATAGACAAATGAATTCAATATCAAAAGCCGACGGGGTTGACACTATCCATTTTCCACACGGACAGGAGGTCATGCCGGGATACACACCCCCGCCTCAGAGGCGATTTTTTGATTAAAAGTATTATACTCGCCCATCATGACCGGCATAAGGGCGCAATTCTGCAGTTCCACTTCCGGGATGTAATTGTGGCGCCGACGCTTCATCAACGTCTTGATAAACCACCACGTTTGTTGAAAATCAACTCCGGAAAGCGCGGCTATGTTTGTATACCCAGCGAGATCCATAGCATGCAGCTTGCTGAGACAGAAATGTGTTGAAATGTAGTATCGCCGAGTCTTCGTTATGTGGCTGGCTTGGGCCAACCGGGAATATCCGCAAACCATCTCGATCGATAAATCTCATCCCCCTCGTTTATATCTTGCTTCACCCCGTCGACCACAAGGTTGGTATGGTTGCCCCGAAGCAATCGCCACAGAGACTGCACATAGACGAAGCTTCCATCCGGGGCGAGGCTGAAGCCCTTAAGGTCCGACTCGGGCAGTTCGAGGTATTCTCCGGCGCGGTTGAAGCCGTGGCGATCGTTGGTCGTCACCTCGAACCCTTGCATGTACGTATCAATAACACCTTTGCTATCCAGGAAGAACTTGCGGGTGTTGAGGTCAAAGGCGTGTAGGCCTCGATCTTGCGACATGAGAAACTTGCGCTCATGGGGAACGGGGACGAGATCATGCGGTCCACACCACCATGGATACCCGGGACCCCATTCCGTCTCCTGATCCCATGCCTCGGCGAGTCGATACATGAATTCGTCGGTGTCTTCCAGCTCGCCGGTGGTCGCATTGTAGGGATAGCCCTGCAGGGTGCCATAAGCGGGAATTGGGTCGGACCCATCGGCCGCGGCGTCCGTCCCAGCGGCCCACAGCATCTGTTCTTGCTCATCCCAAATCATGCCGTGGATGGCGCGTAGGCCGGTGATATTCTGCAAGATCGGCGGTTCATCGACCAGCGGGTTATCGACACTGGAGTTGTAGACAAGGATGCCGTCCCATGGGTTGGAACCGGTTGTCCCGACAGCCACCCGATCGCCCGGCAAGGGTTCCAAGGTATGAGAGTTCCACAGGAATTCATTCTGTCGGCAGACCGCGAAGGTGATCAGTTTGTCCGTCTCCGGGTTCTCAGGGGTATGGTTGATGATCAGAACGAGATCGCTGTAGATGGCCGCAATTTGGGTCCCGTTTCGAATCCACTTGACTTCGGTTGCATCGTTGGCATCGCTATACAGACAGTGTCTGATATACGGGGGTAGTTCTTGGGTCACGTCGTCTCGACCCCAAGACCATTTCACGATTCCGGCTCGATCGTGGACCTTGAGCAGTGGTGGGATGCCGTAGACGCCGGTGATGATATCATCCCAGTATTCATCGGTCTCTTCTGCGGGTGGAGGAGTCACCGCGGAAGGTGTTGTGCTAGGTTGTGATGTCGGAGTTTGGATGATGGGTGTAGACAATTGCGTTGAACTGGGTAGCGGAGCCACCACCTGCTGATGTTCCGGCCTCAACCTCGCCTGAGGTTGAATCGGGCGCAGGGACAGGTCGGACACCTGGTTGGCGACATAAAGAAACCAAGTAAGAATGGTCCTGACCATTGTCTGGAGTCGTTTCCTGTCTTCCCCTACGAAGGGGCCCCGATAGGGCTTGGGGGGGAAAGGGGGGGGTGTACCCAATAAATATGGATCGCTGCTATCAGGCCAAGAAATGAACCAAAACGAGTACGGATGAATAGCGGATTCCGATGAGTAAGAAGATATGCTCTGCATATGAAATTATGATCTTCCGAATTCGTACGCACGCGACCATGAGTGTATCTGATCCCCTTTACTCTTTTTGATGAACCAATAATCGACGATAATTCTGGGAGGATGACGATGGCACCAATTCAGCCACACGCTAGATATGCCTAGTTTTCGGGTCTTTTTCTGGACTTTTCCTGGTTTCTTTCTCTCTCTCTTTTATTTTTTTTACCTTTCTTTTTCTTCTGATACTTTAGTCCGTTTGCTTTGGCCAGTGAGCTTTGCCTCTGGTTCGAAACATTTCGACAAGGATTCATTTCTTCCTCTCCTTTCCCGGCAAAAATCACCATCGCTGACATGAGAGCCAAGGAACCGAATGAGCTGGATGGGGCCGTGTCCCCATATAGGCAACGATAGTCGTCCGGCTTTCCCCAGTCAGTGTCGACCGTTCCGCTAGAGTGGGCCCCAAGCGTCGTCATGGGCTTCAAGCGAAACGCCGAGTGCAGCCAATAATTCTCATCCCCTCCGTTTCTGGTGAAGTGCATTTTCATGATTCAAACCTCCGAACGCTAAGATCCAGTAATGGTGGTGGCGTCCAGTGGTCAGACATGGGCTTTTACGTGGCGTAGGGCTGATACTCGGTCCGGTTAAAGGACGTGGACAGATTACGATCACCGACCTAAAGGGGGAGAAGAATACTAAGCTTCTCCTGATCTTCATGAGCCCGGACGATTTGCTCTCCCTCAGACCTATTGATTTCCTCGTACCTATTATCGTTTCAATTTTTTTTTCTTCTTTTGTCTTCAACGTGGCATCAGAGAATTCCACCCGGTACTTTTAGGGAAGAATTCCGAGCGCATCCGTGCCTGCCAAGCCCTCGGCCTTAGTCACCAGAATCGGTTCGGCATTAGGGAGGTTGTGGCTTGCCTTGGCAATCCCATCCGTCCAACAGGGGGTAAAGAGTGGACCAGCGCTCGGTGTACTCCTTCTCCGCAGGAAATCACTCGTAGGCCTTTGTCCTACCGACCTGCACGCTAAAATTCAGGAGAGACATGAAATCCTGGAGCCAATGGCATTGGAATCGGGCAAGGGGCCGCGTGAGACAACTATCTAGAACTCCTTTTCAATGAAAAATAACTCGGTATGGCCTCCCAAATCAAATGCCAAGTACCAATCCCCTTTCACCTGGCTTGTTGGGGACAATATGTGACATGGAGTATGGAGTAGGGCTGCATCAGCGTGGAGAAACACCTGACAGCCTATCAGATCGAGAGTTGACCTCTCCAACCGCCGAAAAAAAAATTACTAAAAGTGGCATAGGCCAAGCCCAGCTAACTAATGGCTGGTCGGTATCACCCTTACTTAATCTAGTCTTGTTTGTTGGTTTCTCTCCCTTCGTTGAAAGTAGAGGCTAGGGGGTTATAGCTACGTTGACTCTTCGGAAATATACCCTGAGTGCACCTAAGAGCTGCATGGAATTACCGAATGACACGGGTCATGGAAGTAATTGGAAGTAATTGGAACATATCTAAACCTATCATATCTAAACACCTCAACAATAGGCGTCATTCTCGGGCGAGATCATGTCGAGTTCGAGTTGTCGGCGCACGACCAGGCCGCCGAACCGCCTGATTCGCTGTAGCTATTAACCACACTGACAATGGACCCATAGGTTCCGGCAACCGTCAGGAAGGACCCGCAGAGGACCACGAAAACACTCCAGCAGACCATCAACGTCCACTGAGCCGTTCGTTCCTGTTTGCCCTGGCTCCAGTTATCGTAGAGCCACATGCAGCCCATGGGCTGGAACGACATCAGCGTCCCGAGCAAAGCTCCGATGAGCGAGACGAGCTTGTCGAAGACGGGGATGGCACTGGCGATCACGTATGCAATCAGGGTGACCCCGAAGGTGCAACTAAGCCAGGTGCCCCAGTGGATCATGGTATTGGCCGTCACATGCTTAGAGCCTCGTAAGATGCGCAGGAAGATGTACTTTGCTGGGAGCTACGGAGAGGTTAGTGTATGCAAACTACCATTTGTTCTATGTGCGAAGGCTCGTACATGGGTGACAATGGTGGTGGTGACGATCAAACCCGGCAAGGCAAACCCATAGGAGACCTTTTTCACCATTACCCCGGCTGATCCAAGGGCCGGGGAGGCAACATAAGATCCACAGTAATAATAGACTACACAGCCAATCGTGATATACACGGCGGTTACCCCCGCCTGACAGATGAGCAACGCTTGAGTGTAATACTGAGGGTCGCGCATCTCCGATACGATGCTGAAGAATCCGGATGTGCCAGAGTACGCAAAGACAATTGACGAGACAGCCGTAATCGCCTGGCTAAAACTCGGATTGTTGATAATCTTGTAGTCGGAGACCCAGACACCGTCCTGCTGCCGCGCCTCAGGACGGTCTTGAATTCCAACCGCGATGGTCACGATGAGAACTGTCCAAGTCAAGTCGTTAGTCGATCACCGTGAATATAGAAGGGGAAGAAAGGGCTTACTCGCGGTCAGAATACACACCAGCCCGATCCACGCCAGCCAAGTGATACGGCCGAGGGTTCGGATACTGGAGAGCATGAAACCGACGATGGCAGCCACTGCCACAAAGATAGCAGTGCATGCCCCGTGGGTGGAGACAGCGTTCAGACCGATGGAAATTCCGAGCATGCCAGAACCAGAAACGAAGACCCAATCTATTCACTGTTAGACGGGCCATATACGGCATTTGTTGGGTCATTTACACAGCCAGAAGGCAAGGCCAAAGACTTCGCGGCCAACACGGCCAAAGATCAACCCGCCGACATCGTCGACGCTGTAGACCGAACGATGGCGAAGTTTAAAGGCACCGATCATGTAGTCGGACCATGTGGTGATTACGGCCACGGCACAGAGGCAGATGATCCCGGGGGCCAGACCTAATGTATCAAAGGCAGACGGAATAGAAAGGACCCCCAGGCCGATCTGAGTCTTCATCATGAGAGCGACAGTTCCCAGCCATCCTACCTGCCAGTGTGTCAGTTTGGAGGGAGAAGTAGAGGGGGGGGGGTGGGGAGGGTTCTTGTTTATTCTGTCTCGCGGGGATGCATACGTTACGATAGTTGGGCCCATTTTCGGTGACCTCGCCAAAGACATCGTCGTTCACGTAGGTGGGCACATCGTCGACTTCCCCGGTCTGTGAAGGAACTGGGCCCAGGTCGTGAGAGTTTTCTTTGGATTTGAGGATTATCGACATCATGTTGGATATATGCGAACCAGCGCCAGATGAGGCTCAGGACCACATTGGGGATGTGGGACGCTGAGACCTTTTTAAATTTGTGCATCGCCTCAATTAAAATTGGCTGAGAGAGGATCGGACCGTCGTCGTTGTAACTTCTTTCGCGCAAGTTGAGCGGGCCAGTATCTGATAGCGTGCCGGATATGGCTGACTTGACATCACAGCATGGAAATCACCCTTTATCATGCTTTTGAAGACTATCCCGCAAATTGCGTAGCACTATGTGGCAAGATCGACACCTCGGGGGCTCTGCCGATGATCAATGTCTCAGATATCCGACGTTGGACGGGTCCCGGGAAGGACTCCGCGATCCACCTTTTTCTCCACGATATCGCGGAGGACTGCGGGGAAAATGTCACCAGTGGTCCAACAAATCATCTCGAGTGATAAGGTGAACCCTCATACGATGTCTCTTCGGGAAAACACCGCATCCGGTTGCTCGTTTCACTTGACTGTGTGCCTAAGTCGAGAGTCCTATTGACCCGCAACGAGGCGATGTATATCCGCGTGAATGTAGCATCTGGACTATCCAGTGTTTATTCTAGTATTTGTGTCTCTTTTGACCTTAACAAGATATGAACAGAAGGGTCGTACCGGGTAAGTTGGGTATCTCATCTGTGGGCATGGGCGGGCCGGATGCTACACCAGCCGGATTAGGAAATAGTGAGGGTAGCTAAGAACGTGGGAACCATGGATGGACCTCGAGATGAGGTTACTTTACCCATTCCCCAGGGGATATTACTAGGTTTCTTGTCACCGGAAATAGCAATGGTTCACAAATGACTTCCTTTCGAATGTGCTGGTGGAGGACTGGAGTTTGTCAAGACCACAAGGGGAAGGGTAGCTTGATTGTGTGAATAAGGGGCGTTAAGGATATATGGTATTTATGCAGTTTAAACTAGCTAGAAAGAGGAGGGAAATGGCAGGCAACCAGAATGAGAGAGGAGAAGAATAAACTAAGCAAGGAGACAGTACTCACGAGGGAAAATATTACTCAACTTATCCTAGAGCACTGTCTCTAAACCTTTAATCTATCCCGATATTCTAATTTGATAGAAAACCTCAAAGCCGCCAATCATCAATGAGCTCGGAACTAAAGACCGATGTGCTAGACGCATCTCCGGGAAAGTCTCCCATCAAATGCTCCATTCATATCGCACGTTCAAGACCATCTTATCTGGTCCTTCCTTGACCACGCGAGGCTGCAGTCAATGTTTACGCCGGGAGGCCAGCCGATAGACTGTCAAAGGCCATGGCTCCTTCGATTCGAGCATGACAAGTACGGATAGCGTATATGTATGCATATATATTGGAGGGACACAACGCCCACTCCCTAATCTAGGTGAATACTGTATACGATTTATCTAGATAGACCACCAACGTACCAAGCAATGGTTGTTTTACACTCGAGCAAAGCTGCATCACCCGCAACCCTGGGCGCTTTTGCTTACCGGCGTGGACCAGGCGCATCGCGAAATACGATTGGCAAAGGCCCACTCACAGTGCGCTCTGTGTCGACCTCGGTGTTAACTGAAGTCAAGAGTGCCCCAAATGCCACACTCGCTCCTCTATCAGCCCTGCCAACGGGCGTGTTACTCCGATCCCTGCTGGTGGCTACCATTACGTCCAAGCCCTACCTGCTCCGCCCGTCTCTCTCAATCTTATCCCTCCTATCCAAGTCCAACCGTGGCTGGTTGTTGAACGTAGACCGCAGTATCATTCTTCATAGCATCCTGAAATGGACCTTCTACAAGCAATTCTGTGCCGGGGAAACGGGAGCGGAGTCTAGGGCTACTGTTCAACATCTGAAGGACATGGGCTTTCAGGGGACGATATTAACATACGCAAAAGAAATTGTCTTTGATCATTCGACCCATACTCAGCAAGGGCTTGGCGTCACTACTGAACAAGTCGACCAAGATAATGCCACCGAGAAGCATTGTCCCCACATTGAAGCCTGGCGAACGGGCACCTTAAAGACCATCGACCTGCTTGGTGAGGAGGATTACCTGGCTATGAAGTATGGGCCTTCGCCCACGCACCTGTGTGACGGATCGCTGACCATTCCAGGCTAACAGGCGCCGGACCGACCGTGGCGAAAGCCTTTGCTGCAGGACAAATGCCCCCTCAACAGATGATCGATGCCCTGGAAGAGATCTGCGAAAAGTGCAAAGTGAAAGGGGCTCGCGTCCTGGTTGACGCTGAGTCTCAACACTTCCAACGTGGGATCCAACGTGTCACACTCGAGGTCATGCGCCAGTTTAATCGGGATGGATACGCGCTGGTTTATAACACCTACCAAGCCTATCTCAAAAGTATTCCCACTACTTTAGCCCACCATCTCGCTGCTGCCAGTGACGATGGATTTACCCTCGGGCTCAAGCTTGTGCGCGGCGCGTATATTGCGTCCGACGATCGCTCTTTGATTCACGACACGAAACAGGACACCGATGAGGCGTACAACTCTATCGCACAGGGCGCGCTTAGAAAGGAGATTGGGGAATTTGGAGCAAAGAATGGCCGTCCCTTCCCATCGGTGAACCTCTTTCTCGCCAGTCATAACAAGGCCAGCGTGTTGGCTGCTCACAGTCTCCATCAGCAGCGGACAATGGAGAAGTTGCCAACGGTGCCCGTGGGATTTGCTCAACTCCACGGCATGTCAGACGATGTCAGTTTTGGCCTGTTGCAATTGAAAGGCCCCGGTGGGTCTCCACAAGTCTACAAATGCTCCACCTGGGGTGGAATGGGGGAGTGTCTGGCATATCTCCTTAGGCGTGCGATTGAGAATCGGGATGCTGTGTCGAGAACCCAGGATGAATTTCAAGCGTTGAAGAGGGAGGTGGGAAGACGACTGAAGGCCTTTGTTACCTTCTCTACTTAACGAATATCCAACTAGAAGTGCATTTTACGACTACCGATATGATATTTCACTACTAGACTATATGTACTGTCGCCGTGAATGGTCGCTGGCGCAGCCCTAACTACATGACTACACCCTGTTGGACCTCCCCTTCATAGATTGGGAATCTGGAAAACATAAACCACAGCCATGCACCATAAGTGAGGGGGATCGTCCCTTAGAAACTACTTTAGACTCGGCATCCAAAGCCGTCTGTCCATCTTATCGTAATCGGGATCCCTTGCCGGCTCCACGGATCTGATTCCATAGCTTTTCCTCGCCCAGTGCACCGCAGCTATCATAGTAAAAATAATTATTAGTATTCCTCACAAAAGGCACCCGTTCGAATACGAAGCCCGGAAAAGAAAAGGATACCTTCTACTATCCCGTCATGGCCAATATGAAAAACTCCACGCTTTGTGTCCTTGGCTGCGGTAAAGAGCATTCCATCCCGGTCGCAACTACAGAAATAATCCTAACATACTACAGGCAACTTAGGAAGCGCCATTCTCAAGAGTTTGATCGATAGACCTCAAGATCAAAAAGCTGCTGTACTATTTACTCGATTCATCGCATCGGTCCGAAGTCAAGAGTCAGAACATCGATTGACCGCACAATTCTCCGCTTATTCCCAGAATTTATCAATCTCCCGGGACAGTCTCAACGCGGTTCAAGAATCGGATATTGTAGTGTTGGCCGTTGACCCCGCGGTCGTCGAGACGGTATTACTGACTGCCGGCCTTCGCGATGCCTTAGCGGACAAGCTGCTGATCAGCGTCGCGGCGGGCTGGACCCGGCAGAAGCTCGAGACAACCCTCTATGGCAGCCCAACGACCTCCGAAAATACCAAGGGTCGCACGTGGGTAGTACGCACGCTGCCTAATATCGCTGCGTCAGTCTCGCAGAGCCTCACGGCCATCGAGATCTCCGAGCCAGAGCTCCCTGACCAGTACCGGCAGATCACCGATGCGATCTTTTCAAACCTGGGGAAGACGGTCCATATCCCCCCATCTTGGATGGATGCGACAACCGCGGTGGCTGGATCAACTCCCGCTTTTTTCGCTGTCATTGTCGATGCAATGATTGATGCCGCCGTCGCCGTGGGCGTGCCTAGGGACATGGCGCGGGCTATGATGGTTCAGGCGATGCAAGGAACCGCAACTCTTCTGCAAAGTGGAATGCATCCGGCCGTGTTGAAGGACCAGGGCACGTTGCCCGAAGGATGTACCATTGGAGGTCTGATGATCTTGGAGGAGGCAGGAGTGCGCGGCCACGTTGGTCGGGCCTTGCGAGAAGCCGTAACCATTGCGCGTCTTATGGACGGTACTCGTCATGTGAATGATACCAGACAGTAGTAGCCTTTAAAATAGCGGCCGTAAAAGCAGACTCTCATTGTTCTTCATTTTAACTCTATGGATGGGCTGGCTCGTATGTAGTTGATAAGCATCTACTTCGTACAGCTACTCATCACGATGTTTATGGAAGAACTCCCGCAGTCCTATATTCGTCAAACAACCGAATCCAAAGGCCGGAATAATCCGAACACAGCGAATGACCGTTGCGGATGGTAGATGCCTCAGGATAAGAGCGAATCTCTCGGCCCATGATACCGAGTATTGACGGTTGTACATGTCGAGACCAAGTAGATGTAAGGGGGTAGTCACCAGTTGAGACAACACCGGAACCGCGATCTGCGTGATGACGATCTTTAAGCTAGGCTGCAAGGCGAGGCTATCGGGAATGATAGACGAACAGCACGAGGCCAGGGTAAATGATCCAAAGATTGTTACCCCGTCTCGCACGAGAAAGGCCGCTGTGGCGGCTTCTAACAACGCCCTACTGGACATGCGAAGTGCTTTCTTCGCCGTGGGCTCAATACCACTTCGAAAGAGTTGCGCAAAACGGATATCCTTCCAAACTCACAGGGGAACATTGACTACAAAAGTCGTTGTATGGTTGTAAACGTAACAGGGTTAGCCCTCGACGGCCAAAACTCAGTTGTCAGGGTCTCCGTTGCATTGGCGACTGTATAGGTGGCCCCATATAGGGTCCATACAAGGCCATATAGTCGGGGAAGAATCCTCACGGTCGTTTAAGAGCGGCAAGGGTGTGGGAACGAAGACTATGGAGAATAGTCAATTTGACGATGCTTTCACCACCAGGGCTCTGCCGCGCGCTCTCGTAAGCTAGTTATTCGAACTCGACCATTTCCAGTATAAAATACCTGTCGATAATGGTCACTGTGGGCGCTATGAATGTGGCCGAAACCGCAGCAGCAGCTAGGTCCCCTGCGAGTCTTCCCCCGAGGTAGTTGCCCTAATCGCCATGGAGAGTCTGTGATACGGGATAGGCCACGAATAGATGTCACTAGTATCGTTCTTTCTGTAAAACCGTTCAACTTTCGTTACATTGTAGCATTCATTAATAGATGGACACTGCCACCGTCTCGATACGAGTGATAAGAGCCAGCAAGCCAAGTGGGGTCTTGATTGCTCTCCGTCAGAGATAATGATCTTTGGCCATGCATATCAGAGCGACGGCTTCCTTCCCGAGAGTACATGATCGCGAGAATTAGTGTCGTGGAGAATCCCCATACTTGGCATCGGGTCACTTACCGAGATCTCCAATTCATAAGTTTGAGATGTCCGCAGCTGGGAAGCTGCTGTTAATCGCAATTTAACTTTGTTACCTCAATTACCATGGCTTCCACTAAGATCTTCGCAATAAGATTGTCCACATCCGCGCGCTCCTCCACACGTACTCTGCGGCCTTTCCCATCTTCTACTCTCCAGATTCGAACCAAGGCAACCGTACCATTCAGACTCCCCGCTGCGAGAAATGAACCCAATGTGAGTACAAGGTACATAGCTAGACTGATTGCAAGGGGCTAATTTGTTCGATCGCAGCCTCTGTATACAAGGGGCTCCCTGGAGCGCGTCAAACTAGAAGAAGCCCTGACCAACCTCCGGTCCCAGCTACCTGTCCAGAGTGAGATTTTCTACAACGGTATGGCGCAAAAGGCGTCCCAGTCATGGGATCAGCCTCTTCCATCAGAACATGCGACAACGTTCACCAATTTCCCTCTTGCCTCTCGAGAGCAGGTCACAGCTTCCATTGAGTCGGCCTTGAAAGCAAAGAAGCATTGGGAAGAGACCCCCTTCCCCGATCGCGCATCCATCTTCCTGAAAGCGGCAGAGTTAGTCACAACGAAATATCGCTATGAGCTGATCGCGGCGACCATGCTGGGCCAAGGCAAAAATGTTTGGCAGGGTGAGATTGATGCTGCCGCCGAATTGGCAGACTTCTTCCGGCTGAACTGCAATTTTGCGGCGGAGTTGCTGGAAAAGCAACCGACACGGGGCACTGATGGAATGTGGAGGTATGCACTGCCCTGCACATTGTATCAGACGGAAGAGACAACTAACCCTTCCCAGTCGCATAGATTATCGCCCTCTCGAGGGATTTGTGTACGCTGTCTCGCCCTTCAACTTCACTGCATTGGGTGGCAGCTTGGTCTCTGCCCCGGCTTTGATAGGCAACGTGGTCGTATGGAAGCCCTCCCCATCCAGTATCTACGCAAGCACTCTAGTCTATAAGATTCTGCTTGAGGCCGGCCTGCCTCCGGATGTGGTACAGTTTGTGCCGGGAGATGCGGCAGAGGTGACTGACCTGGTGCTCGCCCACCGTGACTTTGCTGGTCTGAACTTCATCGGCTCCTCAGACGTCTTCCGGAGTATCTATAGCAAGATCGGCGATGGAATTGCAAAGAAGACATATCGCGAGTTCCCTCGGGTCGTCGGAGAGACGAGTGGCAAGAACTTCCATCTCGTCCACAATTCGGCTGATATCCTAAGCGCTGTCAACCACACCATCCGTGGTGCGTTCGAGTATCAAGGTCAGAAGTGCTCGGCGACCTCTCGTCTGTATCTCCCGGAGAGCCGTGCCGAGGAGTTCTTGACAGCCTTGACGGCTGGGGTCAAGGATATCACGATTGGAAGCCCTGATCAAGACTTCGAGGCGTTCATGGGCCCAGTGATTCACCGTCAGTCCTTCAATAAGATCAAGTCGATTATTGACGCCAGCAACAAGGATCCTACCTTGACCTTGCTGGCCGGAGGCACATACGATGACTCGACCGGCTTCTTCATTCACCCGACAGTCTACCAAGCGCAATCCCCCGACCACCGCCTGTTCGACGAGGAAATCTTCGGTCCCGTGTTGACCGTCTATGTCTACCCTGATGACGAGTGGAGTTCCATTCTGAAGAAGGCTGATCAATCGGGCGGTGGTTTTGCGCTTACCGGCGCAGTCTTTGCGAAAGACCGCAGGGCAATCCGCGAAGCTGAGGATGCTCTTCGCTATTCGGCTGGAAACTTCTACATCAGTAAGTCGTACTTCTAGAACCCCTCACATATATTGATCTAACCCAGTCGCAGACTGCAAGACGACCGCAGCCCTCATCGGTCAGCAATCCTTCGGTGGTGCTCGTGCTAGTGGTACCAACGACAAGGCCGGCAGCTCCGATATGTTGCGGCGGTTCACAAGCCCTAGGATGATCAAGGAGGAGTTCTTCTCCCTGGAGGGTTATACCTATCCTAGCAATCACTAGAGCTGAAGATGGCGCGGAATTAGCTGGGAACGATGTATATATGAGGTTATCATGAATAGATTATGAAGATTTCTTGTTTGAATTATGCCCTTTAGCAGTAGGTAACGAATGTCTAATCTCTGCAGTGTGGACACCCTTTCGGAAGTCAATAGCAGACACCATTGTTGATAGTACGATTATTATTCTTGTGAATCTGATTATTATCATTATCTCGTATAGGACTACCTTCACATCAGCCTTTGCTCTTCTCGGTCCCTAGCAGATTGAACAAGAGAGCAAGTGCCACTGCTACAGAACTGTTTCTCTGCGGAAACTTTAGGACTGTCCCTTGCCGGAATGGGACTAGATCGTGGCCGCTTTTTGCTCAGTGATTAAGCCCAGAGTGTAAGCTCCTCCGAGTATATAACAGAAGATCATATATCGCCATTAAATGCGTGAGCTTGTGAATTGGTCCAGCAGATTTCTGCAACATATCTTCAATTTCCTAATTCAGGTGCTGCCACTTTTGTAGGATAGCACATAACCTTTCCCTGAGTACTTTATGGGCAGGTATGATACTGTCCATAGTAGCGACGGCTATCGATCTATAAAATGCGGTTTGGAAAAGGCTGTATGAAAGGCTATAAAATTAGTTACAAGGTTGAGCTATAGCTGAGCAGGATCAACTATATTTTTGGGGTATATCAATTGATTCAGAGGAGGAAACAATCTGCAGCAGGCATTTATTTTAAACACTAATGATAGGTACATATGTAATTAGATAAATATGAAAAAACAAGGGCTTCCTTTATTCCACAATTACCCCTGAGATAACACAAGAGTATAGCAGCTTCCATTGACATTTGCCCAGATCAACAGATTATGGATTACCTATAGCCTAAACATTACCACCTCCCTGCATGCCACGGGCGCTGCGCGCCGTTGCCACAAAGAGGCTGTAGCAGGAAAGATTCTATTGCCGTGCCGCTAGCTGCATAGAACCACTGTATGTTCTGCAGGGGTAGAAGGTTATTGATATCTAGATGGGCTGTGAGGCTGTGATTTGCCACTGCTAGTTATCTGCTAAGAAGGGCTCTATGCAGCCTACAGAATAATGTAATGCTACTTTGTTCCATAGTGCGAAAACTCCTCACAACACAAAACTTCACAGCATCCGGGTGTACTCACGGAGATGTACCTGGGCAGTATGGGAGGCGCAAGGTTAGGATCGCTGGACATACGTGTGTATCGTGTACGTCTATTCGAAGCGGAGTAAATGTTAGATAGGACGATATGGACTCACGACGTATTTCATAGTTATCCCTGGTTAAATATACTCAAGTCTAAGTGTCAGTTGCGTAAGAAACAATCTACTCGCTTCCTTATGCTCACGATAAGCTGCCCTATCATGAATTCTAAGTACCTGGCCGTCGCATAGAACAAGATCAAAAAGTTGTATTGGTTTCAAACGGCTAGGCACGAAGTTTAGCATCCGGGTGGTCTCATAGGATATCTACTAGCCCTATATATACAGCTAACATTGTCATATCAAAAAAATTCAGTATCTCATTGGGATATTCGGTAGAAGAACGCTAAGTCCACCATTATATTTTGGTAAGCTAAACCCCAAAGCTTGGGCTTCAGTGTAAATACGCAATGCTATCGCAAGAAAGCCTCCCGGAGCCTGCACATGTCGAGGATAGAGTGTTTATGTGTTTATCCGGACCTGGACCTTTAATTTGGAAGACACCAGTAAGTTAGTACATATCGTATCCTATGTTTTGCACCAATTTGTAGAATTGCTTGGCTGTCTTGTTGTCGGCGTGATCGGCAGTTTCGGCGTTGCTCTACAAAGAACCGATCGCCTTCCGGATAATAATCCCAACTCGAGTCTAGCTAATTAGTTCAGGATGTCTGAGAGGAATTCACTAAGTCCTAGCCTTCCTTCCGGAGATCAGATAACCGCCAAACCTCCGGAACTCCAAGAAATAGATATTCTAGTATGAATCTCTGTGCTTCTCCATTTAATACTCGGCGGGGACTGGATCAGATGTAACATCCGCGGCTGTGTTTGGCTTCCCTGAAGCTCCATCGTTGAAAACATTTGTGTAGCGACACCAGATCATAGCAGACTGAAGACGAGAGAAGACGAACTTATCTGGACTCGAAATACGGGATTGGCTTTGTATAATTCATTATGGTAAAACAACTTCACACCGTCAGCAATCAAATACTTAAAGTATGTATCTACCACTCTATAGTGCTATGGGTTGACATGGCAATGCAGCTATCGACATGAAAGCGGTTACCTGTTTCCAATTAATGGCTGGTGTCTACGATCAAAAACGACGGTTTTGAGGCAATTGAACATATTCTATTTCCTCTTGATCATGGCATTCATTTGACCACCGTCTGTCCTTCAGTCGCCCCGTCGCCAGCCATTCCCCTATTAAAGCTGAAGAACCCTAGTAGAGATGTTAGTGTTGGTTTGTCGGATGAGAGCTTAATAAATGCTTTAGAGCCCGAGAAGGTCCGCAAAATTGCAAGAAACTATAGGCTTTATAGTTATAACTTTTTGACTCCTTCCTTGTCTTAATTAAAAGCCAGTTTTATTAAAGTTATATATATTCTTGGATAGAATCTGTATAATAAACAGCGTTAAGTAGTTATACTAGGGCTAAATGTCTATATCTTCTACTTTAAGACAACTCTTATCTCTTGGCTTCCGCTGGAGTATTTTAAACTCCTCTAGCAAGCGTTTAATAAAGTAATCCAAGTTCTTATTAAGTATACTAAATAGACTGTGCTTCGAGTTGCTCGGCCAAGAATACGTGCTCGGAGTCGTTGGTAAAGAACATTAAATTCAGAAATATTAGGTCGGTTTTGGCCATTTGGCCCTTATCGATTTCACAGGCTTTTAAGATGATCTAAGGTGACAGGGGTGGATGGTATGGAGGCTGGTCTGTGTCGTACTGAGGACTCCGAGGAAAGGAGACGCCAAATCGCCGACAAAGCTTGTCCGGGTGACTAGAAAGCATTCAAGGGAAGAGGTCCTGCCACCATATCACTGCGAGGCTGGTCATTATTGTCGTGCTCCAAAATTTGCCTTGGTTCGCTGGATCTGGATAACGCCAGCGACTGCACACCCCATGTTCGTTGATCGCGTTGATCTGGAACGCCATTTTATGCAGCAGGCTCACTTCACGCCACTGGCACTTTTCCGGTATGGAAGGCTCTAAGTGGTGTAGGTTTTATTCAAGGTCACTAACTACTACAATTCGATTTCATGGGTTTATTGTGTTTTGACTAGACATGTTATAGATGCGATACTTACAAACCCATGCTTAACTAAGACTTTCTCAACGCCTCCAGCTTGACAAGCCAACTGGGATGATTAGGTAGCTGCCGTAACGTGGAAGAAAAAGGCTGGTCTTCCAGGAAGAGTGGGCAAATCTTTGGGGTCGCCTTTTTGAAGCCTCAGCAGGTTCTCGATTCTCGCTCGTGAAACCAATATGCCCTGTTCAGAGTATTCGTCGACGTGCTCCTGGAATACCCATAGAGCTGATTTTTCCTCCCAGGATGGCTCACTGCTAATGCGCTTACCAATAAGGACTGCATACTCCTCGTGTGTCCTAGATTTGCCAAATGAAACGACCGTAGATCCCAGGACGCCGTCAAAATCAAAAGCTTGCAACTCAAATTTTTTCTCAGCTCCAGGATCAAGATGAATATTCGCATCTGGAATAAGGGAGTTAATCATGCAGTTTGGTCTATAGGATGGGGGCAAAGGGGTTGGGGGGGGGGGGGGGGTGAAAAAACGAACACTCGGTAAAGTTACTGCCAACCGGCAGTCTCTGCACAATGAAGGTTGACGTTTTGATGGCCGTCTGTGGATGAGAGAATAGCATTGATTAGACTCTCATTGCTGTCAAGACACTGCCAGGTAGGGAGGCCACTCACATAGACTCGTAACTCGAACTCTTTAGCAGGGGGGTACTCGACGGGAGTCTCGGCTTCTTCGGGATCTTTCGCGATCGCTTCGATCTAGAGCAGCTTAGTATCGAGCTCCCTGCATGGATAAAAAAAGCAAGAAATACCTTTTGTTTGATCTTGTCGGTCTCTTTTACTCGAGCTTCCTCCAGTTCTTTTTTCTTATTCACTCCACCATCGTATTTGTTGTCCGGAACTATACAAGCCATTAGGACCAATGGTCTTCAAGTTGATTTGGATGTGAAACTTCCCATTCTTGACCAATTCCTCCAAATCCTTGTATAAACTGAAGTCATGCAAAAGGGACCAGCTCTGAGCCATTATTGTTAGAACTCCCCGGATGGTTGGAGATTTAACCTGACACTCACAAGGCCACTTGCGCGGTCGTAATCAAATGGAGTAAAGTAACCATTAAAGTCAGACAGCGTGGCATATTTGTCCAGCCGTGCGCTAGACCGCAAAGTAATTAGGGCTCTATCTGCGAAACTATCATTGTGCGGGAACACTTACGCGCGAATGTAGCCGTGCGGGTTGGTCCTGGCCTCCTCATAGAATTTGTCGGCCATCTCCTTCAGTTTAAGGAATGTGCTTTCACCGGGCTCGGGGTCCACATGGGGACTCCTGAGCTGACCACCACCCTGCTCAATGACGGTCACACTGATTTCGGAGGATTGCTCGACCCTCTCAGCCGCCCTTCTCATACCGACGCTCGGCTCTACATTGGCCCCGTACATAGAGAAAGCAAGGCTCAGACTAAGCCAACTCAAAGTCAACATTCACCCGGACACCAAAAGCAAACAGATACGCGTAGGAAGGACGGGTGGGGAGAACAACACACTCTGCAGATAATTCATCTTGCTCGGACAGGTTTGTCAAGGTTATCGAGAACCTAGCAAAGAACCTCCCACCATATTTGAAACCTGGAAGGAAGAAATTTTGATTAGAAAATGCGATTCTCAGACATTGAAAATGGATAACTTGTTTACCAGCAATATAACGGTCGCCATAATATTCATTGGGGTCGTTGGTCTCCCGTTCATTGAAAGACGATTTGGGGATAGGACTTTCCTGCTGCTCCGACTCAACTTGAACAATAAAAGTCCAGGTGGATTTTTCGAACTATGCATCTGTGAGCTGACGCTGGGACCATATCATTCCGCGATTGTCTCTTACCGTGCGCTTATTGAGGTATTTGAACCCAGCCTCGCCGCCCTTGTCGATGAGTTTGACGGCAGCACCAGCAGAAAGCTCGAACGACTTGACCAAGCTCCTGTTCGAATTAGCTTATAACTCGTCAAACCCTATCACAATGAAAACACAACTGGTAGTCTCTGATCTCCTCATAATCATATTTCCGGGCATAGGCGCCGCTTGGAGGATCTTGTTCCACGTCCACGCATTCCTGTGTACGGGTTTCCTGGAGGTAAGAATTGAACCTGCATTTTCCCATCATTTGTGCATTAGCCCAAGCTCATGTGGGGGAGAGAAAAAAGGTAAAACGTACCCCTGACCCAAGCGCATTCCTGCATAGAAAGGAACGTATTCAGACATTATGTCGGACAGCGGTAATGCTAGGTTGATTGTGAGTAGAGGTTTGACGCAGTTTGTCGAGCTATAAACTCCGATGTCCAATGTTGACGCAAGGAGTGATGGTATATAAATGGTATATAAACTCTTTAAGCGGAGTGTATATGATAATACAAGTCACTCTCCTGCCGTCTGCCCTTCCAACACCGAACTCGATATAATTATGACCTTTTTGCGGGAGTCCCGGAACGAATCCTGTTTGGTTGCCGCCTCCTTTGATACTACATGCCGATATAATAGGACAGGGACCAATCCATGTAAGTGGATGCGTTACCTTCAGAAATGGCGCAATAGAAAGTTCGAAGAGTTACTTCAGCAATTATGGCCAATCCTCCTTCTTGCTTCATCTTTTGTGCGTGGTTTGAGTGCATGATTCACATGGAAGGCAACGCAGTCGGTCGCCTACAGGGTAGGGTTAATTGAGAGTTTGGCCAGGCAAATCTGCATTTGCATCAGCATGACCAGAGGCGCCGTAACGGTGATGTCCGTTTCCTCTAGACGACACGGTTTGTATTTGTCCATGGAAGTCTGTGTGGATTTGGCTGCTGTGCGAGATAAACCCGGTATAGTCCGAAAGTAAGGGTCTAGATTCCAAATAGGCCAGGTCGATCTAGAAAAGCTCTGGACTGTCAATAAAGAGCGAATCGGTGACTACCTACGTTTTCCTTCCGTGATGGGACTTCTGGGAAACTTACAGAAATGATTGGTTGCTATTGTTGGTATCCTGACTCAAATGCAACCTCCTCATCATCCTGCATACTGCATACTGCATTTGGCACTAACAGTATTCACCCCTGGAGCTCCTTTCAGCTCCAACAGATTATTTGCCTCAATGACCCACTTTCTTTCCTTCTTCTTTTCTTTTGCTTGCACTATCCTCCCGTCAGAAAACGGTATAAACCTCCCACAGCTCTGTTGTCGTCTTCATTTCTCAAGCAAGATTTCTATTACCCTCAGTATTGCCTTCAAATTAAACTACGTACCAGTCATGTCCAACACCCAGGGAGGAAATGGTCCCGACGCGTATGCTCAGTGGATCGGATTCGATATCTACAATTCCTGTCCGGATACCATTCAGGTTAGCGAGGCTTATTTGAAAGAGTAAGTTTATAATTCTTTTGTTTTTTTTTCTTTTTCGGCGCTATGCTAAGAGTTCTGGCATTGAAGTGGCAAGTTCTATCGTTGGAATGACAAAGACATCGAATTGTCATGGGACACGGTCAACCAAACTCGAATCCTACCCAACACGAATAACCTGACCTTCGGCTCTTGTGGCAGAGCCAACGCCGCAGTGGGTACCGAAGGTGAAATTTCTTTCGAAGTTGATGGCAAGACCGTAGCAAAGGTTGAATGGGACTGTCCTTGGACCCCTGGATCAAGGAATTGGGTGACGAGCTCCTCGACAGCGGAGGGTTATGGCATCAGTCATAGGGGCGACAGCCCTACCGGTGCTATTGGTACTGTTAACTTCGAAATATATAGGACCTAGTCATTCTCTATTGCAGGTCCTGGTACTCCAAGCTCGCTTATCAATCTGGAAGGCCATAATGAAGTGGAACTCTGAGACATATGTGTCGCTCGATCTTGGATTTCCCAATCTGTACATCCGATAGGGAGGTGCAATAGCCGGGCAGCCTCAACAAAGCTAGCAAATAAACCCAGACTCATTGCGGGGAAAGCCAAGTAACTCATCGTTATGCTTCTAACATAAAACATCTCTTTTTCTCATTGCCATTCGCATTTAGCAGTCCGTGTTCGCTCCTAAAGGGGCGAGCCTCGTTGTCCGAGAAATGATAAAGGGGTAGAAGAATGAATCGGTCATAGTTTGAAGCTCTCTTCCTCTTCAAAGTCCACTTGAACATAATACAAGCTGAACTTGAGTTGTAGCTGAAAGCTGCATGTATCAACTGCAGTAGCGCCTTTTGTGGGCACACAGACCCTACAATTTCCCCAACCTTTCAGCTAGCCACCACGGAGCCATCTCCCTCATGAAGGATTTCCACATTTTTTGCCTTGCTCTTTTTGGATTTCGCTTCCATTCTGGCCGCGTTTCCTATCTTTTCACATATACTTTACGTATCCGTCTATTCGAGGTTGCCTTTTTTTTTTTTTTTTTTTTTTTCCTGTCCTGCAAGGGAAGTAATGTGTAACCTCAAGCAAGACCAAAAAGTGAGAGGGGTGATTTTTCGAAGATGGAAATCAAATCTATGTAACGCATATGCAAGAATGCGGGGCTTGCAGCTTTATTTTCTAGGAGGCCATTTGAGAGAGACTACTCTGTTCAATTCCCTAGACAGACTCTCTATGCAGTTTCGATCACAAACAATGCCCATTGCCTACCTACATTCATTCCCATGTTAAGGCTATGCCTCCGCCAATGCATCGTATTATGGAGCAGTTCACTGCAGTAGTCGTGATGACAGTCGCATAGATGTAACATTCCGAAATTTATATAGAGAAGGATTAGGTAGTGATTGGCGAGATAAACAGAAGATCCAAGTCATATGAGCGATGGCTACCAAATGTATGGCGCGCCACCAGATAGAAAGGGACAATGGTAGGAAGATATCACAGTGCGAATTCCTGAGACCGTAATGCCCAGGTCCATCTAGAAATTGATGTTATAGTCATTAAGAGGAGACATGGAAACATCAGCTGGCATGATTGGCGACTTTAACACAAGCCCGAAAGAATTTACGAACGGACACTGAATGAGCTCAATTGAGCGTTGCATGATACGATGAAAAGGCATTGGTGCTCAATTAGCATGTAGCGGTAGCATTCTGGATTGTAGAGAATAGAGAGTATCACAGGGGTTATTGATTGTTGAATCCAATCCTTCGGTCAAAGCTCGATTATAATATCTTCATCAGTCCCCAGTTCAGCCCCAACAGCAACTACATCTAGCCAATCAGGCACTGAGTGGTCAAGTAAGCCTCGTTGCTGGGATTTCCTCCAGCCGCATCCAACAAACCTTCTGTCACTCTGGCGATGAAACATTACGGCGCAAAATCTAGGGAGTCTTTGGTACACACGTTGCTTATAAAACTCTGGCAAATGCACACCCCGAACGCCAGCAGCATTACCATAGTTAACTGCTATCCTCTGAGTACCCAGGGTGCCACCAGTGTATGGAACAATGCGAGTGAGTGGGAATTCTTCCAGCTGCGTATTGCCGCAGTTAGGAGCCAGATTAACGCCTCGGATAATACTGACATGGTGGAGATAATTTCTGGTAATCTGAGGGGGAGCACTGCCCTATTGAGTCACTGTAGTTAAGGTACGGACGGAGGTTTGCTTGGCCTATGAGACTTCCTTCTTACCAACTTCGCTTTTGTTATTTTGGTGCCCCAGTGCGGTGTTTGCTGCTAGTTGAATATCCCCTTTGGTAAAGCGCGTTCCGTCTACTACGTGAGCGGTTAGAAGTCATTATGCGCCAAAGCATGGGTCATTAACATGGAAGAATTATTAAGACCCAGCTAACTGCAAGTCACCTCATCTCTTGCTAAGTTGGTATTTGTCTTGGCCTCCCCGTTGCCAGCCATTCCCCTATTAAAGCTGAAGAATCCCCGTAGAGATATTTGTGTTGGTCTGTCGGATGGGAGCTTAATAAATGCTTTGGAGCCCGAGAAGGGCCGCAAAATTGCAAGCTTTCTTCTTAATTTACAAGATACCTCCAGTCTCCCGGATTATACGTTGCTTATAAATAATCTCTCTTAGGAAATCCCTCTTATTATCTATTTTAATCCCTATCTAAGTAAGATAGATAATTCTTTTGGAATCTAGGTGACGGTAAAACTACTGGGAAGGAGAGAAAATGGCGTATATTTACGCTGCTATAGTAACTCCGTCCTACTCTTCGAACTTCTAGTTGGTCGACTTAACCGGCCTGCTGTGGAATCTCAGGGGAATGGGGCGCAGGGAGCTATTGTATCGGCTACAGGCTCATCGGGTGCCTAATTAGGAAGTAGATGTCATCGGTGGAAACACCAGGAATCAACGTATCTCGACCAACTGAGCTTATTGCATTCCTACCTATATCATTCTATAACCCTCAGGGTGCTTGACTATCTAAAGGCTGCCGCTGGTATCCCTGCACCCAAGCCGGCTGCGGGATATAAGTTAGTGTTTTCATAACACGATCTCTTATTATCTCTACGCTGTACTATCCGGATTCCACTCTTTCCTTTATAATGGAGGATTTATCCCGCCGTCTATTCAATAGATTCAGAGTCAGGTGAAGGTAATATTTGTGGGAAAATAGCTCGGTTCCCTGGCAACACGTTATTTAGTTCATGGGAGCAAGCAATGTTTTCTGGGAATATGTGACGATGTCCTGGGAGTATGGGAGGGACTCACGTTGATAGTGGACGTAATTGCCTTAGGTATCAGGATATTCTCCTCTTGCTGAAGGGGAACATGTCAGCATACATGTGTCGAGTGTTATGAAGTTGGCGCAGGGGTGCAACTCCCGGCACAATCTCCCTCGATCATTTTTCATTCTGCATATTCTGAGCCCTGGACTGTTGGGGACGACTCTGAAGATGCTGCGGCGCAACTAGTGGAGGGACTGCCGCACTATCCAATTACCAGCAGCCAGAGTTTACAAAACACCTTAGATCGCCAACGAGAAGCACTTCAGCAAGACAAATCCCGTGGTCAGTATCTCGCTTTTACAGCTGTCCCCATGGCCGAATTCTCCAGACTGAGTGGTGATCGGTCGCCAGTAAGCAAGTACAGTTGATTCTCTTATAACGCAGAAACTGGAACCTTGGCCGCGAAAGTCATGTCGGCTCCTGAACACGGAATCGCAGCAAAAGCATTCGAATTGCTTATCTCTCTTGAGCTGGTTTCCATGAACTTGGAAGATCATGTGGACCTTCTCGGTTCAACGACAGTTACGATAGGGAGTTGGAAAAAAGAAGCTGATTTCTGCTGGGCTCCTGCTTCGAAGGCTACGGCCCTAAGTTTTGTGGTCGAGGTAGGTCTATCGGAGTCCGCTCGGAACCTACCTCTTGATGCTCGAGGATGGTTAGAGACCTGTACCTCATCAGTGAAACTTGTCGTCACTATTGGTATCAATCGGGCAAATCCTGAGGTCATATTACACCGATGGGAATTGTGCCCCGAGAATATCGTCTCCTTACAAGATCTTCCTCTCTCTCAGCCCGTCGCACTACAACCCTTAAATTATCTCGGACGAACAACACAACATTGGTTACCGGAGAATCCTACGTAGATAGCACAACTGCGACTACTACACAGCTGGGTCTATCATTTGAGAAGGTAGTTGGCCATCCTCCAAATCCACCTCTGGAGAGGGATCTCGTAATTTCCGAGCCAAAGCTCAGGGATTTTGCAGAATGATTTGGAGGAAACAAGGTTTCGTATAATTCGGGCTAGATTGCTGATGATGTCTCACATGGCACGATGCCATGCGGATGAGATCGAGGACGACACCGAGCTTGTGGAGAGAACCTGAACGACGTCAAGATCGAGTGCGCCATAAGGCGGCAAGTATAATATTTAACCCCTGCCTCGAAGCACAACTGCTTAACTCGCACGGAGTAATGGAAAGATACGTTATCCATCACGAGCACGGATTTCGGTTCCGGCTATCTCCCACAGTACAGGAGAAGCTACTTAATAAAGTCCTCAAAGAGTACAGCATCAGTTTGAACCCTTGAAGATATAAGACAGAATAATACTACCTTAAGTATATACCGGCAGGATCTGGTAGCGTTCACCCCGATAAATTCTAGCTGGCCTCACACTAAGCGGAGTCTAACCTATCCGTCTATATTCTAGCCGTTATTACATCCAGGCTCGTCCACATAAACGAGAAGATACAAATATAACTTGGAAAGTTATATGCCAGAGCCTACAGGGAGCTACGGCGGCAACCACGTGACCTGACCACAACACCATGGATGGAATCTTTAGACCTTGGGACCACCAATCCCACACATGAGCATCTATACCAGCTCTATCAGTATATATTAATAGCAGTCTCGCAAAAGAGGATTCTGTTCTGTCAGGCTGAGCCGGTAAGAATACCACTGAGCTACAAAAAGACGCCATGACATCTAGTTGTAACTTCAGACGTATATTAGTGCTCAGTAGTATTATTACCAGTACCTGCTTAGTCCGACACGGGTTCTTTTACTTTTTAATCAAGTTTTCTTTTTCGTCCAGCCTTCCTGGGCAAGGGCGCGTTTAATGCTGGATAGTGATGGTAAATCTTAAATTTAACCCATAGAAAAACAGCCATCCTATCAGTATACAGGCTGGGTTTCTCGGTGAGGTGATTATAAAGGGCGTCAAGCATCGGGCGAGTGATACTCGGTAGCCGGCCTGCATGAACTAGGAGAGCTAGTGCCGTAACAACCGCATGTTCTTGCGGATATTTGGAATAGAACGCTTACTATATTTTGTAATCTATAATATTTGTGACGTAGTTAACTAGTCTCTGCGAAGTATTATATGAACCATAAGTTCGCGCTACCAGGACCAAGGTTCCATGCCATTTTGTATTCTGTTGTAGTTTACAATTCTTGGCGGGGTGTGCAGAATGGTGCTGCAGAACATATATGATGGGACGTTGAGCAGCGGCTGGAGGTTGGGAGTTACCGGCAGTGGTCATTTTCAGCGTCAATTTCACAGATCCTCGCATTCTAGGTGTAAAAGAAAGGGCAGGACTTAAGTATCTAAGTACTGTTTATTATATCTTTGTACCAACAACAACTACATCGGTACTTCATCAGCGGTACTTCCACCGGAATGCCATCCGATAGCCGATATCATCATGATTGGCGTCACTGCACCATCCCCGCATCAAACGGCGTTATCGACCGGCAAGGTTCCCGAACATACAGCTCCACCGCAGCTTCAGGGTAGCTTGCGTGTATATAAGACCAGATCGAGCTCTTCGAACGGTGCGTTATAGACGGAGAAGCAGATGCACATCAGATAGCTATCATGGTTCCCAAATCCAAGCCCGTTATTATTGTCGGAGGCGGTGCCTTCGGCCTCTCAACTGCCCTCGAGCTATCTCGGAATGGATACAGCAACATCTCGGTCTTTGAACAGGATGACCGGATCCCCCCTCGTTACTCGGCCGCCAATGATTTGAATAAGATCGTGCGAGCTGAGTATGAAGATCCGTTCTACACCGATTTGACCATGGTGAGTAGCTCCAGAATCCATCCCTCGCGTCAATTAACCCCGAGATAGGAAGCGATCGCCGCCTGGAAAACGCCTCTCTTCGCCCCCCACTTCCATCAAACGGGTTTCCTGCATTGTGTCTCGGGCGAAGCGCCCGAGCGAGCCGTTGCGACGCTGAAGCGATTCCAAGCATCCGCCAACCGCCATGCTCAATTGAAACCGCATGTCGTTCCCCTCGACTGCGAGAACGTCATCCGTCCACTGTTCTGGCAGTACAATGGACAATTTCCTGGGTGGAATGGTTATCTGAATCGCTTTGACGGGTATGCGCACTCCGGAAATGCCTTGAAAGCCGTATACCACGAGACACAAAAGACGGGTGTCCGCTTCTTCCTGGGGGAGCACGGTGCGGTGGCAGAAGTAGTGTACAAGGATGGTAAGAGCATTGGCATCCGCACGAGGAACGGCCGATTCCACGGGGCAGAGCTGGTCATCGTAGCTGCGGGTGCTGCGGCAGCCAAGCTGGTGCCGACCATCGGGGCCCAAGTCGTTGCCAAATCCTGGTCGGTCGCACACGTCCATCTCACAGAAGAGGAGACGTCCGCTCTGCGAGGCATTCCCGTCACCTATGCGCGAGACCTTGGCTTCTTTTTTGAGCCCGACCCAGTGACCAGACTGCTGAAGCTGTGTCCCATGGGCGGCGGATATGTCAACACGGATCCCACCACGGGCGTATCCCATGCGCCGGACTCCTTCTCGTCCAGTGGATTCGTGCCCCCCGAGGATGAATCCAAGATTCGGCGGTTGCTCGCACAGACACTCCCCAGTTTAGCCGATCGGCCGCTCGTCAAGAAGTCGTTGTGCTGGTTTGCGGACACAAGTGACTCGGACTTCATCGTTGACTACGTCCCGAATACGGCATCGTCGGTCATTGTATTGTCGGGTGACTCAGGACATGGCTTCAAGATGTTCCCTCTAGTGGGTAGCTGGGTAAAGGACCTTTTGGAGGCACCAAACCAGCGACAATCCGTGGCTCGCTGGCGCTGGAAGCAACCCAAACCCAGCGACGAGAAATGGGGAGACGATGTCAGCTGGAGGTTGGGGGCAACTAGGGAATTTCGCGATGTTCAGCCGGGACAATCGAAGCTGTGATAGGGTTTTGTCATCCATACTGAGCGGGTCACTTCACTTTGACGGAGAATTTTTGGGTTGTTCGAACATATAGGTATGTGCAGGGAAAGAAGGCTGTAGAGCATATACATCCATTTTGCACAATGTATCTCGAACTAGACGTTTGTGTCCCAATGCAAATGCGGTCGCCACACAGACCCCACAGCAGCTACCTCTTGAGTAGAGATGCCATCTAATCTGGAGAATAAGATATCCAATTGATATCGACCTCATCCAAGTGTTGTCCATAGACGACTGTTTCAGGGTATTGTTTGGCACGTTTTCCCGACCGTGACCAGTCACGTGGGTCGGCAAGAATGACCGACTATTTGCTTCCTTTCTCTCTCCTTTCACTTTTAAGTGATTCTTCCAGTGCCACACCTCACAAACTACTTCATCATCCTACTGATCCTTATACTTCCAGATTATTAAACCTACCAGATGTGATTCTCAGTCACGGCATGAGCGATCCAGTCAACATCGCCCGTATCGATGGACTCCGCGACCGCCATGATTTCCGCCGTCGTCAAACCGTGGTTTGCATTCGATACCTCCGAAACCCCAAACACCCGGCTAGCATCAGGAGTGGGTGGGGACGGTAGCCGGGAAGTCACTCCATCGGGCGCTCTCTTTCGAGCCGATTCTGGACCGTGCGCGAGTCGATCAGTCGCCAGGTGGTTCAGCATTCCGGCGAGTTGCTGCAACTCGGACTTGCGAAACCCAGCGATCAGATTCCCGCGGGAGATCATTTCATCACAGATTAGGATGCTCTGATGTAGCCAGGTGGTCCCGTCGTCGAGGAGGGGCGCGTCGGCTACAGGGGCCGTGATGAGAACGACGGCGGAGATAAACGTGGATTCGAGGTCAAACGGGAGGAAACTGTCTGGAAATCGGTCAGCTGGGCCTTTAGATTGGTATCCTTGAAGGCTGCCCACCTAGGAGGTTCTGCTGCTGGAGAACCGTCAGGATATTTAAGATTTGCTGTGCGGAGTCGATGCAGACCTGCATCAGCTTGCGCACGTTGGCCGACGAGTTCAGGCACTCGAGAGAGCTGTCGGCCGACTGGATCCGCATCTTCAAAAAGCAGAACAACACCGGTCGGGTTGCAAGAACGATGCACTGTATGCGGTCAGGCGCAGTTCTTGACTAAAAACGTGGGGTCAAGGGGCCAAACCTGATGGTAGAGTAGATGCAGGTGCGCCGACAATCGCGACACGCCGCTGATCGAGGACTCGTCCAACCGCAAGCCGTAGCATTTTCGGAGCTCACTGACCAACTCCGCCGCGCTCGCTAGGGCAGTTTTGGTTCGTAGCAGGAAATTTCGGTTTAGGCGCCCGTCCGGTCCATACACACCTAGACCTGTTAGTTAAGGACCGATCATGCTCTCAAGGGGTGACCTACTACTGTTGATCTCGTCCATAATCTGGCACACCTTGATTTGCATGCTGAGCGCGATACCTTTTTGAGGTGACCCTGGGAAATAAGGAAGCTGATGATGGAGCTGATCGTCCCGGATGGACTGCGGCAGCCCCATCAACGAGGTCATCTGGCGGTCGAGGATGTAAATCGTCCACCAAATTCGCCGACATCGCTGGACCAGCGCGTCCCCCAGGTGTTCCTCCGACATGTCGGTGTGCATTCCCTGAGCCAGGGCAATCCGAACTGCTTGGCCGATCTACACGGTCAACGACGGCGCCGCAGGACGTAGGGGTCAGGTCAGCTGCTTACATAGTTATGCGCCGAGTTACGAAAGTCGAGCGACTGCAGATAGAGGGCGATGCAGCAGAGGATCTCGGTGGCGACAATGGGATCTCGGCTGAGGTGCGTGGCGTCCGGCAGCAGCTGCAACGCCTTGGTAAAGAATTCACAGCCGGCCGGCCGACTGCCTTGGTTTCGCTGTACGACAAACGCCTTTCCAAACGCCAGAATGAGCAAGTAGTGGATATACCATAAGCCCGAATGCGCCATCTGATGTTCAGGACTCTCGTAGAAGGTGTATAGTCCTCCCATGAATGTTTCTTCGTCGAAGAGGTGGAATAACTGGCCCGCATGGAACTTGACAGCATTGATGAGGTAGATGGAGAAATCGAGAGGCGGCGCCATAGGCATGTCCTGACTGGCGGTTGTCCTCGTTCCATCCCAGCCCAAATCATACGCAGAGCCGTCAAAGTAGAGACTCCCTGTGGGGAGCGGCGAGTTGTAGAGGTGCTCATGCGTCATGCTCAATATCTTCCGCGCAAAGGACCAGTTGGACGAGGTTCCTAGGTAGACTAATTCACGCTTGAGTCGGCCCCGTCGTCAGGGCGAAAAGCGAACCACTTACAGATTCGGCCAGATGCTGCAGCCATGAAGGTGGATGGACCCGATGAGAGTGGATTCGTCAACTGTGATGCGCCTTCGAGATTCTGACTCCATTCCGCTTCCCCTTCGACGGCCGTGTCGTCGCCTAGAAGGAACCGGTTGGTGTCCCGTATATGTACCACTGGGGGCGAGGCCTTACCTTCGGGAGGATGGAGCACGTCCTGCTCCATACTCCGGGGGCTGAATACTTCATCTCCGCCTCCTCTTAGTAGCGCAATCTTTTTGTGTAGGTCTTCGATGTACCTGAGTCCTCCATGTCAGCATGGTCTGCTAGAGTAGAAACACGGGGGAGCATCACCCCCGAGTGACCAGAATCTTCTGGTCCCGGTCATCAAACGTGCAGGTTAATTTCCGTTTACTACAAGTGTCGCACGGCTGCGAACCCGAGCATTTGATCTTCTGTCTCCGGCATCTCTGACAGCTGGATGCGTCTAATTATTATGTGTGATGTGGTAAATCTCACTTGGGGGAACTCACGCATTGGACGAGCGTTTCTTGATGCGATGCGATCCATCCATGGCTTTGGAGGAGGTCCTGGGCTTGGAGGATACCATGATGGCATTGCTCTGTTCTTCTTCCTAACGCTCTTGACGAGAACCGATATCCAGCCAAAACACAATGGGCTTTCGAGATCCACCAGAATGCGGGGTAACAAGATGCACGGAAGTGGGTCTGGATATCATCTCCTTATCTGGTATTCCAATCCTGTCCTGTATCTTGAGGCTATATTCCCTTTGATAGCCCAAGACCGGCTTCCCATCCGAGAGATTCTAGAGCAACGGAAGTCATGCCGACACGACAAGGTAGAGAGGAGACTAATACTATCAATTATTACGTCGATCCATATAGAAAAGGGAGGGGATATCAATGCTCTTATACTACACTACATCGCTAATAGGGTTTAGAACCCCAAAGTACCCGGAAAGCGACCGTGGTGGGACTTGCAAGTCTATCGTAGTTGGCTGTCAACCAAAAGGCCGTAATACCAGGTCTAGGAGGGATGATTACTTTGTGGGCTTTCGTCTTGGCCTTTATATCGCAGGGATTTGTTCGGTACTGTTCAGATATTTGAACCCAACGATGCCAAAGTGAACTTTCGTAATTTCAGTACTCCAGCAACCAGGGCATCCTCCGCTTCTCAAGGACCGCGAACTAAACCATTCATGAAGTCCCTACACATGTACGGCAAGCAAGAACCACCCAGTGGGACATTTCATGTTCTCGGAGATTAAGCCTGTCTCAAGATTTGCAACATTCCTCCTGGAGCGATGGCCGGTTAGTAGTACGCCCTAGCCGAAACTGGTGAAACAGCAATTTGGCATGTTATTCGGCATGTACTGTGCCATGGAAAGATAGATCTCTTTCCTATATTCTCCGCATAAAAGAAGAAATCTTGGGCCGGCGCAGGATGATAAAAAGGCTAACTATGCATCTTGGCTTCCTGTTCGGGCGCTTAAATTGCCGGGGAGACCCACTTGGATGCATTTAGCAAGATGACGAACAAGTACAATGAGGGGATGAGCGTGCTGGACGACATATTAAAGGCATATTTGCCCTCAGAGAGAGAGAGCGAAGCGGTAGTGCGTTCTCTCCAACTTCATCCCGTGTGACGACCGTGCGTTAATCACGGCTCTACTTGATGCACAACACCCAACTCAACCACGATGGATACGAATCTATCAATACTATGATAGAGGCTGGCGACTTGGAATTGATTGTCCCCAGTACCCACTGCATAACTCTGTTATCTCCCAGCGAGGCCTATTGCCCTCAATTGTTCGGTTTTATCCTGGTACCCATTGCGCCCTCTAGATCTGACCGGGGAGAATACCCCGACATAAGACTCACCCTGACCCAAGGATTCACGGCCCAAACGCGCTCGATGACTACTGCCGAAAAGAAGATCCGCTTTCTGCAACGTATCTCGAGGCGACGTTCAATGTCACACCCGCCCCACGCAACTGGTGAACCCGAGAATCGAGCAGATGTAGAGACGGTCGCGGATTGTAGATTAAGGGAAACGCCAGCCATACTCGAGAACCATCAGCAGTTTCACTTTGCCATAGCCATTCCCCCTGCCCTACCAGGGACGATGAAAACTACATTCGGCGGTATATCGTATGCAATCAACGCAATTGTAACGTGGCCCTCAGGAACATCGGCAACCACCATGAGACCGATCGATATACTGCGTCGGGTGATTCCTGGCCCCTGTCACAGCATCAGCCATATTCGAAATTATCACGGGGCGAAACTCTTCACAGCTTTGCGGCTTACGCCGTCCATTTCCACGGACTCAAAGACAACCAAGTTAGTGTACGCAGCAAGCCTGGTAGCTCGCCGGACAATCACACCGGGTGACCGACCGATGGAAACGAAGTACGTGGTCATCAAAAAGCTCAGGTGGTGGGTGGAGGAGACAGTAAGGTTAATGAAGGTCCATACTGCTGCGGATGGGCAAGAAGGCACCACCACATGCGTGAAGCAATGCGTACGTCAAGTATGCAGTGGGAAGCAAAGAGGACGATGGACGGCAAGCAAGCCAGGCACGGAAGACCGAATTGAGATCCCGTTGGACATCACGATCCCAACGAGCGCGAGATCGGTCGACAGCCTAGACATGTCTTCATACTCTATTGGCACTGGGCCAGTGCCCCCATCGTATGACTCCCACCATCAGCACACCAGGTCGGTCACAAAGTGGGCAATTACCGTAAGCCACCAACTGAAACTTGATATCATCACTGGCCAAGATACCTATAACCGGGAAAGTGGAAACCTCCTGGATCGAAGACATTTATGGAAATCGTTCAAGGCGTTTTACCCTCTATCACTGCATGAAGTGACTTCTGGAGAGGATCTCCCCGAGGGCCTTTTGCATGCCAATCCTGTTCTTCCACAATACGAGGACAGATCGGCAATGCCCCCAGACTATGACATTCTGTTATGATACTCAGGTAGTTGATCTATACCGGAATGTTACATCGTTCCTCGTTGAGATATGTGCTTTAGACCCCACCGTTAGCGTCTTAGCGATGTGGTAGAATACCTTAGAGAGACCTTAAATTTCATGTGCTCCGAAGCGACACGAGGTGAAGTAGATATTCCGCCAAGACCGTCTCGTATTCCCACAGCCCCGTGAAGCTATTCAACATTAGTAGGTCCGACATGAACAATTGATTGGAGGGTTAATCCCGCTACCATTGTCCTTCTGTGTGGTGCCAAAAATAGTTTTGTAGAGGAGGCTATCTTCGTATTCTCTTCAGTCCAAGAAATGTTACGAACATGAACTCGAGTCCAAGACCGTCTAGTTTCTTAAATTAGCCATAACTAGGACAATCTTCGACAAGTTTGCAGAGAGCAAATGGGGGATTCATCTCAGTGGCATGAGTATCTCGTGTTGTATTGCAGTAGTAGGAGGGGGGTTGTAAATATCTGGCTGATCACTGTCGAGTACTGCTAGAAACTGGGAGATAAATAGGACGATGGAAGCCCGACAAATACCAGTATAACAACGAGCCTTCACATCAAGCATCGCTACAACAGATCAGATCCTTAAAATGAAGGCCGCTTTTGCTTCCCAGTTGCTGTCGCTCGCGGCTCTCTTGATGCCCTTGAACTCCTGTCATGCTTTACCTCTATCAGAAAAAGATCTAAGACTCTTCGAAGAGCGGTACATCAACTCATTAAACTATTCACTTGGTAACGACACTGTGAAGTTGGTCGGCTACAAAGCCATCAAGATCCCCGCCGAAGAGTTAGATGACTTGAAAGATCACTACAACAATCACCCGGAGGTATGGAAGAACATGCCAAACTACTTCTACGATCAAGGCTCCGGCACATTAAGAGCTTATTTCCCAGTCGACGGAGCTTTAGTCGAGCACGACGGCCAGTACCATGAGGCAAGCCCAATGGGCGAGTTGGACCTGAAGGAAATCAATGGCGATCATTCTGTTTTGGGCCGCCGGCAGACCGATTCAATCACAGGTGTTGAAGGTAACATCATCAAAGATGGTATTATCTACCTTGAGAACGCTCCAAAGCCGAATGCTCGGTATGGTAACGTGCTTGTCTATGATTTTGGTGAAAAGATTGTCCTCGACCACGATCATGGCAGCCACTCGAAGCGAGGAGGAAAGAAGTCTTGCATGAATAACCACGGCGGCCCCAATTGCAGTGACAAATTCAACATCCATAACAACAAGTGCAAGAAGAGGCATGACATCTGCATGGACTACAACGGCTGGTTTTCAAACTGCAAGAAGAATGGCTCGACTTGGAGGAACTTTCCTGGAAGTGATTGTGACAAGGCTCTTGGCCGTGGTAAATGCTGGAATGAGGTTATGTGAAGTCGTTCTATCTTAAATTTGTGTCTGAGAGTTGGGGTTATTATTTATGATGCGATTTTGAGGATCGTGCCTATGTGAATAACTTCATGTCTGGTGATGGTGATTGATCTTCCTGTACTAGTTTTTGGCCCATTATTGTCCTTTATCCCCTTTCGAAATACATACTGAGAGATGTCATATCCTGTACGTAAAAGGCACAACAACGGTGTTCAGAGGGAGCGTCGTAGGTCGAGAATCTATATCTATTGTCTTCAAATAGTGTCCATCTAAACTAGGCCCTTCAAGATTGCAATACGGATCTTGGATACTTTCTTATAGTCGCTAACATGCACGATATAGCTCACCAGTGTGATCACATCAACGCTGTATGAAATTTCAAAGTGACGCTAATTTTGGATGACCAAGATCCCGTTCAAAGTCCCGATCCATGGCAACTGTTACCCTCACGTGCATTAAATGGCTACATGAAATACACGAACTTGAGAACGTAGCCATCCATATGGCCTTGTCTCCTTATAATCTGCCCGTACCTCTTCCTCATGGGATGAAGTTGCTTTTTCTTCGTCACCCACATCTCGCGGCTGTTCGAACCTGGTCGGACCCTTCCGAAGCCTAATATTATACCACGGCAGAGCGAAGAGCTCATCCGCAACCTCCATGGATCACCCCTTGCATTCGGGGAGCGCAGAAAACGCCCAAAGGCTGGTAATGCCGTGAATGCCGTGAAGAGGGAAAATGACTTGTAGGATTTTATTGATACCGATCACGTTGAAGAATCCACGTGAGATGCCGAAGTTCAACAGATTCTGATAGGTGAATGCTAGGGTGACAAGCGGCCCGCGTAAATGGGTGGGACAGATTTCCGATGCCGTGAGTGAGAACACCAGCGCCCTGCCGAACGCGTAGCCGACTGCAAAGACTAAATACTCATAATACTGACCCAGGCCTCTGGGCACGAGGAGGCAGAAGTCGAGAGATCAGCGACATCAAGGTAGGTAGCCAAATAGAGCAGACACAAGGTGCTGACGGCGGACCCGACAAGAAGGAGGCGTTAGCCGAAACGATCAGTGAGGAAGAAAGTGTAGAACAACATCGAGACCGCCTTGATCAGTCCATGGATGGCATTGAAAAGGGGGACCTGGTCGGACCCAAGGCCAACCGACTTGAGGATTGTCAGAGCATAGTAGGTAATAGAGTTACCGCCTGACATGACGAAAAAGGTCTGGATGAGAGCCACATAAACACAAAACGACGGCGTACGGGGTGCGTGGGTGACGCATGTTTTCACCAGGGATACTGTCGACTATAGAGCTGACTGTGTGGGAGTCTCTCCTGTTCGGTTGACTATATTGAGTTCCGTCAGCTCTCGACTAAAGTATTCTTCGGACTCGTCGAGGGGTTAAATAAGCTACCAGGAATATACCAGATCAACTCCTGTACCGTCCCGTCCCAAAAGGAGTCACCGGAGATAGGAAGGAAGAAAACGCCTTGAAGAAAGAGCCTGTGTTGTACATTGGGTGAAACGTCGTTCTATGAGTCGTATCACAAATTGTAGAATATCTTGTAAGATATCTGTATGAAACGATACCAAACGATCAGATTTATGACCCTTGTTCAACTATCTAGAAGGCCTATTTAGGTGGGAATTAGGAGGCCTTTTCTATATGTGGCCAGACTACCATAGTATTCAACAATCCACATACTTCTCCAAGGGGTAAATTTACCAGACATATGTCAGATGTCTCCGATACTAGGTAATTTTATAGGCGTATTCAGTATAAACACTAGTTGCTAGCACCTGTCATCTTGCGGTTTCTTAATTGATAATTCGACTTCGAAAACTGTGCGGGTAATCTTAGCACGTTATGGTACTCTCAATAACAATATCCATAGTGGATAGTAGTATATGCTCAGTGAACTCTCACCTGGAAAAAGATATATATGGTAGACAGAGTGTTTCATGCAGATTGCAAACTCGACCTTGAATGACAATCATGGCGATTGTCCTACAAATGGACATCACTGTACTAATGGAACTAGCAAGTATATATGAACTTATTATTCTCCTGGATGCGTGAATGTGTTACTGAGGCTATAGAGACTGGAATGTTTTGATGCCATTCGAGGAATCGGCCAATCATGGCCACGGGGGCGAGCCCTATGCCAAGAGACTAAGGAAAAACTGCCTCAGGTGTAGGTACCGGACTATCATTGTCCCGACCGGTCACCTGCTCGCCAAGGAAAGCCCTAACGGCTTTAGGTTCGATTCCTGCGCAGGGAAGTATCTTCCTATAGATTTCGGGCAGTATTTTCATATAATAGAGTGGACCTCGCTTAGAGTTAATAGATCTGCTTATAAAATACTCGAATCCACACCCGTTGGTTGATCCGGGAAGTAGAACTTAACTGGGGATTGGAGATAGACTATAGAGAGCAAAAAAAGACTGAAACCAGCATGCGGGTTCTGGTGTGGAAGGTAGGCCCCTTCATTAGCATCAGCATCGTCACCCGTAAAACCCAATATACTGCTCATTGAATGGACACATATTACTAGAATCTACTTGTCATATGTCTAAGTAAGAGCACAATTGAGAGTAGAGAAAATGTTGTAGTGTGATTGACCCGAATTAAGATGATCAAGGAACGACAACTGCGATGAGGCCGCACTACTCATGATGTTCGACCTATAGTACTATGTTCCCATGGTACAGGTTCTACCAGATCGTGGTTATGATCCACGCACCACATGTGTAGTTAAAATGTACATGGCTGGAACATTAACTGTACGAAGATGGACCAGTTTTCTCAGCAGTCGACGAGCAAGCTTCCGCTAGGGAGAATTACTTTAAGATCGGTATCTTTAAGGGTAATCAATATGAGACTAAAGTACTTCAAAGTGAATCAATTTACCCTGCTACACAGAAGGAAAGCTAATATCTTTGGTTTGTAACACTTTGCACACTGGATGGTGTACGGGAGGTTGCATTTCACATCGGCTATCGTAACTCGAGGAAGGCATACAACCATAATAGACTACGTCAATTATTGGACTAGCGAAACAGGCAAGCCCAGGATCGCTGACAAGCTAGGTGAGGTTCACTACCGCTATAGAGGACGTATTACTTTACAGCATTCAGTGTATCAATATCACTTTGTCGTGCAGCGTTCTTGAATTAGAGAGAGTAAATGTTGACCGTGCTAGAGGCAGTACAGAGAGAGCAGAACCAGACATGCACCTATCCTTGTCATTGCTAGCCCACTCCGTCCATGCACCCTTCTCATCATGGACCTCAGTCGACGACATCTGGCGATTCCTGATATCTATGAGGTGGTCATCATTGATCGAAGGCAGAGAGGGAGACCGGTCGAAGCCAGTGTGTGCATGCGGCGTAACATCCGGAGGAACCTCCTTAATGCTGCGACAATGTGTAAGCTAGACAGTAACTCCAAGCATCAAAACAGGCAAAACATACAGTACAAGAGGAGCAGGAGCAGCTAGAGCAGTTGCCACTGCAGCAGTTGCAAGCACAGGGAGACATCTTGGCTGAATATGAACGTCGTGGTGAGCGAGATTCTTGAAAATGAGATTTGTAGCTGAAAACGAGGCTTTTCTGCAAACAATGAATACGATGATGAAAGAAAGCTGGTCCTTGGATGAAAGGACTACCCTATTTATACAGTTCCTGGGCTTGATCCGAAGGACTGTCTTGAGTAGAGTAAATGGAGTCTACCCGCGAGAACCGCAGAAAAGGATGAGACACCGGGAAAGCGCGTCAGCCCATGAAAGCATTAGACTTTCATGGCGGCGTGGGGGGCAGAGAAGAAAGCTCCTAAGCATTGGACTCGGTTTTTCGTCACCCAACATTGATTGCATTGTGGAGTTAGGCTAGGTAGACCCGGGACAGGGATGGTATAGCCTGACATGTCTGGCCGACGTAAACAAGTTTTAAGGCATAGTACTTGCCCCACTCTGCCTGGATAATCTGTATAGAGGGCTTTTTGGAGTGTCAATGAATGCTGAGATACCACATTGTTTAGGCTGAAGTCTCCCCGTATAACAGAGGAATTAGAACACGGCTTGCGAAGGCCAAAAGAGAGGGAAGGCTTTCCTATGAACTAGGCCAAATACTCCGGCGGGTGTTCTTATACGCGAATGCAAACGAGGACCTTGATATCCTGAGCACCTTGGGAGCACTCACGTGGGCCGTAAGAACCCTTGATTCCCTCTTATCGCCTATACTCTCGGTGTGCCCTACACTAGTGTACTATTTCCATTTCTTTCAAGCTAGCTTTTGTCCCTGCAGTGAAGTCTACTCGGGAAAGGGAAAAAATGCCTTTTCCCGCGGGATGATATGCATTGCCCAATCCAGATAGGTTAGCAGCACACACAGCAGGAAACCACAAACCCACTCAAAAACTGTGCTAAACCGGGTGCCTCACGGGCCTATCTAATAAGGGAAAGGGTGGTGGAGTAAAATAGATCACGTCTGTAAGGTATCTGCCCCCACTCGTAGGTCAAAGCAACAAGACCTTGCAATTCGCCACTAAAGAAGAAAAACACCACACTCGCCTCGGGGAGTGCTTCGATACCGCCCGTATTTCTGGTAATATAACATAAGTCTCCCGTGGGGAGACTCTAGCAAGTCTATGGCCCCCGGAAGTCTGGCATTGGTTCAAGAAGTCATTGATGGCTGCCAGAGTGTCGAAGGTTTCTTGAGACGGCATGCGGTTCGCTCTGGCCAAACATGCACACATAGTAAATGACAAAGGATGAAATAGCTGTGATACTATGCGTGATTTGCTTTTGGCCTGCCAGTGTGTGAAGACATGTCGCCCGACAAAGCCAGCGTATGACCAATAGAAGTGGAATTCCCACGCTAGTTACAGTATCGGCTCTTTGAGTGCGGCCATTCGTGGCCCGTGTGATGCACTAAGGCACCTCGTCGAGAATGGTGAGGCCGTGGGGCCTGAACATGGGCACTTTCCGTGAGTCGATATGTATGAGGTTACGACACCCCTGAAAACGAAAATTCGAACTGGTGATGCTCCCAGAGCTCGTAGATCCCTCGAGATAGGAAATCTCAAGGCGACCTAGTTCAAAGATGCAATATGTTTAACATGTCGCTTAGCCTGCCACCCATGAACAGTGTGTTGGGTTGCGGTAAGCAAACATTACATTGTTGAAGTTCCGTTCCTAATATTTGCGGTATCGACAATTTGCGAACATGACAATAGAATCCAAGGTGAGCTCCCGTGACCTCGGTTTTTCCACACATTGTTCAGACCCTGCTGTCGATGTTTCTAACTAGTGAACAGCCATCAAAGGCATACAATCGAAATTTGGTTGTGGTGCTTGACCTTGTTTTGTATAGTGTGAGTTTCGATATTCAGCAGAGGCAGTAGATATGGCTGCCAGCCTGGCCGACTGCTCTCTCCCTCCATCCCCCTCTCTCCAACATTTCTCTTCATGATGAACATGTACATTACTGTGGGTATGATCAAATATTGTAGCGTGTATGCTAGCGCGCGTTTTGTTTTAGTCCACAAGTCAACGCGGGATATAATATTCTATCCTCCATCTCCGAGTTTCGCAATATTTATATCAGTACAAGTGAGCCTTTCTACGGAAGTAGGAATTATCGGAAGGTATAGGTGAAAAAACTGTGCGTAATGCGAGAATTAAGCAATGGTAAATGGATTATATCCACTGTTGCTTAGAACTATGTTCTGTAGAGGTGCTCCTCAGATATCGTCGACCCGTGAAGGACGAGAGAGAGGTAGGTAGTGGAGAAAAGAAAAACATGATTGAATCCAACATTTGGGAATCTTCACGGAGCTCCGCCGGAGTACCGTGCAGTAAGAAATGGATAGGACTGAGCGCTCGGATCTCAATCGTCATTCGAGGGAGTACAGTACTGTCCACAGTGGCTTCAGTATCTAAGCCCACTTGCCCAGAAGCGCCATCACACCAGCCCCGAGGAGCATCGAAATCACCATGAAGGTGAGTCGCTTGTTATCCCGCGTACGATGAGGATCGAAAAGAAAATCGCGCGCCAACAGTTCTACCAATCCAGTGTAGATGAGGATGCCCGCAGAGATGGCGTCCAGAACACCCGAGACAACATTTGCGGTGTAGGAGCCCGAGTTGTAGGTTGTTCTGACGCCGAGTCCAATAGCGATAGATATCGGGGTTGTCAGTCCATAGAGACTGCACAGTATCCAGGGCAGCCAGCTGCCTTTGCGGAAAGGGATTGCGGACATTCGGGCCCCAATACCGAGTCCCTCAAACGACTGATGGAAAACTAGGACAGGATATAGGGTTGAAAACTCTTCTCCAGTCACACCAAGGTTCAAGCCAATGATGACGGAGTGGAAGATGACCCCAAATTCGAGGACCAGGAATGCAGCAATCTGCTGTTTGAATGATCGGTCCACGAATGACTCATCAACGGATTGCGATTCAAGCGCGGCCTCCTTTTTCTCCAAGGCCTGGTTGCCTTTAGCGACAGGCGCCATGTGGTTGCTTGCTGTACTGGTCATGATTGGCTCCGGGTCTTCTCGACAGATCCCGTATTTGACCTCTACGTACCTCTCGGCGCCGAAGTCTAGGAGGAAAATGGCAATGAGAGAAGCAAGGACAATCGCTGGGCACCACGAGTAGTCCCCCCAGTTACCGGTCATGCCGACACAGGAGGCCGGTCCAATCTCGTCATAGGCCGGATCCAGAAGATGGATAAAGGCCGTCGCCACAATGACCCCCGCGCCGAAGTAGCGTGCAAAGAGGTAGACGTACAAGGGGATATGGAGGCGAGGAACGCGCTTGGCGATGACTGGGAAGAAGGTAACGGCGGTTGAGACAATAAGAATCACGAAGATTGCGGATATACGCGCGCCTAAACGACCATCATAGCCATTTTCTGAGGCATTAAGGTAACAGATAACATCCACGGGGTCAACCGTGTCAAGATCCACGTTGTTAGGATTGAAGGACGACATTGTGAAAGGGAACCAATTGTTCAGGTAGTCTCTTAACTCTTCCCTCTGGTTCGCACTGGCGTCGGCACATTCCGTTTTATAAGTAGCGACAAAGGAGGCAAACCCACGACAAGTAAAAGGAAAAAACTCTTTGGGACACCTTGGGAGCAAAAGGACCCATGGCTGGCGCATCTGAGCCACTGACAGGGGCTATACAGACACGAGGTTACCATTTCTAGTTACTGCGAGATAGCAAGCAACTTAGAAGCGAACATGGCATGGCCCAAGGACCTGAGCCGGAGTGCGCGAAACTTGGAAAGATTCGACGAGTGGCAATATCGAGAGACCGCTAAGGTTCGTACCACGTTCCTAACTTATTGATAGTATGTTCTACTGGAGATTAATTTCCGTGTGATTGGCTGTATAAGTTCATGTATGTCCATATCGTGGGCTACCCTGTGAGCCGAGTGGATCATTCGGGTGACATCCATGTTGTCTACTCTCGAATCGAAGGCAAGACGATCGAAATGGTCCTCCAAGGTCCCCAAAGGTGTTTCAGCTTCTCCACCTGCCCTTCAAAGTTGGTGGTCTATTCGCCAGCGCTCTGCCTTTACTTCTACCAAGCATCTCTGGGCAGAAACAAGCAAAGGAAGCCAAGTCGGAAGGAAATCACCGGGTGGCACTGTTCTTGTTCTATGGCGGTCTTCTACCTGAGCGAGGAAAATATGTAGTTTAGACATCCGATTCGACCACTCTGAAAGTCGCGTGGGAGAGAAAGATTGGACGGCAAACCAATGGAAGCAGCCCGAAATAATTGCCGACTGAATCCCATGTTTGGTCAAAATACTAATTCATAACATTCCGCGATCATTCTCTCGGCAGACGTCGTCGACTGGTGTGGTGGTGAAAACCACCATTCAGATTTTGATGTACACATGGATAGAACGTACTCAAGTCCCGTCATGGCATAGTCGAACGACAATGGTCCAAAATGCTGAATTTCAGCTATATAGGCATAGGCCAGGTCATGCATTGCTTCGATATATATCTCATCCTCTCCATATATCTCTCAAAATTGAGGGAGGAATGGATGACTAAGGGGTCTAAAATATCACGTGATATATATATCAACCCTGACAAGTGAAGTTGTCAGCGTGTCCTTTGATTATTATTATTCTCATCCTCAAGGTATGTACAGACAAGTACATGCCCGACGTCGTATACCTTATTCATGCCCGCCACATTTCACCAATTCCAGGCGCTACCTGCTGAAATCCGCCACTACATCTGGCACCTCTCACTGATCCAGGAGAGAGTCATCCACATCTCTTGCGATCGAGGCATCCTTCCGACCTCCCGACGGTATGCCCGGTGCTTTCGCGCCAACCGTGCCAACCCACCCCAGCTGCAGGTAAATATGGAGGCTCGCCATGAGTCCCTGCGACTATACACTCCGTATTTCGGCACAGAGCATGCCCCGCATGGCCGCATCTATCTCGCTCCGGAGCGGGATGTTGTGCACCTACATGAGGCCGTGCTAGCATACCTAGGTGACACGGAGCGGGCGACTCTCCAACGGCTGATGGTTGATATCCAGGACTATATGACATTTGGCTCGTACTGGATGGATAGATTGCGTAGCATGGGGCAGCTGAAGGAACTGGTGTTGGTGGTGTTACCCTTAACGTCATCCCCGCCCTGGGTGTCTAATCAGCCACTGATAGGGGATGAGGATATTATTGGCGTGCTCAAGGATGCCTTTGTCGAAGGCGTGCGGACCAGCCCAAAGTGGCTTCTACCACAAATCCAAGTAAGATCCCACACAGGAGCCACGATGGGAAGGATCCTCGTTGAAGCTGATGATATAGAGACGGGAGTGGAATAAAGATCTGGAACCTCCTCTCAATATAGATTTATTTATGTATTATATAATAGCTTCTAATCCTCTTCCTACCCTCTCTATCTACTCCTTACGCAATGTAATGTCCGCTCTTCTCGCGTAGATGCAGGTGTAGCGATAATACGAACGCACGGGGCTCCATGTTAATCTAAAACATCCCTGTCGCATAATCTCTGGAATGCGAAGATCAGAGAGGGGAAGCAAAAGCACAACAACCCTCGCAATTGTGGAAATTCCCCCCTCAATTCTGACTGATCTTTCTATCGATCGCAATGAGGGTGATTATTATCGGAGGTGGGATTGCCGGACTCGCGGCCGCGATCGGGCTCCGGCGAGCTGGCCACCAAGTCAAGGTAAGATCGATATCCTTGAGCTCGCCGGGCAATCAATTGAAAGACAAACCGACGCCTAACAGGTTTTGGAACGGTCGTCTTATCTCCGCGAGGTCGGTGCCGCGATCCATGTCTGTCCAAATGCCTCTCGGGTTCTTTTGAGCTGGGGATTTGATCCCGAAAGGGCTCGCATGGTGACCGCACGCCGGTCGATCTTCGTGCTCGGTAGCTCGCTCCAGCCAGTGTTCGAATTCGACTGCTCGAGCGTTCCGGAGACGTATGACGCGCCGTGGCTCCTGGCCCATCGAGTCGACCTTCATTCGGAGCTGCGACGCCTGGCGACAGTGCAGGAAGGGCCCGGCGCGCCCGCAGAGATTGTGTTAAATTCCGAGGTTATAGCATACGATGCGCAAAAGGGATCGATAACGCTGGCCGATGGGTCGATCCAGGAAGCGGATTTACTCGTGGCAGCAGATGGCGTCCATACATCCGCTATTCACCAGGTTGTGGGCCAGGGCAGACCAGCAGTCTCTACCGGCTCAGCAGCGTTTCGCTTCATAATCCCAACGGAGGAGCTGCGCCGCGACCCCGAGACGGCTTTACTAGTTGGCGACGGCGTGATGAGGGTTCTAGTCGCTGAGGGGTTGAGACGGCTGGTCTCGTATCCATGTGCCGAGTGAGATTATTCGACGTCAAATCCATGCATCAACTAATGGCATTGTACAGTAATACATTACAAAACTTTGTGGCTATCCATTCTGATCAGGAAAATGATGGCCGTGAGCCCGAAAGTCGGTCTCCTTCGTGTTTGACCTCCCCGTGCATTGGGACTAACCATCATTGAAATCATAATAATAGACTGGGATCGGTCCGCCGGGGTCACCGATGTTCTTGCCCACTATCCCGACTTCCACCCAAGCGCTCTGGCGGTTATCAAGTAAACTATGACGGCTGTCTGTTCGTTGATGTCGATTGCTAACCAACGATTCAGGAAAGCTACAAGTATCAAACGATGGCCGCTTCTCTACCGCGATCCCATCGCAACGTGGAGCTGTGGCCGTCTGGTACTCATCGGCGATGCAGCGCATCCAATGCTGCCTCGTACGTTCTCCAGCTCCACCTCCCTTGAAGATACATCTTCCTAACCCCAGCGTTTTAGACCATGGCCAAGGTGGTGCCCAGGCGATTGAGGATGCTGGTGCGTTGAGTGAGATATTCACTCAGTTGCCGGCCAGTCCCGGGCTCGGCGAGATCCATCGCCGCCTAAGGGTATTCGAAACGGTCCGGGTAAAGCGCGCATCAGCACTCCAGATCCTCTCAAATGCAGGAATGGATGAAGCGTGGAAGATTCGTGAACGCGCGCAGCAATATATGCCAGAAGGCGTGCCAGTACCTACTTCGCCGTTGGAATTGATGGAGCATAATTTTCGCTACGATGTGCTCAAACATAGTCAGCAGCAGCTGCAGTCTTATCTGCGAGAACAATGAGTCCATAGACTGAAGCACAGGAATTGTTCTACAATTTGCTTTCTTATGGCTTACGTATATATCACGGGATTGGGATGCAGTGTTTTCAAGTGTGCTTCATACTGACTCATCTATTCTGGATTGATCTCGTAGTGGGAAGGTCGACTAGCTTGCGTCTCTTATGAATTCGTCTATATAGGAGGATCATTCCGACGACTGACTGTGTGCTACATGGGGCAATATGGGGGCCAATGAGGATGAAGGGCGGGAGATCTATCTATTCTAAATAGATATAAAGTCCTTCGTTCATTATTTTCTTTTGCTGGCTCTTGTACATTTGGATTGTATCCCCTAGTAGGCTAACTACTATGACATCTTCTTCTATGACAGGCCTTAAAGGTTACGCTCGTCTCGGTCGCGGTCAGGAATGGCAAGAAAAATATGGATTAAGTGAAGCAATGATCGACGGAGACTGGATGGAAGTAGCTGGACAGAATAACTAGCTTATTTACCTCTCCCTGATTATTAAAACCTTCAGGCGGAATGTCCCCTACCTCTTCCACTCGACAGTCTCGAAGAGATAATGCCAAAAACCTGTGTCAATATCAGTGAAGCCATTCTTTGCACCTTGGAGAAAGCTTCCCCTTCACTGTGTGCATCCTTTCACATAGCCTGGGAACGTGTTGTCAAATTACGGACCTACCATGTCAACCTGCGGCAAAATCGTGAGAAGACTATCGCGCTGATGGTGGAGAATATGAAAAGATAGTGTCTGTATCAGCCAACATGGTCGATGTTGGGTATCGAGCATGTTTGTTCTTTTTTTAAATTTTTTTTTTGTTCACATGGACGATCATAGATTGATGGACAACAGAGTAGGAATGGTCCGGCTAGATCAAGTTCCTCAGGTTTCGGCTAGCCCTATGTCAAAGGCCCCGGATGTAACAGTAGACGCCCCACAATAATAGAAGCACTCAGATATAACACCTCGTTCAACCGGTTGTACTCCGGAGTAAGCACCTTCAGGGTACTAGGATGCCATCACAAGCTGATTGGAGGATAATCAGTCCACTTCAACCTAGACAAGGAAGGTTTACGAGGAATAGAATAGGACGTCGAGAGGGTGTGTGGGTCGTAGGAGTCTGCGGCACTAGTTTACCACAAATAGATGAAACTCGATGCTTAGCTTGCCGGACCTCCAACTGCCGGATGCTTGGAATTATGCCGAATGTCCAGATTTTCCGGAGTGCCCAGAAAGGGCGTACCCTCACTAGTGGAGAATGAAAGATATTGTTCATCAATGACCGCTATATTAAGGGGACGTGGTGTAGGTAATTAATCACCATGTCGGCATTTAAAGAGCCGACTTGCCCTCCGCTTTGATCTTCGTTTGCAGAGCAACAAGACCGGTTGATCTTTCTCTTCACAACTATCAAACGCACATCCACCATAATGAATTCCCGCAACCAAGTCCTGGTGGCTCTTGCCACTGTCAGCATCACCTCAGTGAACGCCGCCATGGGTCCAGCGCTGAGTACTGGCCCGGTTGCTTCCAACTCGTTCATCCGCGAAGCCACTTCGACTCTTATCCTGCCAAATGTACCCAGCGGGGGATCATCGGATGCCATCACCTCCCTGTGGGTCGGTATGGGCACCTCGAATGGTGACTTGATCCAGTCCATTGCCGACAACTGGCAACAGAGCGACTGGACCATGTATGCCTACACGCTCATGAAGACTAGCGGTTCGTGTTCCCCCAAAGCCGCTGCTAATTCTGGTTCTGACTGTTGTGCTTGATAGAAACCTCACAGATGCCCCTGTATGGCGATGGCCAGGCGAACGGCGGCAAGGGGGATAAGGTAACGATGCACTGTAAGAAACACCGGCAGATTCACCTCAACACTGGGAGTGTGTTCTAACCATGCGCAGATAAGTTCGACGATGCGAGTGGAAATTATACCCAGACTCTACAGGTGAATGGGAAAACTGTCTCGACCCTGTCCACCAGTGATGGCCTCGCACAGGGCTGGGGTAGCTCAGTGGAGTGTGCAGAGAACAACTGTGGCACTGTTGGCGCCCACTGTAAGTTATCACCATTTCCAAGCCCGCATTCGCCAAACTAACATCTCCATTAGCCTGGACCGATACCAAGATCATTCTTGATGTTGCTGATCCCAATTATATCAACACTCTTTCCAAGGGAGAGGGCGTCACCGGCGGCGACATGACCACCAGCGACGGCGGCAAGTCCTGGACCATTACCACCTTTGGCATTCCAGAATACACCTTCTCTGACTAGAAAGACAATTTGTGAATGCGTCGTGAGCTTCTGCCTCGTTATTCATTTCTCTCGAGTAGCAATAGTATTAAGATCAATAGCAGTTTAGCATTCATCCTTACTCAGCTGATCGCAGTACATGTCACCGAAGTTTAATTTCCATCAGATGCCTTGCCAAGGGCATCATAACAGCAATACTTGTAGGCTGGACAGGATGTGCTACATCATTGTCCTCAGTAAAGGCACACGTTGTGAAGAGCAATTTGATCTGCAACTATGTACGATTCGGACCAAGGCGTCCATATGCTGGACACATCGGAGGATGAGGGTGATAGATACCCATTCTTATGTCACTCGAAGAGCCACATAATGCCCACATCAAGAAGAGCTCTGGACACAGCTGGTGGAGCTAAGATCTAGGGGAGCTAGATATACGAGAATCAATACACCAACTACCCAATAGGCTAATCCGAAGCATGAGCGCATCCACTCCGCTCAGGCAGAGGCTACCGAATCTACATTGCTTTCCATTCGGGGCATCATGGTCCTACTAGGAAGGGGAAACCCCCTCGCTGCTATTTACCAGTCACTATTTGCGAGATGATCGCGATTTGGACCGGTTTCAGGAACTGAAAAACACGATAGTATTCCAAAAGGCTTCGGATGACGATTATGGGTTGCCGGACCTTTGGGCATTTGGAACTGACTGGTTTATCCTCTGAATATATACGAAAGGAGCCTTATGGGACTGGGAGGTGCTTTGAAGTCAGATCTACATGAGGTACACCAATCCTTCCCGAGAACCCACAGACCCTTGGCACAGCCTGCTCCACCCCTTCTCAATCCCTTCATTGCCAGAGATCCCTCGACCAAGAGTGACGTGGATGTCTGGTGCAATCTCGTGGCTGATCCCTACCCATTTCTCCCACACAGGGTTTACACAGCTAGAATACTCTTGCGCGCCTTCCAATTGAACAGCCGCATCGCGCACCGCTGAAGTATTAAACTGGATCTTTCCCATCGTTTCCATTAACTCTCGATTTCGTTTGAGTTCGTCTGTGGAATAGACCTAAGCATCAAATATTGGGTTAGTACCTGAGGGAGGTGGATCGGTTAGCTTGTGACTTACCTTTTGCTCGGAGCCAACCTGGATTATCGCCAGTTTGAGTTGCCCGAGAGCTGCATGGCCCTTGATACTGGAAAGTAGTTGGTTGAGTGTACCAGCGCGGGCGCCGAAGTCCACGAGAACGATTCTCGTTGGTTTCAACTGGGTTATCCACTCGATTGACTTGCTCGATTGGTCATATGTGACACATTTGGAGAGAATGGAGGCACCCAATTTCCCTGCGACAGGCTCTAAAAGAGACGGCGTCTGCGATACCTGGAGGAGGCCCAACGGCCCCTCAGCAGCGCTCCGCTGGAACATATGGTATGCAAATGACCGGCCTGTTTTGCTCGATGCAGATAGGCTAATCACCACCGCAGCGGAAAGGTCGGCATCCTCAGCCGTCCAGGGCAGACCTATCCCTAAAGGATGAACAGGCGGTTGTGTCCCGGGACTCGAAGTGAACGTATGCCGGCTGAGGAGATACCCCGTCTGCCAGGTTGGACGGAAAAGGGATTCCCATGCCATCCGCTGGAGTGCCTCTTCCGAGAACAGTGACGAGATAGTCTTCGGGGTGGATATAGGGAGCGAAATATGGCCTTCTTCTGAATAAGCATTATAGACGGTCATTAAGCGTTGTCTGGGTTCACTGATCTCGGTCCAGTGGCCCTTCGGCTCTGAGGGCTGGAGCTTGAGCGAAACGGCGATATCTGCAGTGGGCCAGAAACCCCACAAGACCGTCCCCGGGGCGATGCCCAAAGTCGATTCTGTCACGATCGCAAAGCCCCAGGTGGGTACGATTCCCCATGATTTCTGGTCATTGTATGGGGGGGAAACCTGTGTGGGCACGGGATACGTGTCCCACCAATGAAGGACTTCACCTCCTCGAGCATAACTTAGATTATTCGAGGTAAGGGAGATCAGTACGGGTCGAACACGAACACAAGATGGGGGAAGGCTGTGCTTCTCGTATTCATGGTCATCGAGCGTTGCGACCGCATGCTCCCAATTATTTCCTTTGAACACGACATGGACCTCCATCTTGTTGATTGGTGGTAGCAGAGAAGTCAGCATGATGGGGTCAAGAATAAGATTTCGGGGGATGCGTGAGATTTATACCATTAAGATATGTGCCAAACATCTCCGATTCGTGGGTTTTGTATCCAATCGTTTCTGTTCATTGGAATTGGCATGTTGGAAGTTTAAGGCCTAGAGCACGTCTATATTAGTAGATCCACCATGACAGAGACTAAGCCCAATAGACCTAAGATAATGATAATCCCTGTACCTTCCTAACCTTTTTCTGAATGGTTTAGATACCCTCATATCCTTCGGTAGTCGATATCGTGGCGCGAAGTTGAGATATGTTGGAAGCAATGATTTGGATGAGACAGCATAAATATACCACGTAGAGCTCTGCATGACGTTTTTCACTGCATCCTGTGCCGCACTGCACCCTTCACAAGGCTACCTCAATCACAGCTTTAGCGTTCGTAAACAGTTAGCTTCGTGATTGAGCGGAACTGTTACCGCATGAAGAACGACCGATAGAACTATTATAGTACCGGGAAAGGTAATACAACTGCCAGCGGATCTAGTTGAATGTTATCTTGATATAATCTCGATACATTTGACTTCAGTTCCGGAGACAGTCGAGTCCAGCTGGCAGGTCGATAATTAGTCGCGACGTAGTCGTATTAAACAGTGTCTTATAAAGGCCAAGGAAGGGCCGTGATACTGGGGCCATCGTTGTGGCTAAGGCCCTGCCCAAGCTAAGGGCAACTCTTGGTGGAACGCAATTATGTATGTATGAGCCTCAAGTCACAAGCGCCAGGAGTAGATCCCTACCCTCGTGTCCAAGAGTCCAAAGTCCGCTGACTTTGGCTTGCCGACCGACGGCTATGTGCCCACGCCGCGGAGACCTTCTCCTGGTTAAAAGGGGCCTGCAGCCGGAGCAGCCAAATTGTGTTGGAGGCATTCCGGGGACACCAACTATGATCTTTCACCAGACTACTACTCTTCATGAGCATATTTTCGGCAAATATGATCCCATTCCGAGGACATCCACGGAGTGCGGCGTCTGCAGGATTTGACCAGAGCGATCTAGGTCTAGGACTATAATAATAAAGCTCAGCTTGCAACGAATGGGCGAAATGTGGTTAATTTAATTATGTTCGGCTAGCAAACTTACTGCCAAAACTAGGTCTGGATCCAGGCAACCTTGTTATAAAAGCGGATAATCTGAAACACTAGTAAGGTTGCTTTTCCTTTGACTGACGATCACATTATATATTAATATCGCTCCATTATTTGGACATACGCATTGTTGAAAGCGGCCCTTATATATTTAGTGCCTATCGAGACCCTGTACCCCCTCTTACATGGGCATTGATGTTTAGATAACCCTTGTTCGCTGATGCATGAGATATATCGCAAAAGTTCTGGAACTATGAAGGATCCAAAAGTTTCACTTTTCCCGGGCTTTCCGTCCCTGTCGATCCAATACCCGATCCAGTATAGCAGACGATCCTTTTAGGGGCTTGGTCTACGATGTGATAAATATATAGCGCCATCGCAAGTAGCGACGCAGCGTACGGGCGTGAGACGATTCAGTGCTTATAAGTCTGCAGAGCTTATTCTTTTCACCCCGTGCTGACTTTTACCCCTACTTAACTGTTTTGATCTTCCGATACGCAGATCCTCGTCTGCTATGATGATTCTCTTTATAATCTCTGTCTTGATATTCGTGGCGGGTGCCAAAGCTGGCAATCGACACCATGTCCACTCACATAGCCATCGCGCAATGGGACCAGGCACATCTGTGTTTCATCCCTCACTGCCCGCACCACTTGCTCGTGGCTACCAGCTTACATGGAATGATGAATTTGATTATACACTGGGGTCCCATTTGCCCGCATCAGAGAATTGGATCATCGACCTCGGCACGTCCTACCCTGATGGCGCTCCAAGGTGGGGAAACAACGAAGCCCAGAGGTACACCAGTGCTCCATCCAATATCCGTGTCACACCGTTCAACACACTTCTGATCACCCCTCGCGTACGAAACAACACCTGGACGTCGGGGCGAATCGAGACCCAGCGCTCCGACTTTGCCGCCACGCCAGGAGGCAGGCTCTTCATTGAAGGCCGTCTCAAAACCGGCTGTGCACCCGCCAGGAGACAACAGGGGATCTGGCCTGCATTCTGGGCGCTCGGCATGGACTTCCGGTGGAACCGTACAAACTGGCCCGCGGCTTCAGAGTGGGACATTGCCGAGGTTGTGAATGGAATGCCAAAGGTATACAACACACTGCATTGCGGGACATCCCCAGGTGGGCCATGTGACGAGACGAATGGGATTGGTAGTGGTGGTGTGGATTGGACTGGCTGTGAATGGCACACCGTGGGCTTTGAAGTCGATCGAAATGTCAGGGCCTGGTATCAAGAGAAGCTACGATGGTACCTGGACGGGAGGAAGGTATTTGAGATTCCTGCGGCCAGAGTCAACAATTCGGCAACATGGGAAGCCGTTGCACATAAGGGCCATTTCCTATTACTCAATGTCGCAGTAGGTGGAAATTGGCCCGGTGCACCGAATGCCACGACAGCGGATGGTGGGGAGGTTCAGATGGAGGTCGATTATGTGCGTGTTTGGAACGAGTACAGAAGGGCATAGCCGCCTGGCGTCTGTGATTGCTGGAGATCCGTCTAATCATACTTTATGTAACTCAGCAACCGCATATAAAACTGCTGTCTGAATTTGTGGGCTTATACCGTCACTTATAATAGCTGTTAGTCCAAAAATCAAGGACAATCATTCCCCAGGCCTGCAGCGTCCCGAGCGGACTGATCTCGGACCCTCTACCCAGTGTCCGTAGCAAATACACAAACCTTTGGTAGGCAGAACTGTTAGATGATCAATAGCGGTACTCTTATTCAGAGCTAGAGCACAGGGTACATTGACACCCGATACACGGGAGATAGATGTCCGAGGCTTTGCCGCCAGCATCGAACCCATGGTGAATCCGCCTAAAGAGTTGACCAGGTTGCAGTTTCTCTACTGGTAAAAGGACTGGATTGGAGCCTCTTCTTAGGGTAGCGTGTCCAGCGTGCATGAGGTACTACAGGGTTCAACGTTGCATCTGTCCCACCACTAGTCCGATGAAGGAATAGTTCAGTGAACAAGCTTATGCGACCAGAAAGATCGAGCAAACCCGGATTTGCGGTTTCCATCCGACTTGAAGGGCGTTCTGGGCCATATATTGGGCGTTATTCCCGTGGGCGATCATTTGTGGATTTATGTCTGCAAGCCCGACAGCATCCAAGATAGATCTCTCCGAGCATGATGTCTATTTTCAACACGTGTTATAGATAGCAAGGGGTTTCCCTTGGCGAGGATATACACTGTATTCAGGACAGCACCACGTGGGCTTCAGATGGTGTCTTCCTGCGTCTCTGCATGGCTCTACTGACCTATCCTTCAATGTCACCCTCCACAATGCCCACGTCAACTGCACATCCTTGTCTGTCATGTCGCTGTGGGGAAGTTTCACTGAATCCTTCTTGAGAGCCAGCCCCCATAACGGGCTGCAAGGCTGTGGTTCCATATATCAATGCTGACGTAGAGTCTGTTGAGCAGTTCCTGTTCGAGTTATAGTGCGAGGGCCAGCGTGGGGAATGTAACTCAAGGGATATCGGCTTACTCTCCAATCGTGTGATTTTTACCTGCACAAGGCTGGCTGTTGGCCCGTTTTTATTGCCCTGGGGGAACCAGAAATATCCGTGTTTCTCGAGAAGACATTTCCACAGCGTTCTTCTCATAAAACTTATCCCGTACAGACAGTTAGTTGACAACATTTACACGATGGCTATAGAAGACTGGCTTGTATCCTCCAACTTCCTCTTCTTCTTCGGCCCGCGGCGTACCGCATATGTTCGTGTCCCGGGAGCTCGACCGAAAAACAGATTGCCCGCATCCCTTGCAGTGCACAGCATCTTGGATAAAGGCGGAAGAGCGGCGTGGCTAGTGTACCCACCGATTCATGACGAGTTCGACGATATCGCCGATCCGTCCTTTTGCTATGGGGATGACAGAAGCAATTTATCCCATTTATCGAGATGGAAAGCGAAGTTTAAGTTACCGACCATACACTTCTCCGAGGCGACTGAGAAGGCCTATCCAGACTTGGCATCATGGGTGCAGGAATGTGGTGCTCCTGAAGTAGGCCTCTTCCTCTCTTTCTGTTCTTTTCTTTCTTTTAACCAAGTCGCGTATGTCTGCTGACATATGGTAGTGTGTTCATGTCTTCGCCGATAATGATGGGGGGTTCTGAGGCCGCTCACTTTTGGGGAAGAAGATTGGAAAGGATTGCCAGCCGATCTTACACACAAGCTCAAGTTAAAGGATAAGCTACACGGTAAGGCATATTACACCGCCATGGGCACTGGGGGAGCCTATGTTGTAATATACAAAAATCACCGGGTGGACTACGATCTCAAAGGGGATTTCAAAGGACTCGAGTAGCATCTCATGTACGGCCCCACGCCTCTTTATATTAGTATGAGCCACTTTGAGGATGACGTATACTTCCTGGCATATAAGGATGGTAGTTTGGTCTACAACTTCCCTAAAGACCGGAATGGCGAGAGCACGTGGCAAGATATCGAACGTATGCTCATTGACTCGCCCATACTAGATGTCGTTGAGAATTCGGCGACCCCAAAAACTGCTCCGGGGGATACAATGGGAGTGAGTCCGGTGCGATCCATAGCAGAACCAGCCGTGGAAGAGCCCACCCCGTCTGATCAGCCCGAAATCAACCCAAGCTATAGACGGAATGACCTCGAGGAAGGGAGGGTGCTCTGCGAAGGACAGTTGTGGGGCAATGACTTCAGTCTATCTCTTCGTATCTTGGATCGTGAAGGGTCATGAGCTGCGTCTATACCAGTAACGTGTGCGTCTACAGGGGCTGATCTCAGAGATTCATTGTTATCGGTGGGATCCCGCTTGGGGAAAACTATACAAGCTTCTTTAACACATTGATGAAACAAAATTCCTTGGTCTCGAATGAACTCGTATATAAATTCCTTACACCCCAATAGAGCATTATCTAATTGGGGAAAGATTCAAGCGACTAACTTACGACACACTAAGGCGTCGCTGGAAAGCAACACGACATGTCACACCGAGATGGTCAACAGGAAGCATACGAGACTGTAAGCAAGCAGCGTAGCAATGCCAATATCCATACCTCACCGATCAGCGATTAGGTGGTAGAAGGTGCACTCTCAGATGATGGGCTTGGGCAGCCCATCCCTGTGCGGCTCGGGATGCACAGGCAACAGAGGCCAAGGCGGCGGAAATACTTACTGCATCTGAGGAGTCAATCTTGACCTTGCAAGGACTGGGTGTACGCCGCATATCTAGAGTGACTGCACAGGAGGGTCCAGCCCAGGTTTCTTTTTGCGAGCCCTCCAACAGATCCGGGACATTTACAGCCCGAGCTAGCGACTTTGTTGCTGGTGTTATCCTCGGTTGCAGCGACAAAGTCTGGCGGCGAAGTATTGTTCTTAATGGAGAAGTAGAGCTGGCGGAGGCGTGCATCGTGATTCCCAACCGTTTCGTGGCCTGTCGTCGGGTCCTGCGAGCAGTTGTACATACAGAGCTCCCAGGTAAACATGAAGGTTTCTTCCTTAGTCAAATGGCTAGTGCTAGCATACGATACGTACGGATCGCTGCTGGAAGTTTTGATCTTCCGTCCTTGGATCGCGCCCCCTGTATGGACCCTATCATTGGTACTGACATTTTGTTGTTCTATATACCAGCGAATGCTCGGATCAAAGCTCTTCAGCAGGCTCGGCTTTTGAATGGCGAATATGACAGGATTCAGTGGCAAAGGGGGTCAGCCCTCATTCCTTGGGGATATTAAGTCTACCACTGCAACCGCTGGAATTGGAGAGTTGGACGCCCAACTGCAAGAGAGGCCGCCGTGCGTTAGAGCCAGGAGAAGCCAGTGCCAAGGAAGGAAACCCATGCTAGCACCAGTGGTGAGAGGAGATTGAAATTGGAAAACTCTGATAGGGACTAGAATGTGGAAGAGACGGCGTTCTAACCGAATATGAGTTTGGGAATTCATGAAAGTCCTCGGACTGAGAAACATCATCTATCTTGGCGGCTAGGATTTCTCGACTAACCCCAGCACTTACACCACTTTCCGCAGGGAGTCAAAGCCACCAACCAGTTGACAATGGCCACTAACATTGCCAACTTCGTCAAGACTCGAAGTACGGACGGGTGGACATTGACTGTGAGAATCCTGGAGGATGTTCTTCGACATGTTATACTTGGTATACACAGCTAACATACTTCCTTCATCCAGGTACCTGATATCCCCGATATTCCTCCCGGCGAACAAGGGCACCGATGACATTATCTCGCGTTCTTTGTGATCCTAAAGAATCTACTCCCCGGGAAATCAATGCCTACTGCGGCCGTGTCGTCGTACCACTGCCTACAACCATTGCTAATGGCTTGCTAAATGGCCCTTAACAGTAGGCGCTGTTGCCGGCTTCTGCACTAACTAGCTAATTAGTGGATAAACAGGGATGACTGGACTCCAGAGAAGCACAACGCGTTCACCAAATACACAGCCAATCAATCGATGCCTGGGGCGAGGTTGTAGAGAAGTTGCCGGCCGAACTAGTTAGCGGCACTGATGAAGGAACCGACGCGCTAACAGAGCTCATCCCTGACCACAAGTTTGTTGAAGGCTCCACGATCAAGGTTGTCTGAACAAGGACACGATGAAACTGACAAAGGGCTGCTACCGCAATCAACGCAACTATCTTGCCACACCGGGTGGGAAAGCCACTACCGGTATGGAGAACGCTTGCCTTGATAACCAATTCTCTGCACCATCGGGTGTAGACTCGATGGGGAAAGAGATGTTTGGAAATATCACCATGGATGATCTCATCATTGGATCGGTCCGTACCTACATCCTGAATAGGACGCTTCAGCCGACACAGAGGACGAGACAATCCTCGAGGACTTCTACAATGACAACATCACCACGCCAGGCCTCACCCGCTTTTCAGTATGCAGTGCTGATATTGCCTACCGTGCCTGGGACTACGGCAGCAGCCCGGACACCGACGCCCTCAAACGGCCCGTGTGTGATCTATCTGTCGCCAAACCATTGCCGCGACTCAACGTTCATCGACTAGACTAGTGACGCCTCCCTGACCGTATTGGACCGCATGCAGATCATGAAAAATATCGCGAATACGAATAGCAAATGGGAGGTTGAGAACGCGATCAGGTCGCAGCATCAGTTCGTGCAGTATGGCTCGTACGCGTTCTGTGTGCAGGGCAAGGGCAAGCACGGTAACATTGACTTCCCTATCGGCGCTCAGGATACTGTGTACGTCATCATGGATTCAATGAAGAAGTTTGGCATGGGAAGGTTGGGTCCAAGGGGAAGATGTCCTACAAGGGATCTTCCAAGGGCTATAAGGTTGGGTGAGGGTCGTGTCATAATTAAGGTGCTATCTGCTATATTCTGTTCTTTAAACAATATGCACATAGTGATATATTAGTGTGCGATAGCTGTCTTATACTGTACTCTTCCCTGCCCCGTCTGTCAGTATATATCTATCAACCTCAGCCTATGTGCCCCGCTGTGTCTTTCCGCCTCCAAATCCCAGTGATATGTCAATCAAAATTGTCACTAAGGCTCCGCTATCAGCCACCATCCTACTCAATTTATATTGTTGGCTTGGTCACGATATCAGGCCATTGTCAGGCCACAACACTATGATATCGTATAGTTGAATGATCATTCTAAGGCCTATAAATATTGCTCATTTTGTCAGTAGATAAAAAATCAGACCTCTTCATTTCATTATTGCATGCCTTAAAATTTATCGGTAGATTACTAGGAAATACGGAATCCCTCATTCCTAGTAAATATGCTACAGACCCTTGGGTAGTTCATGTTATCAAAGATGTGCAATGATATACCACAGTATATATATAATAATCATTACCAAACTAATACTGCACTTGAAGAACATCAGTTCTGTTAGATATCGTACTATAGAAATAACTATTTCAGCCTAATCCAAAATTCAAAAAAAAGCTGATTTTTTCTATATTAATGAGAAAAGCTACTTCTTAAACCTGTTTATGAGTCGCGTTTTGGCAGATTCGAGCCTTGTTGGAGGTCCACCCTTATCCGCCTGATCCGTGCTCCCTGCCTCACCTTGTCTATATATCTCCAGAGCCTTTCTATTTGAATAGCTCTAGCTGACTGTATCCCAGGCTAACAATAGTTGGTAGGAAAATGACAGCACGAGGAGATGTACCAAAATTTTATGAGGTGCGAACTAGAGGGGGACTGTCTGCTTTTCGAAAGAAACGGACAGGCGCTATCACCATGGAAAGATATCCCTTTATTTCCAGATTGTGAGATACAAGTAATAAACATGATATTCGAGATGCACCAGAAGAAGCCATGTGCGATGGGTTTCTAACACAGAATGTTCTAGATATGCAAAGAGGAACTTCATAACCCAATCAAGGATGATGCCGTTCAGAGCAAACGAAGACACATCCTAGTATAGAGCCGTTCCAGCGGACTCGGTGCAACTACGGAGGATTTACCACAGGAAAGTTTGGCCGCTTTTTATCCGGTAGGGGTAATCCGATTATCTAACACCAGGGTAGATCTGGGAAAGTCCGGATGAATTAGATGCCTAGACCGGGATTCCGGGCGACGATGATCCGCAGTTAGGCGCCTTGGCTGTTATAGATGAAGGGCAGACAGACTGGAAGATCATAGCCATCGACGTCAACGATCGGATTGCATCAAAACTGTCCGACGTAAACGATGTGGAAGCTTTCTTACCAGGATATGTAAAATCTCCATAGAAATGGTATCAAAGATACAAAGTCCCAGAGGGTAAAAAGGAAAACATCATCGCTCTTGGCGGTGAGCTGAAGACCCTTCAGTAGGTTATCCGTCCACCTCTACATCCATGCTTAATGGAGATATAGTTTCGCTCTTGGTTTGATAGAGTGGTGCCACGTTTCATGGCAGGAGTACAGCAAAGGTCTTTCAGTACGGAATCTTGGCTATGGTTTTCTCAAGTGAGTAGAGACAGCCACAGGTGTAGAATAATTAGGTTGTTCAACCTCGCTCTACCTGCGCAACGCTCATGTGGGCCTTGGACAAGCAACTAACCCGCGTATGTTTTGCACCTAATGTAACCCTAATAGGAAGTGCTCTCAGATAAGGTTTCGGACCTGGAGTTAACTCAAACAGGGGCGAAGGTTACATTCGTTTCTGAAAAGAAGGGCATGTAACCATGGTGTGTTTGGGATTTCGATATTTATAGAAAAGTGTTGTGCTTCAAAAGAGAATACCACTAGATTCGGGTAAAGAAGGGACACAAGTGCCCAAGTCTAGCCCTCGCTGGCGCTATGTAAATACGACCTTAATGGTTCAAGGTAGGGCGTAGTGCGGTGTGTGGGTCCAGGGACGGAGAACTCTAATCGGACCAAATTTGGATCCTGAAAGGCCCGATCTCTATATTTGGCATGGGAAACCAGCTAACATCTGTGTGCTTCGACAAAGATTCTTCCGACGCAAAAAGCCTTGGATGAGAGGATTTCCCCTGGCCTTACCAATATAGTCAAGATCGACACCCTCAGGTCATGAGGCTGTTGTTGGGTCCTTGTACACAGTTATTTATCCCGCTAGACTATGTGAGGTATTGGATTGACTAGACTTGTGGGTTAGATCCATTTCATAATAGGATATGTACAAATTCCCTCTGCAACGGGCGAAATGCTATGGACCTGGAGATTATAATCCGGTCCGAGGAAGGTAATGGAATATCAGATGCTGGTAACTAGTTAATTGTGTTCTGGAATCTAGCTTGTCCCAAAAACTGGGTGTAGGTTCCTCTTTGAAACCTGATTAGCTTTTGCTATACTCAAATCGTGGATAGTACGGTTTCAAACGTGGATCAATCCTACCGAGACGCTGGTCGACCACCCAGTGCTCAGAAGAAAAGAAAAGGAAAGTTATATAAGGACCCAGGAGATCCTCGATATCACATCTCCATCCCGCTATTTAATTCAATTCACTCTTTCAAGTTTCTTATCTTGTAATTTGCAGTATTTGCTTGTTTTGCTGTTCTTTCTTTTCTTTTCTTTCCGCTCCTTCTTGGAAAGATGAAGACTTCCACTCTTTGCACTATTGCCTTGTCGGCCACGGCCCTGGCGGTTCCGGTGTCTGTGACTACCAGTGACCGCGGCTTGGCCGACCCCGCCCCGGCCCTTGCCCCGGAGGCTAAGGCCCATTCTCGCCTGCAGGCTCGCACCTTTTTCCCCATGGGTAGCCTATGCCCACCATGTGGTGAAGAAGCAGCCAGTCTCAAGGCTCGCACCTTCCTCCCTGTAATTCAGGGTTTGATAGAGCACAAGATGAACAAGTTAGGCCTCTGCTCGCCATGTGATACCAACACCAACACCAACACCAACACCAACGACAATTCAAACACCAATGACAATTCCAATACTAACAACAATTCCAATACGAACAACAATTCCAATACCAATAACAACTCCAATACCAATAACAATTCCAACACGGTGACCAACAACATTAACGGCGGCACTCCTCCTACTGGCGGTATGCCTCCTACTGGCGGTACTCCTCCTACTGGCGGTACTCCTCCTACTGGTGGTACTCCTCCTACTGGCGGTATGCCTCCCACTGGCGGCACTCCTCCTACTGGTGGCACTCCCCCGACTGGTGGCACTCCCCCGACTGGTGGCACTCCTCCCACTGGCGGCACTCCTCCTACTGGCGGCACTCCTCCTACTGGTGGCACTCCCCCGACTGGTGGCACTCCTCCCACTGGCGGCATTCCAGTTTGTGAAGAGGGTGACTACAATGAGGAGGGCGAAGATTGTATTCCAACTGGCGGTACTCCCCCCACTGGTGGCACTCCCCCATCTGGCAGCACTCCCCCGACTGGCGGCACTCCTCCTACTGGTGGTACACCCCCATCTGGCAGCACTCCTCCTACTGGCGGTATGCCTCCCACTGGCGGTACTCCTCCTACCGGTGGCACCCCCCCATCTGGCAGCACTCCTCCTACTGGTGGCACTCCCCCGACTGGCGGTACTCCTCCCACTGGCGGCATTCCAGTTTGTGAAGAGGGTGATTACAATGAGGAGGGCGAAGATTGTATTCCAACTGGCGGTACTCCCCCCACTGGTAGCACTCCCCCGACTGGCGGCACTCCTCCTACCGGTGGCACTCCCCCATCTGGCAGCACTCCTCCTACTGGCGGTATGCCTCCGACTGGCGGTACTCCTCCCACTGGCGGTACTCCCCCCACTGGTGGCACTCCCCCATCTGGCAGCACTCCCCCGACTGGCGGTACTCCTCCTACTGGTAGCACTCCTCCTACTGGCGGTATGCCTCCCACTGGTGGCACTCCCCCATCTGGCGGTACTCCTCCTACTGGTGGCACTCCCCCGACTAGCGGTACTCCTCCTACTAGTGGAACTCCCCCCAGTGGCGGTAACACAGCTTGCGAGGGTGACAACACCTGCACTTCTGAAGAAACGAGCAACACAAATGGCAACAAGACGGGAACAAACAAGGGAGGCAATAGCTCTTCCAGCTCTTCCAGCTCTTCTAGCTCTTCTTCCTCGAGCAGCTCTTCATCTTCTACTACTGGCGGAACTCCCGGGTGCACTGAATGCGAAAACCCCCCTCCTGAGGACTGCGAAGAGTAAGCGGGCTCATACTGGATGGGTGGTGGCGCCAAAGGTGAGAACCAAAATGTTTTCCAGGGTGCTCCGTCTTTCCTTCCTTTGTAACTTAGTCCCGACTGTGTTTCTCTAAGCTGGATGCTGGATTCGATTATTGTTTGTTGGATTTCTATAACTTGTCACTCATTTACGTGTAATCGGTAATTCTCTCTTTTGCCCGTCGTTCGTTTACCACAATATGGCTTGAGATAATGCAGTGCCCTTTCAGATAGAAGTCTAGTATCTCTTAATGTTTTAATATATTCGCATTTCCCTTTCAAAGCCCAGGCTATTCCTTACAGACAATCCTTCAGTAAGTAGTATTGTAGTATTTCCTTTTTCCATATATGTGAAACTGTTGAATGGCTTGTCGAGAATAAAGAAAACGCCCTCTCCACGAGGTACCCCACCTTGTGACCCACAGTGAAGGATGACACCGCAAGCACATAGAATAATGATGGAGCTGGTGTAGCTCACGTGTATGGGATTGATTGTCTTAAGGTCTAAATCTATCATACAGAGATTCCTTGGTCAGGTCACGTGGTTGCTGCCTTAGGCTCCCATAGGCTCTAACAAATAATATCCACGGCATTCTTGACCACTCAGGCACAATAAACCATCTTCCTATTTATTGTTGTTACGCGTTGCGAGAGGCCTAAATCGATCCATAACACGTTTCCCTACGTAGAGGTATATATACTGTTCTCCATCTAAGGTCCATCTTCGTGCGTTTCAGAGAAGGATAATTTTTGCGGAATGTGTGGAATGTTTTCCTCTATTTTCCTTTTTCCTTTTTCTTTTCTTTTTTTTTTAACCATACCTTTAGTTCTGCTGGTGCAGTAAGGGCCGCAAAGCCATTGGCCCACTGAAAAAAGCGACTGACTGAAAAAGTGGAAAGGAGTTCTTGGCCGACTGCTTCCGTATAATGGGAATGGCTTTCCGGCCCGCTCATTCGCGCTTCTGCTCGGAAGTAGATTCCCACCTGTCGTTCGGCAGCCGTTCTAGGGGTTCGGGTTCAAATCCTAGAACCCACCCCGACCCGACAACTATCTGATTTTGATACTCCAATATCTGAACTAGATCTTAGAATTTGGTATACAGCATATTCTACATTGTCGTTGGGACTATGCCCTAGTTTTTGAAATTTTTACGTCCTTTTGAACGCACTGTTTGATGGGATTTCCCAAAAATCTAAAAATAAAGATGTTATAGGTCCTTACCTAATTAGGTATAAACTACATTGAAACTTATGAAGCTCCTGTATATAATAGGGGTCGGTAGCCTTGGCAGATCGAGAGTGCGAAATGGGGCTAGAGTCACGTCGAAAGTAGACATTGAACTTCGTGGAAATTACTTCTACCTCAGATGGTGCACGCAGCTAAGTAACACTTGTATGCTCTGTGTGAGTGCACTGCCGGGGGCTTAGCTCCGAGGAGTTCATGGCATCAGATATCCCGTCCGACAGATCCACCTTGACAATCGCCCCACTAACATGACGTTGTGGTTGGCAATCTCCGTTTCGATATCAAGGCTTAATGAAATCTTTATTTCATGTCAACTTTGTGCTTCTCGCAGGCCAATGTGTCATATCATTCTACTGATTCTTTTTCCACCATGGGTTCACATTCGAAGCATGCCTGTCAGCGCTGTCGCAGGTCCAAGTTAAGGTGCGACAAATCGAGGCCTCAATGTATGCGATGCCTGCGAAACGGCCAGATGTGCGTCTACTCAGAACAGAGGTGAAAGAATCTTTTACATTCAGCCCCGTGTGCCTTCAGCACAGCACAGCATCGTCCGGATGCGTTGGTAGACAAGCTCCACCCTCATACTTCTAGTGAAGCTCTTGATCAACCACACTGCACCCAAATTCCAAGTAGTACTTTAGCACATCCGGTGAGCACATACCCCTGAGCTCAACATCGTTGCATGAGACAGTTATTGTTACGTGCACTTATCAAGATTATACAATCCTTTCGCTCCTGTCTGACCGCTGACCTACCGAATTAAAATTGTTAGATCTCAGAGAGACGGAATCCGATCCCGAGTGCGTGTAGGCGTTGCCGTCTGCTCAAGGTGCGGTGCGGGGGGGCGATGCCCTGTAGTCGCTGTTTGAAAGCACAGTTAGGGCCGATCTGTTACTACCCCGTCAATACCTCACGCAGAAGTAAAGGCCAGGCAAGCCGAAGATGCCAAACCCGTTGTGGAAGCAGCAGTTTCACATGCATAGCCCCTGGAGTGTGGTTTGGTGCATTAAGTTTGTTTCCTTTCTCCGTCCTAAGCTTGAGTCCACAATAAAGCCTGCACTATCACCACAATCAGAAGAGAGGTATAGATCAGCTTGGAGAGGCGAACTTACAGAATGGGACCAAATGTGGGACCAGCAAAACTTACTTCTGAGAAGAGAGCAATCATCTCTCCACTATCTATCGGTCCCCAGATGTCCGCCATAGCACCGTCAATAATTGACAGGGCAGCGCAGCCGAAAGATCCAACAAAGAACCGGCCGACAAGTACAGTCTCCAGGTTGCGTGCAAGTGCAACCGGAATTTGGGCCATGAGAAACACCGCAAATCCCAACGAGCAAGGGGCATATGCGCCCGTACAACTCGGATAGAGGGCCCCAGAGCAACAGTCTGACGACAAAGCCCTATAAGATGGTCAAATTTCGAGTACGTTCGGTGTGGCACAAAGCCCACTGAAAACGAGATCTAGGCCTTACAAATATTGTCAAACTGATTCCTATGATTGTAACTTCGGTTAAGACGTGATATTCTTCCACAGTCACAGCCGTTGCCTCGCTAAATATGCTACTATCGAAAATGACACAGAGTCATCGATGACAGAATCATAGTCAGGAGCCATTTCGAGTCGATTCGAATTCTGGATGTCCTGAATCTTATCTATTGTACTCCTTGAGCGTCCGTTCGTGGCTCATTTTGCTTCATAGAGGACGAATGCTGCAGCTCAGTGGGACAACCAATAGCTACGTGCGCAGCAGTTTCTGGATCGAGGCAATGACGGTTCACCTTCTGAACTCGACAGTGTGCCGGCGAGTGAAGGGGAAGATCAGTAGTGGATTATTCCGCTAATGGTCTGACAAGGAAGCTAGGGGCTCCAGCCTGGCTGAGACTGGCACTTACTCTCAGTGGACCCAAATTGCCAAAAGGTCGGTGTATTTGAACTCACAGTGTTGCCATTGACCTGGGGAGAAAGATTTTAAACATGTCCCAGTAGTCCTAAATAGAACTGTATGCCAAATTCGCTATACACCAGAGGGTGATAATCGGTGATTTCAACGGCAGGTAGGAAGAGGTACGAAGGAGGTAAAGCTTACACCAACCTTTTAACTAGTCGAAAATACCGTATGCTGTCGAAATGACGCCTTGCTGCATCCTTATCACGCAAAGTAGCTTTGCCTGGTATTCATACGACTTGATCAGAAGCTGGGAAATGAAGAAACTGAGGACGGAATTTTGGGGGTGGCAGCAAGAAGATAGGCCAGGAGTTGCGAAATACATATGCTATATGATTCAAACTACTTAGTTTGAAGGCTACTAGTAAATTTTGAGAGCGGAGACCTGGCTACCGGTTTCTTTCTATGTGGTACCGCTTATCAGATAGAAAGTGAGGTAGTTTATGGACGATATATTTCAGTTCGAAGACTTTTACGCATCGGCAGTTATAGTGGACTCCGACACGACCTAGCCGATCTCCGGCGTGGGCCAGAAATGAACATTTTTCCAGGTTGTATCAGTAAAATGCTTAGCCCCAGATCATACGCCATAGCAAACGATAACCTGATGTGGTCATGGATCAAGATAATTTCGACAAACTAAATCAACACTAAAACTCCGTAAGGTGAACTTTCTGTCTATTCTCCTTGCCACTTGTATTTGTTCATTGTTATTCTGGCGGAGCCCGTTCTGTTTATCTTGTTCCCATGGTGCTTTATGTCTGCGGACAAATATATACCTGATTGAGTACCGCATTATATTGTTTCTCTCGTCAATGAAGCCGTTGCTTCTCTTCGTCTTGTTCCGCTCTCGTCGTAGTATCGGAAAAGCGGTTCTAAACAAGTAAGCTCTAAATGCCCCGTTTACCGAACATGAAAACGAACCGCCCTAGGACTTTGATCACAGTAGATAAATCGGTGACACCCGTCTAGGTCCGACAGATCAGTTAGATGTAGAGGTACAATAGGAAAACCCATTCATACGGGGGAGATAGGGATTATCTCCTGCAAATGAAAGGCAGCGTGCCAGCTAAATGGATTCTGTCCGCTAAAGCTAGTATGGTACTTGCCACAGAATGCATACGACTCCGCTCAGCCTTGACCCTGGTACATTAGATGTATTACTTCTCACGGGACCCGGTTCGAGGCATGCCATAGAGTACCAATATAAGACGCATAATAAGTAGGATATTTGATTAGGTACAGAAAACCGATGGAGCATATGGTTACATCTTCCAAAGGCCATAGCGACACAGGCTGGTCTGGATAGGATTCTCTCTCCATACCAAGATCATATACTAATTCGCTCCAAAATATCGCTTCTTATGACAATCCGTTTCTTGCTGCGAAATCATGCCAATCCTCCATGATCTTAGGGTAGGAGGAAATGGCCCCTACAACCGGAAATGCACATGCTTTCAATTACAAGGTCATGTATATGTATTTGCAAGCCAATCTAAGTTGCTACATCCGCTAGCAGCTCATAATGATTTGTCCTTGTGATCGGTGCTGGTCATTTATTTCCCCCCCAAAATTCACAAAGTACACCTATGATAGGTAACAAACAGGAGAGGATCCTTGAATAGGGCTAGCCAAAGAATGGCCCCCGGGCTGGGCATCTCCCATTGACCCTAATTCAAGATCCAAGCTGGTGCCAAGCGAATGCTCTAATACTGCCAATAGGCGGTTGACTAAGAGGGACTTCGTCAAGAAATACAGGTCGCGGGAGTGGGATATGGTGGGTAGGGTACTGAGTAGCTTTATAGCTGCTTATGCGCAGGATCGGCGAATACTAATAGCAAAGTAAGAAGGGGACCAAAGGCATAAATGATATTGGCAGGTTAGAGCGGCAAATCATATGCAACGGGGTCGGCAGAGGAAGATTCGGCAAAAATTCTCTGTTAAGATTCTAGTACGACCAGCACTAGTAAAAGAGAAGTAATTTACGGTACTACATATCTACCTACTCGCTGATAAAATTATGCACCAGAAGCATTATGTATTCGACCTTATATGTGGTACGAAATTGTCGTTTAGCCTGTGGTTTCCCCCACTGATTTCACTCCTCATTCCCATTAGCATGGATCCGAAAGTCGGACAATTTAAAAATAAACCTTGAGCCGGATATGAGAGGTGAACCATGGATGGGAGCCCAATGGGATGAGCCAGAGATTGTCTCGGGGCTTGCGGGTTCCGAGATTTGGCTTCATCCCTCATGAATAAGACATTTTCACTGTGAATAGTGTTGTTAGGTTCAAGACAATGTGGGTCACAGTTACATCGACTCAGCCTCAAGTTCCACTTATTATTCGACAAGTTTTAAAGTGTCTCCGTTTCTACCTTAAAGGGAGGTCGTGAAGAGTGGTCGTTAAATATCAGCATTTGACCACCTCCCGAATTTCTTTGTTGAACGTTGTCAGCAAAACCTGTCATTATGCCCATCATATTTTCCTCTCTTCTCGTGGCTCTGCTTTCACTAGGCAGTGTGCAAGCAAAACCTGCCAATTGGCTCTATACCAGCGACCTCGATAATGAAGCCCAGAAGCTTCTCGACCGTCCCGACATCTCTGGTGTCCAAACCCTATACACCTGGAAATCTCTCGAGCCCCAAAAGGACACCTACGATTTTTCTGCCATCCATAATGATCTGAACCTGACCACGTCAAAAGGAAAACACCTCTGGATCCAACTCCAAGATCGTTCCTTCAATATTGCCAACGACCCAGTCCCATCCTACCTGTACCATCCTATCTACAACAATGGTAGCGTCCCACAATGTGACGCCCCGGACTGCGAGGAAAACTTCATCCCCGGAGGATGGGCAGCAGCACACTGGAATCCCTTTGTGCGCGTCCGCTTCCAGCGTCTTCTGGACGCGTTAGCGAAAGATCTGGATGGGAAAATCTACGGCCTCAATCTCCCGGAAACAGCAATCGAGGTGCAAATGAACAATACGCAAACCAACTTCACCTGTGAGGCGTACTTCCGCGGCGAGCTCGAGAATGCCAAGCACGCTGCTAAAGCCTTTCGTCAGAGCTATGTGGTGCAATACGTGAATTTCTGGCCGTGTGGCTGGGCAAACGAGAATCAGTATCTTTCTGATTCCTTTGAGTTTTTTGGGCAAAATGGGATCGGGGTTGGTGGGCCCGACAACATCCCCTATAAGAAGACGTTGGAGAATAATGCCTATCCGTTTATGGATGCCTATCGCAATCAAGTGCCGATTAGTGTGGTTGCTGTGCAGGAGCCGGATTTGAAGGCTGTGAATCCCAAGACGAATAGGCCGTTCACTAAGGAGGAATTTGTGGTCTTTGCGGAGGGGAGATTAGGGGTTGATGTTATTTTCTGGGCATTAAGTAGCCCTTGGCTGCATCTATGATATTCTTAGGTGCAAGGATTACCCGGATGAGTGTCTTGTTAAAGGAAGAGCGACAAGAGGAAGGTGACAACTTTCAACATATTTTCCATTAAAGAATCCCTGTGTCCTAGCATGGTGTAAAATATTAGGGAATAGGGTTGGGATTATTACATGTATTTTATGGTATTTTCTGCACTTTTTCAATACAGGCAATCTTACGTTTAATCGACTAGTGAATGATGGTATCACGATTACAGTATTTTCGGTGCAGGCCGGTTCAAAATGGAATGGAGTAATTTGGCTTTTATAGAACCTCAAAATATAACACAATGTGCATACAGAAAGATAGATAACCATAAGGGTGCCAGCAGAGCATAGCCTGCTGCCAGGCACTGAAGATTGCCACACGATGGTACCTGCTCAAGCTGTAGGAGTAGAACACATGTATTGTCCGGTTGGGGCTCATGATCGATTGGCAAGGGGCACGGCCTGTCGTCCAAAGAAGCTCAAGGAAGACAAGCAAATAGTCAGGCCCAAGAGTTGTAAGGTGAGGTTCACAAACCATAAAGGAACCTCTCAAGTGAGAAAGCGGGATTTACAATTGCTCCTGTACAGTGTACCAGGGGTCTACAACGTCGCTTTCCTGGCTTACACAAGCAAGCTTAAGCCCCTGTTTACTGCAGGCTCACAGCGGGTTCGAACTGCGAAATAAATCATGGGAATAGGAATGTCGGACTTATTCCTAGCATCGTAGTAAATTGAGATTATACCACATGCTGATGTTTAGTCCGTTCTAGTACAGTAGACGATATTGGTACTTCTCCTGACTATTGGTATCGTATGATGGTGATCAAAATACACCAAAGTCAACGTTGATCGTACCGGGTTTTGTGCTTAATGAAGTATAATAGAGATACGTCTTTCAACGTTACAAGGAACGGTACAGCCGATAACTGGCTCAAGTTCCCTGGTGGCTGAGGTTCGAAGGGTCATGCCTCAGTGCGGAGTAGCAATTATGAGAAGAGGTATCTTAAAGTATTGAGGCATCATTCCCCAAAAGCCCACCTATGGTAGATATTCCACAGGGAGATAAGTTCACTCGATATGGCGAATCAGAGAAACAAATCTAAGGATGCAAATCTAAATAGAGGTCTACCAGGAGTCATTATATACATGCCGGCTACACTTATCCACCTGCTATAGCAACGATTCGAAGTATAGTCGGCGTCCTTTATTAGCTTAGTCAAAAATCTCGTGGAGTTCCGCGGAAATGAAGCTTGGAGTTATGTTCTGAGAGATGATTTAAACCGTAATGAGACCCCGACAGTCGGTAGGGCCATCATCGGACTTCCAGACGTCGGTAACTAAAATCGGGTTAGGATATAATTGACGGCTCGCCAACTAAACAGGGTGGGTACACCATGGTTACATTAGACATCATTAGGTCACTTTAATGAATACTGTTACAAGGGCTTTTTTGCCTACTAGTTATGTTACGAACGAAGCCGAAAGATCTGGGATGGATGAAACAAATTAATGAGACCTCGAATACAATTATCGGTGTGCTTGAGTGATACACTGATCTCGCCTTGGATGATGGGATCCTTATCATTATCTATATAAAACTTAAGCAATTTGGGCCAACTCTTCAATCCTTCTGTAGGCTCTTGGAAATCCGGAACAAACTGATCTCAACTTTAATGGCTTCCAAACAAACTCGCAGCAATCTTAAGCAATACCGTGTTTAATAGCTATGGCAGAAATCCTACATTCCTCTACAAAAATAATCTCATTTATATGAAGACCTGCGCAGAGCTATGGCGCAAATGTCCCCACTAGACGATGGAAAAAAATGATTCATTACGAGGGCTACGAGGTTCCATCATGGCGACTGACTTCTGTACCCCCGACTCCTTACCTCTACGAATAGACGTCCATGTGTGTTCCTCGCTCTCTCTCAGCGATTGTTCACAATGGGAGCAGATAGACCATTTGCCATTTGTATACTATAGGGTGTACCTACGGTGATAGAATGCTAAATCAGACGGAATATCTACATACCACACTGTACGGTAGCATTTGCAGCAGTAATTTTCCAATAAACTGTCTACCACAAACTTGGTACGAGTCTGTTACAGGATCGAAACATGGTCTCCGCCTGTTCTTGATTACCTTGCTTAACTTTAGAGAAGATATATATATTTTATATTGATGGATTGCGACAATTTAATAGTTACGTGTTTTCAATCTAGATATCAACGATCTGTTTAACATGGGCAAGTGAACGGTATTCAAGATGTTAGATCATCCTTATAGATCATTCTCTACAACGACGAGTCAGCCCTCGCGCCATAATTCATCAATATTTATCGGTCGTCATAGGTGCTAGATTGGCTTATACCGCGAAGCGTACTATATATTTTTGGAAACTGTTATATCTTAGCGCTTCTCTTTTATGTTGAGTTTCGCGATTATTGTATTTTTAATTTATTCTCACGAGTATCTTATGGTGGTGTTATAGAATTGAAGCCAAATGCTAAATTTTATTTGTATCCGAGATTAAACAGAAGAGAAAAAAAAAAGCAAAAAGAAAGCTAGGTTAAGGGATGTTATCCACTTGAAAGATTTCCCGCTAATCTGCGCCCATTGTCGCTCTCGCAAGAGCCAAGCTAATGCCGCGAGCCGTCTGCTGTATCGAGGTTTTATAGTGTTGTGTCTTTGTTCATATCATCTCCCAACTTGGTTTCGTAAACGGATCCACGCATGTCGCGGAAATATTTTTCCCTTAGCGGTTCCTTCATTAGCCTAGCATATTCTTTCACCTCACTATTGCATACGCGATCTTGCGAAACGAAGGCGCGCCGCTAGGAAAGCGGGACTACATCCTGAGTTTTCTCGCCCCACAAATATCCTAGCCCTAGCTAGGTAAGACATGGCCGCTGCACTTCCACAGAACTCTTAGGCTGAGGAACCACTTTCGAAAAGTGTGAAACAATTTTAGTAAAGAAGGTATTGCCAATGTTAGCACAGCAATCCTAATGGGGGAATGTTGCTCTTGCTCTTGCTCTTGTTCTTGTTGTTGATTGAGGCCCAGGGGGGTTTATTTAGAAGCATTGGCGCACACCAAGATAGTCCCTTAGCGGTTTGATGGTAGCGATCCATGAACCAAAGGATTGAGGACGGTATTAAGCTCTGTTCAAGCGCCAAGTGCCCGGACCTTGGCGCCTTTACCTCACGACTTTTGGCAGAACATAGCCCTAACCTAAAATCTTTGGCGTTGGCGCCAAAGTGGTTACGCAATCTCGCCTAGCCATCTTCAACGAGGTAGATGTAACCTCACCAAGACAATCCGGTCATGTGTGTGTAAACCTACACTCTGCTTTTACTTTCCCAGGTAACCTAGATAGTATCCAGTGTTTCCGAGCTTAGATTTTTATTTCGATGAGAGTCTCTGTGGTGACTAGCGACCAAATTATCAAGTCTTCCTGCGGGCTACATATTTGATTGTTTATGCGGACCTCAATCCACCCTTTCGGATACGGATTGGAGCGCTATGAGGAAGAGGACATCGCAGGTTCGAAGGCCAAATCCAAGGCAGGAATTATGATCGGCCTCTGCTACATTTAGAGAACTCATTAATTATATCTAACCTTATATATGTCTAAGGTCTGTTCGACATATTTGCGCGACTGATCCAGTGGTTTCTATTTAAAGACAATGTCTTACCGGAATAGCATACCCAGAAGAAAGAGCTCAAAAGGATCGGAGGCACCACGTCACATGGGGAGACTGTCTTAAAATCACAGATTATTTAACTTCTTGCATGATGTTACTCCACTTTGACCCTGATAAAACCGGCCCTTGTCCCAAGTTTTGCTCTGTATCCGCCATGCACCGGTCACGATGCTCGTTCAGTATGGCATCAAAGCATGCCAGCAATATAAACACTGGCTAGTAGCGTCAGCCGTGCTGGCCTGCCTTCTGTTCTATGCTTCAAACGTGATATTAACCGCCCGAATGTCCACTGTGTCAGAGAGAGCGGGTAATTCAACTCTGGGATTTGAGAGAATATTCTACATCAGCCTGCCACAGTACGTTACACCCTCTAGCTCTACATCTTGTTTTTCTGTGGAAGTGGCTCGGCACGAAACAGACTGATCACGAAATCCACGTCTAATCTCTGTTTTCTGTAGACGGACGGATCGGCAAGATGCTATGAGCCTGGTAGCCGCTGTTTCAGGTCTGTCTTTGACCCTTGAGCATGGGGTAAGAGAATCCGATCCACAGTCCATTTTCTTAAGGGTGGTCTTGGAAAACGTGCAATACTGAAGGTTCATAGGTCAATGGCAGCTTGATGAGTTCAAAAGCCCGACCGGAGTACAGTGAATCGCTTCGACCTGAGCAGCTAGGAAGCTGGCGTAGTCATGCCAATACGTGGAAACGAATAATCGACGAGAAAGTTGAGACAGCCTTGATCATGGAGGATGATGGTGACTGGGATGTCAACGTGCGTGATATCTCAAAAGAACTTTCTCGGCAACTATCTCGACAATCCCTTTTCTCTGAGCTCATGCCCACAAAATCGCCGAAGATCGCACCCTATGGTAAGCCCCTTGAATCAAGTGCCTTAATTCTGGATAGCCATCGTGCTCACCATGAATTCCAGGTCCCGGATGGGACGTATTGTATCTGGGCACATGCTGGGATATTCCAAATATTGATACCCGACCCCCATCGTTTGCGTACCATGACCCTCACGCTCCATCTCGAACAGAGCTGGCGCCATCCTTTACTGGGGAGCTTGAAGGATGGGGGCTAAAAGTCACGGGCAACACGCGGCATCGTCTTGTTGCGCCGTCCTGGTACCCTGTCTGCACATTGGGATATGCCGTGACAAACCGCGGAGCACAGAAGCTCCTGTACAATCTGGGTGGCTACAGAGGTATTGGCTCCCCAGTGGACTTGGCGATAATCGACCTTATACAAAACAATGTGATTAAAGCCTACACCATAATCCCGCCTTTGTTTACAACATACCGAACGCGGACTACGAAAGACAGTGACATCGACGAGGATACGTACACGCGAGAGAGTGCGGAGAATATACCTGTAGGATCTGAGAACCTGAGATCAAGTGCACGAAAGGCTCTTTCCTGGATGGGAGAACAACTGGGATAAAATGATTTGAGTTGTTAGATTGTTAGTCCTACCGTCCAAGCCTCATTCATGTCAGCATTCACTCTGATCTCGAGTCTATTGCGAATAAGTAAATATGTACACTAATGCAGGAAGGGTGATCTTCATTTGCCAACCAAAATGAAGGAGGACAGACAGTAGTGGTCAACTTGTTGGGAGATTACATCGTCCTAATGAGTAGGTAGATTAATCGTACGGGTCTAAGCTACCTGGTGATGGAATATAGAATTTTTTAATATAATACTAGAGCAACCAAAATAAGGACCCAACTTTAATGGTAGAGATAGCCTATCAGGGAAGTCCAGCAGCCTTCTTGAGAATTTCTAAAGATATTTTATATTTTCACGCTACTCAAAGTGCACGCACTCGCGACGACCATGGTTCCGAGTGGTGAAAATACCGAGGCCATTGACAGTGGGGACATTTGAAGACAACGTGCCAACCAGAAACATGTACTTAATGAACTATCTCTGTATACGAAGTGCCTCAGCCTAGTGACTGCCAAAACCACATTATGTGGCCTTATAATAATAGCCTCGATAGCTATTATTGCCACAGGCTACTAGAAGACCACAACCATGACTGCTTTCTCCACAGAGGCTTATATAATCCCGTGATACTCCGAGAGGGACTTTTGGAAATGCTGTTCACTCCATTCCACAACGCTTTACCAAAGCCATACTCATACTACTATCTCTGCCAGTCACTCGTTGTTTCCCTTAGCTCTATTGCTGTGGATTTATATTTTTTTCCTTCGCTCGATCTCTTCAATCAGTCGTCGAGATAAGAGGCGGCTCCCTGTATCCCTTGGCTCCTGCGATAGCGGAATGTTGACACGGTCGTAGCAACAACAATAAACATTGCTAGGTGGGCCGCTTGACTTAAATATATGGCTTGTGGGACATGGCAGGATGATTGGGGCCAAAGAGTTATGTGTGTTTATGCATATTATTGGAGCGGCGTTAGTGCTGCAATTGTGCTTTCGTGCTCTCCAAGAGATCGCCGTACGGGCCCTGGCGCGCTCAAGTAGCGCCCGTAATGGGGGCTATGTACATATCGAAAAGTATGCGAGATCCAAGATACAGCCGGCCAAGCGTATCTGGGTCTTGTTAACATGCATGGGCTGTGGTTCTTTGATCGCCATATTGCGGGTTGCTATTGCTGCCAATAATAGGTTCGCCCTTGAACATTGGCTGCAGCTTATGATCTGGGTGAGGCGTCAAGCAAGGTGCTAGCTGCGATGTATACTGACAACCACAAGATTGTCATGCTGATGCATCATACTACTCTTGTAACAGAGTCGGCATGCACCTCGAGATATTTGATCGGATTGAGAGGATGTCTCAGCTGCTTCGTGGTAGCACTGCTCTCGTTGGTTGAGCGATACACGGATGAGGAACTAGAGAAATCAACCGAGGCGCTGCTTGTGCTCGCTCGGATGAACGAAGGCATCGTGGGGATATCAGTCTTGATCATTCTGTCATTGCCGCGACGATCCCGTATATTCCGGGACGGGAAGGCAATTGATGGTGAAGGCTCATCCTCCGTCTTAGGTCGTCTTTCTTTCCACTGGGTGAGCGAATTGGTCAAATTGGCCGAAGCCCGTCGTCGGGTGACCTTGGATGACCTACCGCAGCTCGATGAACGGATACGAGCAAGGGCTCTACAGGAAGAATTTGCCCAAGCCGCGTCCAAAGGTACTTCACCTCTCTACGATGAACAACACTTGTTGAAGATATTGCTCGTTTCTCATGGCAAGGCCCTGCGTAACCAAATCATTCTTTCTGTGCCGCTGGCCGTGGTAGCGTTCATGCCGCATTTAGCACTGTGGATGATACTACAATTGCTTGAGGCACAGTCTGCGAGGAGCACAGATGCTGCATCGTTGGTCTGGTGGGCGTTGGTCTGTGGCCTCACAATTGGTCTCTCCGCGTGGCTCGAGAACTGGCTGCTGTGGCTCGCCATGAATAAGATCTCGGTCCCAGTGACGCAGCAACTGACGGCGATTCTTTACGACAAAATCATCGGTCGATCTCACCTGGGTGGGGAGCTCAACGAGCAAAACCTCACAAACTTGATCGCCCTGGATACGCAGCGCATTGCGACCGTGGCAGGTTTTCTCTATTCTAACATCCTACAGGCAATGAAGTTAACCGTCTCCGGTACCCTGCTCGCATACTTGCTGGGATGGCAAAGTTTGCTGGGAGGATTGTCCACCCTAGTGATCATTATGCCATTACATCGTATCCTTTTAGAGAGGTACGGTGCAGCGGAGCGCACACTGACTGTTCTGCGGGATAGCAAAATGACTGCACTGACAGAGGCGTTGCATTGTATCCGGCAGGTCAAGATCGCGGCGCTGGAACAGAGGTGGGAGGAGAAGATCAATGAGCTTCTTGATCGTGGGCTGCAGGCACACCGCGCTGCTTTCCACTGGTATCTGATGAGTTTGGCGTGTCATTTGGTAGGCCCTGTTCTGGTCTCGGCAACGGCGATAGGGATATACACGTGGATACATGGGAGTCTAACGCCCTCTGTGGCGTTTCCTGCCCTGTCCTTATTGGGATACGTTCAGTTCATCCTAGGCCTCATTCCTGACCTGTGGTCTGGGATCATCGGCGCCAAGATCAGCTTACGGCGGGTGGCTAGGTTTCTTCAGACTGAGACAGTGCCATCCATCATATTCCCAGGGGACTGTATAGAGTTTCAAAATGCCACCGTATGTTATGAAAGCGTTGAAGGAGCCCAGTGCTCAGGGAGCTTGCGCGACGTAACAGTCCGCTTCCCACCGAAGGAGCTAAGCATTGTGACTGGCGCCACAGGGGTGGGGAAGAGCCTGCTCCTACGAGCGATTCTGGGCGAATGCCAGATTCAGTCTGGGATGCTGAGACGTCCGATGCCCGCATCGTACGATGAGATCTACGCAGAATCAGCAACCACACAGCCTAGGTGGGTGGTTGACAACGCCGTCGCATTTATTCCCCAGGTTCCCTGGCATGAAGCCGCCACAGTACGAGATAATATTCTTTTTGGCCTATCTTTCGAGCCGGAAAGATACCGATCTGTATTACATGCCTGCGCATTGACCAAGGATCTTGAGCACCTTGAGCACGGTGATCTGACGGACATCGGCCCCAATGGGTGTAAGCTCAGTGGAGGACAGAGAACGCGTATCGCCCTTGCTCGAGCCTTGTATTCACGAGCTGGAATCCTGCTTCTCGATGACATTTTCAGTGCGGTCGATGTTCACACAGCGCGGCATCTCTTTAACCACGCTTTAACAGGCGAACTCGCCCAAGGCCGAACACGAATTTTGGTCACGCACCATGTTCAGCTCTGTCTCCCTAAAGCCAAATATATGGTCTCTCTTGACAATGGGACAGTGGCTTTCGCGGGTATTCCATCATATCTACTGGGTCAGAGCCCTGATGAGAATAAAGACCCACCGGGTAATGCACACAACCCTGAGATACATACGCTGGAATCGAGACCAGAACCACGTTCAAATAACATATTAATTTCGGGAGATGCTCCCACAGAGAAAGTAAGGAGCACGTTCGTAGAGGATGACTGCGCACGACAGAATCCAGTCCGACAGAACCGTTTACGACACTACATCCAAACCAGCGGTGGGTGGAAGTCATGGTCTGTAGTGATTGGATGCTATCTTACCTACAATGGTCTTCTATTAGCCTTGGTACACACCCCTACCGCTCACCTATTGACCGTGCTGTTCTAGACAATACGCTAACGCCAAAAAAACCAGTACTCCTGGGTCCGCCTGTGGACCGAAAGCGCATCTTCGAGAACACCAGACCATCGGAGGATGGGATACTACACGCTTGGCTATGTCATCATTGCATGCACCGCATGTGTAGTGGGCTCATTGCGATCCTACGTCGTGTTTGGTGCGTCCCTCCAAGCAGCAAGGGAGCTATTTCACCAAACAATTCATGCCCTCCTACGAGCACCACTTCAGTGGGTAGAGTCTGTACCTACAGGCAACCTGCTGAACCTGTTCGCGTCAGACTTTTATCTAATTGACTCGCGGCTGGGGTTCGATCTAATAGGGCTATTTAGCGCGGCCATGGACTGCGTAGGCGTGATAATGGGTGCGGTGATGGTTTGTCCGACGCTGACAGTGATAGCTGCGGTCCTTCTTTGCTCCGTCATCTGGTATACTAAGCGATACGTCATTACTGTCTGTGAGATTAAACAGCTCGAGGCAACCTCCAGGGGTACAGTTTCTGAGCATTTCAATATGTCCTCGCAAGGGCTCAGCACAATCCACGCATTCTGCCGGACGAAAGACTATACCAGCCGTATGCATGAAAAGATTGACCAGCAGGCAACGACTTCTTGGTATTTGTATCTGCTCAACCGGTGGCTGACGTTTCGCATCAATGCTCTGGGCACGATCTTCTCATTATTTACGCTTTTCTTCGTCGTCACTAGCCCCTCCATGACGGGCTCGTTCGCCGGTTTTGCCTTGGTTTTTACCAACCATCTCTGCCATGCACTAGTCATGCTGAGTCGAACGTACGCAACCGCAGAGATGGATTTCAGTGCAGTGGAAAGAGTCATGGAGTATATTGAAGTACCAACAGAAAATAGTGGCGGTGCAGATGCTCCCGATGGGTGGCCTACGGAGGGAAAACTATCTGTCACGAACCTGACCGTGGCTTACGCCCCGGAGCTTTCTCCGGTCCTTTACGATATCAGCTTTGACGTGGAACCAGGACAGCGCATTGCAGTCGTTGGACGGACCGGAGCAGGTAAATCTTCGCTTGCGCTGGCAATGTTTCGTTGTCTGGAGGCCAGCGAGGGAGCAATTTGGATTGATGGGATTGATATAAGCACCATCAACTTGCACCATCTGCGCAGAAGACTCGCGATGATTCCACAAAATCCAGTGCTTTTCAAGGGCACTGTCCGATCTAACTTGGACCCATTTTTCGAGTACTCCGATGAGTCGCTGATTCAAGCGCTTAAGCGAGTCTCATGGGAAAGTCCCGAAGCGCTTCATGCATCTGTATCGGACGGGGGATCTAATCTCTCTTGTGGAGAACGCCAGATCCTTTGTCTTGCGAGGGCGATGCTGTCAGGCCCAGCTGTACTAGTTATGGATGAAGCAACCTCTGCCGTGGATCACGGCACAGATCAGTTGATCCAGCGCTCTATTCGCTCTGAAATGGGAGGGAAAGCCCCTACACTCCTTGTGATCGCTCATCGTCTCCAAACTATCGCAGATTTCGACCGTGTCCTTGTCTTAGATCAAGGAAGGGTAGTGGAATTCGGGTCTCCCCAGAACTTGATGCAGGTGCCTGACGGGGTGTTCCGACAGCTAGTGGACCATGACACGGATAAACAAAAGCTTTATTCGCAGATGCATATTGACAACGGCCACATATGGCATTGAAACCATGACTCCTGCTTGTCTCTATGTATCTATTTATATATATACATGGGCGAGGATAATCACGTGAACGACCTTGTTGCAATATTCAATTCCTTTCTTGAGCGAAATAGTGGCGTAAAAGCCAAACACCCTGATCAAATTATGATCGATGAGGCCACACACACTATATAAAAGGCTGGAGTGCGGCGGTGCCCTGTGTTCGTAGCCCATTTTATCAAGCACCTGAAGCTTAAAATGTCGATTTATTTTGCTACCTTATGGACCTAAGCAAACAAAGCCTAGTGTATTATGATTGAAGAAACTAAAATCTTACGAGCTAAGGGTCCTTTCGGGCAAATGCGGAGGACTCCAGAGACAATCCCCACTCTTCAGCATGTGGAGTGGAGGGGAAATACGAGAGATATGATCCTTTCGGGAATCAAACTCCGAGTGCGTACTCTGTGATAGCGATGGTATCAACCCATATGGCAAGGCAAAAAGAAAAAAGAAGAAGAGAAGAAGAGCATAATATAGGGAATGTGCAATGGGGACGCTGCAGAAGCCAGATTGTAGTAATCTTGCACATGAATCTGGGATAAACGACGAGTGCCGTGGAACCACGGTAGGTGGATGTTGCTGACACAAAGCCAGTGGGCCCGGACCTGAATATGGACCATAGCAGAGAGTACCCCGCGGTAGATATGTTGGAGTATCTTTACTACTGTCTGGAGTTCCAATTCAATGTAGAATGTAGTCGTTTGGGAAGCTTATAATTAACACCTGAGCCTTGCGAAGAAATAAGACTTTAGTAGGAAGTCCGGGAGCGGAATATAGCGTCCGAGATAAGCATATTGGCCTGGATGCTCGAGCACTGAATGTTCTGCACAGGTGCTAGGGCGAAGATCGCTTGATACACCTACGTCAGCTAAGCGATTCGCCAAGCCAGGGGTAAATGGAGCCAGCAAGGGCGGCATAAGGGGACGAACTTCGCCCCCCTACCTGCCTGTCTACCACAACATCTCTCAGACTCTCGGGCTCCCTATTGAGCACTGTAACATCCTATATCGTCTCTTGCCATGGCTATGACGCCAGAAACTTCGGACTCCTCTATATCAGTGGAGTCCATCCGACTCATCCAGGAGCCGATCGCAGTTGTTAGCATGGCGTGTCGACTACCTGGACACAATGATTCTCCTCAGAAGCTATGGGAGTTTCTGATGCAAGGGGGTGTGGCAGATACGAAGGTCCCGACAACACGATTCAAACTGGAGGCCTTCTATGATCGGTCTGACAGGCCGAGAACACTGCGCTCTCCCGGCGCCATGTTCATGGAGTCTGTGGACCCTGCAAGGTTTGATGCGCCATTCTTTAGTATTTCAGCCCAGGAGGCAACGGCCATGGATCCTCAACAGCGTATCTTACTCGAAGTTATCTATGAAGCCTTGGAGAATGCCGGTCTTACTCTGGAGTCCCTGGCGGGCCAGAGATATGGTTGTTTCGTCGGAGGCCACACTGGAGGTTTATAATTGCTTTCCCTGTCTAGAACTCTACTCGATACTGACGTGCAGCTAGATTACTGGGATGTGTTTGCCCGGGATCCAGATTCAAGGCCGGTGAATGCGGGTATAGGTGGCTCGGGAACAATGTTGAGCAACCGCGTCAGTCACTACCTTGGTATTACAGGTCCTAGGTACACTTCGTTCTGCACTTGTTTCAATTAGTATAAAGATTCTGATGGCGACTCAGCATGTCCCTCGATACCGCATGCTCTAGCTCGTTGGTGGCGTTAGACATGGCATGCAAATCCCTTCACAGTAGGGAGAGTAACGGAGCTGTCGTCGCGGCCACCAACCTCGTTCTGCAGTAGGCCATACTTCCGTCACCCGGTTCACCGAAGAGATATGCTGACCGAAGGTAGTCCGGAATACGGCTGTGACGGTAAGTAGACTACGAACGGGCGCAGATTGGGGCAACTACTCACGTGATCACCGCAGCTGGGCCGATCAGAAACACCCATTCTCCAACTGGGCGTTGCCACACCTTTGATGCTAAAGCAGACGGATACATCAAAGCAGAAGGGGTTAACGCAGTGATCTTAAAGCGGCTTGACGATGCCATCCGGGACGGAGACCCAATCCGAGCGGTAATCCGAGGTACGGCGAATAACCACAGCGGTCGAACACCTGGTATTGCCTCGCCGAGCGCAGAGGCTCAGGCAGCTGCGGTGCGGACGGCGTACGAAAATGCTAACATCACTGATCTGTCCCACACCTCGTACGTCGAATGCCACGGAACCGGGACCTTAGCAGGAGACCCGGTTGAGGTGACTGGTGTCTCCTCGGTCTTTGCATCATCACGGGCTTACGACAGGCCACTGCAGATCGGATCGGTAAGAAGTTCTGTTTATTGAGAGATAACACGCTGACGAGATACTTCAGATTAAAAGCAACATAGGCCATTCAGAGACTGCAGCAGGTTTGTCTGGCTTAATGAAAGCCATCATGATCTTAGAGACCGGATTCATTCCGGGAAACCCGACTTTCGAAACGCCTAATCCCAACAGTAAGTAACAAGCTCCGAACGACCCGGGGTTTGTAGATTGTGCTAAAACCAGACAGTTGACTTTAGCGGCTTGAAGGTAAAAGTGAGTAAAAGTGTTGCACCTTTCCCCGAAGATGTGCCGTTTCGACGGGTAGGAGTCAACAACTTTGGATTTGGGGGCAGCAACTCTCACGCGATCTTAGAAGAGCCAAGAGTGGTTCAATTGGATTATTGCCCAACACACAAAACGTCCTACATATCTCCTGGTCAGGACTATTTAGTGGAAGAGCCTTCCAAGCAACCTTATATCCTATGCTTCTCAGCCAACAGTGAAGACTCTCTCAAGCGATATATCCAGAAAATTGCTCAGCATTGCGCCAGCCCAAATGTCCACCTCAATGTCCAAGATGTGGCCTACACGCTCGGCGTGCGCAGAAGCAAGCACTTCTACAGGGGATATCTTATAACCGACAGCCTGAAGCATCTCGATCCGACAACGGTGGTATACGGCAAGAAAAGTGTGAACACCATGAATGTGGGGTTTGTCTTTACCGGTCAAGGCGCACAATGGCCACAGATGGGCTTAGGACTGCTGACATCATTTCCTGTCGCGAGGAGCTGCGTGGAGAAACTGGACGCTGTTTTGCAACGTCTATCCAACAGGCCGATATGGTCATTATATGATGAACTGACAAGGCAATGTAGCCCGGATCATATGCGAAACCCCGAGCTAAGTCAACCATTGGTCACTGCATTGCAAATATCAATCATCGAAGTATTCCGAAGCTGGGGAATCTCACCTACAAGCGTTGTCGGTCATTCCTCGGGGGAGATCGCAGCGGCGTACGCGGCTGGTTACCTGACCGATGCCGAAGCGATCATTATTGCATACCATCGTGGCATGGCCTCCCAGAATGGGCGAGTGAGCAATGCCACCCCCCTTGGGATGCTCGCGGTGGGATTGGGTGCAGAGCAAGTCATGCCTTACATCGCTGAGTTGGAAGGCGTCGAGATTGCATGCTACAATAGCCCTGCAAGCGTGACATTATCCGGGCTTCTTCCGGTGCTCGAGAAAGTGAAAGCCAAATTCACGCAGGATGGCGTGTTTGCTCGAATGCTACAAGTAGATCTAGCGTACCATTCGACATATATGGAGCCGATTGGCGAAGTGTACGAAACTCTGCTCAACCGTGACCTCCCGTCAAACGCACAGCGACTCCCAGCACCAGGCGACGCCACAATGTTTTCCTCAGTCACGGGATCCAAGCAAGAGAGGCCTCCGGACCTGGATTACTGGAAGAAGAATATGACCTCCCCCGTTCGCTTTGTGGATGCGGCTCGTAGCATGTTATGCGAAAAATCTTCCGTAGCGTTGCTGGTCGAAATCGGGCCTCATGGTGCGCTTAAAGGACCCATAACACAGATCCAAAACACGCTCGACGGGGCAGCATCGAGGGTTCCTTATCTTTCCGCATTGAATCGGGGATCTGAATCAATCCATAACATACTCGCGGTTGCCGGTCAACTCTTTCTGGCGGATGCTCCAATAAACCTTCAGCGAGTTATTGGAGACGCGAATGGAACCCGCCCAATGGTGATCGTGGACCTGCCAAACTACTGCTGGGACCATTCTACGCCATATTGGTTCGAGACGCAAACTAGCAAGGACTGGAGATTTCGACCGTTTATCCACCATGACTTGCTTGGAAGTAAAGTCCTCGGCACATCCTGGCTCCATCCAACGTTTAAGAAAACCATGGATCTCAGCCATCTCCCATGGTTAAAGGACCATCGAATCGGGACAGACGTCATATTTCCTGCGTCAGGATATATTGCAATGGCAATCGAGGCAATGTACCAGACAGGCTGCATGCGCGAACCAAGCCGCCCATTCCCCTTGCCCAACGAACTTGGCTACCAGTTGCGCAATCTCCGATTCGATGCAGCGCTTGTTTTGGAGGAAGACGTGCAGTGTGAGATATACCTCACGATGAACCCATTACCCGGAGGGAGCGGCAATTGGTCTGAGTTTTCAGTGTCCTCCACTAGGGTGGGTGCCACTACAAGACATGCAACTGGATTAATCCGGCTCCAAGAGCCCATTGTTGACCCAGCAGACGAAGCAGACATTGCGCCATTGCAGCACGCCTCCCCTGGGCATTTATGGACAAAGGCCTGCGCCGAGCTGGGATATCACTATGGCCCAGCATTTCATCTGTTAGAGAAAGTGGAATCGCGTGCTGGGAGGCGAAATGCCCGCTCATTGATCACACTAGCCGACCCTCCTTCCGCTCATGATCCTCAGTCTTTGTATCCAGTTCATCCTGCCGCGTTAGATGGTGTATTCCGGGCCACTATACCTGCAGCTACCGCTGGAGACCGCAGCAGAATGTCCGAAACCCTGATCCCTGCTATGGTCGATGACTTGATTATCAACCCCACCCGTAGACCAACCACGGGCATAGCTGTCGCTTCCAGCTATTACTCTGGGCGTGGGAGAAAAGATACTGACAAAAGCTATCTTGGAAGAACTTCGGTGTATGACCCAACTAGTGGTGCTTTGCTGATTCGAATGACCGGATTATCGAGCCATAAAATTGATCTAGGAGTTGATCCCATGGCTCGACATACCCTCGCTCATGATGTCCTAAAGCCGGATATTTCCACGTTGAATGAGGAGGCTATCAAACAACTTGGAAAAGTGCACAAGAGCATGACTGCATTGCTTCTCAATTTAGCAGTGCATAAGAAGCCCTCTCTGAAGGTTCTTGAGATTGATCTTGGTGCTGGTGAACTCGCTAGCCTGTGGCTTGAGTCCCTAGAGATAGCCGATGGCTTTCAGAATCAATACCGTTACATGGCTTGGGATGCAGCAAGTCTCTCAGAAGTGGAATCCAAATATCGAGAAAAAGGAAACACCTCATTCCATCTCGTCGATGCCAAATGCAGCCGCTTGGGTGTTGAGAAACAGGAGCAATTTGACTTGATAATAGTGAAGGCTGTCTCGCCGTTGCCGAAAACGTCATCCTCGGCCGTACAGGCTGTGAAAGACTTACTCTCGCCTGATGGTTATATCCTGGCCATTGATTATACGGAAGCATGCCATATGACTTGTGGAGGTTGCGCTTTAATTGACGAGATTCAGAATACGGAATTTGCAAGAGTGCTCCCCATTCCATCTGAACGATCGGCAGCCTTCTTATGCACACCACTAGTAGTCCCAGACTGCGCTCCTCAGTCGGAGAATCAACTTCATGTCGTCTATATGAGAGAGGAGAATGTTCTGCCGCCGATAACAAAACAAGCTTTGTCACAGGCTGGATGGCATATTACTGAGCATGGATGTCCGACGCTAAATGTGCCTGCTGGTGGTCTGACCGTAATTATTGATGAGTTTTACTCACCCCTTCTCACACACATTACCGAGGCACAATGGCTGTGCCTCCGCCACCTCATTACAAGCGGCTGTAAGCTTCTCTGGGTAACTCGAGGTGGCCATATTTCCGCCTCTGAGCCTGGTAGCGCGCTAGCTGCGGGGCTCTTCCGCTCAATTCGATCAGAAGATCCCGCTGCCGCACTAATGACACTGGATATACAAAGTCATGAGGGACCAGAGGCATTGGCCTGTCTCCCTGTAGTTCTCCACCAGCTTCAGATGCGCCAGGCTGGTTTGGTGACCGATAATGAATATGTGGAGCAAGATGGTATCCTGCATATCCATCGGGTTGTGCCGTACAGTCCTCTGAACCATGATGTTCAATCGTGGAGAGATCAATATATCCAGACAACACTATCCACTGATGGGCCCATCACACGTCTAGTAGCCGAGGATATCGGTACGTTAGACGGCCTACGCTTCGTCCAAGTCCAAGACGACCCACTCCCTGACAATCATGTTGAGATTGAAATTCAAGCCGCTGGTCTAAATTTCAAAGACGTCGCTGTCACGATGGGTATAGTGCCCGAGAATGAGCATCTACTAGGTCTGGAGGGGTCAGGCATAATTCGTCGGGTTGGACCAAACATTAGTGATAAGACTCTAGTCGGAACTTCTGTCGTCTTCATGGAAAAGGGAGCGTTCGCCAACCGTATTCAAGTCCCGTTAGACTTCACACATCCTATTCCCAACACTATGTCCTTCACCGAGGCAGCTACGATTCCAGTTGCGTTTTGTACGGCGTTCTACTCCTTATTCGATATGGCAGACCTCCAACGCGGACAGTCCGTCTTGATTCACTCAGCTTCCGGGGGTGTTGGCATTGCCTGCATCCAGTTGGCCCAATATGTTGGAGCTGAGGTCTACGTGACTGTTGGGAGTGAGGCAAAGCGACGGTTCCTACATGAAAGATATAAAATCCCTTACAAGCGCATGTTCTCATCCAGATGCTCGAAGTTTGCCACAGAGATCATGAAGGCCACCGATGGAAAGGGAATCGATGTGATCGTGAACTCGATCACGGGGGATTTACTAGATGCCACATGGAGAGTATGTGCTGCTGGGGGCATCCTGGTTGAGCTTGGCAAAAGAGATATGGTAGAGCGCAACAGTCTAGCGATGGAACCTTTCGACCGGGGATGTTCCTTCCGTGCTGTAGACCTGTCACATCCAAAACTGTTGCGAAAATTGCCCAGGTATGTTAACGCAATTCAAATTGAAGTTTCATCTACTCACCCTAGCACCAGCCTCCTTCGCCGTGTCTTCAGTCTTGCGGTTGAGCATCATATTCGGCCTATTGATCCAATTACAACCTTCTCTATTACACAGGCTACCGAAGCATTTTCTTATATGCGGAGTGGAAAGCATATCGGGAAGGTTGTGATTCATGGCATGGCTACGACGGAAAAGCTAACAGCATCTGTACGCCCTCTGCGCGAGGATATAAAATTTAATGCCGGATCTGCCTATCTCATTGTAGGCGGTCTCAAAGGCCTATGTGGTAGCTTAGCCTTACACCTAGCCCAGCGAGGTGCCCGCCATTTGGTGGTGATGTCCCGTGGCGGATGTGCGGATCCTCGTTCACAAGGTGTCATTTCCAATTGTCAATCTCTCGGATGTCATGTACACGTCTGTCGCGGTGATGTCTCACGAATCCTCGACGTGCGACAGGCTTTTATGCGAGCACCCGCTCCCATCAAGGGTATTGTCCAGGGCGTGATGCTCCTGCGTGATCGGCCCTATGAGCTGATGACAATTGACGAGTTCCACGAATCTATTGGGGGAAAGGTGCACGGTACATGGAACCTCCATAATGTCTCCGTCGAAAAGGACCTTCAACTAGACTTCTTCCTCCTACTTTCCAGCATCTCGAGCGTGGTTGGGAGCCCTGGCCAAGCAAACTATGCGGCTGCCAACAGCTTCCTTGACTCTTTCGCCGGTTATCGAAGATCGCTGGGACTTGCCGCCCAGACGATTAACTTGGGTGTGGTGGAAGATGTTGGGGTCGTGGCAGAATCGGATGACTTATCTCGGCGTCTTGAAGGCTCAAAGGAGTTGGTCGGCATCCCCGAACGTGTGCTCCATCGTATGGTAGACTATTCACTCCGGCAGCAGTTTCTTCAGTATACCCGCCAGCAAAATTCGGGGCAATCGGAATTTCCAACCCGACTCATCACTGGACTCGCGGTGCCTCAAGATCCAACTCTATCAGGCCTCCGATTCGATCCTCGCTTCCGTGGACTTTTCACCGGGAGCCCGAATTCCAATGCCAATGCGGGAAAAGGGGGCGACGAGCTCAGTGCCGCACTCCAATCGTTTCACGCCAGCATTCGCTTTGGTGCAGCGGCCGATGAGCTGCACGAGCTGTGTCTAAGCATCCTAGCCACTCGACTGGCGCGGATGTTGCGCTACAGTGCAGAGCAGCACATTGAGCCCGGGCAACCGCTGTCTGTGTATGGGCTGGACTCCCTCTCCATGGTGGAGCTGCGTAATTGGATCAAGGCCCAGATGGGAGCCGAAGTGACGACGTTTGATGTCCTTAACGCCAATAGTTTGATTATGTTGGCGCAGCGTGTGGTAAATAAATTGCGTCGTGAATAGATCATCACCGGATAGCCTCAAGGTAGAATATAAGTGTCAGTACTGCGTGCTCCACAACCCTGGAAAGCGATTATTGATAGCCTGGTGAGTTCGGTCAAAATAATACTGGTTGGATCAAGATAGCAGCCTGAAATATAAGGCTACAATGAAACCATAATTTGATACTTGCACACGGTTCGCATAACATCGTCATTAAGCGCTCCACAGAGTAGGAGAGAGCCAGAATGTCAACAGACATTACTGGTTCAGGTGATCCACTTTCGGGGACTGAACCAAGGGTCTCTCGCATTACTAGTAGACAGTACCACGGTACACCATCCATCGATGACATGTCGGCGCGTGATCCGCTCGATATATATACGATGTCATACGTAACTATAATGAAGCCATCACAACATCCGTCGCCAGATACATTTGACCATCACACCAGCAAGACCATATATAGTGGAACATTATACCTCAAATCAACCAGCTTTCACAATGGCATTCCATCAAAGTGCCTGTGATATTCACCTAGACAATAAATCCGGTGCAACTCGCCTGGTCGCAATTTGCAATAACGATGAAGGCTCCGGTCTGACCAGCGAATTCACCCTTGATGATTGTCTTGGGAACAAAAATGGTACTGTCCCTCCTGAAGCATCTATCTCTATACTCTGGTGAAATATGAATAGGTAATGATTCCGGCAGGTCATTTTGTCTGGGGTGGGCGAGATTTTACTACCAGTGCTCGTGATATCTCAATTTCAAGTGGACGAGGTCAACAACCTGTCCTTCATGCCAACCTTAGGGATCCATCTGGCAAATTTGTGCGGGACAGTATCGATCTAAGTGAGCATATTGGGAATATAGAGGGGGAGCTTATCTTCCGACCATGAAATAATTTTGACATTTATACATTTACGCGTTGGCTCAATATCCGAGCCTACGGATATTGCTACCCTCTGAACTTTTGTTAGGTGGGGACACGCATTTTATATAAGCAATAACCAATTCTATCGAATATGCCCGTGGAATTACCTAGTATCGCAGGCGCCTGACATATGTCGGGTGGATTGACCACCTGCGGAAGTATGTCGAACGTTGGAGACTTATCAGGTCACATATAAAAGGCCTCATAATTCCCACCTAGATAGGCCTTCCCGATAGTCCGATAGGGTTATAAATCTGAGCGCTTTTAATATCATTTCATACGAATACCTTACCGCATATTCTACAATTCCTGCCATTGATAGATATCCAAACGAAACCTTCTTCTGGAATGATTAAAGCAACTTCCCAGGTACGCAATATATGCTGTGTGTCCGATTTATTGCTGTTTCTCCGCCCATCTTCGCAATCTAGTGAGACTGACTGTGCGACTGTTGCGCCACTGTCGGTTGCCACGATGATAAGAAGGCAAAAAGGCGCTGTCTTGAGGCACAGGCCATTGCTCATTGCTAGTGATCTCAGGGCCATTCTAAAGTTCCTAAGACCTGTACTGCCTCCTGGTATGATTCGCTGACCCCCGTGTTTTTCACGCCGATAGCTATAGTGGTACAAATAGCCCGATCTCGGCTTATCTCTGCGTTAGCCTACGTTGTGTAATCATTTCTCGGTGACAGTGTTCAGATTAGAAGAATCCTGGAAAGTGTTGCTACTGGAAACCCTAAGTTGATATTCCAAACGGCACGGGGATATATAATCCAGTACCGGATCGACAGAATAGAGCGAAAATACACAATGTTTTTGCTTTTCCGACTTGCTTCTCGGCATGGTAGTATCGAATACTGTCTAGTTTTTTCTCTTCTCCGCCCTATTATGTGATGGCCCCATCGCATCTAAGTGGAAGTGTACTGTTTGACCTGGGTGTCGCCTACAACGGAAACCATCAGTTTTGAAGTTCTTGTTCTCCGATGGGGATACTTATACCATTGTTAACAGTGTTTCCTAATTTACAAATTTATTGGGTTCCTACTCCTCTCATGCCTTTAATCCATAAGTCCTTGGGTACTATGGGTACTATACATAGCCTCCCCAACTTATAGCCCTGAGCTAAAAATTGATTGCGAACTCTACGCGCGGCTGGAGGATCAAGGTCATATCCACAAGTTGTGAGTACCAGCAGGTTTGGATTTTGATCGACACTATGCAGAATCAGTGGTTTCTCATGCATTAATCCTCATGCATTAATTCTCATGCATTAAATACCTCCTAATCGCAGCACATTTACCTAAAGAGCATAACTGTTGTTCGTAGGGTACAAATTCTGTCAAAAACAAGACCAGCACATGGTACGAGAACAACATCGTCTGTGGTGCTGCGCACCAGGCGAGCAACTAATCATGACGACTATGGCCCTCCTTTTCCCATTTCTTCAGAACTATTACGGTCGTTTTTCGACCTCACTACCCCCGGATTCTCGGCATGTATCTGCTCTGCAAGCTTCCCCTTAGAAGTAAACTGGCCTTTCTTTGGGGTGTCAGCCTTTTTTTTTTTTTTTTTTTTTTTGGTTAAAAAGAGAGATACAACTGGACAGGCTTACTTCGCCAGAGACTCCGCCAGAGACCTGTGGCTCGGTGCGCGCGACATCCGGGCCAACCTGACCTTGGTGTTGCCTAATGTGCGTATGGGAGGCCATGATTTGGAGGATAGCGTCAAAACGAAGCACGCAACAAGCTCGGGTGAATCCAAAAGTTTTCGTATAAGCGTTAGACTGACTGACCTATCAGATCTGACTTATGACAATAGTCGCTGAGGTGTAAAAAGAGTAAAGGTTCGCGATCTGTTCCTTTTATAAAGCCCGAATATGGTCCGATGAGGTCACTATGATCCGCCTATGACCTATGTAGAAGCTCCTAACACTGGGTTTTGCTGATAAATTGTGGATGATATATGCCAAGGGATACGGAATATCTGTCTTGCAAATCGGCCTTTATTTAGTGAGGTGGCTTTGTTGTTGCCTTTGTCATGTCACACTGCGGGTCATTAATGGGATACGGATCCCCGAGGAAAATCAGTCCGCCTGAGGCCCTCCCATGATAGATACACCATTATGTTTGTAATTCTCCCTGTAAGGATATTGCTTCAAGATCTATCTGCTGACTAGTTCACGAATTAGGCTGTTTATTTAATAATCCCGAAGCCCCTCCCCTCAATCTGCACCATATAACCCCAAATGTCCTGAAATGACGAACAAGATCCTTCATTTGATTCGCCCGGAGCGGACCGGGTCGTCAGGTGGAAAGGGTGCCAACTGGCTAGAACGACGTGCGGACGGAGACATGGAAATTGCAACCACCGCCATTCTAACAGATGGCGACAGTTTTATCCAGATTAGAATATCCCGCCCAAGTATCCCCAAGTCAAGCTCCCGGACTCTGTTATCACTTACACTCAGCATGCCGATTGCCAAACACCATCTTTCCGGCCACCCAGACGCCCTTCACGTTCCGATCATCCCCATTCCACACCCACTTGTGAATCTTCTCCTCCCACTTCTCCCACCCAAATATATCAATGTGGCCCTTTCCATTGGCATACTTGCCCGCGGGGGAAAAAGCGCCAAGCTGGATGAGTTGTGCATCCCATGACATTCCAATGTCAAAACCCCCTAGCTCATTTGCCATATTCACAGCAGCTGCACCGCCGCGTGTAGCAAGATATAAGGCCTCTTCCACGCTGAGGACCGGATTATAGCATTTCCTCGACCTGCGATCTTCACACTGATCCGCGCTAGACTCAGCAGGAGTATTCTCCCCGCTACTGCTTTCGGAAGGCTCATCGTTGCTACGCTCACATTGGCAGCGGTCGCAATTGTCTCTGCATTCCTCGGCAGGAAGTAACCGGGACACTAGACAGGCTTGTCGAACTACTTCCAAGATACTGGGACTGTATCCACCACTAACGTCAGTCCCTAACCCGACTGTGATTCCGCTGTCAAGGACCTTGCGGACTGGGCAAATCCCCGATGTCAGGGCTGAGTTCGAAGTGGGGCAGTGGGCGATTTTCGCCCCTCTCTCATGTATGAGTTTGTGTTCGGATGAGCTCAAATGGACACCATGAGCCAGAATCGTCCGCGGTGTGAGGAGGCCAAATTTGTCGTAGACTCTTGCATACTTCATTTTATACATGGACTCGACGTCCTTAACTTCCTGTTTATTTTCTGCGATGTGAGTCTGAATGAAGAGGTTTGGACTTGAGTCGTTGGCTAGCCTGCTTAGGTTGGTCAATGCCTTCTCAGTGCAGGATAGTGCGAAGCGCGGGGTGACGACTGCTTTCACCAATATTCCGTGCGGGTCGATGGACCGAATATGGGCGATCACGTCTCGCGTCAGCTTGACAGATTCCTCCGCGGAGCAATCTCGATAGTAGTCTGGGCATTTCTCCTTCCTATCCATACACACGCGACCGATAAGGGCCCGCTGGCCGCGCTTTTGGCAAACTGTCGCAAGTAAATTAGTGGCTGGCACGTGGATGGTCCCGTAGTAGGAGGCAAAGGTCGTGCCATGCGCGAGTGTTCGCGAGACGACTTGATTGTAGACCATATATGCCCGTGGAGGAGCACTGGACTGGGAGCCGCCAAAAGATGCCTCCATCGGGAAGACATACGTGCTCAGCCAGTTGAGGAGAGTGCTAGAACCGAAGATACCGCAGTTGGGATATTGTGGGGCATGGATATGAGTGTCTCAATTCAGTCAGCATCCTCCGGAGAAAAAGAAACTCTGGGTCATTTCTATGGAGAGTGCACAAAGGAGATCAGAACCTACCGATGAATCCTGGAAAGAAAAACTCATTTTGTTCCTCCCTTGCCCGGATAATCGTCACACTTGTCTTAGATTTGCAACAGAACTCATCTTCTGATATCACCCAGCCTTTGGCCCTCAAAAATAGGCTTAAATCATCTTCATTGAAGATGCTCCAGTCGGAACCTTTGATTCGGCCATCAGCGGTAGAGACCCATAAGGCTCCCTGGCGTATTTCGAGCGCTTTGGACGCCTTGGGGGACGTTCGAGGTAGGTGGACGAATGTTCCGACAAAAAGGAGGAATGTGGGAGCCATGCTTGTATAGCTTTTAGTAAGGAAGGCTAAGGGAGCAGTGGGTTTGACAAATGAAGAGGCGGGAATGAACCGCAAACTAACTCGGTGGCATGCGCTCGATTATATGCAAGTATACAGAACGTGAAAGCGGTACCCTCATATCACCTTGATTAAAATATTCCTTTACAATCCGAAGAGCAGGATCGAGATTTGAACGGAGCATCCTTTATAGCGATCCTTTGCATAGGTCACAACAGAGTCCTGGAGAAAGACTGGAAGTTAATGACGCCAGTGAAAGCTAAATCTTAAGCATCATGACGTCGATTATAACAACGCGCAGCAAGCAAAGAACACAATTTATTTTGTGACTTTCGCTAGGGTTACATTGTCTGGGGTTACATTCCTAATCCAGAATGATATCAGCATTCTTCACTACTTCGGTCTCGCAGGTATCAGCCAGCTATGTAGGCATCATGCAGGGGTATTCCGACGCCTACAATGCTTATCACAAACGATGTAACACCTCCGTCTAAGGTAGGCTTACGCTTAAAATTATAGACAATCCCGGCTCGTGGGTTGTTAGGTCTAGTTCAGTGGCAGTCAAGCGCTGCAGTATATGGTGGGAAGTAGATTGCATGATACCAGTGCTGACTACTTGATTTCTCAAATAAGCTGACTGTTGGGCAGAGATATGTCTATCAGGATCGGGATAGAGCGAGCGTCGGCATAAATAGAACGGAGAATGGGGGAATCCTACTCTCCCTAGGGGTTAGGCGAATGAAGGTGTGATTGATTGAAGTAGGGCCAACAGCGTATCCATTTAAAGCATACTGTAGTATTAATGGCATTCTGCGTAACGTGGCTAGCCTCCTGGATCCCAAGTGCGCGTATCTTCTATTGTTGGGGGCCATCAGATATGCACACTGAAGTGTCGGAGACCCGAAAAGAATTACGAGTGGTAGCAGCAACGACGAGATACTGCCCCTCTTAGAAAAGCTACTTATACACCTTCCCCTGAAATATTCTGCCGAAAGGGTCATGTTCTGGTGTATTCTGTTACAGATAGATTAACGCTCCTAAAATGTCAGTAGGGAGAAGGCCTTCCCAATAGACGTAGCACTCTAATGTTTTGTGTGCCCATCGACTATTCCAGAAGCCTAAAATCTATATATTATACTTCAAAGTGGACCGAGTCCCTGCAATACCCGGCCTGAACCCGATTATCGAGTTTAGAGATCAGAACCTGGCCGATTTCAGGAAACCTAAGCAAGTTCTTGGCAGTATTATATAACTAAAGAATCATGATTTTTCTTGATTTTTCTATATAGATCTAATTCTTCATCCACTCCACTTAGAGCTACTGCTGCATAGATAACGGTGTATATGTGGCGACTCAAACCGTTAACCAGATGGCATGCCGTGGTGTATGAATCCCACTATGAATTATAATGTAAGCGAACAAAACAGGTCTGGTGAGACGATACCTAGCTAATGATTATGCAGAGTTTCCGAGCGATTCATTAAGCCCTGATATATAGTGCTAAACGCCAACAAATCCCTTCTCACAGCTCCCGAGAATGGGACTAGGGTCAAGTAGAATAGTCTCATGTCTAATACTGCAAATTGTGCAACAATGAATTGAAGGGCCAAAGCAAAGTCTTGTTGTCGTACCTGTAAGTAAACGAATCCTAGCTCTGAGCTTAGCATATAAGCATAGCATGCTGCGTGCTCCTTTCCCAAACATTCCAAGCTTTAGGTTGGATGACGAGCAAGGATTCGCCGTTCAGCACTACAACCAGTTATCCGCTATCTTCAGCCATTTCTCCTGATCCCGACCTGCGAATCGGTACATGTTGCTGTAATCCTTTGCCTAATATCAGTATGTTTAGAAGTGGCCCGTGGTCAGGATGCCATGGGCCGAGCTCATCTACGGAGCGGGTAAAGCTTCTTCATTACAATAAGACAATTATCGTGGTTTTGATCGGTAATCTCATTGATTGGTGAAACCATCTTTGACTTATGCACTCTGGTCTTCATCTCTATCCTTGTCCAAATAATTGAGATCTTGAAGCGTGCCTTTGTATGCCTCCAATCTCACGTCCGTGTATTACACCCAAAGATTTGCTTTTCCTACTGATATAGGAATCATCCATCCTCTCTATTATACGGCCATCAAATAACGAGCTCCGCGAAAACGACGACGCGCCATCAAATTATAGCGATTCCTGGAACACCGGGAAGGATACCCCGCAAGACAAAGGAGGATTATTACCGGTCCCCATACAGAGCAGCTCACTTACCAAAAAAATATTATACTAGTATGAAGAGAACTAAGATATCCCCATCATAATTACGCAGGTTGGGAGCAGATAAAGACAGTATCTCAAGTATCTTCGCAGACTGCTTGACCTTTTCCTTGCTGTGGAAGCTTTCATCCCTTCCTTCCCCATTTTAAATATTTAGAGTTGTTGATCGTTTACGCCTACATTGTAGCATTGCAACTATATTCGAGTTTAGCTCTTGCGAGCTGAGTCGTTTGAATTATACTATATATAAAAAATGACCATTCAAGTACTGATTGGAGCGTTTTCCGAATACAAATCAATGACAGACCCTCCCAACAGCTGTTCTGCCGGCGATTGTAATCGAATCCAGTTGAGGATACTTTCCACGCAATGCTTCTGATGGTGCTCAGCATCATATCTACTCTCCATTCTTAGCTTCGTATATCTTGACCTATACAATTTCCTCCATAGATAAAGACAGTGGGTATGATGCCAATCCACTGTCGTTGTCACAGCAGACCGGTTGATGTGCTTCACACCCACCACTTGCGCCATCATCGAAACTTGCGACAGATCGAGCTTCCTTTCTGGATTTGGCCAAGTGTAAAACTCCCATGAATGATTATGTGCTTTTCCCAGTTCCTCAAATTCCCTTATGAGCTCATCATCGCGGCAGTTGTCCGGAAGCCAGGCCAACGCGAAGGGATCAAATTTACACCCGCGGGTGATGGCCTCTTCTGGAGACTGGCCGCACGAACATGGCAAATGTGCTCGCTTCAGGGTCGGAAGATGGGACCATAGGAGAGTGGCTAAGTTTAACAAGCCATACAGCGCAAGGAGGAATACAATTGTATCTCGAATGCGGGGTCGCCAGCGATGGGAGTTGTGATCTTCCCCATGCTCGGGGGTTTGGTTCAGATCGATCTGTTCCAATGGATGATATTGTGCCATATGTGCAGATGTGCTCGTGTGTGGTAAGAGGCAAATATCGGATACAAGAGCAGTTAGCGATGCTAAAAAGGCCTAATCACCTCATTCTATACTTACAGGGCGAGCTTCCAGCCTAATGTCTCCGGTCTCTCTTGATAGATGGCGAACGGAGGATCTCTTTTTAGCTGGTGATAACAATTCCTGCTACTGCATACTAGTGCCAGTACAAAAAAGAAAAAAAAAAAAAAAAAAAGATAGAAAGCATAACTGTTGTAGTGGGGTCTAGAGTCCAAACGTGTCACGCGATTTATTGTATCTTATTCGTATCTAGGAAGACTAGAAGGATTGCAGCAGGCGGGGTAAAAGATAGCGCTGCTACAGTAGTATCGTGGAATCTCTCATTGCTCTACACTAGCCTTAGGCTAATCTTGATCTGTGCTTAGCGAAAAACTAAGTAGACTGAAAGGTCTCACTGAAATGGTCGAGACCTTCCTTCCCCAGACAATTCCCGAATTCCTTCTGGAACTCTATTAATCAAAGCCCACTGCTCATCCGTAACATTGACCTGATGATCCAACTTCCACTGGATTATGCTATCGTGGTCCCGGCATTTGTGGTCAATACTAAAGTCAGCCATGGGACCCCTAACGCCCTCAACCTTATTAAATGTGATAACCCCCACGTCAGCGTGGCACAGAATGAACTGCAGTAGAATGTATTGGCAGTGTAAATCGTGCCCACCACGAGTAAAATGGACTTTTCCGGGCACAGAACGAGACTTGGAACCCATATGGTTCCCAGTGTGGTTGAAATAATAGTCTGGATAGGCGGCCTGTCTCAGCGCATTCAGGCAGTGGAGGTGATGTGAAACATCCAAAAGGCCCATATAGGCCTCATCGCCGTAGCCATATTCCAGCGGAAATCGCCATTGTTCTGCTGGGTCCCGTCCCATGCTAACGATCTCCTGCCTCGTTAGAGTAATTGCATGCGTGTCGGATATTCGCTCCCATGCTTCGTCTACCTCGGGACTGGGAGGCATTTGGAAGATTGAAGGGGGTTGTTCGGCGAAAAAGGAGCCATGTGTACGAACTTCTGTGAGCGAAATGGGGATTTTGTCTAAGATGGGCGCTGTACTTCTGGTTAACAACTTACTACAGTCATTATCAAGCAAGGCAAGGGGTGTAGATCTAAGGGATATGTAATGCAGACGAAACAAGCACGTACAGTAAGAAGAAGTCTTTTTCAGAAGATTATTATCGATATTATGAGATAAATCCTGCGCGTGCATGATGGATCCCATGAGAATCAAAACTGACAGGCAGAAAAAAATCATGTTGAGCAACAGAAAACCACCAGGGATAGAGAATATTCGAATACCGCATATTTGAGAGGCTTCCGTAGCGGCATATCCAGTCGAGTGTAAAGAATCAGAATTCAATGATTTTACGACGTCTTCCCCATTAGCCAAATGTTGATAGCTATAAGGCTGTGGCGATGGCATTTTGACATGAAGGCCAAAGTACATAAAAGAGAAGAGGAAAATCCGAAAAATCCAATAGAGGATGCAACGGAGAAAAGAGTCCTGGTTTATTAAACAAAGGCTTACACCTTCAGAGGCATGCGATTATTGGCAGAATACTGTTAAAGTACTTGCATCAATAGCCGTTGTTAGCTTCACACCGAGTTATGGCTTTATGGCTGAATATTTCTTACCAGGCCCTAATATCTATCTCTACAACTTCAGGGTTTCATCCGGTATAAGGTGCCGGATCTGGTCACATGGCGTGCGAGCTCGTATTTTTAGACGTTCGCGTCATGAAGACTGGACATTGTGTGGAAGCAACTCAAGAGGGGGCGTAGTCCTTATACGACCTTAGACAATATTCTCGAGAGCAAGTGTCTTACCTATTACGTACACATGCATTGATATTGGCCTGCATTGAGTCGCTCAGAGCATAAATAGTCTCTCTCAGCCCCTGATAATGTCTCTTTATCCCGCTGCAGGTTATCAACGCTTTGCTGAGTCGACATCACCGCCTTCCTCTCACTGTTCGTCCAGATTGTAATCCAAGAGACCCGTCTTCACCCAAAATGCAGCTCTCCTATCTTCTTATCTACTTTGCTGCTTGCATTAGCTCCACTGTTGCTCTTCCCACCGAAGGTGTCGTTGAACCGGAGGGCTACACTGGTGCTGGTGGTAAGGAGACACTTTGTATAGATACATCTATTTCAAACCTCTGTTAATATCAATATTATAGGTGTAGCTATCCTGAATGGTATCGAGCTGCCCGCTTCTAAGCGTGACGAGCTGGAGCTGGAGGGCTATACAGGTGCCGGGGGTAAGCAGTACAATATAGTCAGTCTGATCATTTGCTAATAGGGACACTACAGGTGTCGCCATCCTCAATGGTGTTGACCTTCCCACCAGTGATTAGAAGCTTAATGATGTGAAGCAATGAGTTACAATATGTCAAAGCTATAAGCCAAATGGTACATATGAATAGAATCTAAATATTATATTGATGAGTGAAGTAATACACAGCGACGTCTATCTGAGTCTCGTAAGCGGACTTCGAGAAAAATCAGATAGCGTAGGGTTAATATCTTTTCGGAAGCTACCTGCTCCTGCTATACGGAAGCCCCTCCTGAAGCCCTCAGTTTCTACATTCTGTTCGCGTATCCGCGGTGCCAGGTGAGAATAACCCTTCTCCTGGCCAAACGCTTTGTACACACGCTTGAAGGAGAGTTTGGACCCCATTCTGCAATCATGTTCCAAGGGCTGGGGCATCTGCGACTCTTCTCTACGACCATGTTTAGCGTTTTCTAACGTAGAGAGCATGATGGGGGGCCGAGCTTACCCAGGATAGCACAATACAACCAATATGATTTGTTTGGGGAAGAGCGAAAACCCTGAGCCATAATGGGTAAAAAATATGAGTCGGGTTCCAGTTCTCTGTTACAATCATTGTCTAAAATAACCCCACTTCACAATCACCGCATCCCCATATCCCCCGTATCTATAGTTTTTGCAGTAGCTGGACATTCTTCTGTGCTAACCCGTCCGACCGTGTGCCACAAATGATTGGTGGCCCCTTCGTAACAAAGGATCGATCGACCAGTGCAGGATTCACCATTGATAACGGATATGCTTGATGCCACTTTTCTGCGCAACGCGCAAATCCACTCCCATACGCTGGGAAGTCATCGAGAAATTTCAAACGGCTAAGAAAAAGGACAGAGCAATCAGAATTATTTCCTACACAGCGTCGAACTGCTGCGATAAAGGTGCATCCACACCTCACCTTACGGTCTTACTTCTAGTCCCTAGTGTGTGGTGCATCGAGGGGCTGCCAGCTCGGCGTGGTCTAAAAAAACCTCGGCGTGGTCTAAAATTCTGCCACCTCCACTACCGCCTTTTTAGACCACGATGAGCCTTTTCTTGGCATATGCTCAGCGTGGTTTAAAACTAAAATATAACTAAATTTTAGACCATGTTAAACCCCTTCACTAAAGCTTGACCACGCTGACCTTTTTGGCTTAGTGCCAGTCCCTCAGTCAGGGCATATACTGAGCATATGCCCAAAATATAAACCTGTGAGATATCATTTACTGCATTATCAATATATATAATTAATATTCGCTAATTATATCAATAACACAAGTAGAATTTACAATATATTATTGTTGGAAATCTAGGGTATTGATAGCCTAGATATCCTTAGGCATGTGATCAGGGGAATTAATCAAGAGATAAGATAGATAATAGATAGATAGATATCGGGTAAAACCCATAGAATAAATTGACTAGATAGGCATGACTATAGAATAATAGAATGAGATTGACTAAACTGCTTCAATCTGATCAATCTGAATCAAATCTAAATCAATCTGGTCTGTAGAATGGATGGAAATGTAGGTCTATTTATGTTGAATAGATGTAGACCTTAGGCCTGCAACTAGACTTGTTAGGCCCGCGGGTTGGGCCGGGTTTTTCAGGTTTTGCAACCCAGCCCGTTGGGTTTGGGCCGGGTCAAGATTGTATACAAACCATCCATGGGTCAAAATATATATATATAAACCACCCGCGGGGGCCCACAGCTGTAGATCCTTTCCTAGTAAAGTAATGATTTACATTCTTGATAGAATACAGTCTCTTAATACTGTAATTTAATTATATTACTATAGATAAATAATATATTTACTGTATTTTATCTCTTGGCAACCCGCGGGTTAACCTGTTAACCCATGGGCTGGAGTAGTCAATAACCCGGCCCGGTATGGACTTTTATATACACAAACCCAGCCCATTTCTTGGCGGGTTGGGCCGGGTTGGGCCGGGTTTCGTGGGCTGGGCCTAACAAGTCTACCTGCAACATATGATAAAAATAGCATCTCAAGAATGAGATAGAAATGTATAGAAATGTATAGAATGGTTGGGATTGCATGATATATTATCACATGATGTTGGATCACATGATCTTCCGTTCAACAATTATAAATAATTTACTATCTAATTAAGTAATTAAAATATTGGCTATATTTATACTTATTTTTTAGTTAATAAATCTAATCTTTCTTCTTCTCTTTCTTCTTCTCTCTTCAAACTCCTCTTTTTCAGGAATTCTATTAGGGCTATTACTTATCTATTATAGTAATTAAGCCCTAGTATATATACTTAGCGTGTGTTGGGTGCTTCTGATTATGGTGTGGAATGATTGATTTCTTCAAGCTGCAGGAGCGGGATGTTGCTAAGTTCTACATATAAAGCGGTGAAAGGGGCGGTACAGCAAGGTAGGCAGAAAGGAACGGGAGCGACAGCGAAGCGATAGAACACAACAGCGTGGTCTAGAAATCTTCTAAGAGTCTTATCATTGTCTAAGAACACTGACTAATCACTTAGACCATGATGAGCCTTTTCTTGGCATAGGCTCAGCGTGGTCTAAAAAGGGCGGTGAATCTCGGGGCAGAATTTCAGACCACGCCGAGGTTTTTTTAGACCACGCTGAGCTGGCACCCGGTGCATCGAGCCCTCACTGTTTTTATTCGCCCGCTGATTGGCTGACCTGGGGATATTTCGGGCGTGTGTACTCCAGCAGTGAGTCCATGGGATTATCTATTTGCCTGATACAGAGCAGAAAGTGATCAACCGCATTTGTTGTCGCGTTTCCATAGACATTGCTAACGTTCTTGACCGTGCCCTGGTGAATTCCAGTATACACCCCTGTCAGACTGGCCGTCCATATCCAGATGCTATGGAGCTGTCTGGTCCGCGAGGTATTGCTTGCTGGGATTCTATTGCAATTCACAGTCTTCTCATTCCATGTCAGGACCTTACCATTTTTGTAGAAGAGTTGAGAAAGATTTGCGTGATCACATGATCGTAATCTATCCCATCTGAGAAATAGAGCCTAATATCCACGCTTTTGTCGAGATTAGGGGCAGCCGTAGAGCGGATAGGGGCATTGTGACTGGGTGTAGACTTAGTAATTATGGGCCGGCGCTTGGTGAAATGGTACTGGGGACGTAGGTGCGGAAGGCATAGGTATCCGGCTTGTTCAGGCTAAGCTTGACAGGGCTATCAGTTAATTTTGACTTTAGTACTAGAAGGAAAAGGAGAAATCAGAGCGGACTTATTGTCTTTGCAGTCAAGCTTGCAGTCAATCGCACGGTTGGTGTTGCAGTAGCCAATCTGATAGTATACGGAATTTATTCCGTATATAAAGCTCTTTTGTTTACGACTGAGCCTCGATTCAAAACAAGTGCCATCCGCCGGTGTAAATAAGTATGAGCTGGCCCATTGTTATAGGTATGCACAAGGGTTCCATTTAGGCAGAAGTTACGCTTCCAGAACCATAACAAGTCCTGGGGCTCGAGAGAAGCAGATATCTGTGATTACAGGTTCATGTCAATTTAGGCTTACAACCAGGTGACCATATCAACATCCTCCCCGAGGATCTCCCGGCTACCGTTTCTCCAGTCCTTGCTCAGTTCCATCTTGCACCGGACCATCGAATCACGGTAAACTCACCCAATTAGACCGGTCTTCCAGAGGCCACACCCCTATCCACAACTTAAGTCTTTGGCTCTTATCGGGAGTTATCCCAACCCGCAACTCGGAGCGTATGTAGAAATTGATTCCCTGCTCCGCGATTGTCAGCTGACGAGAGGTCTCCTGAATCTCAAAAATCTTGCTTCCTTAGCAAAGTTTAAAGCAGACAAACATGAGATCCTCCAACTGTATGCTTCTTACGATGCAATGGTGCGGGACGTGCGTGCCTCGATATTAGACACGCTGAAGCGTTTCCAGTCAACCTCGCTATCAGTCAGCGCGTTTATTTCTATGCTGCCAACTATACATGTTCGTACGTATTCGCTATCGATGGAATCTCCATTGAGGCTTTCATATGCGTCCCTGACATTCACCGTTGACAATGAACCATCTCGGAGCGGTAAGGGGCCATCGTCTGGGAGTCCGTTCAAAGTCTATTCCCCCTTACGGAGGGATCCATCTTATACATTTCTTCATGGCCGGCTAAGGAAGCATTTCATTTACCCGAGGATCAGACCTTCAATCCCATCATCATGGTTTGTGCAGGTAGTGGCCTCGCTCCTTTCCACAGCTTCGTACAGGCCCGCATGACCTGACTGCAACAAGGAAACCCCCTAGCCAAGGGGTTGTTGTTCTTTAGATGTTGGGGTTCACATTTAGATTATACTTTTCAAGAGGAACTACCGGACTACGAAGCTGCAGGTGTTATAAAAGTTCGACTGGCGTAGAGGTTTTTTCTGATCATCTACGGGCCAAAGGGTCTAGATATATCCAAAATCATTTGCTTGTTGAGTCTCACGACGTCTGGCCCCTCTGGGACCAAGATACCGTCATATATGTTTGTGGTTCGCACAATATGGCTGATGGCGTCCGCTCAGTATTGATGAACATGTTGGGTGCACTACCGGACAAGCGCTGTGCTACAGAAACCTTCTAGACATCAGTCTCCTCCGGATCCCGGGGTTATGGGTTTCAATTTCGGGTATCTTCTTGCATAGTTTAGGCTCGGGCACGCGTTATTCACCTTATTATCAGTTACTATAAAATTCAATAGGTACAAGTTATCTTCTGCACTGCCTCTTGCAAAGTCAAATGTTGTATCCTCCAAATCGTTCCCTTTGGAATGTGCAACTGACTTGATAAGCTAAATTCATACTATCCGTCCAGCTGCTTTCGTCGGTTCAAAATGAAATTGGTTGCCTATCCTGTAGCTTGCCTAACCCATGGTCATGGTACTAAATGCGAGACAGAACGCGTCACATATACTGGATCATGTTTCAAAGGAAGGCTCTCCACTTTAAGAACGACCATTGCGCTCTTGGTTGGTCTCCACCGTGAATCAGGCTATCGTAATTATATTGGATCCTGAATCTAGAAGAGGCACGCATGGTATAGGCACCGCAAGCCTTTCCGCTGTAGTGAGCGAACAATATGACATGTTTGACTCTATAGTTCAAAGGAGTGACTGGTTTTTAAAACCCGGACATTTCAGTGAGCACATGTCTCGGCTAATTGTAGCCACTATTATCTGATCAAATTGATAGTGGACTATAATATTATAAGAAGCATGTAGGTCTTTTCTATTACATCTAAATCCAGGATATTAATCGAGATTAATATTCTTTTTCTTTCCCACTCTTTCGTTTATAGGACTCCAAAAAAGGCCCAGTAAAAGTTTGCTATGTGCTAATTGATTACACTAAAGACTATACTGTAGCAAGAGCGTCTAGGTGTGCTGAGCTTTCGAACTATCCAAGAGAAGCAATCCAACCGATTTTGAACTAAGGAAGTCTCAACAGTGGGACTAACAGATAAGTTCGGATGTTAGTATTTCCTCAACGCACACCCTATATTATGCGGGATTAACGAACGATTTTGCTGGCGAGGTGCCTGTGCCACTAACATACTAACTTGAAAGAACGCCGAACCAATCTATTGGGCATAATGGATCGACTCGGTGCTCGGCTCTTGGCGTTAATAGGGGGATTGCCATCCGACAACGGGCTTGTTTCTATATACTAATGTAGAAGACCACCGTCTATTGACTTAATCCTGGTTTAATCCTGGGAAATGATTGTGGTATTATGTTCTCTATATTGACTATATAAGACTTGACATTACCCGCAAGGAGTACGCACCTATACATGCATTAATATAGGGTTACTCCAAGTAAATTATTTTATCAAGTTCAATAGACAAGGAGATGGTTTGCCGCCAGACCCTTTCAAGCATGCAAAACGATAGTTGTCCTGTGCAACTCGGACCATGTCCAACCCGCAGTTTCTCCACGGAGGATGCTGACAAGGAAAACATATCGAGCGACGAGATTAGAGATACTGCAATCTCTGAGATCGCTCGAAATATTAGCCGCAGCTCAACAATTGGCGCCGCCGATGCGAGGACTGTATTCAATCCAGTCCCTGGCAGCAAACTTGACCCCCATTCCCCCTCATTCGACCCGACCGCCTGGGTAAAGTCTTTCAAGGCTCTACTTGAAGGCCAAGAAGACAGAGTCTGTCCCAGGCGAGACGCTATCTCATTTCACAATCTTAGCGTTTCAGGACATAGTGTTGGGACAGCATACCAGAACACCACGGGGAATATTTTCCTGACCGCTCTGTCGTCGCTCGCCATGTTATTCAGCAACAACCGGAAGAAAAGCAAAACCGAAATCCTCCGTGAATTCGATGGCATTGTGAGCCATGGAGAGATGCTTCTTGTCCTGGGGCCCCCAGGATCTGGATGTTCCACGTTGTTGAAAACGTTAGCTGGCCAAACGAATGGATTGAACGTCTCCCGCGAATCGTATCTGAGTTACCGAGGTGAGGGGAATTTTTTGATGGATCTCTTTCTGTACTAACACGCCCTCACAGGAATGCCAGCGAAGGAGATGTATCACTCGTTCCGCGATGATATTTTATACAATGCTGAACTGGACGTTCACCTTCCTCATCTGACTGTGGGGGAGACATTGACGTTCGCAGCTCGTGCAAAGGTAGGGATGCATATTCTGGGAGGATTTAGCCCAACTCAAATAAGCAATACTATCCGGGATGTAGTGATGGCTATTTTTGGGATAGCACATACGAAGAACACCAGGGTGGGCGATGAATACGTTCGAGGTGTCAGTGGTGGTGAGCGCAAACGAGTCAGCATTGCTGAGGCTGCCTTGACTGGAGCTAGGTTCCAATGCTGGGATAATTCCACCCGTGGATTGGACAGTCGCAACGCCATCCACTTCTGCAAGACCCTCCGTGTTCAAGCAGATTACATGGATGTGGCCTCCGCGGTGGCTCTTTATCAGGCACCACAGGAGGCGTATGAGGTGAGAAGGGCTTATACAATTTCCTACAATGACGGGCTGACAATGTCAGCTTTTTGACAGGGTGACCGTGCTCTATGACGGATTGCAGATTTTCTATGGGCGGGTGGAAATGGCTAAGAAGTACTTTGAGGAGCTTGGATTTGAGTGTAAGCCGCATTCAACTTGGTGAAGCTCTGAGAACTGGAAGCCTAAATAACCTGCACAGGTCCCGAGAGGCAAACAACGCCCGATTTCCTAACTTCCATGACAAGCGCACAGGAGCGCAGGGTCAAGCCAGGTTACGAGCATAAGGCTCCGCGGAGTCCAGAAGAATTTGCCTCTAGATGGAGAGAGAGCGAGCAGCGCCTGAGCCTGCTGAAGGAAATAGAGGAGAATAAAGTCGGCTATGGTGAAGTCCAACATCTGAAAAACCAGAGAAAGAACAGCTCAACCAATTCTGGGGCGAATCACAAGTACAGGTCTCCTTATACCTTGCCCTACTGGCGCCAGACCGAGCTTTGCCTCTGGCGCGGTTGGAGACGACTATTGGCAGATCCGGAGTTCACAATTGCTCAGCTCTTGTTCAACTTCATCGTTAGTCTCGTACTGGGGTCTATGTTCTATAACATGAGGGCAGACACGTCGAGCTTCTATTATAGGGGCGGAGTGATATTCTTTGCCCTCCTCTTCAACGCCTTTGCAAGCCAACTGGAAGTAAGACGCGCAGTGTAGGACATATGAAATATAAGGACTGACTTGAGCTCAATATAGGTCCTTACACTCTACGCCGAACGGCCAACCGTCGAAAAGCACAATCGTTATGCATTCTATCGACAGTCTGCCCAGGCGACCGCGAGCTTTTTGATTGACATCCCATACAAGACAGTGAACATGATCATATTCAACGTGATCGTTTACTTCATGGCTAACCTCCGACGGGAAGCTGGTTCCTTCTTCTTCTTCTGTTTAACTACATACCTCACCACTTTGACCATGTCCTCGGTGTATCGCACTCTCGCATGCGTGACGCGCACTTCCCATCAAGCGATGGTTCCCAGCTCTATACTTACCCTTGGGGTGATGATTTATACGGGATTTACTATACCTACGTCATATATGCCACGATGGTCTCGCTGGATGAACTATATCAACCCACTAGCTTATGCATTTGAATCGCTGATGGCAAACGAGTTTCATGGACGGGGTTTCCCATGCGCTAAGATAGTCCCCTCAGGGCCCGCATATGACGATGTGGCCGTCGACAATTGGATTTGTGCATCAGTGGGAGCTAGGCCAGGTTCCCATGTCGTCGATGGGGATGATTACATCAACATTTCGTTTGGCTACTGGAATTCTCATAAATGGAGGTAGGCTGCCCCGATATGCGCAAACCAATATATCACGTTAGAACCAAACGCTGACATGCGCGCAGAAACGTAGGGATCCTTTTTGCATTTCTCGTAGGCTTCTTCGCGTTATATACCATTTCCGCGGAGTGTGCTCGTCCCCCGGAGAGTAAGGGGGAAGTATTAGTTTTTCGGAGAAGGCGGATGCCACGCACTCCTCAGAGCGCCGACCTTGAATCAAGACCTAAACTGCAGCCGCTACTTGAAAAGGCACAGGGAAGAACTATTATCAAGGATGGCGCGGACCTAGGAGCTGTCTTCCACTGGGAAGATCTATGCTATGATATCAAGATCAAGGGGGAGGACCGCCGGATTCTGGACCATGTTGATGGCTGGGTGCGACCAGGGACGTCAACAGCACTTATGGTAGGTACTGGGATGAAGTACGTATCCATGGCCGAGACTAATACCCGCATAGGGCTCATCTGGCGCCGGGAAGACAACACTTCTAGATATCCTGGCGAGCCGAGTAACGGTAGGAGTAGTGTCGGGTGACATACTTGTGGACGGCATTCGGACTGATGCATCCTTTGCTCACCATATTGGATATGTACAGCAGCAGGACCTTCATCTCAGCACAACAACTGTCCGCGAAGCTTTGGAGTTTAGTGCTCTGCTCCGTCAATCAGCCAGCATACCGCGCCAAGAGAAGCTAGCCTACGTCGAGGAAGTAATCAAAACCCTAGAGATGGACGAATTCGCGGATGCGATTGTTGGCATTTCAGGAGAAGGCCTTAATGTGGAACAGCGCAAGCGACTTACCATTGGTGTTGAGCTCGCTGCAAGGCCAGAACTTCTTGTGTTCTTAGATGAACCTACTTCCGGTCTAGATTCCCAAACGTCGTGGGCGATTTGTGACCTAATCGAGAAGCTGGTTAAGAGTGGCCAGGCCGTTCTCTGCACTATCCATCAACCCTCCGCAATACTATTTCAGAGATTCGACCGCCTCCTCCTGCTACAGCCAGGAGGCAAGACTGTCTATTTTGGTGGTTAGTGCTAACGAAGAACCTTATATTGTCCTCATTATTTAATGACTATAGATCTTGGCAGGAACGCGACTATACTGATCGACTATCTAGAGCGCTATGGGGCAGCGAAATGTTCTGCAGAAGCAAATCCTGCCGAATGGATGCTTAGCACCATAGAACAACCTCCCCCAAACTCGGGCCATACAGATTGGTCTGAAGTGTGGCGTTCCTCCCCAGAATATCGAGAGATGAAGCGGGAGCTAGAAATTTTAAGGCAACGGATGCACAATAGGCAGCCTGCTATACCGGCAGCCTCCACAGCAGATCATTGGCAGTTCGCCGTTCCCTTCTCCGTTCAATTTTGGGAGGTCCTGAAACGTGTGTCAAGACACTTTTACCGCTCGCCCACTTACATCTACTCCAAAGTTGTCTTAGTAGTCTTGTCGGTAGGCTGGAGCACTTTCTCTGCAGCTAGCACTACAAGGTTCGCTAACCAACACTAGGCCTTATACGTGGGATTCAGTTTCGAGGCCCACAATAGTATACAGGGGCTCCAGAACCAGCTTTACGCATTTTATATGTATTTAACTCTCTTCGGGAGTCTCAACGAACAGATTATGCCCGTGTTTGTTCCCCAACGTGCACTGTACGAGGTGCGCGAGCAACCTTCCAGGATGTACCAATGGTCCAGTAAGTTATTCCTTAACCATTTTTGCCTTGTGGAAGGTTGACCATACTGCAAAGCGTATGTACTCTCTAATATTATAGTGGAGGCCCTTTGGAACACGCTTGTAGCCGTTCTTATGTATTTTTGCTGGTTTTATCCTGTTGGCTTCACACAGAATATGACTGTCGAGGACGTCCATATCCGTGGATTCTTGGTCTTTCTATTTCTGTGGATGTTCATGCTTTTTGTGAGCACGTTCTCACACCTAGTCATCACGGCCATGGAGACACCGGACACTGCAGGAACACTGGCCGCTTTGATCTGGATCCTGTGCATTGCGTTCTGTGGGTAGGTCACTCCCTAGCAACTTACACTTACACCGATATCCTTGCCTTTGGAATGATGTCTAAAGATGATGATTACTGACGGGGTCCAATAATAGGGTGGGCGTATCTAAAGTAGATCTGCCTGGCTTCTGGTCGTTTATGTACTATCTCTCACCTGCGACGTACCTCGTCAGTGGTGTGATGTCAACCTCACTGAGTGGGTCCAAGGTGACGTGCGCAACAAATGAGCTCCTTCATGTTCGACCACTCAAAAACATGACCTGCGGCGAATATATGAGCGAGTTCATTAGCCATGCCGGCGGGTACCTCCTCGATTCCAATGCGACGGGACAGTGCGAGTACTGCACTCTAGCCTCTACAGATGAATACCTAGCCGGATTCAATATTGACTTCAAGGATAGATGGCGGAACTTTGGACTACTTTGGGTTTACGTGGCATTTAACATTTTTGCTGCATTGGGAGTGTATTACTGTTTCCGAGCATCCAAGTGCCACAAGGTGAAGAAGGGCAGCAGGAACACAAGAGAGAAAGGGAATTAATGACCTGTGGTTAGATATCACTTTTCCGGCAGGCTAGTATGTGAAAAGTCCAGTAATCTTAGTTCATGAAAGGACAAAGTTATAAGTTGGAAAGGATTTACATGACAGAGCAATTGTTATTTTGAGAACAGCACGAGGCACCTAGCCTATGCGACTTAAAACTTTACTTGAAGACTGCAATCGATGCTATTTTAATGGGGCCAACGTAGCTTCAAGCGTACTTGATGCTATCTCTAGGCGGAATAGCGTTGCAATACCTAAGTCTTCGTGGGTGCCTAGAGCATACCGTGTAGGCGCAGTATTCTACAACAACCGAACCCCTTTAGTAGCAATACGGGCCTAAAGAGGCCGACACATTAAGCCGCGTATTATAAAGTATCGGACTGAACAGGGCCCCGGATATGGTCTTTTTGATTTTCCATCTTCCTGTTGGTGTCGATGGAGCTAACACAAAAGTGTTGCCGGAAAGATTGGGCTCTACATCCAATCTTAGCCAGGCTCGGATTGTGGAGCATGGTATAGACGCTCGATAGTAAAAGGTGCCTCGTTCTCAAGGTCTATTGCCAGCAATATGGGCATTCTATGCTCGATAGAACATTCATCCTGCACGAACCTCTCGCGATGGTTGTATGGCCTCTTCAGCGTTCTCCACGGGTCGATTAAATCTAGAACGGTCAATGTCCCGAAGATGGGCTGACTATAATTTTATTCGGGGTTCGGAGACGGGATATTTCCACCTGCCGTCTCTCGGCCTTCGGCAGCGAGAGGAGTGTCTTTCCCGCACACTTGACGGGTGCGATACTCTCGCTGCGGTCGCCAACCGCTGCGGAAGCTTCAGGCCCTTATTGTCTACGACCCGTCAAATCCTAGAACTGCAGCGATACGAGCCGCGGAATGTCTCTAGATGACTCATGATTGTGTATAAAGGGTGACAAATAGCGGGTACAGTGAGCTGCGAAATCAATTTGCTTAGGACACTGCTTATCATTCTTTCTGAAAATGTTATTGGCGCGTAAGCTAAGTCAAGGGGGTTTAAAAATATGCTAGCAAGCCAAATAATTTCTCCCAATAGCTACTAACGATCTGCAATGAAGGACTCTTAGAAAATGAAACAGAGCGTGGTAGGCAGGCTAGTTCACAAGTCACTATATCACCAGACGTTCTCTCCTAGAGGCGAGCCTGTCAATGACCTGTTAATGTCAAACCATTTCCAAGAATTTGCGAGTCATCCGGGGTTCTTGTCTCTTTGATACCTCTTCAGGATATCACCGGCGAACGAAATGTATCAGGAATATGGGGTCTACTTCGGAGCAGATCGACTCTCAAAATTGACTCGAGTCCTCATCGTTGAACTACAGCCTGGAAAAGCAGAAATGCCGGATTCCACAAATTGGTCGACAACCACTAGTCTTGTGTCGCTGACGATTTCTCATTCTATAGTCTATAGTGACTTGACTCCTGTTATATTCGGCACATTCCGGAACGAATACTTACAGAGGTATCGTGTAAACTGGTGTGAAAGCCACCAAATTGTCGTATTCGTAAGACTAGCCGCTATTTTGTCCATAATACCCCGATGCTCGTCTAACTAAACCTAAAACTGACGAGGATCCAGTTTGATTTCACACTCTCGAATCTCTCTCTATCGTGGATTATTATCATTGGGGAACTCATGACGGGTACAGTACCTGGTCCGCCATAGGAGCGCATGCTGCCAGTGCCTGCGTCAGCAATTCTTTTCGTTTTTGCAATTATATTATATTTGAAAGAAGGCCCGCACCGTTGCGTGTCTCGTCCGTCCTTCCAGCGGCGCTCATGCGACCCGCAATCTATCCGTTTCTCGACGGTACTATCGCGGTTAATGGAAAGGAGGCATCTTGTTTCGTGACCGTGGTAATAAACGGTACGAATATAGCCCTCCCTTTCGTGCTATGTTGTACCGTGTGACGTTGTTATGCGCGGTCACTCAAGTGGTAGTAGTAGGCGGGACATTAGCCGCTGTTGTCATTACCAATAAGGAGTTAGTCTATACGGTAGGTAAACATCTTGGGCTCTTATTACAGCTTGGCTGATCGGTTCCGGCTGGACGGGCTGGAATATGGGTTGTGGTGACGGTGATTTGGATTTGAATGGAGTTGAAGCGTGCACTGCACTATTAGCAGGCAATGCGATATACACAACAACTGCAATACACAGGATAGGTCCCGAAATTACAGGTGCAGCGTAGGAGGGAGCGGTCAGCCAGGATCAACAAGGATATACTCATGAATATTATCACATTCTCTCATTTTTTATGACTTACAGCGAGGCTACTGCCGGCCTGTCCTCTTTTATCTTCTGCTACTCGCTGAGTGTAACTTTGGCCGTCGCGAGAAGATCGTTTGACCGCAGGATACGATATTTGGGACCGAATTATTTTACTATGACGTGGAATCATGCTTCATCATCGTAATATTTGGTCCTATTTACCATCTTATTTGACTCGGGAAGACAGTTCTACCTTTTCTCTTCCTTTTTTTTTTAATATTTTCCCCTTCTCTTTCTCCTTTACTATCTCTCCAGGTTGTGGATGAGTTGCGGTCGTATGTGCATTTTCCAAGGGCAGAAGAGTGGATGACGCACCTGCACGCCACTGGTTCGGTCAGGGTACGCAAATGCCTAGTGATATTTGGGTTTTTCGGTCTGTAGGTCATTCCCTTTCCTATCCGGATAAGGTACGATTCCAGAGCCAGCACTTTTACGGCGCGGTATAATTTCACTAGCAGACTGGAATCCAAAAAAAAAAAACCCTGTGAGCGGAGTATCACATTGCTCACCACAGGCTTGCCCATCTTTACGAGTCATCCCCCGGTAACTCGCGAGCAATAATGGAGACTGAATAGCCGGCCACTCTCGACCAAGGAGGAGCTGATGTGACTCCAGTGGCCCCAGCACTGATGTTGATTTCTATATCGAATACTAAAGCGCTAGCGCTTTACTAATAGTCTCAGATGATTCGGTTACATGCTTAGCAGAATTTAAAGAGATTGTATAGTTTTTTTTTATAGTTTTTCCAGGTATTTTTCTCTATGGAGAGAAAAGCCCTTAAGTAGACAAGTACTTCCTATAAAGACCTAGTAATATAGTTAGATCGCGCCTAGATATTGAGAGACAGACGCAGGCATTGTATAGTTAGAGCCCTCAGATATCTAGAAGACCAAGCAGATACTCTGGAACAGAGAAAAGAGGTCTTTGATACTAAGTTAGTAGATATATATAAAGTACTTGAAAGAGCCGAGCAGCTGGGATATCTAATTAAGCTATTGACCGCCGTACTGACCACCTACTACTTGGGTTGTCGCGAATACTCTCCTCTCCACTTTAAACACCGCCTGCTTTTACGCATAAACTAGTATAGTATCCTTTGTTATGACTTTCGTGTTCGAAGCTCAACCTATCAGTACATACACATGCCACACGAACCTCCATCTCACCTGCACCATGGCACTCGACGACGCTTTTGTTGAGGCCTTTCATAATTTCCTTGGCAAATCCATCATTCGCGTAGAACGTTCACTTATGGAATACATAATGGAACGAATTCTCGGGCCATCCCTCCGTATCTAATTCCGCTCGGTGAAGGTTCAGCTGGCTGATTGCGGAAATTGCCGGATTGTTCAATCAAACTAGGCAACTGATCTTCGCCCTCTACTGACACCAGCGCCATTCCTGTCTAGAAACATATGGTCAGGATTTGTTGCCTAGATAGATAGGATCGGAAGTGCGGGAAAGACGGACCACAATGTGCCACTGAATATGGCAATGAAGTATCCAAGCGCCGGGATTATCAGTGACGTAGCTATCGCTACATTAGCCACCTTAAACGGGGTTGTGTCCCACAGAAGGATTAAATAGCTCACTGGGTTGCCAGCCATCCTGATGATGGCAAGTTCGCCGTGTCTCTGTACGGTGGATCGTGCAAACTAATAATGGAAGTTGGCGCTTCCACCACAGACTGACACGGGAATGAGCCACTGCCGGAACCCAGCACCCAGAATTTATGGCCATGGAGATGCATTAGATAGCCCATATAAGCGTGCTTTGGTTACGACTGGTTCCGCAGAGGGACAACGACGGCGTCACCTACAGTATCCATTGAGTCATTTGCGACATTCATCACAATACCCACAGTGCAATTCGACGGCATATGCAAGGTCGCATTCGGTTTCTAACCATCCGAGACACTACCATAGATTATTGGGATCACGGGACTCAGCATATGGAAACTGATTTACAACCCAGGTTACAATGTCAGTTTAATTAATAGTGAGAAATCGTGTCAAACCAGCAGCCCAAGAGGCGGTCCGCTACCTTCAAACGGTGAAAGTTTAGCCTCGACAAGTTCTGTAACCCCTTGACTAGCCGAACCGTTGGTCAGCATCCATGTGGAGGCTGGATCAACGGAGACTTGTGAAGTGATAGCATCCATTCCATCTGCCTGCGTGTACTGTTAGTGAGGGCCTCATATAAATGGCATTGCTGGGGTGGTCTGCTAATATTAGAGGACATTATAGCCTTGCCTTCTAGAATCTTTTGCATATCCCCATTGGGATACGTTGCAAACCTAAGGTAGCAGTTACCCGGTTGTCGGTCGAGCTTAATCATCACAGAATATCGCTGGCCGATAGCTATTTCTAGCACCCGTCAAGGTCAATACAATATTCTAGGGACATTCCAGAACCGTCTTACTTTTGCCTCTTGTGGGGTCACATAGAGGCCATCAGCAGCATAAACGTGCATTAAATGGCCATCAAGCGAGACCCGAAGAGCACTAACCGCTCCCGAATTCACCAAGTTAAGGGCAAGCCATCCCAGTGATGCATTTGCTGGGATCGTTAACCGAGAAGATGTGGTATTCTCACAAGTCTTCGGCGGCAACGAGCAGATATTGTATCCTAGTCGAAACATCATAGGGGGCATACAGCCATGGGGAACCCAATGCCATTGAATTATCCATACCTGCTGAGCCGGTCATCGTCATCTCACCGACTTTGTATGTGGCTGCATTTGATGAACTACCTGTGATCATCGGAGACATAGCCATTTGAGTTGCAGTATTATCGCCAAGGTCGTCATCCATCCTCCCCACCTTCCCAGACAGTCCCATTCCCATAGAGGGAGTCACTGGCGTTACCGTTACTGTCCATCTCGGCGAAAGCTGTCTGAATTGCTGAAGCAGAAGTGTGGGATGTGGCCGTCGACCCCACGCTTAGACCTAAGCCAGAGCCAGCGTCGAGCATGTACTTCGGCAGGCATTCTACCCTACCCAATCCATTAGCGAGAACGGTGTCAACGCAGTTGGGGAAGGCAGCCGTCTGAATATAGCGCTCAAAGATCGTATCAGAAAGGTCATGTGTCCAGTCAATTAAGAGGAGAGAGAATGAACCTCTCTCGGCTTGCAACATCTTTTCACGCTCGCAACTACTCCTGGTCAGTTCCTAGAATGGTCGCGACGAGATGGTGCAGGGCGGATTAGTAAAGGTCTTCGTATACTACCATTGAAGTATGCCCGAAAATAACAATGGTACCAATAGTAACCGTACCCATTTTCCACCGAAAATCGGTATGTGAAATTACGCCTAGGAGGTATCGGATACTAGTTATAAGTCCAGGCTTAGTAATTTTATTTTGCATATTTGGCGACAAGAGCGAGCAATACTCACCTGGGTGACACCTGGAACACCATCCATATCTTGTGTTCCATGCTGCAGTATACCCTCTTGGAGTGACTTAGTCGAAATCCCCGGAAGCCAATTTTAGTGATAACGTACCATGCCAGTGGATAGTAGTATTGACAGGCAGTTCATTCCTGACAAAGATCTCCACATCGTCTCCCTCGTCTAGTTCTATCGTAGGACCTGGCTGTTGGCCGTTGATGAGATAGACCTCACGTGGGTATACGTCTGTGTGGAAGCGAATGTATGCTTCTTCTATTGGGTGGCCGGAACGGCCAAACTATCTAAATAACTAGCTTACTAAATGATGACTAAGCGAGATCAAACTAATAGGGCATGCGGTGCAGGATGACCGTATGTTCCAACACCCCCCCTTGAGCGAGCGAGTCATCATGAAATGAAGATAAAATAGCTAAAATATTATCTGGAAGTGATAAAAGAATGTAATAGGTGATTGCCTGGTACAGGAATTACTTGTCTAAGCTCTGGAGACCTAGTAATCGCACGAATTTAGAATGGGCTTCTGATCCCAGCAGCTTCATAAAGCCATCAGTAACCATATCAGTTATGGGGATCTGTTTAATATAAATAATGCCTTGATCGATTATATCGCGTATATAATGATATTAAATATCAATGTGCTTAAACCGCTTGGTCTGTATATCAGAGATAATAAGGTCAATTACACCTTTATTGTCCATATATATCAGTATGCTAGGTGCGGGTGATTTATTGAATAGTTAAAGATTCTTTATAATTTCATAAATCCAGTAGGTCTCTTATGATGCCTCAGATACAGCAATATACTCAGCTTTATTTAAACTAGTTACCATATATATTTGATATTTTGTTTACCAGGCTATAGATCCTCCAGTAAGCTTAAAGATATATCTACCTACTGATCTGCAGACTTTGGTATATGGACCTTCCCAATCTGAATCGCTGTATACCTCTAGGGATCCAGTATTAGCTGTAATTCAACGGTAGAGGGTCTAAAAATTGCTGGGTAACGGGCATTTTGCCGGTGAGTACATAGCAGAGGAAGAGAAAAGCCACAAGGGCAGACACAGAGGGCAGGGCTACTATATCTCGCCGATCTATGGGGACGGTGCATTCATTAATTTCCCCCGTACCTGTAGGATTGACCTCTCGCCGCGCCATTCATCGAACAAGATAAGCTTTCCATTAGGTTCCACTCAACGACACGTTCAGAGAGGCGTTGGTAGAGAAGCAATGGACCTTTTTTAGTTTCACCAGACACCGAGCAAGACCTGCCTGCAATTCTCAAGGACCGAAACTCTATTCGTTGAGGATGCCACGGAAGAGTAAATTATTCGAGAAGGTCGATGGCCAACAGGGACGGCTGATTCGAATATTAAATCCCATCTGTGCGCCTAAGTCAGTAGATACACTGACATCTTCCTAGCAACACGCAACCATGGAAGACAGTACTCCTTCAGCAAAACGCCCCAGCATCATGAATACCGAGACACCTTGGGCGTCAAACCCCGCCAGGGATATGAAGAAGGAAAAAGAAGAGCACAACAATGTCTACGGAACGACTCACAGATTGGCAAGCCGCGTCACAAGTCACACCGTGGCCAGGGAATTGGCCGAACCTTACGATGATATTTTCCATCCCCTCCCCGGCTCGAAGCTTGATCCTCAGTCCTCCAGTTTCGACACTCGAGCTTGGATGGAGACTGTTTCTTGCCCCTCTACTACTACTAACGATTCGCTAATCCATAGCTGAAGGCTCTACGCCAAAAGGGCTCAGAATTCCCATTGAAAACCAAACCGAATACATTTCCCGATTAGGCAACTTCTAACCTAAGCATCGATAACTTCATCCTACCTCACCGTATTCCTACTATGTCTTCCAACTCCTCGAACTGCTTTCTTCCAATCGGTTTAGTTAACAGGTCTGCAAGCTTCCACTCTGTACAAAGATAAGTAGCAGTATCTGGTCTTTTTGATCAACGTATTCAGCCATCTATTCTACACCGCAGGAAGCCCCTTCGCGGAGCGCCATAGCCAGCTTGGAAGTTTATTGGTTGACATATACGAATACAACGATCCACATGGGGCATGCGATTCGGTTCGGTTGAACTGATAAAACGGAACAGTTAAAGCACCACGTCACTCATGTAGATTTCATTATTTGCTCGCAACCTATCGGCGGTCCAAGTCCCTAAGCTTTGGGCATGCCTGTCACTGAGGGCCACCAACAGGAGGCAGAGATCTGTCTCCACAAACCGCAGATCGCAGCTTGCATAGCTGTTGAGGATGGAGGCATGTGCAGTTGGTTGCAATTATATCTGCATCTTATTGTCGGCCGTTGACTCTTCTCGATCACTGTACACGTCAAGTCTCTGACTACTGCACAGTTAGTTGTTGTATAAAGTACTGACGTTTAACCGAACCTGAGAGGGAGTTTTTTACGTCCGCTTGGCCAATAGCAAGTAGTAGTGAGCTGTGGAGAAGATCGCCGGTTGCAGATCGGTCGAACCTCTTTTTTAATGTGGCGCGGGACAAAAATTGCTTAGTAAGTGATTGACCACGTGACTTCTGGGCGAGGCCATTACGCACAAAAACCATAGATTTCGTTCCACGCCACCTATTTCAATACCTCTACACACCACACCCACCACTAATCACTGCTTCCCCCCCCAAACCACCAACCATGGCTTCCATCGCTGATAATGCTAGTAAAACTACTTATAAATATCATATCCTGTATCTAGCTAGTATAAAATGTTAAGCAATTAAGAAACGCTTTTTAAGTACTTGAAAGAATACAGTTTAAACATAGTATAAAGTAAAAGAACAAGTATACACTGCATTAACTGGATTTTAAGGAGTTATATATATATTTATTAGATTTTAGATATCTATCATCTCTACTTGTCGAGATATTTGTGATCATAAAAGTACCATTTTATATGGGATGCGCTGGTAGCCGTTCGGTAGTGAAATATGTACATTAGGCTATTCATCATTACCAATGTAAGGAATAGCGGTTAGAGTCTAAGCTATATACCCTATAGTGCCAAGGGGCACTTTTACTAGTCATTAGCCAGTCCTTCCACCTACTACCTCCCGAACCGTACAGTGATCTTAGTGTTATTAAAGTAACAGCAGGAGACTGACTGCAACAGTTAGCCGCCGACTTCTGTTGAGACTGCCCTGCTCAAATTTTTGTATCTGATCTTCACCTGTCAACGCTGTTTATCAAAACTTGTCTGCGAGCCCCAAAACTGCATTTACCTAATTGCACGTATGTATTTTAGAAATAATTGGCGGTCTTGGCCAGTTGACGTACATGTGGACCGATCCATTGAGAGGTCGTGATTGTTATTCGTTGGATACAGAAGAACCTACCGTCGAGATAAGTGACCGATAGAGAACTCTAAAAGGGAATACAATTTAGGCGGAGATGTCTGCCAACCATCGCATGGTGCGAATGGTAGAAAACTACTGTAACATTCCTATGCTTCGCTGACCCGGTTGGCCTCTCAGTCATCACTTCGTTTACATTCTCAGAGGAAAGTCCGATCTAAGTTGCTAGCGGTTGTCTTGGCATATGTGCGAATAGGTATATAACCGCCATGGGTTAGTTGTAGTTTTTTGGGGTACGCTAAAATTACAGCACAATTTTGCGTTCCTTGACAGATCAATATATTTTGCTTTTGCAAGTTATACGCATAGTTAGTTACCGATTTACTCCGTACGGTGGGCCAATCGAACAATGGGGCAATAAGGATTTTCCAACGTATGAACTTATAATACCAAGCCCCAAATGCACTCTACTTAGTTTGTGAAGCGCCACAATCTAATTTTTCGGCAAACCTAATAGATACGCCCGTTCGATATCTTTCGCTACCTTTTAAGTCATGATACGGATAGTCCACATCATTCGTCATCGAACGGCTTCTAGCCCATACCCCTCGAAGAACTGAACTCTAAACAAACCATGAATCATATAGATCAATTTATGGGTCAACATGACTAAGCGAGGCGCTGGCCTATTCTATGCTCATATCCTTCCTTTTCTGTCTGTTCCAGATTAATGCCTTCCTCGGTAACAATGCATGCTTGAAACATGTTGGTAGGTTCTGCTGGGAGTTTCTGTGGCGAAGAGACCTATTTCAAGATAACGCTTCAATGCCGCCCGATAGTGCATCCATGTGCAAGGATCATGGGATGTCTCTGTGGGTTGTGAATAGCATCTCGATAGGACTGGCTACGTTCGCTGTCATCGGGAGGTTTATGGCGAGAAGACTCGGGAAGTTGTCTCTCGCCGCGGATGACTGGACTATTCTTGTTGCATTGGTAAAACGTAAGACGATTGTTGTTCGAGACGGGAGCTGACCGTGATCAAGAGCCTCGACTTGGGGTTATACGCTTTGTTTGTGGCTTGTAAGTATTCCTCAGAGCAACAAAACGGACTGGCGTCCATGGCTAATGACGTTTCTTTATCACTCAGGTAGGGCACATGGACTTGGGGCGCACAGGGCCGTTGTGCCAGAAGCCGATGTCTCTACATTCCTCAAGCTGCTGTATTACTTCCAGATCTTCTATATTCTCGCTCCGCCTATGGTCAAGATCTCACTTCTCCTACTTTATAAACGCATCTTTATGTCGTCCCGGTTACTTGTGGTAGTGTACGTAATGGGTGTACTAATCAGTATATGGACAATCATTATGACCTTCTTGGGAATCTTCAACTGCCACCCCATTGATGCGTTTTGGACAGGTCAGGGGAAATGTCTCCCTTTCAAGCAATTTGCGGTTGGATATGCAATCGTCAACATCGCTACAAGTCTGGTTATTTGGCTAATGCCAATTCCCAAGTTATGGAAGCTGCAGCTTCCTACAGCACAGAAAGTTGCTCTGATCTTGATCTTTGCCCTAGGTCTCTTGTAAGAGCTCCCACTTATCACCTTGCCTCCTACGAAAAAGAGACGCAAAAAAAGAGAGGCAGCCTATTTGGTCGAATGTACTTATTTCTCCTTAGTGACTGTGCTGTCTCTATTATCCGGCTACTCTCCTCAATGCTTGTTCTTGGAAATTGGGATGTCACGTACGACTACACCCGCGGGGTTATATGGTCTATCGTTGAGGTTTCTATTGGAATTGTCTGCAGTTGTCTCCCAACAATGCGAGTTATTCTCACGTCTATTTTCAGTGAAAAACTTGCATGGGTGTTACGATTCTCCGGTTTAATGTTCAATGGCGACAACTCTCGGAAGAGGCTGTGTACTGGGCCAATAGAATCTACCGAGCTCCGAGGGCCATGGATAATCCAAGTTGGCTCCCGCAACCAACATCATACCGATATTTCCTGCACCCTGGATCTGGAAGCTAATAGGACTATACCACAAGGGATCCAAGTATTAGAAGAGGTCACGATTGAGCTAGGACAAATACAGCCAGTTGTATATTCAAGGGCGACTTGAATAGAATTTATGTACTGCTTGGAAGTGCCATCTACAACTTCTGAGGGTCAACATGCTAGCCAACTACAGCTACAGGCTCTACAAGTCTAAGTAAATTCATTAGAATAGTGTCACCGGTAAAAGGAAGACATTGAGGACTACAGAAGTTAACTAGCCCATCTCGCAAACAGTCAAACAAGGGATACAAGGCAGTGGTCCGAAAGAATGCTGAATTCACCTTTTGTGGGAGGACGGCATAGGACCAAGGTCATACTAGCTAAAACCGAGAAGAATGAGTTGAAAAGGCGAATCCTCTCTACAAAATAGATAAAGCCTTCAGGGGTTTGGTTTGGTTACTATTTAACGTCACTCGGCGGACCACGCGGCCCGTGATCCTCCGTCTCCCCAGGGGCAACTGGACATGCTATCTAAATAAAATCTCACTAGAAACTAGCTAAATACATGCTTGAAGCAACGACTTTGAACAATATATGCTGGGAAAGGATGGAAGAAGCGCCTAGCACTATTCTGGCCTGGACTTCTAGAGATAAAGACCTGTATTAACTACCTATAGATAGAAATATTACTGTTACACTATTTAGTGCCCAGTTCAGGCATATTTCCTTAAAGAAGGATATTCTTGTATAATATAGCTAAACTCTTTAGCCCCAGTAACTGTATTAAGAAGCCAGTCAATTGTCTATAACAGGCCTGTCTTGAGACACTTCTATCTTTTTCTCCGGCGCTTCCTGATATAGAGATAGAAGAAGAAGTGGGCAGGAGACTTTGGCCTGTTATAGAAGTAGATTACCAGATAGTCTAAATAATAGTATATTTTATGATATGCTGCAAGATCTCTATAGCCTGTACAGGCAGCTATTAGCTAGTCTAGTATCCAGTGGGAAAGACTGTATTCCTGGGTGATATGAATCTATAGGAGACACGTGATCGCCTAGCGGCTTGGCCGGATCACCCACTCCTTCAGCCCCTGAGGGCTTTACCCATTAGTAGTTGAGAAAAAGAAAAAGAAGCAGTCAAGATAGTTGATATAGTCATCCATAGAATTGAGATCTATCGGAATGGCATCCGGTCCTCAGTAGGCTACATACATGTAGCTGATACAGCCTCATCCTGCCCATCTTTCCCCTGAGATCATAACATAGGTTATAAGCCCGGGCTGCTACATCATGTCTAACCAACAGGCCTAGCACCTTAGGGAATTGTATAAGGCCAACTACCTTACCTAATCTAGCAGAGTTGAAGCTGTACGCAGCATGTTGATCCTTGATCTTGTTAAAGATAGCCAGGCCCGTACAACCTGCCTAGGCTGGGGCAGCATCCGCGACATATCCAAATCCGCATATCCGCGGATTTGGATGTAATTTGTTATCCATATATCCGCAATAATACAATATGGATAGTAAATGGTATCTGTAGTTTGGATTTGGATACTTTATGGATAGGCAAATAATATAAATATAGCTATTTTTATAACTGTATAATTTATACTTGTTATATCTGTATTTTATTGTTTTAAGATGTATGGAAGTTATATTACAGATATAAGATATAGATTATATAATAAGGCAGATAATACTTTTTAGAAGTTATTTATTAAGCTATATTACTATAGTTTACTAATTTTATAGTTCTTAAACTCTCTTAGAGCCTTATAAATCCTCTTAAAACCCCATACCAGTATATTATTCTCAGGTAATAGATATTTAGTCTTATTATCTGATTTATAAGACTGTTCTATTAGCTATTCTTCTATTTAACTTCCTTCTCTAGTAGCTATATATTGTTGTTTACTTGGCTGGCCTTGGATTTTAGTTTAAATATTACTAGAATTATTCTTCTTATTATTACTAACTGACTAAAAATCAGTCTATAGATATAAAGGGGCTCTTTTCTTCTCTATAGTAATAACTTTACTGGCTAAGAGATACTCTTCTATTAGGTCTAACTGCTCTTATTCAAGCTTAAACTTTGATATATATATCTATATTATCAAGTCTTTAATTATAGTAGATTTAAGATAGCCGCGGCGGTAGTAGCAGATATCTTAAGCTAAGTTAAAAAGACATTTAATACCAGTATTACTAGCTGGAATAGTAAGAATATCCTGAGTAAGACTAGATAATACTAGGAATTTATATTCATGCTCTTTCCAGAAGACTCTCAGAGATATATTAACTGTGTCTATTATTAATATTAGTAGTAAATCTTATATAGCTATTAAATACTATTAACTACTCTTAAGATAGTTTATAAGCTTATTATTATTTATACTTAATCTAGAATAGCTAGATCTAATTCTCTATTATAAAGCTCTACTTAAAACTAGTATTTTAATCTAAGAGAGATTTCTAGATAATAACTAGGAATTAGATAGTATTAGTAATAAAGAAAGCTACTTAATATACTACTTAAGATAATCTACTAGACTTTTATAATATTATTTATGCTAACTGTTCTTCTATTTCTTTATAGAAAAGAATTAAAGCTTATTTAAAGAAGTAATAATAGTATCTATTATAAAGATATTACTATATATTTTATTAGTCTCTTTATAATAACTAGAAAGCTTAGCTTTTGCTATTTCTAAAGTATAGAGTATTATCTATTTCTATAAGATCTTTTTATATTAAAGTTAGTAAATTAATCTCTTAAGATAGTTAAAGAGATTATTATAGATACTAAAGATAAAATAAATAGTGACTTTCTTTATTATAGAGAGAGTAATAATATATTTAAAAAAGAATTAAATAATATAAAGTAAATACTTAATTTAGTACTATTCTTTCTTATTAAGCTTAAACTAAAGATATTGATATATTATACAGTATTTATTAAATATAGACTATAGTTTTTTGGCACAGTAAAGTATTAAGAATATAGAATTCTAGTAAATATAGATATTCTGATAAGAAATAAGCTTTAGATCTTTTATCTAAAGGCTTAAAAATATCTCTTTTTACTATAGACTTATATTAATAAAGATAGCAAGGCTTTAAATCTTTAAATCTATTAGTAAATATAAAAATATAATATTAAATTATACTTTATTTTATTTAATATATTAATAATCTCTCTTAAGTATTGTCTTTTCTAAAGAGAGTAAATATATATATTAGACTATTCTTTTTCTATAATATTATTAGCTGGGTTTACTTTTATCTTTCTAAGTAACTGGTTTAAACTAAGCTAAATAATATAGATAATATATAGAACTTAAATAACAGTAATATTATAACTAAATTCCTATAATTAAATTAACTTCTAGAATCTTACTATTATAGTATTATTATTTAAAGTATTATCAGTAGTAATTAATAATATATAATTAGTAATACTATATTTCTAGAGAATTTCTAAGAGTATTAAGCTTAGATTACTTCTATTATATATACTATAAAGAGACTTAAATCTAAGAAGAATCTTATAATAGTTCTACTTTTAATTAAGGAAGTAGCCAGTAATTGCTATAAATACCTGGTTAAAGAAGAATATCCAGCAGTCCAGTATAATTAAAAGCTTCTTATTTAGTAGAAGCTTTTAAAGTAGAATTTCTTATTTTTCTTTAATTTTTTTCTATAGATAATATTAGAGTATTTTACTAGATAGAAACTTTAGCTTTAATAGTATAAGTTATATAATATTAATAAATTTATTAAGCTTATAATACTCACTAAACTAAAAAAGAAGATATTCAAGAGTAACTATATTAAATAGCTTATTTATAAAGAGATCTTAACTGTACTGTCTTCTAGGAGATAACTGGAATAAAATAAGAGAAATATAAGTATATTTAATAGATTATATCAGAGTTATATACTAACTAAGTCCTGAATAAGCTAGTCTATACTCTTCTACTATTTAGATACTATATACTGACAGGCAGCTTCTTTAAGATATACTTTTATTAGAAATAACCCTGTTTAGTAATAATCTAGATAAATAAGAATATTATAGCAGTATTTATATATAATCTTAGACTGGCCAGTCTTTTTATTTATAATTTAATTAAATTACTTCCAGTATAATAAGCTCTTTTTTCTATTTTAATATATTATTTTCTATAATTTCTTCTTTAATCTAAAGTCTGTTTCTAACTACTATCTTATAAAGTTATTCTTTAATATATCAGTATAAAGAATCTAGTTTTTTTAAAAGCTAGGCCTAATATATATAAGAGTAATAGAAGTATATAATTATAGTAGTAAAAAAATAAAGTCTAAGTCAGATATAGATATAATATTATACTGGCTACCAGGAATATACTGTGTATTATCTGATTATAAAAAGTCAGGTTTATAGAAAGAATCAGAAAACTAAGATTATTAACTCTATAATATCTTAAAAATAAGAATATTATTATAAAGAGAGAAAGATATAGAACTTATAAAATCTTTAGAATTAAAATCTAGATTATAAATTTTTAAAATTAAGAGATATAGAAGTTATATATATTAAAGTAAATAGATCTATTAACTTAAGATAGTCTTTTATTGTAATTAGTTTATAAGTAGCACTAGTACAGATATTTATTAGATATCTATTAGATATTATATAATAGTCTATAGATATCTATAGATATTTAAAATCTTAACAAAATAATAAAGTCAGTATCTTCAGACTATAGAGTTAGGCTATTAACCAGATCTATATACTTTTATTAAATATTAGAAAATATCAGTTAGTTAATCCAGTTAATATAATAAGAAGCAGTTAACTTAACAGGATTAATAGAGCTAGTAAGGCCTGTAAGTCTAGCTATAATAAGACTATTACTTTTATTACTATATAATATATGGTAAATATATATATTTTATATACTATATAAAGTAAAGAATCTATTTCTGTTTTATAAGCTACTATCACTACTTCTCTCTAAACTAAAGTAAGAATATTAATATTAACAGTAAAGATATTTATATATATATATATCCTATACAGTATTATAGAGAGTGTTGTGTAAAGATTCTGTATTATACTATTATATCTAGAACAAGCATAACTAACTGCTAGTTACTGATCTTATTCAGTAAATTATATATCATGGAATAGGCCAGATTAGATTAATTTAGCGAAAATTATACTAGTGCGGAGAGAAACAAGACATCTATATTGTATCCATACAGATTTGGATATAGATAAAGATAGCTTCTCAGGTATCTGGTATCCGCATGGATATGATATGGATACCATTTGCTATCTGGTATCCGCGGATATGCCCCAGTCTATTCCTAGCTATATCATCCTATAGCCTCCAGGGTGCTCATATATCTAATGTGATGATCCTTTTCACATTGATATCTAACGTGGCAATCTAACTAAACATCAAACGTAGAGAAGGAAGAGAAAAAGAAAGAATTCTATTATACAGGGAGTGTGGGATTTTGTATTGTAGGATTGGATCAACAGTGAATAAAGTAGACTTGGTGCCTCAGGCAGGATTCGGCCTAGGCCCTGACATCTAAAGGCTCAGGAGCTGAATGGCTTCAGCTAGTATCCCCGCACGCCAAGCCGGCTGCGGGATATAGTGTTTCCATAACACGAAGTATATTTGTCGATCCTGTAGATCCTATTACAAAGAAACCCTAAGATCAGTAATTAAATCTATGACAACAAGAGGTTACTTTAGTCTCTTACTTTCTTCCAGGCTCCATTTATATTACCTTTCATGAATAATATTAGGCTTTGTTTGCTTCCTTTTGTTTTTGTTGGTTCGCGGAGATTTTATCAGTAGCTGGTATTAGTGCCAGGAATGCTCCTCTGCGCCCGTAACCGGTAAGGCAGACCCTGGACGGCAACAACGACATGCACAACGGCGGATATAGTACACGAATAGATGGCGGATCAGACCCTCTGCAGAAGCCACTTGGCAATGTGGTCCACCGTTGGGCAGGTCCATATCAGAGTTGGCGGAATCTGCACGGCCAGTGTCTGTTGCAATTGTTTCCGTAGACGCACAGACATCACGCTGTCCACCCCCATATTACTCAGGGGCTCCGAGCAATCCACCTCGTTCGTCTTCAGATGCAGCACCTGGGCGACGCATTCCTGCGCGTGCTCGCGCACGTCCGTCCAGCGCTCGGATTCCGATTTCGGAGTCGCAGCACGGGAGGACACAGAGGACGAGGCCGAACAAAGTGTGGTGGCATCGGAAATGGAGGCCTTGCGAATCACAATGTCGGAGAGCAGTGGACTAGGAAGCGGTTGGCCCTCCTCGATAGCTCGACTGCGAAGCACCACGGTATGGTCAATCCCAAACTTGGAGGCGTGTGTCCACGCGCAAAACGCCTCTTGGCTCGTGATGTCGGTGATGCCTTTATTGACCAGCTCCAGTTTGATCAGCTCGGAGCTAGCTGCCATGCCTGCCCCTCGCCAGCTGGTCCATTGAAACGAGACCGTATGGTCCCCTTGCTGGCGGCGATGGGTGGCCAGAGTATCCAGAAACGCGTTCCCGGCCCCATACGACGCCTGACCCGGAAATCCAAATAACTGCCCGCAGGAGGAAAAGAGGACCATGAAGTCCAGCGATTGGGGCGGGAACAGGGCATGCAATGTTAGCGTCCCGGAAACCTTGGGAGCAAGAACCCGACACATCGAAGCGGGCGTAGTGTTGCAAACGAGCTCACTCTCCAAGACCCCGGCCGCGTGGATAACACCCAACACCGGGGGGAAGGATAAGGCGTCGAGGGCTGTGGACAGCTGGGACTGAGCGCCTGAAGAGGAGAGGTCGACAGCTAGGGGGCTGATAGTGACGCCTTGTGCCTCCAGCTCTTGAATCTTGCGGATAGACGGCGCCCATCGAGAGGCGGCGGCCATAGAATTCGCCCACTCCCGGCGAGGAGGCAATTGGCTGCGGGAGACTAGGACCAGACGCCGGGCCCCCTTGGCGGCCAGAAATTGCGCGACCTCCAGTCCGAGGGCGCCCAGCCCCCCGGTAATCAAATAGGTGCCCCCGGGACGGGGTAAAAGCGAATTATGCTGGGCCCGAGGCAGCAGTTTGTCTTGGGGAAGAGATCGAAGCCGGGCGGTGCGTGGGACATTGTCTGAGATCCTGATAACATCGGCTCCTTGCACATATTTCATCGTCGTCAGGGGAAAAGATGGCGACTCGAGGTCAATCAGTCCCCCCCAGATGTCCGGGTGTTCGGCGGCGATGACCCGGGACAGCCCATGGAGAGCGGACTGGGCCAGACAAGCTGGAGCCTTGCCGGTGAACACGCGATCGGTGAGAACGAAGATTTTGGTAGGGAGGGAGAGACGGACCGCCGATTGGGCAATCTCCAGCAGCTCACAGGTATATTCCTGGCATGCAAGGGCGATAGCATGCGAAGGAAGCAGGTGACCCGGGATATACGCGATCGCCAAGGGATGGGTTCGCAGGTCAGCTTCCCTCTCCGTCAGGTCGGCGAGTTGGCCGGCACACGTCAGGGTCCAGATGGAGCGGAATTCACGCTTGAGAGCCGCGGCATAGCACTCCACCCGCTCAATGTCTCGAGATATGAGTACCATATGGTCCAGGTGGAGAGGGGTTTCTGCGTATGACGCCGGTGGCCACTCGAGCTGGTGCACAAGACCCTCAACATGGACACCCAGGCCTGGGGCTCCTTCAATCTCAGAGTATTGTACAGACTCCAACTGGACCAAGACATGGCCCGCCTCGTCACCGATACTGGCATGCACCGCGGTCGTATCTGGAACCTTTTCCACATACACCACCCCCCTCCGGGGAGGTGCTGCCTCGGTGTGAACAGTGATGCGATTGATGTGAGCTGGCATACGCAGGCGGGGCCGGTCGAAGAATATGGTGGATCCCATCGAGATGGCAGCATCCATGATGGGCGCCCAGGAATGGAGATCCCAGGGCAAGGGGCCGGATCCGAGAGCCGGCGCAACTTCAACCTGGGCAATCATCTCCCTTAGATTGCCGTAGTGCTCGGTGATCGCCCACGGAAACCCCATCGAAGCGACACCGACCTTGTCAAGGTAGTCCACGGAGAAGTTGTCTCCGAGTTTCGCTCCAATCCGAAGTTGGACGGCCTTAGTATCGATGCTGGCAGGGGTAGAGTCGCGCGCAACCGTGCCTGCCCAGCAGCCCGTCGTGTGTGTTAGCCACGCCTCATCTTGCTCCGTGGCGTTCGGTTGGATGAGGAGAGAGCAAATTTTGAACCGATCGGGTTTGATAATGACCTGAACATATCGGGGCTGGCTCACCAGCACCGGGACGCGGAGAGTGGTGTCGGAAAGGATGCGAGCCGCGGTTCCCTCGAGGAGCGTATTGATCAGAACCGCTGCGGGGACAATCTCGGCCCCATGGACTGGGTGGCTCCCGGGGAAGGGCTTGACATGCTCGTCAATTCGGGTAGTGTAGACCGTGGTATTCTCGCCGGCAATGGGAACTCGATGGCCGAGAAGCGAGTGCTTGTCGACGTCAAGGTTCGCCCGGTGGTCCTCCAAAGGCCGGGCCTCCACCTGTCTCCAGAATGGCCGATGACTCCAAGTAGTCGGAGGAACCTCGGCCGCCCAGACGTCGCCCATTACCCTTTCCCAGTCCACTGCAGCTCCTTGACAGTGGAGCTGAGCAATGCTGGAGAGGATCGACTTTTCCGCCGGTTCCCCCCGGGTCATGGTGTGCGTGACGGTAAAATTGGCAACGTCTTGATGTATCATGGTGTCCTCGATCGACTGCGTAACAATCGGGTGAGTTGAAACTTCCAGGAATAGCCTCATGCCGTCCGCCGCCGCCGCCTGCACCGCTGAGGCCAGCCGGACTGGATTAACCATATTGCCGACCCAGTAACTGCTGTCGCGCAGGGGTGCGGAGTGCGGGTCCAACAATGAGGTAGAGTAGAGTGCTACCTTGGGTGGGCATGGAGAGAGGCAACCCTCCAGGGCGTGTCTCAAGGGTGCGGAGAGAATGTGAAGCTGGGGGTGATGGAAAGCAATATTGGATTTCACGTGGAAGACCTTGATTCCTCGGGCCTCGAGCCTTGCAGCGAGGCTTTGAATTTCATCCGTTGCCCCCGATACAACGCAGGACAATGGAGAGGCATAGATAGCGATGGCTAATTGTGTTTGATGGCCGAGTTCTTTTTCCATCTTGTCCCCCGGCATATTCACCAGGATCATTGCCCCAAAACCGATAAACTGACGGTAGAGTTTTGCACGTCGGCATACAACCAGGGCACCCTCCTGCGCCGAGATACAACCTGCGACCACGGATGCGGCGATCTCTCCCACCGAATGGCCGATTATCGCATCACAGGGGACGTTTTTGGACTGTAGAATCGCTTGAAGTCCGATTTGCATAAGATAGGTAAGAACCTGAATCTGATCGGCTGCACCAAACTCTCCCGATTCCAAGGCCTGTAGCGGTGAGAACTCAAGCTCTTCTTGGACAAGGCGCTCAAGGGGAGACACGGCATTGTAGAAAATCGGATCGTGCAGCAGGTCTTTGGCCATGTCGAGCCATTGCGCTCCATGGCCTGAAAATACCCAAACCACCCTTTTGGAGTTCTCGTCCTCACTGCCATGCACTTGGCCGGATAGAGTCCAATCACAAGGATCGCCCTTGGCGAAGGATTCAAGTTCCTCAACCGCGTCTGCGTGGTCTGTGACGATGAACGCCACCCGATATCGGTGATGTTCCCGGCGTGTGGCTAACGTCGCCGCGATGGACCCAAGGTGGTGCTGTTGTCCCACAGTCGAGATCCAAGTTTTCTGCGTCTCTGCCTGGAGGGAGAGTCGCTTCTCTTGCGGTGCGGAGAGAAGTAGGGCTTGATAATTACTAGGCTCTGGCGAACTGAGGCCTTGGAGTGACCCAGACGTGATATATTCCTCGACAAGGGCATGGCTGACCGTTCCTCCATACCCATACGAACACACGGCAGCGCGGCGAGGGTTGTCCGACACCGGCCACTCTTGGGTCTCACGCACCACGCAGAGCCCAGTTTGATCCCAGTTCATGCGCGAGTTTAAAGTCTGGAGATTGGCCTGCGGTGGTAGAATGCCCTTTTGAACGCTCAGAACTGCTTTGATGAGGCCCACCACGCCGGCCCCGGCCTCAAGATGGCCAACATTCGGCTTGACGGAGCCGATGAAACAGGGCTGGTCGGCAGATCGGCAGCTCCCATAGACGGCTGCGAGAGCGGAGATTTCTGTTGGGTCTCCTAATGGGGTTGAGGTGGCGTGGGCCTCGATGTAATCGACAGTAGAAGGCCTAATGTGAGCGTTGCAAAGGGCGTTCCTAGCCACTAGCTCTTGGGCCTTGGCATTGGGGGTCATGATGCCATTTTTGGAGCCATCGTGGGCCACTGCACTCCCTTTGAGGATGGCAAGAATGTGATCGCCGTCGCGCAAGGCGTTGGCCATACTTTTAAGAATAACAATAGCGGCCCCTTCGCCGCGGCCGTATCCTTGTGCGGCTTCGTCAAAGGAGCGACAACAACCCTCTGGGGACAGGGCCCCAGCTTGTTCAAGTACCCTTGTTAATCCAGGGCCACAAAGGGCATTGACTCCACCAGCAATAGCTACTGTAGACTCCCCTTGAAGAATTACCCGTCTTGCATGGTCAATGGCGACCAACGAGGAGGCACAAGCAGCGTCGACCGCGGAACTGGGCCCCATCAGATTCAGATGATAGGATATCCGGTTCGCCACGCCACAGTACGCAGTGCCAATGCCCATCCATGCGTCAATGCCCGGCAGATCCTCTAACATCAACCTGGAGTAGTCATCTGAGTTAACGCCTATGAAAACGGCCGTGTTGGAGCCAGAAAGGCTCTGGGGCGCAATGCCGGCATTTTCCAGGGCTTCCCATGTCACTTCTAATGCTACCCTCTGCTGCGGGTCCATTTGCTCGGCCTCCGCTGGCGAGATCTGAAAAAAGGCCGCGTCAAAGTCCTCCAGGTGATCGAGGAAATATCCACGATGGTTCATCTGATCTAAGAGACGCGTGTTCCGCGCATCTCGATGCCTGTAAGGCTCCCATCGCATCGCGGGTATGTCTCCGGTGGCGTCGACTTTGTTGAGAATAGATTGCCATAAGTCTTCTGGGGAGTTATTGCCCCCCGGAAGGCGGCACCCCATCCCCACCACTGCTACTGCATGGCAGGTCTGGTCCTGAAAAGAATGGTTACTAACTGATACGCTAAATGCGAGCTTGTTGATAGGAATAGCCATGAATCAATCAACGAACTTACAGCAATGCCGGTGTCCAGCGTTACTACACCTTCCTCAGCCCGTGGCGCAGCCTTGGGACGTGGTTCAAGGAGTGTTAATCTTGTATCATCACCCATGGTCTTAGTAGACATCAATGCGTTGTATACGAAACCAATAGCATGAGCTAAGGCCTCTTGGGTAGTTCATGAGCACGGATGTAAAGAAGTAGATGTAGATGTAGACAAGATTCACTACAATGGGCCTATTTATACATTTAAATGGATCATCTTCCATACAAGATCCGTTTGCAGGGACTGTATCTTCGACATTATGGTGATGTCACTATATCACGCCGTACCGTGCGAGGAAGAATTTCATCACATCTGATCCGCTGCTTCATACGCAGAACGACACAGCTGCTCTCAATATCCTTGGATTTTGGAGTGTACCCACAGAACTATAGGTGACAGAGCAAACAGAGCATGGGCTGTACATACACAATAGGACACCCTTTAGGATTTGGTGGAGCTACCAAATAGTGGCATGGCACGGAACTGCATCTGTAAAATGGCGCATACATACCAAAGCTAGATAATTCAAGTCCTGCTGTGATCCTGACATATTCTGTCATCCTCACCCGCCACCCCTGCTGCGTACGGAGATGTGTACTGGGAACAACCGGTGATCCACTATCGCATATGCCTTGGTACGAAGTATAAGGAACAGAGTTTAGATGACCCGTCCCCTCTCCTCTCCTTCCCGTACTCATTACTCGTGGGTGTAGTTGCCACATTGCCCCCTATTTTCAGAGGATGTAGAGACGGTGCGAGGTTCAAGATCATTGTTTAGAACTTAATTCTGGGGTTGAAAAAATATCCTTTTGGAGACCATGGTACCTATGCAGTTGGCTGTGTTGCGTTTTCTTTAGCGATAGTGCTTTTGGTTGAACCGAAAGGTAAAACCCATATTTAGTATTTAACTCCTTTGATTTACGTTAGGTTCCTTTCCATAAGATAAACTGTCCACCCACGGAAATAAGCTCCCGTAGTTGGTGAATGGGCAAATGTACATCTGGGTTTGCCACTATTACAGTAATACTTATTACTGTTAAAATGGCCAGCCAACCAGAAACCTGAGAACATGTTCCCTGCTGCAACATCCTCTACTAAACTTAATGATAGGATATTTGCGACTGTTATGTAGCATGATGCGGAGCACCCCCCCACAATATTCATGCCTATAGCCATTGAAACAGTCTCTAATTCAGCTGCCTTGTGACCTACACTATCGCTTTGGCGGACGAAAAAAAAGTATTTAATTTACAGTTTTTGCAGTCCTCATGGTGGTTCTCGCTGACTCAGGGATGGCTATGTCTAAAGTTTGGACCCACCCTAACTCTAGGGCTTTTACGGCCTATGGATAAATAACTCAAAGTTCAGCATGCATGTACTAATACCAGAAGCCAAAATATGCTTTTTATATGTAGCGGTGATTGTTGGAATCAAGGATATGGGAGAGAGAGAGAAGTGTTACATTCTACCTGTTCTAGTTCCAGAGGCGAGAGGGCCAAGGAATTACCCAAGGGGTCAGACTCGCCAAGTCAGCTTCAAATCCAAATCATTATCTGTTCTATCCTGCATGTTTTCATCTGGACTAGTCTCGTGGTATCCAGAATCAGCAGCAATGATATGCCTTATATCTTGGATTCTTCGCCCAGGAACCTGACATACCATCGGAGACGAAGGCCGTTGGGGTCCAGTTTCACAAGGTACTTGTCATGTTCCATTGTGGACCAGACTGCCCAACGTGTTTTGGTCTCTCTTCCAACTTGCTCCCAAAGCCTGGAGAAGGTTTTAGAGTTATGACGGTACATAGGATCTTTGCTAATAGGGTCCTCTTTCCAAATCCCAGTCTCCGCACTCCCAAAATGCACTCCGGTAATGATATCATCCTTTTGCAAACACAATGACTTGAGAATGCGCTTTGCCACTTTAACCTGGCCATCCCAATTCCATAAATGCATGAAGTAGCCAGAATTAACAACCTTGTGGCGATTGGCCCATTGCATCAGATTGAGACGATAGTCAAAGAAATCTTGGGCGATAAAGGTAGTTGAACTCAGTCTGTCTCGGTCATGGAAAAGTTCGAACCCGAGATCAATGTATTCCTGATAAAGATCAAGACCAATAATATTTTCTGGCGGTGCACCGTCATAAACAAGGCGGCGTATATCTTGACCTAAGCCACAACCCAAGTCAAAAACCACACTACCATTCTTCACACGGGACAGTATTTCATCGTATATTGGAGACTGGGCTAGGTCAAAGTGCAAAAACAAGCACATCTTAAAGCAAGGGTAATGTAACTTGTCCCATCCTCGTTTTGCCTGTGGTTTGTTAGGATCAAAGGATATACAATAAGGGCGAGATATATAACGCACTATGGCTCTTATATGGCCCTCGATTTTTTCAGGCGGTATTTTGGCATATTCTGACAACAACCTTCCTGCATCTCCAGAGACAAACGGTGCAAGACTGAAACCGAGGTCCCAGGCTGAAAAATCTGTACTTTGTTGAGACATGGTTTCGTGTTCTGACATATTTGAATACTAGTGATTTGTGAATTGAAAGTCTACATCTCAGGTCTTATAATGGAGAAGAGAGGGTAGATTGAATGAGTAAGCCGTGGGGGGCGCCCTTATCTACCAAATCAGTGGTGTATACCTATCTCTCTGCATTTTCTCCAGCTTCATTACGCATGGCAACATCATCATCCTCAAGGATATGTTGCCACCGGCGCATGATCTATTGATCCCTGCTGTATGTGACTGGGGCTGCCAACGTCATTTTCTAGAAAATATTTTTCCTCGGGTAAAAGGTAGAGTTTGGTAGTTTGAATTTGATTTGTTTCTAGATTTAAGTTCAAGGCAACCCACTTGTTCGACAGTGGCGTGCGGGAGGCACAAGGGAACTGTCGATCTGGTACCGGTGTCCTAACTCAGACTCCGTGTAACTTGTCCGTACTAGGGTGCAAGAAAGTTTCCAGCGCATTGTGACAAGGAGAAGCGCTCGTCTTCTCGTTTCCCTCCTTTTTACCTTTTATCCCTTAGGCTATTTTCAAGATACTTGACGAGGAGGGGACTGGTGCGTCTCCTCGTGGCCCTCTTTCTATGTGCGGTGTGGAGTAGTGGAATAGCCAGGCGGCTTCATGGTTATTTGCTTGAGATGTTTACTTGATCCCCTTGGGCGCGATTTAACGTCTTCTTTTAAGCAGAGGAACCAATGGATTCCTACTACGCCTCTAGCTTGAAACCAAGCAGGTAATCCCTGTAGATGGATTATGGGTTATTTGGTCTCTACTGATACTAGCGTGGTCTTCTAATCTGATATAGTATGCCTATACTAGCCGCAGAGTTCCTTGATAATGCTAGATTATTTTTTTCAGGCTCCGGTACCGCAGCTCTAGATAAAATAGCCTAGGTACTTTCAACGCAAACTAGTGTCACTAAACCATTCGGGCACCTAAAAGCCCATGGGCTCGTGGAGAGCCATAAGTGGTACATATACTGCGTATCTATACTGACAGCTGATAGTTTATATCTTAATATTTTAGTCGCTAATTCACAACCTGTTCTTCTAAGGGAGCACAGGGCAATTAGACGGGCAAGATTGGGCTACCTGTCCGATTTGTTCTCTGGCCGCTGGTCAAGAGCTAGAATAGAGTGCCTGATGTAATCAACTACCGAGCGGCGGATTTTTCACCGTGACCACCACTTAAGTATTGTTCAACGCATTTTTTCTTCATATCTATCATATAAAATGCTACTTTCTCCAGAAACGCGCCTTCGGATGGCTATACAGGCCTATGAAGTTCAAAAGATAAAGTCAATTTTAAAAGCTACTGAAGTCTATAGGGTACCTGAGAAAATTCTCCATGCGCGCACAAAGGGCCGAAAACCACGCGCAGAAACACGCGCTAATAGTCATAAATTGACTAAATTTGAAGAAGAGCCGCTTAAAAAGCGATTATTAGATATAGATAGGCGGGGATTTCCAATTAGACCTGAGTTTCTACGTGGAATGGCCCAAATACTGCTTTGTAATCATTTACAGATCACTGAAGAATGCTACGGCACCATCACGATAAATACCGTATTCTTACTATTTTCGAGGGTTGGTGGGACGGAACATGATATTGTGCTTGAGTGTCCGTTTTATAAGAGCTCAACTCCAATTCCCAGTTGAATTTTTCTTAGAAGATCGGAAAACGTATCTGGGGATATAGAAAATAAAATTTACAGTCAGAAGTTTGCGATAATATGAAGTGGGATAAGTTTGTCAAGTCAATCATGGGCAGGCCTTACATTTCCTCTACTAGTCAGTACGGATAGTTATGGAGGAGCATTGAAAACCGCAGCCTGGATTTGTTATCTGTTTGAGAAATACTCCAGTACTGTGTTGCTCATCCTCATTCGTCCCACGTGGAAGAGTCGGGTTGCGATGAGGAGGCAGGATTTCTACGAACCAAACTGTTCCCCCGTTGGTGTAACGCAGCTATTTACTACCTGGTACCACTGAGTTTCAAAACACGTGAGATACGGTAGGATAAATATTCCAAGGTTTGGAGATATAGATTACTGTCAGACAGTATTTACTCGTGACATGCAACTCAAGATAGGCCTCATGTGGCAATATTCGACTTAATGCGATACTCTGGCGTTTTGAAATCATCGCTCTTCCCCTCTCAAAGGGTTCTTGACGTGGTAAAGCATATATTTCTCGAGTATAACGCTTTCAAGGGCCACCTTCAACTCCTCTAGAATATCCGCTGGGAAATCTGGTACGTTTCGAATTTCTCCAGTGAGTTTAGAGCTATCGGCAGTGTATGTATGCGTCTATTGCTGCTCTAGCAAGTAGCATTCGAACTGTATCTCTTAGGTGAATGACTTGCGGCATCAGCACGATCAGGAGTTACAGCGAAATTCAGAATCGGTGCCCGGATCTTATACACTCCCATTGTAACTCAAGACCTAATGCCACGAGGAGCTAAGCCATCTTTGGAAAATCTTAGTGTATCCTCTCCACCTTTTAGTTAAAGATCCATGGATTTCTGGAATACCGGATTGACAATTAAAGAAGGGTGGTGCAGCCTGAACATGAAATATTTGGGCTTCGCATACTATTGGTAGAAACTCACGTTTTCCTTTGCTCTTCCTCATCCTACATCGTTTTGAGGCCGACAACGGGTCGAGTCTTCCAGTAGATAAATCTGCGACGGCATACGCAATAATGCTTGTCGATCTTAAATAGACTCACTACTGCCACGTTCGATTCTTCTTTGTCCATGTCCCTTCCGCCACTGCTCCAATCCAAGCCCCAGATGGGAATCCTCCCTAGAAAGCAATGCTGTGCACCCATGGCGAGGGCTTTGAAAATGTCTGAGCCTCTTCGAATCCCACCATCGACCGCAATTCTTATTCTTCCTTTGGCAACAAGCGCACATTCTCGAAGTGCATCCAGCGGGGAGGGTACCCCGTCTAGCTGACGACCTCCGTGGTTTGAAATGACAACGCCTTCGACGCCATATTGAACGGCGAGCTCGACATCTTCAGCAGTAGAAACTAAAACAGTTTGATGAGCATATTGTGCGTACACTAACGAGATATTTATTTCTGTAGGACGTACCTCCCTTGACCCATATTTGGAAGGGTGTCGTTTGCCGAAGCCAAGGTATTATAATGTGCCATTCAATACTTGCATCTAGAATTCTGTCAGTGACCCTTGTCATTATACTTTGGATAACTCGATGGTGAACATACCAAAGTCCATGCCACTGACCTGCCCGAAGAACGCCTCTTTCCCCCTAGAGAGCAAATTGGGCCAGCACAGATTTCCAGGGATGACGAAGTCGTTGCGGTGCTCATCAATTCGCTTGCCTAAAGTTGGGCAGTCCATGGATAGAAAAACCGCTAGATACCCCGCGTCTGGATGTCGGGCATTAGGACTCATGGTTGAAATGACAAGGGAACACGGTGGTGAGACACACCCTCAGCCCTTCTTAGAATCTGCTTCATGAGTGCTCGGTCTTTTAGCATTATCATGTGTATTCCATAGGGATTCGCACTGCCTTGTCGCGAGACGTCCTCCAGTGACACAGTGGAGTGCATCGCTAAGACCATGCCGAGATTCCTGCTAGCAGCCGCCCGAGAAGTTGCCAGCGCGCCATCTGGATGAGCTAACCTTTGCATACCCGTTGGCCCAAATGAAAATGGCAAGGGTACCCAAGTGAAACTTCGGCGACGCTCGTGAGGCAAGCATAATGCATTAAGATGAAGTACATACCTTGGCGCCGAAGATCTCCGAAGACATATCGATATCTTCGACATTTACCAAAGTGCGTGGTCTGATTTTATACCGGTTGTATGCCTCTTCATTGTCCCGGAGCCTGTCATGCACTTTAGCTGTGGCGTCCTTTCTGTTATGTAGCTTTTGCACATGTTCGGACTATACGTTACTAGATCCATCGCGCCCTCATCGTGGAATTCTGTGAATACATCTTCAGTAAGTAGAAGGTCGACAACCACAGAGTTGGATGAGCTAGTAGGGTACCTGCATAGACCTTTGGTAGGTTCTTACTAGCACTATCTTTTAAATCTTTGACTGTGACCACATTTCTATCCCTCGTTCGCTCGCGATTCATGTTGATCATCGAATATAGAAAGGTCAATAACAAGGAGTCATAGGTAGTTGAATGATTCAATGAAAAACAGGAGTGCCCCGTCACCAATGAGGGCCAGTCTAAAGGATGTATTTATCTAATTGAAGAGTAATCCCAGATAAGAACAACGATTCTACACGCCACTTGTCCGGAAAGTCGTAAGAAATCACCAAATGGACGTTTCCTTGCGTCACATAGCACACTCGACGACTAACCTAAAGTTAGCCCGAACAGATAGAACAATATTGGGGGTTGGGGGTTGGGGGTTGGGGGGACGTGTGACTGTCGGTCTTCAGCGTGTATCCTTTCCCCTCATGACATTAACTGGCTGTATACAGGTCGCTGTAGGACGGGACACGGGACGTCATAGCCTTGCCACTCCAAGCTTAGAAAAATCCACTTCACTCAAATCTTTCAAGTTAACATGCAAAGGAGGCCTAGTCGAGCGCATTTCACCGGTAAAAAGACGCGTGTTCAACTGTCAGGCCTCAAGGTAAGGGTATTGGCGTACCAGAGGCCATTGTCGTAAAGTTAATGTAATTTTGGTTGGCATATGAGAGGTCACCGAGATTTATTGGTATGTCAAGGTTCTGTCCTTAGTGTTCCTTGGCGTTCAAAGAGCTTGGGTCAGCCCGAAAGGTTGTGTGGTAATGTAGGTTGAGTGCGATGCAAAGAGCTGACAGTTTGGCCCACACAGTGCACGTACCAGGGTTTGAGAAAAGATAAATAAAAGGTCGTCCCACTCTGTCGGTACCAGACTCTGTGGAAGGCGCCATTGGTTGCCACTAATTGAGAACTCCCCACTGTCGACGAGGAGGAGTTCTGGATTGGGTTGGGTTGAACTGAATGTCGCAGGCGTCAAATGTATCCACTTGATTTAGCATTTCGGGAAGTATAGATTTCGTAGTTCAATCGGCTCCTGAGAACCCTAAACTTCATACCCGCCCTCAAAAGTTTTCTGCAGGTGAGCTGACCAATTGGATGCACTGAAGATATGGAGTCCCGTGGACTGATGCACTTTGCCTTAGCTAACTTATAGCTGGCACCGCGGCTACATGAGAAGGCTAGAAACGGAGGCGGTGGGGCCAAAGCTGGCGATGATCACACATCTGTCGTAGAGAACCTGAACCCCCTCCCTACTTGATGGAATCATATGCAAACAAGAGCAATTGATAGTTTAGGATTTCTCACTAACATCACTCCTCGGGCTTTGCGTGATTTTTTACAGTTTGCAAATCACTGTCTCTGTCATAATGGAGACTACAACTTCGCTTGCTCGGAGCGAGTCAGAACCCTTCTAGGTGGGCCGCCTCGGCTTCCATCACTACTAGCACTGGCCATTGGTTTATCTGTCGGCTTAAATACCCAGCGAGCGCGATGGATACCTGGTGTTTTATCTTCAAAGATATCGGAGACATGTCCGCATATGACAGGTAGGAACTTGAAACAGCTAGAACAATTTAGCCTTCGCAAGTAGTATGGTTAGGGCAAAAGAGCAACGAGCAAAAATAGCCGGAGTTTATGATACTTACTGGCCACTATCCCCAGTGGCTAAAAACAAGCCAGAAATGCTAGGGTGATAGTCAACAATAAAGTCTCCATTTCTGGTGTCAGAGTACCAGCAAAGTTTGCGCTTTATCCATGGACGGTCCTTGAATCGAGGCAGTAGCAGAGTGAGGCCAGCACGGAAAGCCGTATCTGCCTCATCAGGGATGAAATTAGTAGTGAAATGGCTTTTGACTAACTTTGGGGCAGATGTAGAGCTCCATGGCTGGGTGCATGGTCGAGATCGGGCCACCATTGTCGTCTCATATCCATAGTCGTGTCTTGCCACTTTCAAGATACCATTGGGTGTCGGTGGAAACACAAACACGCCCGATGGTAAGTTGCATATCACTGGCTGCTTCGATAACTCGGCTGTCTCATCCTTGGAAAGTTGAATAGAAGCAACTGGGTTGCAGGTTAAGACGGCCGCTCCACGAAGGTCCAAGAGATGGCTTGTCCATGATCCAGTTGCCAGGATCACTCGAGCACAGGGCAAAGTCTCTCCGGTAGCCACCTTGACACCAACTAGCATTTTCTCCTTCAGCACCAGCGACACAACTGTCCCCCTTTCTCCAGTGGTAAAGGAGACACCAGCGTCAACGCATTTACGTGCAAATACCTCCATAACGCGCTCCGCATCGACCCAACCACAGGCATGGTTGGCGTAGCCGTTTACATGCTGAGGCGGATCTCCATCAAAGCAAGGTCCGAGCTCTGCAAACCTAGTAAACACACGAATTTAGAGTGGGCCTCTGATCCCAGTGGCTTCGTGAAGCCATTGGCAACCATATCAGTTGTAGAGATCTGTTTGATATGAATAATACCTTAGTCAATCAGATTGCGCGTGTAGTGATATCAAATATCAATATGCTTAGACCGCTTGATCTGTATATTAGAGGTAGTAAGGTCAATTGCGCCTTTATTGTCCATATGCATACTAGATGCGGGTGACTCATTGAATAATTGAAGGCCCCTGCAACATTTGATTACTTTCGGAATTCCTTTAGACTCTCTAGACCAAGATATATGTAGGGGTGGAATGGATTTCCCTTATTCGAATTCGAAAATACCTGGAAGGACTGTTGAATACCACGGTGGCTGAAGTTTATGGCAGGGATTTGGAACAGGTATATGAAGCATCCCGCCTCTGTAAAATATAATGTGGACCGGTTACCTCTTAAAGTTTGTACTCTCTGAATCCAACAAAGATCCTGTTGCTTTTCTCACTCGCTTCGATCAGTAGTATAACATTTAGTATTGTAGGTTCAATGCTTTGTATAATAATCGGTCCTAGGTTTCTAGGTAATGGATTATATAGGCTGTATATTCAGAGTTTATTTCTGGGGCGATTCCGCAGCAAAGTGAAGGCCAGATTTCCGCTCAGCTACACCAGTATATAGAGGTACAGCATGTCTCTGCTGTTTGTAATGTAACCCTAAGGTGGTTAGAGATGTGTCCTAAGATACCTATACCTTCGCAGCCGGTATCTAGAAGCTCCGGCAGGACCGTATTATAAGTATAATGAAAGAACTCCGCCACCGAAATAGGGTTGAGGATAGCCACAAATTCACGGATGGCAATATTACTACTGCTAAGGATATCTCGACTATATTCTGTCTCTCCTAGGTTTCTCACTAAGGGGTTCCGCAAGTCGAAGGGGTCGATAGTGATCCAAAAGGCAGGCACCCTATACCGTACGATAATTTCTCGGATTTCAGAACATAACAATAACTTTCGGGCGAATGATCCCGGGTCGCGTGTTCCAATGGTCGTAATGTTTTGTTACAGTCGTCAGATAAGGGGATCCTCGATTCCTTGACTATCTGCTACAGTTCTCACTGCTTGTAGTAGTTTGTCGAGTGTTAACGAATCGACACCATCCGCAGCTGATCTCCAATTCTGGCGCTTGGTAAGAAATTGGTTCCCCAGTGAGGACTTTCAACAGCGCATGGCCGAAAGTACAACCCTTTCTCTCACTTCGCTTCAGGGCGAGGAACCCCCTTTTACTCGTTCATTGTTTCAGGGCATTTTCCCCCCTCTCCAAAGTAGGTTAGTGCCCTTAGGTTTTTCGACATGTTTGTCCCGTAAAACAGATAGAAAGGGAGGGGAGCTAGGAAAAGAATAATTTCCATCACAAGTTTCATTGTTTGGCAGAGACGAAAAGAGCTGCCTGCCAGCGTTAAGGGCTAATCACATTATACGGATTGACTAGGTAGTCCTCTACCAATGATGACTGGCTCTTCTGGTGGGTCTAGCGAACAAACTTTCACTACGGCTACAACTCTTCCACTACAAATAACTAGCTGTAGTCTCTGGTTGCATCTCTCGTTCGGCTAGTGGCGAATGGGTCTCCAGTCCGGAGGTTGCGGAGAAATAGGATTTCCGCGATTTCATGGATTGCTCTGTTAGTGCCACTACAGTATCATCTAGGACTTATCTTAGCCTGTTTTTCAGGCGTACTGTACGGTAACTTAAGTTTCCTAGCCTACATTATGGAGTACAGACAGAAGCAACCCCCCCCTCCATCAGGGTGTTACTTGGGCCCCACACGTGCACGCGTTGAAGTAAATTCACTGAGTTGCTGCGGAGGTTTGTTTTTTTGGTTTTTTTTTTTTTTTTTTTTTTTTTTTTTTTTCTTTTTTTTTTTGGCTTTTTTTTTTTTTTTTTTTTTTTTTTTTTTTTTTTTGGAGCATTCCGAATTGCAAGCAAACAAAAAAAAGGGGGGAAGCCATGATATGGATGCTCTAAAGTACTATACTAAACACAGCCATTCCAGATATCATAGTATGTAACTCTTGTTCTCCAAAAACAACATCCTCAATGGTGGAACTCCTCTTTGTTGAAAGCGGGAACGGAAATGAGTTAGCCAACATTGAGTTATAAGCCACTATCAAACGATTGCCGCCGATGCTCTGCGGTCAAGGTCCATGTTCGAGTCTCCCGGATAATTCTCGACTGGCTCGTCTGGCTATCGGCATCCCAGTCGGGCGGCTCGTGAGTGGCCTTGATGGTCGTCTCGTTCGCAGGTCGAATGGGCAATTCGTCTGCGTCTTTGCTTCGGGTGCCGTTGCCCGTCAAACTGCGCAGATTGGCCGAGGCGTCCTTCGAGCCGTAGCTTCGGTAGTAGCGAGTGCCCATGCCGTCGATCCGCATGCCAGAGTTTTGTAGGCTGTCCAGGAAGGGCTTGAACTGTGGGGAGCAAGCGGTGATGATGCTCACACAGAGGGTAACTTGGTTGATCACCGTCGCCGCCCAGGTGCCGTAACTGGGGTCCGGATTGTTGGCGGTAAGGTTGACGAAGACGAGCCAGACGATAGTCGCAATAACAGCACTATAATGGTTAATGGATGATACAGGTTGGATGGACGTTTATTCAAACAGAACTCACAATATGCGGAGCCCCAAGACCATCATAATGTTTATCTTCCGTTGAAGACCGGCCTGGATACGCGCAATTTGCAGGAACATCTGCATGAGGACAGCCACTTCGGTAACAATGCTTGATATACCGAAGAAGTTCTGCCACGCTTGCTGTCGAGGCGAGACACGATCAGCGACAATCCAAGAAAAGACGGCACGGTAGATAACCGACTATATTATAGCATTTCCCGTTCATATAGTCCCATGTCGATGGCGGAGCGCACTGGAAGACGGCGGTGAAGAAGCAGGCTACCCCCCAGGCACATATAGCAATGCAGAGCGCCAGTGTGATCCGGCGGTCGGTGGATACGGGCGTGATGGCTCGTATGAACATGGCGAAGGATAACTTGGATAATACCAAGGCAATGATGTAGAACAGGCTCGCCGCATATTGGCTCTATCTGACCATTAACATCTCATTTCCGTGATAGTCTTCATAAATAAGACCTTCATCATCGCTCTTCTCTGATCCCTGCTCAAGGCACCGAAATGTTCCCCGTACCCATTTTCCGTCGCCTTGGACATAGCGACGGTTTGGGCGGCAACCGCTATCTGGAGCGATGCATTAATCCAAGACGCTATTCGATTTTGGGTGGAAAGTACTCACTATGGCCCCAACGATGGTTGTATCATCGCGGGAAAATCGGCCGGAAATCCAGTACTTGGTCCCCAGGCGCGTCAACACGCCGAGACTGGCGACCACGGTCAAAAACCAGGTCGCGATATTGACAGATGGCATATATGTGTTGCCTGCGAATCTGGTCATGATTGCGGTGGCGGGTAACGTACTGCCAGGGACACGACACGGCGATGGCGGATGGTTGAGGGATCAGTCTCACCATATAATCGAGGTGAGCAACGGCATGGAGAGCGCCACCATCGTGAATTAGTAGTTGATGCTAGGGGCTAGGCTAAACTACCAACTAGCACGACTATTGCTCATCGACTATGGTAGGGACAACTGACAAATGCTCAGCTGCTTTGTACTTTGGTCTCTCCAAGCCACATCGGCACCACCAGTTTTTTGCGCGATCCGGTAAATGCTAGGTAGCATCCAACGGGCCCATTGGTGGATGTCGGACTGTGATTGGTCCAAGCTCCATCACCCTGGTCAATGTCTACGAATTCCAGACGAACAAAAGCCCTCGTTTCAAACCATGCAGGTGTTTTAGCCCCCATTATTAGTGATCCTTCTGGGCGTGCTCTTTGCCAAGATGCAAATGATACCATGCGTTGCCCCCACCGCCTCGTGGCCTGTTGCAATTAATATACCCGTTGCTTTGGAGATGGAATTTCAATCGCACTAAGAAGCCCTACCATGCTGGTCCTGTACTCGCTAGCCTACTCGGTTTTACTAATGGACCTACTGACAATTGCAACTTTCTCCCCCACCCCCCTATCTCTTGCGTAAGGTCCGGTGGTCAGCCTGGGCAATCCCTAGTGGCGGCTCCACGCGCCTTGACTCTCAGGTGTTTCGACTGATTCTTTCTTGAGGTTGTTTATTCCCTCCTTCACTTTCCTGGCCGACTTTTTTTTTTTTTTTTTTTTCCTTTTGCTTTCCCCTTTAGAAGTTGTTTCTTTGCGCCGGGAATATTGCTCAATTGGCGACCATGGATCCAGTCGAACTCAAGAGCATCGGTCATGCCTCGCGGGAGGTGGATGGAGGAAACTCAAGGAAGGACCGCGATGCGGCCCATCTCGCGCGGGTTGGAAAGCGTGCTGTACTGGGAGTATGTACTTGGCCAACAGCCCTGACTAACAAAGGGCGCAAACTGATAATACATAGCGAAATTTCGGTCTGATGTCCATTCTGGGTTTCAGCTGTACCATTTTGTGTACCTGGGAAGCAATCTTTCCGTATGTGATCTCCCATTTATCTGTACTGTGGACCGTCAACTGACAAAGAAATCATATAGATCCTTCTTGCAAGCGTTTCAGAAGTATAAATATATATATGCCCTCCCTGGAAGCAGGAATCTTGATGTCTTATGTCTAACGACATGTTAGTGGTGGTCCAGCCGGTGCAGTTTACGGCTATATCCTCGTCTGGATCGGAACCGCGGGGAATTTTCTGGTTTTGTCGGAGTTGGTTTCTATGTAAGGGCGCTTTTTCTAAAAAAAAAAAATATCGTCGCAACACTGCCATATCTGACGATCTTCTTAGGGCTCCGACCTCGGGCGGACAGTATCACTGGTGCTCCATGTTAGCGCCTCGCAGGTTCATGAAACTTTCCAGCTACGTTACAGGCACGCAAAGTCAAAAAAAAAAAAATAGATGGGGTCTTCTGTCTGACATTCTCCAGGGTGGATGGCTGTTGTCGGATGGCAGGCCACTTTTGCTTCTCTCTGTTACATCGATGGCACTTTGATACAGGCAGCGGTAATCTTGACGCATAGCGAGTATGTTCCAAAGAAGTGGCACACATTACTCATGTCTTGGGCCGTGCTTTGCTTTGCGCTCTTCGTCAACTCGGTTGGTAGAAAAGTGCTGCCGAAGTTCGAGGGTTTCGTTCTGATTCTGCATATCGTCGGTTTCTTTGCCATCTTGATTCCGATGGTCTATCTCGGCGATCACAATTCAAATGAGTGGGTCTTTAAGACTTGGAACAATTACGGGAACTGGAGTACGCAGGGACTCTCTTTCTTCGTTGGTCTTCTGGGCCCGGTCGCTACCTTTGCAGGAGGTGATGCCGCTATTCACGTATGCCGCGGACTCGTCTTACGAACATCAAAGTACTTTGCTAATCGAAGAATGATAGATGGTCGAAGAGATCGAGAACGCTACCAAACTAGTGCCCTGGTCCATAATGCTGAGCGTTCTGATCAACGGCTCGCTGGGATTCGGAATGCTACTCGCCGCCTTGTACTGTGTCAGTGATGTCGAAGCGGCCATAAATTCCGCCACTGGGTACCCCTTCGTTGAGATTCTTCTCCAAGCCACAGGCTCCGTCAGCGGAACGGCTGTTCTACTTGCTGTCTCTATCATTCTTAATATCAGTGCCTGTACTGGTATGCTGGCAGCTAGCTCCCGCCAGTTCTGGTCCTTCTCGCGTGACCGTGCTATTCCCGGTTGGCGCATTTGGAGTTACGTGTCAAAGAAGAATCTCATTCCTATCTACTCCGTCGCCATAACGTGCGTTATTTCGGCGGTCCTCAATTTGATCCCACTTGGGTCCGCTGTTGCCTTCAACGATCTGCTTGCCATGTCCGTTACTGGTCTGTTCCTTTCGTACATCATCTGCACTGCCCAGCTCCTGTACCGCCGGATCCGAGGCGAAGTCGGCCAGGCTACTGGCGGCGATGAGGTCGTCAACACTGCTGGCGCTAAGTTGGTCTGGGGTCCCTTCTACATCCCAGGTACCTTGGGCATTATCAACAACGCTTGGGCGCTTATCTACATGGTTGTCATCGTATTCTTCAGTTTCTGGCCGCCGGCCACACCAGTCACCGTTGAGACGATGAACTTCAGTGTCGTTGGAACGATGGGAACACTGATTCTGAGTCTGTGCTACTACCTGGTGCGTGCCAGGAAAGTGTATGAAGGCCCGATCATCGAAGTCCAGAAGAATTGGTAGGCGTACTTTTCTCTGGAACGTTTATTATTTCGCACGCTTATTGATTGATATTATTATACTGCGTTCATATCTTTTAAATCTGGCGGCATTAATCTGTCACATTTCTGCCTAACAGTACTGTCCTCCATTACAAGATAATTATGTAGCTTAGAATTTTTATAATATTTATACAAGATATAATTAGTTTTTTCCGCGTTGCCTGAAATCTCCAGACCCACAAGAAGGGGTGGTGATAAAATTTACGTGAAAAGTGTCTAATTAGAGCAAGAGTACCTTTCACAGGGGTCTGGATGCTGCGAACCCTACTTGTAAAAGGCGCCCAGTTTACAGAACTATGCCATGAAGGCGTTTAGCTGAGCCAACCTGTCGCAGATCTACCACCCAGAATGTCGGTATCGAGGGAACGTTCGCAAGTGCTGTATGTACTACCTCTATATAAGGCATTAATTTACTAACTTTTGCTTGAATCTCTAGGCATCTGATACATCGACGAAGCTAAGGAGCTTTACACAGGAAGTATGGGAGCCCGAAGCTTCTCCGACTTCTTACACTTTCGCGTCTTCCCTTTCAGTTTATCGAGCACCCACAATTCCATGACGTGATTTCCTTTTCCCGACTCGCACCTATGCAACCTGAGCTTCCGTCTGCGAAGACAATTCGGTCTCGGCTACGGAGCCATGTGAAAGAACAACAACAATCGCTTCTTCAGAAATTCCTAAATGTAAAGCTGTCGCTTGCACTAGACTGTTGGACATCCCCATTTCGACAGGCGTCACAGGCATGCAGCGCTCAAGAAACAGTCACCCACATGATGGTCGACTGTCCAAACTTGAGGTAAATGCGGAGAGAGGTAAGCCTGACATCGCCTCTCGAGCTAAGACGGTGGAAGCCGTGTTGGACACTACAAAGGCGTCACAATTGTTCCGAAGTCGCGCCACACATGGGCAGCCTAACAATGCAAATGGCAATTAAGCCACTCTACATGTACGTACATGGATATGTATAGTTGCTGTAGCCTGCATTTCGTTTCGCAATAGGATCCTATATTAGATGATACAATGTGATATATGATTGTGATGTGTATCCTGCATAGAACGGGCAGGCTACCGCTGGTTGCCTGATAAGGCCAGTGCGTAAAGTAACAGGTCCCAGCAGCCTGCTATATTAGCTGCACCTGCCCCCATTGATAGTTAAGAATATTATCACAACTGAACGCCAGTTTGGAGTTCTAACTTCGGTAAGGATCGGGGTAAATGATGGTATCCATCCATCCATTCATTACCATTGATCATATACTCTGCGATCGCGGATCGACTCTCCAAGTCGGGGATATCCTCAATTCCGACAGATAGTCGACGTGCATAATCAAGCCCGGTCTCATCCATATGTTTCCCCTTTATTCTTAAAAAGAGCCATGTTACCCAAGAGTCCATTATTGCCTCTGAGCGATCTTATCATAGTTTGTTGGTTGCGTTAGCTTGAACCAAGAATCCATGCCTTATATAACCTTTCAGCTCAGCACCGGCAACAGGCTAATAATACTTACTAATAAGGCTTGAGGCAACACCAGCCACCGCACAACTGATTCCTGAGGTCTGGACTCGACACCACGCATTCCTACGACACTGAACCCTTACTGAAATTTTATTATTGTTGTGATCTCAGGGGAAAGATGGGCAGAATGAGGCTGTATCAGCTACACATATGTAGCCTACTGAAGACCGGATGCCATTTCGATAGATACTCGATTCTATGGACGACTCTATCGACTATCTTGACCGCTTCTTCTCACTCACTAATGGGTAAAGCCTTCAGGGGCTGAAGAGTTGATCCGGCCAAGCCTCTAGGGGATCACGTGTCTCCTATAGATTCATATCAATTATTATTATTCTTTCATAGCGAAGGTGTAGTGTGTACTACTATAGTTGCATTCTGCTTTCCTAGGGGCCAATTCCTTAACTGCCTGATCCTTAACTCTATTCTACCCAATGCTTTCATTTTCCAACTCTCCGAGTGCGAGAAGATTATATTCTTTGCGCGAATCAACATGACCAATGTTTTGCCACCACTGCTATGTTTGATTCTTCCTTGTATCCGAACTTGTGACTGAATGAACACGGATCTACGTCTCCCAAGGCTTGACTGTCTCCCCTTCGATATATTTTCCCCCAAGTGGTCGCCACATCACCGGATGCGCCGTCGGCGGAATCAGGGCCTCGAGCTCGGCCCATTTTGCTTCCTCCTCCGCTGTCAATCCCTCGGGTTTAATCGGGCCATAGCCACCATCGGCGACCTTGATAAAGCCATTTTTCTGGTACAGCTTGAACCCGGCAGCGCTGGAGTCTACCCACGATTCTAGCTGCAGCTCATCAGCCCTTTTGATGCCCCATTCCAGAAAGAGCTGCCCGACGCCGCAACGCTGGTAATCGGGATCGGTAAAGGCGATGTTGAGATCTAGACCGGGTCAGCATTTCTAAACAATACGAAATCCATGCGAAAGACGACACACATGCATGTGGCCGTTGTGCCATCCTATGGTGTCCCGCCTCGGCTTGGTGCATCGCTTCCGTCACATATCTCCTGGCAATTCCTTCTGGATACCAGGCTGCCTCTGCAGGCTGGTCATTGTTCTCAAAAGGATTACGTTGGTAAAACCACCATTTGGAGCCGCCAACGATCTTGTTTCCATTATCCGTGTCAATTACCTTGACATACATCACTTCTGGTCTTTTTTCTCGATACTCGGCCAGTTCTTTTTCTGCAGCTATCTTGATACTCTTCTCATAGTCGTTATCGATGATAGGGTAAAAAATTCGCAGGATGCCTTGGGGCGGGTTCTCAAAGGCCCTCCATTTGACTCTGATGAGCTCAAGGATGTCTTCATCCAAGGCAACTTCGAGCTTCAATGGCATCCTTTTTTTCTTAGGCCTGCGAATAGTATTATCAGAACTCTTGCAATGTGGACGATGGCGAACAGAACCCGAGTAGGTGCATAAAATTGACATGCAATTTTGTTGAATTACATGAAATTTCGAAATCACTAGTAAATCCACATGTAATATAGAATGTTGGAAAGGTCTACCAAAGCAGAAAAAAAAGTAAAAGGGTTCTGCAGTGAAAAAACCGATCCTGCTTATGTAAAGCGATACCGGAGGATATTAACGTATTCCACGGTCGACTGACTCCCCTGGCGAGTACACTGTGTAACTGATATCGTCAAGCGGCTAGGATAATAGATTTCTACCTTCTCATAGTATCCGGTCCCAGTACCCTCTCATTTCGTGGAGGGGAAGAGAATCCAGGTGGTGCGGGTAGGGCCGAGCCGCAGAGTTTTCCGTGGTTACCGAGCCCGCCCCATCCACAAAAATCAGAGAAAAAGAGTTATAAAAACTACCTGACAATTATCTGCTGAACTCATACTGGAGACCGAAACTTAGCTTATATTCCAGTAAATATGATATACCTAGACAGGAGACAGGATATCTCTAAGCTTAAACACACTCTAAGATTGCGAGACACCTAACAGCTTGAAAACATATATAACATATATTAAACAGCAAGAGAGGATAGAACTAGTTAAGCCGTTAATGATACAAGTCTAGGGAGCAACGGCAGCTTGTGTGGTTAAAGTCCCCTGTTAAGGCTCTGCCATGGGCAACCTTGATCAGATATGCTGACTGTCTATGACCCAGGGACATGTGGTTGTAAGGGATGGGACCCGTAACGTTCGATAAACTATCATTGCTATCAAACAAGAAGAAAACGCTGAGGAAGAAAGAAAAGAGGAGAAGAATCAACAGACGGTGAGACAATGAGGTATGACAGGAAGGAGGGGCAGAAATACACCATATGACGAATACGGAAACGAGGGCCAACGGCCTGAGTATACTAACGGGCTTCAGCCCGCTACAGTGATCTAGCGACGAGCCTCGACGAACTTGTTTAGGTACAGTCACAGGGTTTACATTAGGAGGTCCTTTCCCACTCCTAAAGCTAGGGATGGGATCTGTAGCCAGAACAATGGGGTATGCAAAGTCACTAGCCGGACATTAGGCGATCAATTAAGGCGAAGATGGAGAAAGTAGTCTACAATTCTGGGGTTCCGATTACAGTTAGAATTATTATATTCACACGTTGTTGGGTGGTATCGTTGATGTTGTAATTCGCCTGTTAGGAAAAGATCAAGAATTGGCTGTGAGATAATAGTATAAACTGTATAGAATGGCCACCCTATTCGCCCGATCTCAACCCCATTGAAAACATGTGGTTTCCTCTCAAAGAAGGCATGTATAGCATCGATCCTGATAATGAAAATTACCCGGGGTCTGATAAGAAGAAGGAAGATTGTCTATGAGAAGCGTTAGAATCCGCCAGGGTATCTCAAAAAACATAACAGATAGTATGGACAGGCGAGTTGAGGCGGTTATTCAGGCTAGGGCTGGTATACTAAATACTAGAGTATAGATTTGCTGATTTTTTTTCCTTATATTAATGTTTTTCAGTCATTAAAATATCATATATTTTGATATTACTCTGTTTCTATTACAAACGCCAAAAATATATATTATTTTAATATAGGTGGTAACGTATTTCACTGGTGAGCGGGCCACCTCCGTATCCCATACTAAACAGTCACTTTTTAAGGTCTGATATCTCAACCATCATTAGCTATATTATAATAATATACTTATAGAAGCTGTATATAGGCTTTCAGAACATGTTTTTCTACTCTATATAACTATAACTTATTTTAAGTGCTTGTAATATTAGTATAAAATAAATTACTAAAAAATACAATGTAATATATATTACCTCAAGATATATAAACTTATATCCTTTAAAATCTAAATACTGATAT